TCTCGCCTCGCCTTACGCCGTTTAATTGTTGCTTTCTTTGGTCGCTCTGTCTCTTTCTATTCAGCCTATTTTCACACAAAACCCTCTCTCCACGAACTTGAATTATAACATTTTCCTTCGGTTGACAAAGCTTTAACTCTGCCGGTATTGTTGCCTTAAGAGTTGTTTAGTAATTGCAAAATACCGAGGATTACTGTTCTACTACATCCTCACCAGTTTGATTTCGCGCTCAAAACGCGGGTTGCAAATTATTTGCTTACGCGACTTCACATCTACAAGCCCACGTGAAACTCTTGTGTAATGTCTAACCGTATGCCCGTGATACGCAGAACTAAAGGTCGGCGCTCGAGTGTGCGCTCTTCATTGTCATCTGCCTGTGTCTCCCGGCGCACACTAATGGGATATCCAAGTTACGCACGTAATTGCGCCTGCGCATTACCTTCTCCCTCACCCTTCCATTACCTAATGGCTAAGATAGCACCTGCAGTACAGTTGGCCATGCATACTAAAAGTAGCACCTCGTACGGACGCCTGTACGGTCGCAAGTCCAAATTTTTTCGGCTTGATAGGTTACTACTATACGTATAAAAATGGAGCTACGCTGCGCGCGCTGCGAGCTCCGCTATTATTCGCTATTTATATATGACGACGTATCATTTTTATGGGGTCACCTTGAATGACAGTCAAAAGAGAAATTATCAAGACGCTTCAACAGAGATATCCTATTACTCTACGCCTATCAAACAACGAGATACGTGGCAACGATGAATTAATGCGCACGGAAACGCATATCAAAAAGATACAGAGAGCAGTGTCAACTGGTGTTGGTGTGGATATCAAGATAAGCAAGTCGCACAGAGTATTTACGTCATGTTGTGTAAGACGTGGCTCACTGTTTAGCAGTCTTATCTAGCTCCAAGATTATCGTCCAATGTCGGCGCTAGAGTTCTTCCTGGTTTTGCAACAGTTGATACTGGAACTATCAAGTTTCAGGAAAAGGTCTATAGGAGCAGAGAATTAATCATACGAGACGCTGTAAATGATAATACCCGACGGTTACAAAAAAACACCAAGAACCTGATTTCACTATTTATCTGAATAATGAATTAATTCCGATAAGTATATATTATTCGATTAATAAAATGAAACCTAACCAGTTTGTTATGAAGCTTTTTAACATTGGAACACAGAATTATACAGATCATGTTATTGTGTCTAATGATGGCGATTTTGGATGGGATTCATTTCATGAAGTTTAAACCGTTAAACATAGCATGATGGAACTTATATAATCCCCTATAATGACGGTCTGAAAACAGATAAATCAAGCGCTTCAACTTTACTTGATGGGTCTGTTAAGTCAGATCGAATTTTGAAAAGATTCGAAAATACCGAAAACAAATGGATTGACACTGGCATTTCGTTTATCACATATTTCAACGTTGATGAATCGGTAAGAATTAGAATGTCACCATCAGTTAAAAACTCCACTGGTAGAGAGTGGTATGGGACTACTTTCAACTACGATGTAGACAAGAAGCGAGGATGATGCGGCTAATGCGTTTAATTGATCCAATGGCAGGCGAAATTTAGTTTGTTGGTTATTGCTTTGATATATTTACCTCATGTTAAATTTTCGTCGTAACCATGAAACGACGTATTTTGCTCTAATAGAAGATTAAATTTGTATCCTTAGGTTGGGCATGATTTATTACTAAAATTTTGGCTGAAACATTGTAAAATAATCAATAAATGATCTCTAATTATTTTCTTTTGAAGTCATCTCTGTTCAAACCGATATACATTCCTTAAAAAGGATTGACTGTGTGCAGAACGCCAAGCCGCGGCCTGATAGATAATTATCCACCGAATGTACTTGTTCGGGTTAATACTTCAAATACCTTACTTAAAAAAAGTATTAAAATTCGCGCAGTGCTGGGTGCTCCAATTTTGGTATTGCGCGAATTATGATCTGCGCGAAAAACTTTGTGGTGTAATATTATATATGCACATACATATACATACGTATATTTTTTAGTTCTTGTTGGTATTTTGAACTCACGCTTATTGTTATCATGAATTTTGCATAAATTTCATAATTTTGAAGGCACTTTTTGAGGGCAACCTAATCGCTTTTTTATTAAGTTTCGACAAATATTGTAGTAATCGCTGATAAAAAATATTCATTATAAGTGCGTTAATCGTTAATAGCTCCTAAACAAACCAAAAAGAACGAACACGAAAATTACTAGTGCGAATTTAAAGCTGCGCAAATAAGTCTTAAAAAAATGCGCAAAATTAAATCGAAAAATGAAGCTGAGCGAAAATGAGCACGACGCGAATTTTAGTACAAGCAAGGTACACAAGATTTTGTATCCACTCCGTTAGAATACGTCAGCTGCAAAGGATATGTGTTAAATTAGATCACAGGCTTTAGATAAGTACGTCAATTAGGTATCCTTGAACAAGTTTCAAGGACATTGAAAATTAATGATATTAAAATGGCTTCGGGGAAATTATAAACTCTTTCCTTCAATATCTGGTTAGGCTCGCTTTTTTCTCAGTAATAACGAGGAGTTCTTCCTTTTGTGGTTTGAAATAATGATCTCTTAAGGGTGTAAGCCCTCTGGAACTTAACAACGTTGACGCTCGAGGACTACTCATTCCAGGATCGTCGGGGAATACGAATATATTGATCCAAAGATTTTCTAGACCTTTCTGCTTCAACCAGAAAAACAACTATTCAACCAACTTTTCGTTGAAATTAAATTCTATTTGGTGGTATTGAACAGCAAAAGGTGTAAAACACAGTGACGGTTTTTATCGAAACTTTTGTGATGGCTCCCCTTAAACCTACAGTCACATTGGCAGAAATAAATATTTTTGATAGCCCCCCTTAAAACTGACCGGATAAACTCATGCCCCCACTCCTCCCCAAGAAAAAATCGCCATAGGCCCCCTTTACATAAATGGTGAACCCTCCATTATATACCTCTTGCCTGAAAAATGGAACTCTTTTAAGAGGAGTATCTCCATAAAAGATATGATGATGGTACACGAACCCAAGGGAATGCGATTAAAAAAAGTCAGAAAAGAGGAAAATGGGAATATAAAAATGGAACAAAAACTGAATACTGAAAGAAGGTATGTCTTTCAAACCAAAATATAGGGGAAAAAGTTGAATATGCTCCAGTTCTTATTACTACTTTTTCTTTACTTTCTTAGCGTTTACGCCCAAAAGGTTAAAGATGCATTTTATGGCTGTGAGAAAGTCGAGAAAACATTTTGGCTTTGTAGTTTATTCATGTTTTACAAACGGTTAATTTACAGCAGCTAAAATAGATGGAAAGTTCACAACTTGCTATGTAAAAGGGGTACCATTTGTCAGTACAAGGTATAAAAAAGGGTACCTTTTCTTTAAAAAATGGTATACAAAAGGGTAAGGGTTTGGACCTTAGGACGGAGCTTAACCATAGAGAGGCAAACAAATATGGAGTTACTCCACTCCATGAGCTAGATCATAATGAAAACCAAAATATCAAGAACAAGCACATTCCTCACACTATTCTCCCTATTTTTTCCTTTGCTATTATGATTTTCAGCAAGAGAAAATGATGGGAGAGAGAGAGGGAAATGCCCAGTCTAGTCCTTGGTATATGTGAATTTCACCAAAGTTAATTTTAGACCAATTGAACGTGTAACCCAATGTAGACACCCTTCTCAGGACAGGGTCTACAGAAGCTAAAATAACCTCCCTTAAGTGGATATTGAAACAAATCAGTACTAAAATCCATTCCGAAAATGTCTTTAAATTTGCACAAAAATGACTAGAGAGGAGAAGTGTGACATCATATTACCATGGTAAAAAAATTTCTGAATCACAACAATAGCGATTTTAAGCAACGACGATGGCGACGGCAACGAGAACAGTTTAAAAGCAATAAGTTTATATTAGAAAAACAACAACTTTGCATATGCATCACCCCTTAGCTGTTTTTGCAGGAATGCAACATGATTATTTAGTTTGCAAATTCTCTTTTTGAGTGAAATTTCGGTATGTTGTCATCCAGAAATTTTGCTACCATGGAAAAGTGATGTAACGACTTCTCTCTATTGTAATAATTATAATTAGTAAATCGCACAGTTTAATGACCATGCCTTGTAATGAGGGTGCCTGCTTTGGGGAGGTGAGGTAACAGATTCTTTTGATGACACCCTTTTAGCTTGTTTTATTTCATGAACTTGAGCACTGATTTAATAAGGAGAAATAATATGTGGGTCACTGATGATAAACTGCAAGACAGGAGTTTAAAGAGGAAGGAAAGGGATGGGGTTAAGCAAGGAACATGAGTACTGGTACATGCATGCCCATCACATTCTCGCCCTATCTTTCCCTCTCCATTCCTCTCAAATACCTGCCTCGTAGGGTAGGTCAATTAATAAGAGAAAGGTTAGAAGTCCTTCATCTGTAATTCAAACACATCAAATTTAGTGGAAAAAGTCAGAAACTCTTTTTCTCATGTTTCAAATTTTCACTACTGCCTAACAATCTTTTAGTATTCTTACTATTGTCTCTTTACTTGACATCTATAAAAAACATTTACCATTTCATCACAACTCTTTCAAGTCTGCTCTAACTTTGTGGGGACTAACTAAAGGGAGTTGAGATAGTACTTATATTGTAGGTTAATTTTTGTGCATAATTGATTACAGCATAGAGTGATCTTACTTAACCTGTGAAACAGATACTAACATCTACTGAAAAACAGCCACTTGCAAACAAAGGAAGACAAAGTAATTAGTGCATAATAGTGCACCTAGTATTCTACTACCTATTTCAAGGGTTAAGTAAAATCACTCTGACTAGTTTCTTTCAGTGTATGAATAAATTTTCAGCCTTAGTGCAGTTTTCTCTGAAAAAAAATTGTTATTTAAAAAGCCCACTGCCTAGTGGAAGAGCATTTTAAAATAAAACTTGGAAATAACATTGTCAAAAGATATTAAGATTGTTTAAGGACAACTTTTAAAATTTCTTTGCAAAGTTGATCTTCAGGATCAGCCATGTTTTCAATTAAATTAAAATGATCTACTCCAGAAAGCCATAAAAAGGAACTTTGTACACCATGTGACTTCAAGATCTCATCAAATTCTTTTGACTGCCGAATGAACTCTGGAGATCCATGCTCTTCAACTACAACTAGTGTAGGACAGCAGATTGTGGGAGATACTTCCTTAAGAATTGTCAGGGGGCTAATTTTTTCAGCGGAATCTGCATCCAATTTTAATGCATCATTATTGCTAGTGTTAACCAAGGGAACCAAGTCAAAAATCCCAGAGAGTAAAAACATGCCATGAACAGCTTGTGAAACTAACCCACCCTTGTTCCAATTTGCAAGTGCCATCATGGCAGATAAGTGTGCACCAGCAGAATGTCCACATAAAAACAGTTTTGATTTAGGAAACTTAACAACAATGTGCTCTAGTGCAGCTTGGATTTCAGTGATGATCTGTTCCACACTGGCCTCTGGTGCAAGATTATAACCTAAAACTACTGCAATACATCCAGCTTTTGTCCATGAATTACTGACAAAACTGTACAAATCTTTACTGCCTTGCTGCCAGTAACCACCATGAATAAACACAATGACTGGAGCACTATCATGGTCATTCAGTGGGGGATAAAATACATCCATGTTGGCTTTACCTTCCCCATAAGGCACATTCAGTTCAACATTCAAACTTTGTTTTGTTTCTTCACTGCATTCACCACAAACTTTCAAATGATGCTGAACTACTTTGTCTGCTCCCATGCGCTTATTCCACTGGCTAGGTGAGTAATACTTCTCAAGCCACTCCCTCGACTTATTACCCTCCATTTCTTTTGTTAACTGTTCTTTACACTTAAGTGTCCTCTTACCTAGCAGCTCTCCTCAAAGCTTTCCCTTTATGTAATCTATATGAAAGAACAAGAAATAAACAATAGAACTCCACTAACCCATCAATACTCACATACAGCACTAGGTTAGGAAAATTTAATTATTGCAAAGTATACAGACCTACTTGACTTGAAGGATCTGGTTGCATTTAAAGTGGTTTTATCTATTTATTAGTTAATTTTTACTTTTGCTATTAAATATATTCCAAACTATATCAACTTTTTACTTATTGACCAAATCACTGCTTCAAATCACTACAAACTGTTTGGCTTTTATAACCAGCAATTATTACAGCAAGTGGGAAATTACCTTTAACTGCGTGACTTGGAAAACTTGGAAAAAAAACCAGCGATATTACTAGCCTGAAAAAGGATTCTAGAACGTCGATTTCACTCTAAGGGTGATGACTTAGAAACAAAGACGCAGAAAGAAGTCACACAATCGATGTTTCTTGAAACCGCACACGCACTAAAGATCACAATTACAGCACAAATGATCCGCAGGTTCCGAATTTGGCGTGTCAAATTGCGAGTGCTCACCTACCCTGAATGATCAACTTAAGAATATTATAATCCTGCGACGAACTAACCTGTTTTATCTCTGTTTTGTTTAACGAAGATATTTCCACTCTAGAAGAGGAGTGAAGAAGAAAGCAGTAAAAGCACTGAGGGGCTGAACAAGCGGTTACCAAGCCGTGTTACCCGGGCCGTTTCTACCCGCGGATAAAACGGGAGGACTGAACAACAACAATAAATAATTACATCAATATCAACAGCCCAATAACTTTATTTATCCTCGGTTTCTCAACCCGGACTTAAAAGCAAAATTACATACGTAAAAAGTAAGACAAATAAATGTATAAAAACTGGAACCCCGGTTCGACTGAACATTCAATTTGCCATATTAAAAATATTAATAGACCTTGTCACGGTCTTGGAAGCCAGCGGGAAGGAAAAACAAATGCGCAAATGTTCTGTGAGTTTCTTGCACGTGTGCATGCCCAGTGTTTGCTCACGGTCTAATGCTTAGTCTAAGGCAAAAACTACTTTCTTTTCTTAGTCTTTATTATTAAACATGGTCCCTGGATCTCAGATACATGCCTCTGGCTGTGGTCAGTTGACTTGCTTCTGTTTTGATCCACCATAAAGCGTATTGTTTCAGATATCGAAAGCTTTGTTTGCCTGTTCCCTGCAGCCCTCGCCACATTCTCCTGGGATTTTAATTGCTATGTTTACTTGATGATGGCTTTCCTCCCTGGTTTCCCTGATTTTAGCCTTTTGATAATTCAGTCCTATCAAAGGGGCGTCTCCTAATCCCAAGTTAACTCCAAAGTTCTCCGATTTACTCTCTCGGATTGTAGACTCCACCTTGACGTCTTGCGCCACAGTTATTACTAAGCCTTGGTTAGTACCGCCGCTCACTTGTGACTGTGCTTGAGGATTGTAGTACACTTGCTTTGTTTCGGGATCGAACAACGCTTGTACAAGTTCACAAGACGCCAGAGGGACCATGACTTGTAGCACATACAGAATGGAAAGCATGTTAAATATCCAGTACTTGAGCTCAGCAGACAAATTAATAGCCGCCATTCTACTAAGCCAAACTACTGATTTCTTAGAATAGATTCAAACTACGTCATACATAGGGGGTTTTCTCGTTACTGTTATGGCTTCCGGTTGAACTCTAATAAATATTTTAAACTTTATTCACTTTTCCTTTTTAAAACGCTGTTTATTGTAAAATAAGACGGACAAGAAATGATCGATCATAATAACATAATGGCTTTCTCAACTTCTGTGAGCTGCTTTGTTTACTGAAAGACGACCCAGAACTTGTCAGGAACTTTCGGCTGTCTTGGCTGCAGAAGCGAGGGATCGAAATGCAGGGAATCGTTTTCTTAGAAAATTAAGACAAAGAGATTCAATGATCGCGTGACTATGCTGGCGCCCCATCAAGATGCTTGCTTTTCATACGGCATGAGCTGTTCTTAGAAATTTAGCAATATCTGGTGTCTAGCTTACATATTATCCTACTCAATCAGGGGTTTTTCCCTTCATTCGAATGAATGAGTCGGCTTCCGGCTCCCAGATGAAGCTTAGAGGCGTTGTCCTGTTCAGGGTTAAAACTATAGCCAAAATATTTAAGGGATAAGGGGCGACGTGCAAAATGATTGATAGGATAAGGGATGATTTATCTCTTACAAAAATTGTTTAAGTGATCACTAAAATTCGCAGGTGAGGAACTGGCTGGAAGGTATCCTAACTGGGTCTGATGAGACAGGGTACCGCAAAACAAACCTTTTAGGCGTTTTGCCAGATCAGTTTATTCTTCCCCTTGGTAAATTATACTAAGAAGAATACTGCAATTATAATAAAAATAGATGTTACAGCTGGATCAATGGTTTTCTCACAAAAACAGGACGTAGTCGGTGAAACTGAAAGTACGCGTCGCTGGGACTGAATGGCGCCAAACGGGAATTTTCCCTTGAAAGTGAGTCACACAATAGCTGAGACTATAAAAAGGTTTCACACTGAAAAGCCTTAAGAGCTAAGCGCATTGTTGCATACATCATCAGTCAGGATGAGGGGTCTGCTGTGTGCTGTTCATGCTCTGGTTTTCGTCCTAGTTCTAGTGTCCTCGCCAGAGAGGAGTTCTGGATTCATTGGCAAAATCCTTGATGAACTGCATCGATTCGATAAAAATGTGCTTAGAAAGGTATCAGAGCCAGTGAATGACGTCCTCCACAAGTTTGATAAAAATGTACTCCGACCTGCAGCGGAGCCTGTGAAAAAAATGCTCCACGAGTTCGATAAAAATGTTCTCCGAGAAGCAGCGAAGCCTGTGAAGGAGGTCTTGCACGAGTTCGATAAAAATGTGCCTAGAAAGGTAGTGACGGCCCTAGGGCTCAGAAGAATTCGCAAAACTTACCAAGAATTTAAGCAAGAAGTTGTTCATTCTAAAGTTACTTTCACTGCTGATTCGTACCGAGTGGAAAAGATTGTTCCCTGCCCTGATGGACAGCATGATATAATGGATGCAGAACAGCCCGTTGAGATTTACTTTGAAGACGGCGTGAAAATTATACAAGACAGATACTGCAGAAAATGTGGCCAGCATTTCCTCGGTGAGGCCAAGCGAAAGGATGAACTTTGAAATGAACCTCGAACGAGACAGTTTTAAAGAAGGGAGAGGTAACATTTTGAACCTTGAGGTATATCTGGGATTTTTGTTACATAACGTCTGATGTCTCGTCAGAAAATAACCTGTGTACAGCCGACCCTAGCCTCCCCGCAAGAAACAGCTGAGGCAAGTCAGAAAACTGCTTCCCATCTTTTCAAATACAAAAATATGCAAATTCAGTCAGCCTGGCCTCTTAGAAATTTTGTCATCATTATTTATTACATTAGAAACAAAAAGGATTTCTTAAAATCCATTTTGAATTTGTATATTTCTCTTTCCTCCTGATTCAAATTGAAATGGTAAATATATTCATACACTCCCTGAAGCTCTCTCGAAAACCATACCCGATTTCAGACCAACATGGGCAAAGTCTAAACCCGTTTTTAGACCAAAATGGCACAACGGCACATACCTGTATGGCCTATATGTTGGAGTACCCCTCCAGGACTAACGGCCAAAAAGTTAAGTCGATAGGTGCAAACAAGGGAACATTTTAACCATAACTCAAAAAGAAAATAACCTTAAAACTATCCCAGCCAAATTTTATTTTATTTTTGTACAATAATCTATAATCTATGTACACATGAATATAAAATGTTAAAAAAATTACACACCAGAAAAAAAAAACTTTAAAAATATAAAAATTATAGCTGAATTGATCTTAGCTTAGACTTAAAAAACATTAACATCATTGGCCAGCTTGACATCCTCTGGAAGTTTACTCTTAAAAACTAGTTTGATGGCTTCTTTTATATTTTAGCCAATCATTGTAATCAACAAAGTTAAAAATGCCTTGCAGGAGAGGGTTCAAAGCCAATACTAAGTTATCTCTAAACCAGGTACGAGGTTATGTTTACACTTGGCAAAAAGTTGCATTTTATCCCATGAGTCAATTTTTGAAGAGGTGGGAGTGCTAAAAGCTAGAATCAAGGGTGCTCTTGAACAGGTAAAATGTCACTGTAGTGACCTTTACGAAGAGAAAATGAGTTAAACTTGTTGAGCAATGATTAGCTATCTTTTTTATGCCATTGCTGTAAAATCAACTGATGTTGGTAATTCTAAGGAAGGAATTGCATAATAAATTTACATTAACACAGGAGCTGTGACATTAATCATGGAAATATTCCCTTGCCATTGATTGATGAGAAAAGGCAGGGTAGATTTTCAAGAAAATATCAGCCCACTTCTACCACTTCCTCAAACTCTTCCTTTGGGATACTTATTTCCCTGCTGCACACACTTTCAATTCGACTGAGATAGTCTGGAAATTTAGGTAGAACTAATTCCCAGACTTTTTCTGACGGACATCTGCTAACCAAACTAATTGTCTGTGTATCTTTTGCATCTCCAGAGTACTTGGTTGTAATGACAAATGCATCCTCTCTTAAAACTGCAAACTCATCAAGAAATGAATCATACTTATTTGGAATATAATCCACTAAATTACATGTCTGAGACATGTTGTTTAGTGAAGTCAGTGAAGCATCATTCAATAAAGTGCCACTATCACTGGTTTCTGGTTCTTCTGTTTGCAATTTTAGTTTTATTTTTCGAAATATTGTCAGTGCCTTGCCAAGAAATTGCCTCCAAAGCTGAAACCACAAAACAAAACACCAGTCAAATGAGCAGATTTCTCTGTTTAGACCTGATGGCCTCCACGCATGTGATACAGGAATTTTATAGCACTGCCCCCAAACATTTGTTGTCCTCATCAGGAATGGTGGAAACACACCCTGCCTTAATTTGACTCTGACATACTGTATAATTTCAATGCAGCAGGTTACAGTATCTGGAGTACCTGAGCACAGCTTCTCATATTCATGGAAAAGGACAGCAGTTTTAAACACATAAGAAGACAGGCTAATGTCTTTTATTGGCCTGTTAAAATATGTATTGTGAGTTAGAAGATACTTCAGTACCCTGTAGCATTTTTTATGGATTGGATGTAGATGGCGCACCAGAAAAACCTCAGTGGTAGCGTGGGAAATGTGGAGATAAGGTGCATTGGGGGACTGCCCTGACACTTTGCACACAAGATGAAACTTTAGGTTTCCTGTCATTCCAAATACATACCTAGGAAAACCATGGATATCACTTAGAGGAGAAAAGTCTTCAACAGACACTGCTGGCATAATATCAACACTAATATCTAGTGAGTAGGAAGTTGTTAATGTCAAGTCTCTTTCACAAAGTCCACTATATATTTCAGGACCTTCATAGTTCTCCTTAAACTTGTGCCACTCTAATTTCAAAGCTAAATAGTCTGAACCTTTAATGACCATGACACCATGTGGAGTCACAATCTTCTTTTCTGACATGGCTTTAACAACCTCTTTCAGAGTATCCACAAACTCTACACGCAATCCTTCTTGGTGTATGCAGCAAATATCCTTGTAGAGTCGCCTAGTTATGTTCGCCATGGCCTCATCAAAGCCAGAGTTGAGAAAAGCCACCATGTAACCTGGTTGGCAACCTTCAGTGCCCTCAATTCGCACATTTTCACTCCTAGAGAGGAAATCAAAACACGCCATGAAGTCAAACTCATTTGGAGAACAAATCTTAGTTCCCTCTGCAAAACTCCCAACGCTTATTACTTCCTTAACATCCAGGTGAGGTTTTATTCTCCCTATGTCATCCACGACCAGTTCAACAATCTGCTGTGTTGCTCTGTACATGTGATCCATGGTTTCAGCGCTAAATCGATAGGAAAGGTCACACAAATTGCGTTCAACATGTTCCAGGAACATACTGAGTGCCATCTCTTATATCCGTCACTGTTCAAGAATTGTTGTGTTCGACGAAGGAACTATTCGTGTACCGTACTGTACCGTACATGTTCTAATTACCGTTCCGTATGCTATGCAACGATTTGGACGCCATCTTGGACCGGCCAAGCACATTTTGCCTCGATCTCGTGTGTTTAGCTTTTCTCGCCCGGGAGCTGTATGTATTTTGTGACATTCGTTCGCAGATGAGACGTTTGGTGATTTTCTGTTTACTACAGGTTTGTTTATAGTTTTTCGCGTAGTTTTCAATTAAGATTTTAATTATATAGGAAAATTTCCATTATAAGATAATCGGACATGTTATGTTAACTATGTGTTCTGCACACTGTATTTGGTTTAATTCAAGCAAGATCAGCTAAGATCGACCGGATTTAATTCTATTACAAATTACATCTTTTCGCTTTTAAAAGCTACTTACAGTGTTCTATTTTCTTTTGTTTGTCACCATTTTTGGAAAATATACAAGAAATTGAACAGTGAAACGTTGACCTTTTTGTCTCTCTAATTCCGGGTGCGTTGTAATTTGAAAACAGTGCTAAGTAGGTGTGTCGTGTTAGCCTACTGTCACGCATCAAGGGTTTAAAGTAATACGCGACGCTCAAACTTTTCAGGTAACTTTAATTTTCTGTATCCCAATTTTTAGCCAATTTTATTGACCATCCTACAATGCAAAAGAGTATCCTGAGGATCATAGTCAGTGTTTGACCTGTTGAGAGGTTTAGCTAAGTAAATGTAAAAAGTACAGTACGCTCTTGCATTTTTGAGGAAAAATGAAATAGCAACGAATTGTTAAGTGGGAGGATAAACAGCAACACTGATAAAGAAAGCTGCTGATATTCATATGGATAATTAAAAGAGTGTGATTTTGATTTCTCAATATTACAAGGCCATCAGGTTTTGCACCCCCTCCCCACTACCACTCACTACCCACCAGCCCCCTCCCCAATCGAACGCACTCCCCTAATTTGCAATTATTACTAGTATGGATAAATGTTAAATAAGTAATCTGAACATTTTGAATGCAAGAGACAGACTCTTCAAGGCAGACATTTCTGTGGTGTTATTAAGTATAGTCATGACATATTCTGATTACAGCTAAGGTAAACACTGCTGTAAAATAAATGGTTTAGGTACACTTCTAACCTTTACTTTTCAGAAGGGAAAGTGAAGCAAACACCAAGTTTGTTGGACACAAAACTGTGCCATTTTTTCCAGTTTGTGAATATTCCCTTGCTATGTTGCCAAAATTGGCTTTGTATTTTGTAGTATACGGTGTTTTCCTTAATGGCATAGCCAAGTGAAATAACTGTCTTGCTAGACTCCTGTTGTAGGCATTGTGTATCAATAAGTTGAATATTTTATAAAGCCAGTTTAAATGAATGATTTTTTATGTGGCTCATGGGGACTTTTCTTTCCCTCATCACACACTTAGGGATATTCCCCTGTTTAGTGGGAATTTATGATACCATTATTTATCTGTAAAAAATTGGCCTGTTAGACAGAGGTTGGAGAAAGTCATATCTGGTCATCCAGGAGATGTAGATTTTCTTTTTGGGCAAGTAACTTTTTAACCTCACTTGGCTAATTACAGGCAGACCACCCTCTGTTCATGTGGCCATTGTTGTTATTGAATCTGGGCATTGGTCTTTTGTACTCAATAGAAGAAAAACAGATCAACATACTCTTGCTCTAAACTTCTGGTCAAACAATCATCTCACAAAAAAATGCTTTTAACAGCTCAGGATGATGAAAAAACACAACAGGTGACTAAATTAACATTTTGCTAGAAATTTGTTTGAACATTTTGGTTCAAATCTGTATTTTGGAGTGAACTTTAGTGGCTGTAATGTTCATCTTGATATATTTTATTGAGTACAAAAAAACCAATGCTCAGGTTTCAGTAATACCAATGGCCCCATGAACGGGGTGGTTTGCCTGTGGTCCAGTAGGCAAGGACCATGCAAGACATCTGGTAACTGAACAATTAGCTAAAGCTAGCAAGCAATGGCCCTGGAAAGTAAAATGTGAGAGCTGCTAGTCCAAAGGTCAAACTAGAATTTAAGGTTTTTCAATTCCTGTTACAGTAAAGACTGTACTGCAAAATTTAGTTTTTTAGAATAAACTAATTTTTGAATCAAGTACAGTTAACTGTATATCATTTTTGAAAGCAGATTAAAGCCGAAAAGTAAGTACTGGAGCTTGTTGCGCAGGTCCAGAGGATTCGCTGCTATTTATCTCCAGAGACGACATGCCAGGAGAATAGAGAATCATATAACGGTAATCTAAGCACGACATGGCAAAGATAATGTTCGTTCGACCTGTTAGTGGACCATGTTATGTGTAGGAGTGCAAAAATGCGAAAAATTAATTCCTACCACGCAAATTTCCTTCATTATTCCTCGTTGGCCAAAGTAGGCGTAGGAGGGCATAATACCTTGGAAATTTTTTTGAACTCAACACGACCACCACTTCGTTCATTTTCCTCTTTCCAATGGAGTCACGTGATCTTAATGAGGGAATGACAATAAAAAAAGGCCTACATTTCAAATGCAACCGGAAAAAAGCTTCAAGTAGCAAGCAATGCTGTAGATGTTTTTTGTATAAGGTGGTGAACGCTTAATTGGGTAGGAATAATTTAACAACATGGAAAATTTCAATACCATTAGTTATACGTTGGAATGTAGCCCTTATTTCTACTCTTGTACCAGCAGAAACGAGCGCAGCAGGGTATAGTATTGATGTATTAACCATATCCATACTCTAGACGCACGCAATCATAACAAGTCAAAAGGTTGAACCTCTCTGTGGGACTTACCAGTCAACACAACTATCTCGTTATCACGTTTCTTTGTGCCAAACGAGTTTAAAGTCTAGTCATTTCCAGAAGTTATAGACATTTTAGTCCAGATATTGTGGCTATATTAACAAGGTGACTTTTATATTAAAAATTGAAGAGCGCGGCGCCATGGAAAATTTTTAACCGGTGATACAAACAGTTTTAACCACGCTTTACCACATCCGCCAACGTACCGGTGGACGCTCCATCAGTAACAGATAATGAAGTACCAGTCTTATTCAGATAACTTTAGCTTAAAAGGGACCCAAATGCGAAGGAAAGCAAGACTCCTGAGATTTACAAGCCGATTAGAGCAGAAAGTTAGGGCATCAACATGAGGACAACACTGGCGATTATTTTCCTTCTTGCTGGGATTGACTATACAGCCGCTACGAAACACAAAGGTACTAGTAAGGATACCTAAGCCACAATTCATGATAATTACGAAAGGCTATTTGTGAATTTGTGTATAGCTTTGATCTTAATGTTTGCTGTAGCCTAACACTGAAGTATTTAATATGTCTCACCTTTTTAACACTAAAGGAAATCTAAATGAATAATATGTTACGTTATTGAAAATCACTTTAAACATTATGAAAAACACTCTTACTGATTTTTCACTTCCTTCCTTCCTTCCTTCATTAATTGACTCTTACTTTCACAACAGCAGCTGCTCCCCCTAAAGAAGATGGTGTGCCGAGTGGAAGCAGTGGTATGTTGGAAGAAAAAACGCAAACATTTCTTTTCATTTCATTTCATTTTATTTTCTACTTAATTCTTTTTTTTTTTTTTTTTTTTACGTGGGCTTCATATTAGACACTCAGGTATTATTTGTCTCATTAAGTTCAAGTCTCTTACTTGTAGACACCTATTACTTCGCTTTTAGCAACCTTCGAGCTGTAGCTCGCGTTTTCGATATGCCTTTTCAAAGGAACCTCTAAATTCACGAAGTTATTCGGAGAGATAATTTTTTGTACTTTTGTACACAATTGTACTTCCTAGTTCGCAGCCTGTTGATCGGTCCTTTAAAAACTGAGATTTCAAAACTACTCTTTACGTGTGACCTCTTTTGTTGAAATAACAGTTTCACTATTTTCCTTTCTCTGTTTTTTTCTTAACATTTTTACCATTATTTCAATGAACCAAACGATTAAATCGGCAGAAGAAGAAGGCACACACCATAAGAAAGTGATTCGAAATTAAAAAGAATCGTTCTCATTCGCGCACCCAGGGTTAATATATCTCCTCCCTTTTTACATTAATTCTATAAATAAGGTTCCATGTCTTTATCCTCTTTTTTTTTTTTTTTTTTTTTTTTTTTTTTTTTTCAAAGAATGTGACCCGCCACTCAGGGACGATTATTGCCTCAATGGTGGGACGTGTTTTAAGCTTCCAGGCGTCGCAGGTTCCCATTGCGTTTGCCCGAAGGGTTTTGAAGGGGCAAGATGTCAGGATGTAACGATTGACTTCGATAAGTCTGGTGAAAATTCTAACTAATTGTGAAATTGAGTTAATTTGCTCGATTATAGAACAGAACTTTTCTGTGTCAAATCAGATTACATCGTATTTTATCCTGAGTTTTCTTGTTTCATCTTTACTTTATGTGACAACACGAGGGATAGTTTCCCATTTGCTGCTTCTTCACACTTACATATATGTGAAAAAACTTTGGTTGGCGCACATTATTTCAGATCCAGAAATCAGACTTCGACTCCTGTCTAGGGATATTGTGTTATGTTCTCCACTGAAGACCCCTCTGTACAACCCTGAATAGTGAAGAAATGGACACCTGGAAATTTTTTAAGGAAACCTAACATGAAACGATAGCCAGAAAAAGGGAGCTGTTAAAAATCTGGGGGAGGCCAACTTTTTCGGTTTTCCCAAAATAGACACTGATGATGGCTAACCAGCTGCTCTAGATGGTTATCATTATTGTTTTTGTTTTTGTTGTTGTTGTTGTTTTTTTTGCAAGGTAATGCTAAAAAGAAAAAAAAATCGCGATAATCCCTACCGCTAATTTCGCACGTGCCTTGATATTGTTACCCAAAATCACGTATCACGAGTGAACCATTTGCGCCACTCTTTGGGAACCTAAAAGACGCTGAAAAGTGCTTATCGAACTTTTTAGAATGTTCACTGAGTATGATTTCCCATTTCCGTAAGGTGAACCCCGACCCTCTGCTCATATGTTTGATCGGGTGTTGCTTGTTGGGAAAATCTTAAACACAACATCATACTGCATTCTCAGGTTGCCATAAAGTTCGATTTACTGTATGTAAAGTTTTCGTCAAAGAAGTTGATAAGAATTTTTAGCACATTGCTCTTTTTATTCACGTTTACCCTTGTTACCCCCTACATACTGTGAACTACAATTTCCCGCTTTTCCAATAATCTACACTGTTCAGTGTCGATATTGTTCCATTACTGACGGATAATGTTGTCGATCCATTTCCTCAGAAAACGTACTTTAGCGTACACGCCATACTTTCCAGCATGGGCGCAACCCTCTCCCCAGCTGGTAGCCCCCTCGAGGTAGTGCTTCCCATTATAGTTGCACACCAATGGTCCGCCGCTGTCACCTTGGCAGCTGTCTTTACCACCTTCGCGAAAACCGGCACAAAGCATGGAGGCGTGAAGGTTGCCATAGGCGCTTTGACACACTTTTGGAGACACTAAGGGAACGGTCACTTCTTGTAATTTATCTGGTTGCTGACCTCCGCTACTAAGAGTTCCCCATCCGCTTATCAGACACTGGTTAGTGAGGTCATCCAGGGGGAGATGATGAATATCATCTCCTAGACAGACGAGCCCCACACCACGTCCGAGAACTGCTAATCTGTTGAGTTTGATGAGAGCAGCGTCGTTTTCGTTAGTGTTCTCATTGTACTGTGGATGTCGTACAATGTCAACAACATTAAATTCTTGAGTGGTGTCCTCTCTAACTTCCTTACGATGTGCACCCAACCTTACAAAAAGAAAAAGGGAGATAAGTCTGATAAGGTATGAGATCAGGGCTCATACCTTAATGTTCCAAAAATAGCATCGCAGAATGCTTGGAAGTGGCCAGTCGATGTAGAAGCAGTTAGCGAAATTTTCTATTTTCAATGCTTTTAAACTTCAAAATTACTCCTCTTAAAGAAAAAGTGATCGAAAAAAAAATGCCTTTGTAGCAACTAGAAATATTCCCTTTCAATTGATTTAATGTCATACTTCACTTTCGTCATATGAAATGCAAATTTTAACCAACAACTAGTTCTGATCTTAATATGTTATGCATTTGTCACAAACGTGGGAAAAAATGAAATAAAATTGCGATCATTTGAGAACTCGAGCCTTGGTCAATTCAGATTCTGCGACTTCATTTTCTGTCACTTAGCTTAGACGAAATCAGATTGTTACAAGGATGATAATTATTATTTTGAAATATTCTACATCGACTGCATATGCATTTACGGCCTCATCTAAAACAAGCCGGTGTTGAAGTGCCCTTGCAAAGGTCAAAGACATGATCTTTACCAAATTTTAAATTGCCCGGGCTGCGATCCAGTGACACAGTGAGCTGCGGTCAGAACCCACTGCTTATGGATCAGAGAACCACCACAGAACTGCCCTCCGTTGTTTCCGCGTAACATTGCCTGCCACGGAATGCTGTTCTTAATTGTCTCTTGCCCACCAACAATTCGTGCATTTGAAATAGGACGATCGCCACAGGAGGACGGTGAAGGTGGAGGTTGAGGACCGGATGTTCCAGTGGGCGGCGGAGGGCTTGGTGCGGAAGTTCCTGGTGGGGGTGCGGCTTAAAACAAGATTAAGTTAGTGACAAGATTAATCGATCAGTATGCGTTGCGAGTTTGACTGGATCATAATGATGTCAAACTACTCTGAAGCCGTTCACTCCCAGGTTTTTGTTGTTGTTGTCGCTATTTTTTTAGTCTGTTCAAGGTGAAATCAACTGAAAATTATCTGTAGACAGTCTTAAGGCTCCTCAGAAAATAAAGGTGTTATCTTACAACACTATTTGAAATGGGCTAGTTTTTTTTAGCGCATCTCGGCATCATAGACTATTCAGTGGCAAAAAAAACTCTTTCGAAAAATTATATATGGTACAACTAGAAATGTGTGGGAAAATTTGGTGAGCTATTTCAGAGCTCCATTAAAAAAAATTACTGGGCTTCTTGACATAAACCACGAATGATGTACGATTTTACACTCTTCATGGCACAACTTACGGGTACAGTCTCCAGATCCTTCGGAACAGTCCGCATCAAAGTCAGGAACAGGGTTACCTTTAAGAGAAAACACAAGTACTATAAGTATTCGTCCATATTATGCAACACTACCTTAAAATCAACACTATTTTAAAATAATGTCCGTAGCACTAATCAGTCCTACTCAAAACTTCAGCCAAACTTAACCTATTCCCCTTAAGAAACAGAATGAATAGATATAGGCATCCTTTACACTTCATCTTCATTTAAGTGCCCTCACAAACCAAGTTGAAAGTGCTAACAAGTCCTTCATGGAAAATATAAATAGGACAACCGTGATTGTGAGAGTTGGGTAGACTTTTAAAAGGGCAACAGGATCAATCCGCATAGTAGAAAAAACAGAAAAATTGAATCATCCTTTACCCATTGCTTCGACTAATTTGTAAGAATCTTAATTACCCATAAAATGAAGAAGACGTGAGAGACAAATGGAATAGCTGCCATGTAACTAACCGTAAATTCCAACAAAGAATGCCAACAAGGTGAAAAGCGCAAACCTCGTCATTTTGAACAAAAACCTCGGGAGTTCTTTGTTGTCTGAAGGTCTGCATGTAAAAAGTCCTTCTTCATCTGCCTACTTTTATAGTAAGAGAAGATCACACATTGCTCTTAGCGCTCTTCATTGTTTTTACAGATGTTCCATTTTCCTACGCGGGTTTAAGTGAACAATTTCTTGAAGTGTTTTATCAATGAACACTTTGTTACATATTACTTTGACGTATAAACGTTTTAAAAGTTCCTTGTGGGTTTTTTCTGTCAGCGGCTTGTCGCAATAAGCGCACAGCTGTTTGCATTTACCTCTCTGTGTTTGAGGAAAGGCCAATTTTAGCTCGGTATATGAATGCAAGATCCTAAAAGCCCGGCGGAAGCCCAGCAAACAACTCATTGAAGGGTCAACACAGTTCTCACTTGTGACGCCTCAGATCAAAAAATAAATGGCAACCTGAACATTATATACTGCGATAATATTTGTTTAATCAAGTATTAAGATATTTTTTAATCCTCTACTCGACGTTCTTGTCTGTCTTTTACTTTAGAGAATCTATGACGAGGTAATGGTGATCATTTGAAAGGCTCACCCAATCATGTAGAGGGCCAGAAGATCAAGCATTTCTTCAATTTTAAATGAAGTTTAAACACATCGTTTGGAATCATTAACTTTGAACCCTTTTTAAATCGGGAATGTTGTTCTAGAGACCCATTTTGTTTACCATAACGACAGAGCTTTTAGGTTGGACAAACAGTTCATTCTACCATTCCAAGTCGTAGCATCAAACTGAGAGGAATTCATGCAAATGAGTACGATTTCATAGATAAAAGCAATTCTGCAGGGATCCAAATTTACGCTTGTTCACAGATGGTCGCTACGCCCCTGATTTTCCCTTTTTTTAGAGTCGTCGGCGACTTTACGTTGTACTTTCTAATATGATTGATTCCAGAGGCAAAGGAAACCCTTTTTTACACACCGCACTTCTTCGCACAACAAAAGCCGGACCTTTAACAATGAACATGTGGGTAATTGAGCTAAACAACTGAGCGATTCCTCTCCGAGCACTGCTTACGTGTATTTACGGGGGTTTAATCAATAGTAGGCCCATAATTTTAAGGTGATTAGACATTCTTTTTTAATAGTTGACTTTTGTAGATCGGCGATATTATCATCATTTCAAAGTAATTACTGTTTATTCGAGTCCATAAAGCTGTGTGTATCTTTCTGAGTGGCTGCTCCTTCAAAATAACGAGCTTGTACAACGAACGTCTAACTGCAATAATAATGACATAGAAAAAGGAAAAAATGGGAGAAAGTAAAAAAAAATATTGACTGCATTTAGTTGTTGTCATTAAATGCATAAACGATAAAAATGTGTTGTTGTCTTTTCTGTAACATTTTTACTGAACGAGTAAAGGTTCATTTTATATTAACGGACTCCTTAGATGTGTGTGCGTGTACTATGCGATAAATTCCCAGCTTTTCTCTTTCTAATCATTGACAGGTCCTAAGTTTATATAAATCTTTGGAAAAATAACATAAAAGATTATAAATGAGGTCATTTGTGTATAGGGTGTATTGAATTTCCTCGTATTTCCAATCCAGACCAGGAAGAGCGGCATATCGCTGAATATGGCTAAGTAAAACGTTGCTGGCAAGAACATTAGCAAATTAGAAACTCTATTATTTTAAACCAACAGCCAAAAGTTAACCTTTGACTTACCTAACGAATGTTTTAAGGAATCAGTTTTTGTTCAAATTCTTTGAGTTATTTAGAACACTCTGAAATTAAACATTCATAGTCAGTCGAGTAACTGACTTAGCACCTTTAATTAAGTTTTTTTCGGACCCAATTTAAAGCAGCCTGTTCACTGTGGCCGACATAAGATAAATTCAGCTTAAAACGTGACGACCCAGCACAGCTAAAAAGGTTAGTCTCAAAGCTGTTAATCTGAGTATTGTTGAATAATAATTAATAATAATAATAATTTTTTTTGTAAGAAAAATGTGTTCAAATCTTCGTTTTTCCCAAAAACTGCCCGAGACTGGAATCAGCTTCTCCTTGATATACCTGATATTACATCTCTTGTCGAATTCAATAATTACTTTAGTTCATTAGGCTAATAGGAGCGTTTCAATTTGTATAGTTAATTTTTTATTCTGCATTGTACTTATTGTAGTGTATAACTTTTACTTTTGCATTTTGTACGTGGTTGGTATGTTGCCTAACCGGCTTTTACCGAATTAATTGAGATGATGATGATGATGTTGACAATGACGATCCTCTGAGTAATTATACCTTTCCAATCGTGGATTTCAGTCTTGCGAGAAAATTAGCTTAAGACCCAAACGTACAACTACGTTTTGATCGTAGGCCATTGTTCCTCCTCGTTAATAAATCAGAAGAAGACTAGTACTATTACCATTGTTAATAGTTCTATCATTAGCCTTATTACTAGTGCTATTATGCTTCTCCGAAGGCTGAATTTACAGTGACGATCAGCGAAGATAAGTATAAACCTCTCAAGCCACTTTAAACTTAATGCCTTTTTGGTTCTGTGAGATGTTGCACTGCTTGAAGTCCTACATAACGATGGGCTTGAAAAATTTAATTTTGCAATAACTTTTCTGTAATATGAGAGGACACTCAAAATCCATTCTTAAATGCACCAAAAAAAAGCCTGGGAACAAGGCTGACAAATGTCCAAAGGCATTCTGGTCTATATTTTCGACTTCCATGATCTGTTGGGGCATAGGAGTCTTTAGTGGAGCAATCGCCTATTCAGTTTCTCCTTCAAACGTTTAATTATTGCTGTTGTCGTCAGTAGTCTGCTTCGGCAGCGACTTGTCAACAATTTCGCCGCACAAGAAGAAAGAAAACCAACATCCTAACCAAAAGCATCCGGGGAAATTCGCCAAACAGCCCTGTAAGTGGGGAAGATTTTGTCGTTACGTATGTCTCAGCCATATATTCACTTTGTTATGATAAAATTGATACTTGCCCACTTGTGCTCGATTTTTTTTCCAGGAATGTTTAAAGTATTTTAATGTCAAGTGACTTCAGTATTCAAATGCGTGTGTTTATCGTAGCTGCAGTGATAACAAGCGATCAAAGCTCATTACATAATAAAATTTTGTCGCTAATAATTTGTATTCATTGCAGCTGCATTTGATGTAAGCGAATTTGTCGGTGCCGCTAGCAAATTGCCTTTATTTTCAAACCAGTTGGTGTGTGATTTTTGAGATCTTTGTCGTGTTTAGTGAGGAATCATAGACATTCTCACCCTGCAAACACGAAAATTGTGTTGGAAACATTACGATTAATACCATCGCACCTTTGACTAGACGGGAACCTTTGTTTCACAAGATTAAATCATCAGTGTTGAATATTATATTTTTCAGACAGCCCTTTGTTTTCAGCCAGCCTTTGTTTTATTCAGGGTTTGCGTGGAATCCTAAATCAAAAGAAAACATATTCAAGACCTTTATTAAGTGTTTTCAAGTCTCAAATCAAACATTGGAAGAAGCCTGTATCATTTTTTGTCATTGCATTATTAATAATGGTAATTGAACTGAGTGGAGTGCAATTTGGGCTGAAATCATACGCGTGATTTCAAAATTGAACGAGCGCGCAGCGCGAGTTCAATTTGAAATCACAAGTATGATTTCAGACCAAAATTGCACAACACAAAGTTCAATTACCACTTTATTACATCCATTTTGAAATCGCCTAAATACAGGACTTCAAATATTTTGTTACTACAATACTGAGTCAGTTTCAAATTAAATTGATCCATTTTTTGGGAGGAAAAAATAAGAGTTTTGGAAACAAAAGTTGCAAAATTTGCCACATGACACTTCATGTCTTTCATCTTCCTGCAATTTGATCGGTTACTTTAAACAAGCCTTGAAGTCTGATTGGTTGTTTTGTTTTTAGTGTAGCCTCCTCATAAAGCAAAAAAATGGTGCAATTTGTGAATAAATCGCACCAATTAGAGCCAATCAGATTACAGGGACCACCAGTGATTTCAAAATGGGTGTAATAAAATACATAAATTACCGTTCAGAATTTTTATGTGCAAGTTCAAATTTTCTTGTATTAACTTATTTGAAGAATATTCACCTTGAGGGTGAACCCCTGAAAACTACCTTTAGGTGTTAGTCATCAGATTTGACTCCTTAACTTAAGTCTGGAATTCAAAAATAATAGTTTTGAAAAAGTGTTGAATCTTGTTCACCAAAATTTGCTTGTTTGTAATACTATTGCTTGATTAATTTGACCAGGGAGTCAGCAGTGTATTGTAACTATAAGCTGCGACAGTGGATGGACTGGTATACCTGATGTCCGCTATGACGAGGCAGGAAGTTCAGGAGATGGTGGTGGAGGAGGAGATGATGATGAGGACGGTATATCCTTCCTCAAACTTTTTAATGTAAGTGATATTTGTCCCAGCATGGTTCAATTTCTCAAATCATTCATATGACTACAGATCAAATTGGACTCCACTCAGTGGCAGTTGTCTGATTTTGTTAATCACTTGACTGTATAACAGTACTACAGATGGAATTGGACTCCACTCAGTCCTATTTTCATTATAAATGGCTTAAGATTACTTTGATTTGTATTGTCCTCTTTGTAAAGATTATGGAAATATACCTGAATTTTAAACTACAATGCGTGGAACTGAAAAACTCCAATAGTTGTATTATGACAAGAATTTGAGCTCAAGTTTGCTATCAGTGAACAAGTAAAATGCTTTGGAAAGGTGAAGAGATTGTTTCTTGTTTTGGGCCTGTGTAGATAAGGAGTTAATTAGTTTTGTCCATGTATGTATGGGTTCATATTATGGCTTGGGTTTCTTGAAACCCCAGTAACTTGCAGTCGTCTCCTGACTCTCTGGTGAGTGACCATGACTGTTTGATAGGGGTGACTGCTTCATAGAGGTGAAAAATACAGTGATTAAGGAGAAAAAAATCTGGGACTTTGACAAGTGATCCTTAATAGTGGGTGACCGCTTATTACAGTCCCACTTAATACAGGTTCAACTGTATTATGTTTTTGTTTTTGACCAGGATTCCAAAATAGCCAATGAGAGTGACAATGACCAACTATCAAAGTCCCTGCTCTATAGCTTTTGCCTTAAAAGTGGTGAACACGATGTGGTCAAGTGGAGAGCTGTGTTGCAAAATAGCTTTCTTTATGTAGAGGTTCCACATGGAGAGATTGCTCCTGGAGGCAAAGAGTGGTATGTAATACTGACTACTGTATGTATTACTTCTTGTTTCTGTGGCAGTTTGAATTTGCTTTGATAATTAGATAAGTTGTGTTAGGTCTCTCCTCTTTAGTTGTAAGGTACAATCTCACATTATTGTGGCTAATTCTGTCTGTTATGGTTAATAAAAGGTTCTTAACTCTGCATTGGAAGAGCCAAATTTTGAACTTGTCAGTACAAGAACTAAAGTTATTAGCCTGAGGGAAATTTTCTTTATTTGGTCACATCATAAAAACATTATTGTAAACCTCTCTACAGGTATTCAAGCAATCTAAATTGAGTTTAAGATGCTTTTGTGAGGGTTGTTAAGCTGTCAAAAAACCATCGGTCTTCAAGACACTCCTAAAAATCTTTTTACGCGCAGCAACTTAGCTTATACCACTACAACTCATTTGTGGATCTGCCAAGCCTATTGCCTAGCCTATTGTAAACTAGCACTGAGATAGCATTACCTCATGGCACTTATTAGAAATCTTTGTTTTGGTTAGTTTTGTATCACTGCTGGAGTATGCAGAGGAACATCTTGACTGCACTCACATATTTGTTGGTCTACTCAAGGAAAGAGAAGACAGAGGTAATTTGAATTCTTGGGCACAAAGAACGTACTGTACCCTGAAATTCCCTCATTTTCTAATTATAATAACAGAAACGCAAAATTATTATTTGTTTGTCTGTACTAAGAGTTGATGCAGTTATGGTCTAATTTGCCTGTGCTTTCTTTTAGCCTTTGAACTTCTATGAGTGACCAAGACAGAATTTCTCCTTACAATATCAATACAATATCAAGCAGACAAGTGATAAGAATAAAGAAAAATATCAAGTAGAATATCTTAAGTTGATCCAATAATTAATTATCCAAACTAACATCAGAATAAGAATTGTGTGGCAGATAGAAAGGAGAATCACTGATGAGATCTTGAGAGTGAAAGGGTTCAGCTCAGTTGTACAGCATATAAATGTTTATTCAACTCAGTTCTTGCTTGTAACTAACTATTTGGGCATCTTCAAGTCATTTTTCAAAGTCTTTCTCAAGCAGGGTACTGTATGTAAATGTAAATAAATAATTTTTTCTTTTGGTTGGTCTTTTTGCAGTGAGTCTGATGCGCACTTTCATGTTCATGGGTTTTGAGACAGTGAAGCCAGGTCACGAATTGTGTCCAGATAGTCCACACTTCATCTTTATGGCTTACACTATTGAATAGCAGTTGTGCCCAGGCCTTCCACAGGCTATTGTTTGCATGCAATACTTTTACATTGTACTTAGTTAATACTAAATTGATTTAAAAATTAAAATGTCAAGATTTGATGTGGGCTCCCCAAATTTCATAGTTTAGAGATATGAAAGGGGAAATCTGTGTCTGTTTGGGACAGTACTCAAACCACATAGACATTGTATGGATTGAGAAAAGATGGAAAGAGTTATTTAGCCATTAATTTTTACTTGAGTCCTGCCAATTATTTGGCTTGGTGTAAACTGGTTTTGGAAGCTTGTAGTTGCCTCAAAAATGAGTGTAAGGTGCTCATAAATGTAACACATTTAACTTTTTCCATTTCTCATTACAGACCATCAAATGGAATTTTTTTTAGTAGTCCATTGTAAGAAAGTGATAATTATTGTGCTTAGTAATCCTCTTTTGGCAAAATATGTTAAGAAACTAGGGGCTTATTTGTCCATAAATCTGGTAACAGTTTAGTATTTTACAGTGTGAATGATTATTAGTTATTATGCATGATAATTCAACTATTGAACAGTTTCTAGAGATTTTTCTTGCTGTAGCTGTATGGTAGATTCAAATGACAGCTTTACTCAGACAGTCCCCCTTTCTCCACCTAGCTACCATTAGTTGTGTCTTTCTTTTCACAAGAATTATGAGGGAAAACACTTTTGTCTTAAACATACAGAAGTCTTTGAAAAGACAATTTGATAAATATTGTTGTTAAGTTTGATGTGTTGTGGATGCTCTCATTAGGTGCACTTAAGTGTTGTTTTGATGTAGGCTTGCTCAGTATTGATAGGTTGGGGTGCTCATGGTGAGATAATGTCATGTTGATTATGAATTCAACAATAAAGTCATGTGAATTGGATTTTGTTACCTTTGTATTTCAAGCCTATAGAATGATAGAAGCTGCTTGCTTACAAGAGGTTAAAACTTAACTTGTGGTGGTCTTCTAATAGCTTACAATCATTAGAGCACCCCCTCTGCATCCAAGCAATTATTTGATCTGTAACACCATATTTAAGAAAATCTCATACAATAATTATTGGAGATGGTTCAAGCCTTGGAAAATTCAACTTATTGTGTTGGTGAGTCATAGCCAATGAATTAGGAGGCATTTTCTTAGAAGAAACATTGTAATAGCATTGCAAGGAGCCTTAGTTTCCAATGGCTTGATAACAGCAGCAAACAAACTGGTGGATGAGAATCTTTGTAAGAGCACTTCTCAAAGAATGTGCTAAAAAAATGTGCCCTTAGACATTTTTTAGGTGAAACTTGGGGTTTCTCAGCAAAAAAAGTAATGGTGTGAAGGCAGTTACTACATTTTCATGTTTCGCAGGTCATTTTATTTTTTGCCTTTACTTTGAGTTCTCATTTAAGCTTGTGTCTGGTGCATTTTCTCTGTGCTCTGATTGGCCTTTGTGATGACTTAGGTTTATCAATACTCAGCAATACAGACTCTGAACCAACAAAGAATAATGGAAGTAGTCCTGGTTACCTAAAAGAGGGTTTGGATTACTCCTTCCATGGGCAAAATTTTAGTATTTAGTTAAAGAGATTTAGGAGATTGTTGCCTAAATGAGGTGTACTCAAGAAGGAATACCTGAATTACTTTGGAAATTTATGAGAAATCTTTACCAGTAAGTCTTACTTCTAGGTGACAATCTAGAACCACTTGAGAAGCAACAAACTTAACCTTACTTTGCAGAGAAATGCATGAGTATGACTTCTAACTTTTCCATATTTTATTGATATTTTCAACAAGCACTCAGGGCATGTCTACCTATCAAGTTTCTGCTGTTCCACTGCAATGTTCCAACCATCAAGTCAACATCATTACTGAGTGTTTTTGATGTGACCATCATACAATAACATTAACAGTGTTACCTTGCATCAACAACAGATACACAAGGCTCCGTCCACTTGTTTTAAAGTTAAACTGTATGCCACATAGCATGTGAACAATTGTGCTGCCAAATGAGGCATCAAGGCCAAAAATAAGCACCATATTTGCATTAAAATTTAAGTCAATTATGCAAAAATTAATACACACAATAGCTGAAAATGTGTTGTAGTTTCTTTTTACAGGCAACTAATCCACCATTACTAAAATTTTTATCAGGGAAGGATTGGCTGAAGTTTACAAATTTTGGGTCTAGGGTGTCTCAAGCCCAAATATTTTACGCACATCAACTACCGTTGAGACAACGGATGAAGATCTACTAGGTTTAACTTTACTACATGCGAAGTAACAAATATTAGTTTTTAAGAGGACATCAATCATAAAAAAGAAACTTTGGTGATGGCTTTTAGGTGCCTAGAAAAAACAAAATGCTACTTTAATAAATAAAATGATTCAATTTTTTATCAAGTTTGTGTGCAAGTGCACATAATTGTCAACTGGATTAAAGTGATTTGATTTAATAGGATTGTTAACATGTGGCTGGACTACAGCAGGATGCATGATGATTCCTCTTTCTCTGTCACTTCACAGGGTTCTTTGCCTTGGCTGCAGTCATGTACCACAACAACAATCTATACAAAAAGAGACACTCCAATTTTAACTTTATATTCAAAACAAATATGCAAAGTCTGATTCTATTTTAATACACCACTCCACACCAAACTTTGGTGGTTACAATTTTGTTGATATTACTCTACAGAATTATGAGCTCAAAACTGATATCACAACACAATTAGTTGCAAAACTTACTTGAAAACACAATACAACACACTGGTACACAGAGCACTTTATTCTAGCACAATGTATTAATAGTTAGGTGTGATAAGGTAAGACTAATGATCATTTTTGTTATGCACTGAAAGAATTTATGTTGAACAGATAGTAATAACTGCCTTCACAACAATTTACATATGAACAGGGCCCAGTTTTTTTAAGTCCAGATAATGCTATCCAGTAAGTAAAAGTTAACAAAACATACTGAGCTATTCAACCAGTAGAGATTTATCAAGTGGATAGCATTGTCCACGCTTTGGACAACTGGGGTAGAAGTCTTAACTTTGGTGGCTATGAGCATCTATGGGTGTCGATGAAATTTATGTAACCTATGCAGGTACAAATTTGCCTCTCTGATAACATGCACCTTCTAGGAGAGTTAGTCTCAAAACTCTTACCGAGTTTGATTTATTCAATTTCAACTAACCTCTTTGAAAGAGGGAAAACTTCCTTGTTCAAGTTTGGAAAAAATCAGTTTTCCATTCACCATTACTTCAAATGAAGCTGCAAAAAACACATTCACAACAAAGGAACCATTAGTAAACAACTTGCACATTGTTGAAAGTTTAAAAATTGTCCCTTATCTAAAAAGAAGGAACAGACAACAGAAGATCTTGTTCACTATACATTTTCATACTATATAAACTTACATGTGCGACCAACTTGGCCGACAACATTTGCTTCAGGGACATTGGCCTTGATCTTATCAGCCAGTTCCCTGTAGCGTGGGGCGTACCCTCAGGCACCGCTGAATGATAAGGAAAACAAAATAAACAATTTGTTCATATGACACAGAATGAGTGAAATTAAGGGTGTGTTGACTACTCATCGACATCTTTAAATCCTAACAAACTTTTCTAATTATTTCAAAGCCATGTAGTATTTATCAAGACTAGAATATCTACCTAACTAAATGCATTGCTGTTGTTTTTCACTGACACAGTCACTATCATATAATCCCATAGCATGTTGCAAAATTTATCAAAATAAAAAAATGGATACTAATCAAACAATAATACTATAGAGCAGCTTTTGTCTCTTTTAAAGGAAAATCTTGACCCCCTTTGCAAAAACCCTCCGTCCTTAAAAGGGATGGGGAGTGTAGAATAAAATTAAAATGTAAAAAACAGATCGTGTCATGACACAGAAAAACAAGTGACGACTTGTTTTGCCATCACTTACAATAATCATCACCAAGACATACAATTTCCTACGCCAGAGATACAATATATAGTCCTCTATTTCTTCGTATGTTTTTCACTTTATTTCTAAATGCCCGTAGCGTTTAAACTGATTGAATTGCAGATTAAATGATATTGCACTTTCGGGGTGATTCAAATCTGTTTCCAATGTATCGAGCCAGAATATTCAAAATTTGGCCAGCTATTTTTGGGTAATGAGAGAACGGATTAAGCTCTGAACTAGCAAATTGAACTTCAGGCCAAAAAAAGACTTTATGACTCTATATTAAAGTTAATATATGCTTTGTGTAGATAAGAGTTAAAAATGAAGAGTAATGAACTCGTGAAGATTTGGGTTCGATGAATGCTCGTTTCGGTGCAAGCCGTTGCAAACGACTGGTTTTACAAATCTACCCCCACCAGAAATTATAGATTTCTACAACGTTTCATTTGAAACAACAAGGAAACGCATTCAAGCAATTTCAATTCTTTGCCTCGTCAACAATTTGGGTTTCCTGACGTCCACTGCGGCACTGCCATGAAAGCAAGCAAATCATCTCTTGGCCATAACCATTCCAGAGCGGGGGTGGATGCTGAGTTTATTTGGTTGAATTAAGCAAGAACATTCCAGCTTCTACACAAAAGTTTAAAGCTCAAAAAAATTAAGCTGATATTTGAAATGCTAATTTACGTTTGTCATTGAACCAATGCTGGCCAATGGAGTACAAAAGCTTGGCTAGCAATTTTCCAATTGCTCTTATCTTTTTAACTTCTTTGTAGAAAAAATGAGATGGAAGAGGGCTTAAACGACAATAAATTCACGTAAACTTACCAATATTCTACGGAAACTTCGACTTTCGAGGCCATTCTGACGAGATTTCTTCCTAAAACCAAAGCAAAAGATATCTGCCCCCTCGATGTGCCTCCTCCAAATCTGACTTTTTATTAATCGTGACCAGACTCGCTCCCTCCTCGTCCCAACCCCTGCGGATCCCTGCGAAGTACACAATAGCCGCGAGCCGTTAATGAGAGGACCAGCGGTTAATGTAGTAGTTCATGCTTAGTGAACGGAAGTATCATTCAGGCAAAGCGTGGACGGCATGTCGCTCATATTTCGCAGTCCCATCAATGCTGAATTCAAGCAACGGCAAAGTCAGCTGTTTTGCGAGCAAGTTGAATCTGACTTTTGCTATGGGAACTATAGAGAACTGAAATTTTATCTACATAAGTATTGCAAAGCGAGCGATCGAATTTTAGCAACTGGCTGCAAATCGACAAGTAATGGAGAAACTCTCTTTATCGAAGATTTGTACGATGCAGGCTTCCATGCTGTCGTTGGGGTGGACAGCTCTGAAAAGAACATTTCTACTGCAAAAGAAAGGAACAAAGAGAACAGACCTGAAATTCAATTCGTTGTGGCGAAGGGCTTTAAAGTAAAAGAGCTGTCTATTTATATACGATCCACACGTAACTTCTCTATACTACTTCGATACATTATTCAGAAACCAAGCCATTAAAATATACAAATCTATCTGCTTTGAAAGCAAATAGTTGTGACCTCACAAGTTATGTACAGCAAACAGAAGAGAGAATAAGTAATTGTGAAATTTATCCATAGACATTTAACTCACATCCCCAGTCAGCGTCCATTATCCTTGGGTAAAGCATAGGTCAGGTTAGAGGTAAAATAATAAAATTATTTTACATATGTAATTTTTGAAATCATAAACATTGTATTTCTAAGGAAAATCATTTTAAAAGTGCCTCTAGATTCTATTTTGTTGGAGCTGATGACTCAAATTTTCACTGACCAATTTTCTTTAAAAGTTTTAATTAAAGTTTTTTTCTGTAACTTTGCCTGTAATGCCACTGGAAAGTATCTATTAGAGCTTATATGTTTTTGCTTTTTTCAGATTGATGATGAAGCTGATAGTTTCAATGTACTGATAGACAAGGGAGAACTGGACATGATACGTAAAGAACAATCTTCTTTTGAGTTATATGATTTTGCACAACATTTTGAAGAAGTACAACGCCTTTTGAAAGTTGGTGGCCGATATATTTGTTTTTCATTGGCAACAACAGATGTTTTGGATAAACTTCTGGTCTATTTTTCATCTGGATGGTTCTTTAGGGTGCACATGCTGAACACAGAATTATTAGATGGAAAATTGGTTTCATTTCCCTTGTTTTGTTTTATCTTGACAAAGACGAAATCTGCAGGTGATTATTATAAACCATACTTGTCTGGTGTGCAGGCTGAGACAATCCCTTCCAAGGAAGATAAAGTGGGTGTAATATTCTTTGGGTAGTGACACTTTAGCTAGAAGGATATGAGCTTGAGATTTCTACTGTGATATTTAATGAGGACAAAGCCCAAATTAACTGTCACACAGAAATTGAGAGTATATGTTTGAAGACTATTTTTATTTGTCCTGCATTCCAGTAGGATAACAATGTTATGAAAAAAGTGGACTAGTCTAGAATGATAACTTTAGTCAGCTTATTAACACATTGCAAATTTGACATGCCTATGGAATACTTAATCATAAAACAACAAGGAACCTCTGGCATCGGTCATGTACTTTGGCTGGAAGATAGTTAGTGGTATAGTTAATAGAATAGTTTTCAGAATGGCTGTGCCAATTGGTGCAAATGTAAGATGCAGATTGTCTTATGCAATCTATAGGTTTGCTTTTATTTGCTGCTTTTTTTTTTTTTTTTTTTTTAAGTCTATACATGATTTATATACATCTAGGTTTATCAAGTCAGCCATTAAAAATCATTGAAGTATGCCTTGAGGGAACAGAAAGCATCCAGAGATTGAATTGTTTTTCGGAAGTCAAGACTAATCTTCAAGAAATCCAGCAATATTTCATGACAAGGAAATCTCTTGGTATGATTGTAAGACAGTGCTTTGTTGAACTATTTCTCTCAGCTTCATTGCTGTGGTTTTTCTCCAGTGCAATCTTTAATCTTGAGTGAAGACTCTTTTCTCAAACAAAGGCTTGTTATCAAATGCAAGATTTATGAAGATCTTAAAATTTAAATTTTGATTCATTGTGAATGGTGCAACAGTTCCAAGAAATTTAAAAATGCAGTTTAGGCCAAGTACAGCTAGAGACAATGCTGGTCAATAGTACTGTTTTTAGATATGATCTTAAAGAAGCCCTTGGTAATGACTGGAAACAAGAATGCAATGAAGTTATAGAAAGTTGAAATGAGCAGAGAAACAGCCCTGTGCATACATTTTAAAACTGTGTACATTTCCCAGCTGTCCCTTACAAAACAACAACATTAAATCACCTTGTCTATCTTAGAATGGTAACCCTAACAGCAAATACATTTTCTGTTTCTATTTGGAAATCAACCCTTTGTTAAAATGTTATACCATAAGAGAGGTCTTGCACCACAATAGACAGTGAACACCTTGAACTTCTTACACAATATTTAGGAGAAATGGAAGTTCATTTTTTTATGTTTGGCAAGGTGTTCCCATTATGATTATGACATCCTATCCTCCGCCTGTTTAAAGTTGTGTTATTTACTTATGTTGTTTTATATTGCACCAACTCCTGCACTGCTCCTCTACCCTATCTACTCTTTGGTAAATATTGGCTTAGTGTGTGTAATGTTCCACTCACCAGGAGTGTTCCCATGCCTTGGGGTAGACACTACCTCAAGAATGCAACTCTCTGCCCCACCAGCATTTCAATCATCTCTCCATGCTCTCACTCAATTTTATTCCTTTACTGCTTTACTTTGTTTCCCTGCAGAAAAGTTGAGACCCAAGCAGCACCTCAATGTAGACTTGTATTTATCATCTGGAGGTAAAAAACAAAGAAGTGAACCTCGTTATTCAATGGCAATTGTAGACATTCAACCTTCATTGGCAAAGAATGGAAAGTTTGCCATATTTATTGTACCACAAGGTAATGTGTTGGACAAGTTTTATGGTAGAAAAGTAGGAAAACTGAAGACTTCTGTCAACAAAGTAAGATTCAAAATGCAGTAGTTGATGCTATTAATCTATTTGTGTGTAAAATTCAGGCCCTGGTTGTTAAAGACTGGATAATGTAACTAGAAGGTGATTTGCTCTCTGGTCAATATTAGATAGCAAACAAACTGAAACATCTCTAAATTCCAATTCTGTCTGTGAACAGTAATATTGTTGAATCTCTAATTTTTATTATTATTATTATTTTAAACATTATTTTTGTCAGTAGCATTAGCATTAGCATTATCTTCATCATTATCATTAGCACTAGCACTATTGTTATCGTTATCGTCATTGTTACCGTCGTCGTTACCGTCATCGTTACTGTTACAATCATCATTGTCATGATCTTGTAATTGTGATCATTATCATTATCAGAGTACACTGCACGTTGTTTTTTTAAATGTTTATTTAGCTCAGTTTGTTTCGTTATAATTGAGAGTTCAAGTTAAGTTTTTTTTTCACAGGAAGGGAAACAGAATGGTTATTTTCGTCGAAAGAAGGACAAACAGAACTTAGCACAAATGCAGGTTTTGAGCGTGTTGTGATTGTGACTCTTGGGAGAGGACACACCTTTACTGACATGGATGCTATTAAGGGTGAATTGTCAACCAAAGTCATGGAACTTGCTCCTCGAAAACTTAGCCGTAATGCACAGGTAAATCGAATTTAATATGAATTTATTTTCTAGGGACAACAATCTGAGACAATTTACTTTGCAGTGTCTCTCAAACCAGACATCTAATAGCTGCTTGAGAAGTGTCCCAATTTTCATACGTGGCGAGATGCAAGGGAAGACGGGGGGGGGGAGGGGTAAACTTTTAATAGACTTGCACGTCATCTCGATGGGTAACAGCAGTACCATCAATTTTTGTTATAGGGATTTGCAATTTAGGAAGGAGAGAATATCTTTCTTTCCCTCTCTAATGCTGTCCCTAAAAAGTCGAAATTCTGCATTTTGCCTCTTTTAATACAGGCTAAGGAGCAGACTCCAGAAGATCTAAAAGGAGGCATTTGTAATGTATGGGTTAAGTTTTAAAATAGTTTTTCTCTTTTCATCTTTAAGGTACCCTTCCTTTCTGTCGGCGAAGATCTTGGAAACCGTGTAGTTTTGTATGAAGGAAATTCACAGTTGAGTGGAGACTATGTTGTGGAAGATGTCGACGGGGATGGAGGACAGAAATTTCGACGACTCATTTTTCTTAGCAACAAGAACGTAGTGCAGTCAGAGGCCCGACTAATAACAGGTGAACTTTTCTTTAAGCAGGTTTTAACTAAGTGGCGAAACACTTAAACCGAAGTAATCACGACAGCCAATGAGAATAAAAGTTTAAACCATCATTGGCTAATTAGAACTTGCCTGTGACAGGCAAACTGCTTGAAGTGCATGAAACACGTGTGACTAAGTCGCGATTGCTTTTAATTTTGTATCTGATCAGTTTAGAGGCTGGTGCGAAGCGAATTAAAGTTAAGCAAAACCAAAGTAATTCCGGATTAATTTTGAATTTCGATTAATAAATTTCGCGAAACTGAAAATGTCCCATTTTTGCAAAATTATTGGGATTGATGAAATTGATGGAATCCATAACGTTGAAAGCCCGTTGAAGTAAAAGCATGGTATGCTTTCGTCTTAAAAATAACGGCACGTCTCTTATTTGGTTCTTTTTCGTTTAAGCAATAGGAAGCAATTGCTTGTCAGATGACTGATGGATAAAGGGGATAAGTTTTTAAAGAAACTGTGGTGCTGCGTCGGTGGGAGAGTATAGCAGGTAATTTAGTGTTTACAACTGAGTCGAAAACGTAAATTGGCCACCGTAAAGAATAAAAAAACTGACATTTCGAGCGTTAGCCCTTCATCAATCGCTCTGACGAAGGGCTAACGCTCGAAACGTCAGCTTTTTTACTCTTTATGGTGGCCAATTTACGTTTTCAACTCAGGTGTTAACACTAAATTACCTGTCAATTGACTGGGCTGCGTGGGTTTAAGAATTTACACAGTCTCTGATGGTTTTTCTAAGATACCGAGTTGTTTTTTGTTGTCGTTGTTGTTTTTTTCTTTTATAACTATTAAATGTTGTGGTGTATTTCTGTAACTTGCAACTTAACTTTGATACATTTAAGTTCTCTGGTGTTTATCTTTAAAATAAATGTTCGGTTTTCAACCAATGAAATCATGTATAGTGCTTCAGTTATACCAAAAGCGACCAAGTCGTGGTTGGTTTTTGTTTCGCACCTGATTGGAGAATGGCACGAGTTTTCTGTACCAATCACAGAGCAAAGTAAAGCAAAACCGATATAATCCCGAGTTCCTTTCAACACTCGTTTGAAAATTGCTTTATCATATGCTGTTGTTATTTATAACTCACTAATATTGTAATAATGATAATTGCACCGTTTATACAGACAGAACAAATGTTAAGAAGGGCAAAGGAAAACAGAAGGCAAAGGTTCATAACAACAGCAGTCCCCGAGTGGATCATGGGTATTTAGCTTGTCAGCATCACAGAGTGATTGTCACCGGCCTGGCCTGGATCGAGGGATTTTGTACCACAGGTAAGCCATCGTGGTCCAGCGTGTAGCATGGCAATTTTTACGGGGTCCATCAACCACGAAATAGTATTCCCGCGAACGGTAAACTATTTTGCGACCGGCTCTGAAATGCTTTAGCAAATCACATTTCAGATTTTGTTCTAAATAGAGAAAAAAAACTGTGAAACAAAAAACGAGGAAAGAAAATTTCTGAATTCGAAGTTTGAGCAATCACAACCTCGTTCCAGGGTTCTCTCTCTGACTCCCTTCTTTCACCTGGGAGGAGGAGAAAAGACCCTGGGAACGATGTTGGGCCAATCAAGTTTGCACATTCAGCGTTATGTTGGCCTTTAATGGATATGGTTTTATGAACAGCAGCAGTGACTTCAAGTTCATGTATCTCTTGAACCAGAGATTTGGCAACAGAGAAGCCAAACAATTTCAGTTCTTCGCCGTGTGGTCCTCTGCATTCAAACATTTTTCATAATTGACTTTCTTTGAGTAATAATGTTAAGTATCGTTGTCTGTATAATATGTCTCTGATTATGTACAATCTTAGACGAAAAGAGGAAAGGCTTGATAGTTGGCCTCGGTGGTGGAGGACTGGCAATGTTTCTGCATCAATACTTCAAGAAGGTGATTTTAAGATATAATATGAAAATTAAAAAACATTGAAAATAAACCCTGACATTTAGGATATTACTAACTTTTAGCCGTTATGTTGTAATTGTTCGTTAATTTCTACTTTTTTTCATTGGATTGGAGCTAAGCGCGAATGTTGAATTACGTGCGGAAGAGGAAAGCAAAGCAAGGCAAACAAATTTACAAAGAAGCTCAAAACACGATGGACATCCCGCATTCACTCTGTGTGGCTTTTTTCGTATGCTGTCCCTCACGCTTGTTCACACTTTTCTCATACTTTGCGTCCGCTCCTCTGACAACAGCTTGTTCTACTTTCGTCGAAAACCGACTTGCAGTAGTTTGTGCTTCCTAGCGGTAGAAAGTGGCCTGTACTCTTTCTTCTTTCAACAAGTAGAATTTATGCCCCATGACTTCTACTAATAATTGCTTTCGACCTCTGTTATCTCCTGATGACTGTGTTTACTCGTTGAATTTAGCTCAATGACGTGCACCCCATACCATGTTTACTACAATTTTCAATATATTGCTGAAATCTTGTTTTATTTATATCGCCCTTGATTGATATTTGTTCTTTGATTCACAGCTTTCTGTAGAGGTCGTAGAACTAGATCCATCCATTTCCGAAATTGCCAATAGTTGGTTTGAGTTCAAAGAAGATGATAGAATGCAAGTCATAATTGAAGACGGATTGAAGTATATTCGATCCAAAGGTTTGTTTTCTGATCTTAAACTTTTTAGAACACCTCCTTACCCAAAAGAGGACCACAGGATGTTTATGCCATCGATGAGGATATAATGAAATTAGAGTATTAAAGTTTGTCTCACGATATAGTGCCCTTCGATGTAGCCTCCTCCAGGCGCGATAAACTGAGAGGCGCTGCAGAAAAAGGGCTGCAGTTTTGTTCGGGTCGTGGCGCTACCCGACCCAAATCTACCCCGTTATTTCATTCGTCCGCTGCCATCGCGCTGTTTACTATGAGTTGCGTTCCGTTTCGTCAACTGAAGGCCTGGAACAAGCTACCTACGATACGAATGGCATTTCGGTTGCCAACTGCTAATCTCTAAGTGATGGAGTCGACCAGTTACACAAAAAGTCATGAACCAACAAGGCTTAGCCTGGAGAAGACAAGCGGAAAGCACTTGACACATCGCGATCCACATCGCAAGTAGCTCCATCGTAAGACGAACGAAATTACTTTCTTACCGTTGAATTTTTCGCGATGACTACGTACGTCTATTACCCACCCTCTCCGGGTGCCCATAAGAAACCGTGAAGTGTCTCTGTTTTTCATTATTGTTTCATATGTTACCATTTGTCAGAGAGCACTCCAAGCTATGATGTGATTATCTTTGACGTGGATTCTAAAGACATGACCGTAGGAATGAGTTGTCCGCCACAGGCCTTCGTGGATAGAGCGTTTCTCAAACAGGTTCACTCCCTGCTATCTCCTTCAGGTCAGTCGCTGGTGTTTGGAGAGAGAGTTGACTAAGGAAGAATGGGCATTTTTAGAGAGCTTTTCTGAAAGGTTCACGGGGAACGACTGCATCTTAAATTACAAGCAAGTGATTTCAACAAATGCATATAACGTAGGTTATGTGCTCCTGATTTTACTTGACTTAAATGGGTAGGGTTTTCGTGCAACTGGGTGCCAGACAATCCAAAGCATCCAGCCTGCACATCGCTTTCAACACGCTGCGGCGGTGGATTTAAATTTATCTCCTTTTAGTGTGAAGTCAACTTCTTTGCCATTCCAACCATATTTTAACTTGTGCATTTCCTTTTTCAATTTATTTTTCGACTGCCCTAGATTTCATGCTTAAGTTTAAGTGCTTATGACAGTTTAAAGACAATAAATGGCTTGAACCCGGGGGTAACATGTGACAGTTAAGTCTGATCGTCCGGGTGAGTGTAGCCCTGAGGACTGTTGTCTGTAGTAGTGACTGCCAGGCGTTTCGACGAGCTAAGCGGAAGTTATCGTCAGAGTCAAGTTAGTAGTTGTTTTCAGTCGAATGTAAAGTCCGGTTCGTGTGAACTGATTGTTAAGTTTAGCCGTGAGGACTCGAGTGGCGCAAACTACGTGAAAGTGTCGTCGGTAAAGTTAGGTCATCGCGTTCGGTTCGTTTGTGATGTTGATTTCGTGAGTAAGTCGTTCGTGTGGATCCGGTAGTAGCTGACACTTTTTCAGGGAAGTCCGTTGTAAGTTAGTGAGCCAGCTTTCTAGAGACAGCCGTTGAAAATAATTAGTGCTGTAGGCCGATGATGCATTGCGCAGTCGATAGTGTGGTTCGTAAGGTGATGATATTCAACAATGTGATTCTTGACATCACATTTTCTTGTCGCTCGCTTGTGGTGAAGATGACTTCCGCTCAGGTTGTCGAAACATCAATCACTACAACAGACAACAGTCCTTCTCAGGACTGCACTCACCCACAGATCAGACTACACTTTCACATAGTTTAAAGAGAACCACAGGTTTATCTTAACGAGGTTTATATTCATTTTCTCTATCTCTGGCCCATATGTGGTCGAATTGTAAGGGATAACCTGCCTCCTAAGGTTTTCTTCTCTTTTCAGGAGTGTTCGTTTTGAACTTGGTTTGCCGCAATACATCCCTGAGAGAGCAAGTTGTCAGCGATCTTCGGGCTGTTTTTCCTGAGCTTTACACCATCGGAATTGAGGGGGAAGTAAACGAGATCGTGATCGCTCTTCCACAGCTTAGATACCAAACGGACTGTGAAGAGAAGAAATCCCTTGACGCTCTTAAAAATATTTTTCACAACTCAGTCATGAAATTACAGGAATTTGCCAAGAGTCAAAGTCATTCTTGGGATTCAACCCTTGATTTGTGTCAACTTGTAAAAGAAGTTCAAATTGTATAGAGGAAAAAAAAAATTTAACGAACAATTGGGTTGTTGCTGCTGTTGCTTCATTGCGACATGAAACTTTACCTTAGATATTCATAGGATTTCTCTCAAGTAGAGAGAATTGCCATGGAAAGCGTTAAGTCAAGTCCCAAAAGCCCCTGAGTTGTTATTTGACACAGAAAATAAATGAACTATAGAGGGAACACAGGCATGTAAAGAACAAAGTCTACAATTTTAATGCGAAACATCCGTTGTTGTTATACATCGCGAAATAAACACAATAATTTACAAAAGAACTCTAAATCTGCATTACACCGAGTGGTCCGATAGGTCCAAGAAAAGGAAAGTCTGAAAATAGAAAAGATAAGGAGCAGTTTAGTGTGAGGCGTTTCAATGTTTGAAGTCTCTTCGAAAGCAAGACAATAACAATGATAGGATTATGCTTTGAACTGCGTTAAATAATACTGAAAGACATGAAGAACGGAATATCTTCTGGAAAGCTAATTAAAATTTCGTTTCCTCTTTCTTCCAGCTGTTGGTTAAAATGTTTGTATATAGCTGGCTTTACAACCGACGAACACTTTGAGTAGTAGTCTATCACAGGCATCGATACCTAGTGAACGTATGCACTTCTTTTAGTGTGTTACAGGCAAAGCTCTACTGCAGATAGAACCAATCTTACTAACCACTAACTACTAACCACAATTCAGCTCTCTTGGTTTGTTTCCATCTTTTCCTCGGCCTGTTCCTGACCTGATAACTCGGATGAATCATCGTCGTCCTCTTCTCCCTCGTTCTCCCCTTCTTCGTCTTCTTGGTCTTGTTGCTTTTCGTACGCCTTCGGTCCCGGTGTGACGATCACTCCTCCCCAACTGGACACCTCAGTCTCCAGAGCTGGGTACAGACAAAGGACGAGAATGAGAAACAAGAATCAAATTGTCCTTTGGAGAACAGTTCTAAAGGTAAATAAGTTCTCGGACATCGTTAGTTAAGATACCACTTGCACTCTTTCCTTGCCCCTCTCCCCCTTCCAATGTTTTCGTTTTCCAGTTTGCACACGGTATTTCAGAAAAACAATGGTAAGAGGGACTGGGAAGGTAGCAAGTTTCCCAGCAAATGCCTTTCAGAGAGAAGGTGTTACAATCGAATCAGGTTCTGTACACCTTCTACCCCACCCTCTACAGCCACGCCCTCCAAAGTGTCTGTCCGCGATTTAATTCTAGTTCTTCGATAAGGACTTGTTTATTCGTGTTTCATTCCCGAATGCCAGAGGAACGGCAGATATTATGTCACAAAATACAGCAAGCTCGACTTCCCTATATTCTGCATCAATGTTCTAGGATTTCTTCATTCAAAAGTCTTCTTGGTAAAAGTTTTTCTTGATAATTTCTTGGCTAAGATCAAATACTTACCAACTTGAGGAATTCCTTCTTGACTCTAAGAAAAAAAAAGAGAAACCGAAATCAACTGTTGAATCATATCATACGTTGACCTACAGCTGAAGAAAAGAGACAAGCGTGTTGGTTATGTGGAACCTTCACTAAAGGCTATCTCTCTACAAAAAGCCCTTTTTTCGTCCCGGTAGACGGTTCAAAAATCCACTATTGTTTTCACCTTTCTACACTTCGTTTTGCCGTCTCTTTCTATGACCATCAATATAAGGTTTCTTTTCATCACGGTCTGCTTTTTGATTGTCACCTGGCTTTATCATGTGACCCGTACGCCCCCCGCGCATGCTGCTACTGAAACACATCTGAATAATTCCGGATGGTGCGTGCAGGGAAGGATAAACACGTGCAGGGAAGGATAAACCTGTGCAGGGAAAGATAAGCACGTGCAGGGAAGGATAAACTCGTGCAGGAAAGGATAAGCCCGTGCAGCCCTTCGATACGTGGGCTGTAAAGAAAAAGAGAGAAAGAAGAAAAGCGGCGGTCGAGCCGGAGGGGAAAATGTTTGGTTCTCACTCATGACGTACAGACCTCGATTAAGACCTCGAGCCAGACTGTTTCCCGTACAGCTTTTCCACTGGGTCAATAAATACATTATATGCTGCATTGAGAATCTGTGTTCAAATAAGTACTTCACCGCTACATATCTGGAACGGCCACCTCTCTACAACGGCCACCTCTCTACAACGGCCACTTTCTTCTCTTCCAAAGGAGGCCGCCGAGAAAAGGGTTCACATGTTCGTCCAACTACTTCTATTACCTCACAATCAGTTATTACAACTGTTACAATCTACTTTACCACTAGTGCATGAAACATTGGTAAATATAGAAGCACAACTCTACTACAATCATGTTGTCTTACCAATCCTAATATTTCGTGGTAAGCCCCATGATTTAAGCATCGCAGAAGGGTTTGAGCACAAGTTGTGATAGCGTCCTGTACAAACAATTGATGAAGAAAAATAAACAGTTAACTGCCACTGGATGTCGTTTCGTACAAAATATAACGTTAGCCACTTTAGTGAACAGTATATAGAAAAGATACGGAACATCGCTCATACCTGTTCCTCGAGGCTAAGAACACTGTGAGCGCGTACATTTCCCGACTAAATGAAGAAAATACAGCAATGTCAAGGTACAATACAAACAAACAAAAACACTTGAACAATCACGAAAAACACCCAGAAAAAAGTTAAGTGAAAGTAAAAGCAATTTATTTCCATTTTTTAAGATTTGTTGTCCAATCTCCCGATCCTGAGGCTTATGACACTTGTACATGAATTTCTCTGGATATATAAGTATTTTAATTATGATCTGATTTTGTAAGCTTATATTGAAAATCAACAATGACTGCAGAACAAACAAATACCTGTAAGTAACTGGTATATAACTAACTCACTAACGAACTAACTAACTAAATAATTAAATAAATAATACGTCAATGAAAATTGAAACATTAAATATCACCGTCACCTCACAAGGATCAATTATTCCTAATGAGCCAGGCAAAAACAATCCTGCTGAGAGGAGCTGGAAAGCACGCCTAAAATGAAAAGAACTCCCTCTAAGTTTTGAGTTCACTTCTACTACATGAAAGCCCATTCCCTACAGACATATCATTTGAATGTGCTAATAAAACGATCCAAATCCCAAATTTTCTGGAATACTGAACAAGCCACCACATATGCTCACAGCTAAATCAGACAAAATTTTAATCTTCCTGATATTTACACAACTTCCCAGTTGCTATGGATAGCTTGTGAGTTGAAATTTGTTTGTCCTTGAGAAAAGCAGGATTTGTGAGAATTACATGTCTCACCTGAAAGCAACATTGACTGGAAGAGGTTGCCGTGATGAATTCATCATAGCTGCACGATGGGCCTAAAAAGAAAAAGAGACACTGTTAAAAATATTTGCTATTGGCAAAGTGCTATAAATTTGTCACATCCTTGCTCTCTCTTGAGATGAAAATCCACTATTTTTAAGAAATAACACTGTACATCACTAGTTACAACTACACTATTAGAATAGCACTTACAAGCAAGTCTATAAGCCATGGTGTGAGACCTTGCAATCCAGTGAATCGTTTTCTAAGATCCTTAAAAAGTCTCACCAAGAGACGTGTACTGAAAGAAACCAACATAATGTTATCATTGCAAAATTTGTCATGTTTCCCATATTTATTAACACACACAATGCTATTAATATGGCTGATCCTTGCACTATGCTACATGCATGTCCAAGTTGCTTTTCACATCTGGAAATTTGTACATTGCAATAATATTTATCTGTCTAGAGAGAGATGTTTTTTGTCAGGTCATGAGCATAAGGAAAATATCTTTCTCTATCCCTTTAACAAGCTCACAAAAGAAAATTTACCATCTTTCTTGTTCCATTGATCTGTTTACATGCACCTTCTCCACTCGTGTATGGTGAATTACAAAGGACCAGTGAGGGCATTCCAATCAGAAACAAACAAAAATTGACCCTTTAACTCCCAAGATCTGATTGCTAATTCTCCCCTCTAGCTGCTACACATTTACTTGTAAATTAGTTACGAGAATTTGGTGTTAGATCAAGATATCAACTCCTACCCCATAAGTTTAAATATTCTCAATACCTGTTTGTTGGATAATGTAAAGATATTATAAGGAGAAGTTTCAAGTTGATCACTTCTGGGAGTTAAAGCATTAGGGCTGCATGAAGATTGATAAAAACTTGTTTTAAGTCAACTTGGTTAAGTCTTACCTTGTGTGGAAAGCATTTTCTTCAAACCAGCGAGCATGTCTTATCGTTGCTAATGCCCCCTCTAGAAGTTTTACATCCACTGTCAAAATAAAACTCATCTAGTGAATGTATGTACATGTAATGCATCTTAACTGACTGTAATACCTGCACACCCATTCTTGGATGAAAGTTTTCCCACTTGAAATTGTATGCCTGGATAGTTTGCATTAGCAGGAATTGTTGAACCATGGAGCAATTTTATATTCTTAGTGTTAAGATTACATATGAAGTCCAGGACTAATGGTATAAATATTAAGAGTGTATAGTATAAAGAAGTTCAACACTGCTCACTTACCATGCATTGTTGGGTCAGCGTCCTGCAGATTCTTAGGAAGGGTTGTTATCAGCACACGGACAAGAGCCCCTTCTGGACTACTGATGTTAAATCCTAAATATTGAGAGATAAATCTACTTAAGGAGCCCTGACATGGATCATACAAGTCTCTGGTGAGTAATTAAAGTCTGCAAGACTGTGATTGAAAAGTGTAGTTGCTTGAGAGCCGCTGATTGACAGGATCAAGACCTTTAAATAAAGGTCTACTATTCAACAAGTACCTAGATTGCTCTGCACATCATTGTAACAACATGCATAATGTGGTTCAAAAGACAAACCCTTACCTCCTTCGTTTGACTGAATTGGATACTCTGGACAAGATAAAATAGAACATGATAAATACCAATAAAAACCATTAAATAAAGACCATATCACAACCTAGACAAAGGTCCATGCACATTGAAATTACAGTATATGGCAGCTGAAGACATTGCAGTGTAAACATTGTTCTACAACAAAAAAATAAAGGGAGCCAATCTTTTTTTTCCTTTTAATCTTTCCCCACTAATTTTGCCATACACATGGCAACAGGTGGTTGAAAAAGAGATGTGAGAAAGCAGTGTCTGCTAAGAGAGTTGAGGAAGAAGGCCAAGGACAAACAGCAGGGGGTTTCTCTAGCCACAGCCCTACATGGCCAGGGGTAAGACAAGACTAATGGCTACTAATTTTGCAATAATACCTGCTGATGAGCCATCCTCTTTCAAGGATTTTTGTACTCTTGTTGCTAAAGCAACAATATCACTTTCTGTGGAAAAAAATGATTCAAGAAATAGGTGAATAGATCAAAATAAATAGGTTTTACAGGGCACATTAGAGGGGTTTTCTGTGGACTACTGCAAAACAAAAACCAAAGAAATCAGTTACTAATCAGACAAAGGATTCCAACATCAATGATTAATGAGATGTCAAGATGAAAAAAAAAGCAGACTGCCTAAAGTATGGGAAAACAAGAGTGACCAAGACACTATAGGTTTTGGCTTTGTATCTGATTGCTTGACAGGGTGGAGTGATTTCTTTTCAAGATTGATCCCGGAGCAAATTTAAGTAAAAGCAAAGCAATCTTGTATTCCTTTTCAAATTGCTGAAGCTACCTTGGTAAAACATCAACTTCTTAAAAGAAATGGCTACAGCCAGGCAGAAAAATTAATCATCAGATAATGAGAGTTTAAGGTTAAAAACACAGCAGACTGGTTCATATACCTATTGGCAACTTTTTGAGAATCACAGCTAAGTCAGCCACAGGATGACCAAGCAACATTGTTCCCTTCTTGTGTGAACCAACTGCACGCACCTCCTCTAAACCCTATAAAACAACATAAACCACAGAGTACTGTAAAGAGGAGTTCCATTGTGGAAATTGCATTTCTTTGTTTATCCATGGATAATTGAAAAATGATTGATGAAACATTTAGAAGGAATGGTGGATCATAATAACAAATATAAAAACGTTAACTTTTCCTGTCTTCCAAGAAATCATCAACAGTATCTCTAGTCTTCTTTACTTTACTTACCAACTTTTAAACTTTTAGTTATCGCCAAGTAAAGCTATATGTACTTTACATTAACCATACTCACCAGCTCAGCTGCATCAGGTGCAACAATCAAATTATCCAACACTGTTGTGATCCTTGTCACAAGGTTTTGAACAGAAGCCTGGATAACAAGAATGGAAACCAACTGATGAAACTCATATTTTCCCAGATACTGCATGGCTGATATCACACATGACAGAAAGATCTGCAATATTTACTTTCCATATATTAAGGTGTATGTTAATGTTTAGAGTTCAACTTAAGCCTTTTATTGTAAAGCTTAATTTCCAGCATAGCTATTAATCCTGAAAGTAAAAAAAATCTGCTAATAAGTGGCAAATTGCTCTCTGACAACTCAAGTTACAAAGCTGCTGGGGATCAACATTACACTGACCCATAACTGAAAATTAAATCATCCTGTATGACACAAGCTGATTGCAGAGTCACAGTCACATTAACTTGCAGGAGGATATAAAACACAGCTGATGCTATTCAGTGCTGACAACAGGTTGGGCAATAACAATTATAATAAAATAAAACCTAATTACTTGTTCTTGTCCACTAGGAGTTAACTCTTGATTTCTTTTTAAAAGGGCCTGTTGGAAAAGACAAACATTAATCAACAAGTTTATCCATTACCAAAAATACTCAGGGAATTAAAAAACATACTGTTGCATATATTTTCCTTTACTTTCATCAGTCTCATAAAATAACAAAAAAGGCCTAAAAGGGCAATATCTGAAGCTCAAATGTCTTTGCTTGTATCATATTACCTCTGACTGTTCTTACTATTGTTTAAGTGCTTTGGGATGTGATGAAATTGAAAACAAAAGGGCCTTATCTACAAAAGTATCAGTTAAGAAGCTCTCACCTGTGTAAAGGCTGTTTCCTCTGGTGCTGGAGAAGCTCTTGGGAAAAAGGTCTCAGCCTAAACATCCCAATAGAGAAGAACAAATGAAAACACAGTAGACATAACTTCAGCATCAATCAGATACTAATTATTAGAGAGTATTCTATTCCAGCTTTAAGTCTTTCATCAATGTTAACAGAGATCAGTACAATAGTTAAGTCACCACACAAACTCCTATAATGGACTACACCAAGAAAAAGGGAGCTACATGCATTCTGCACACATATCCTCTTTAACTATTAGACCCCAAAGGGCATCTAGTTCCACCTATGAATATCACACCTAACTCATTTACTAAGGTCACCAGAGTAAAGGAAATGATCACCAACTAGAGAAGCTTTTGATTGTTAAACAAATTCTCCTGGTCAACATCTTAGGAAATGTAAACAGAAAAGTATAGAGAAGATGCATACTGATGTTAGGATGTAAAGAGTTAAAGAGCGGCAACAATCAAGCCTAGAAAAAAAGCACTTGTACCATCTTTGGACTAGACTGCATGAAGACATGTGATTGCCTTAAAATAAGAGGCTTTTTCATACACTCTCACAACTACCCAATCATGGGGTGAACCACAAGTTTTCATAAAACTATAAAGTATTTAAAACAATTTCCATAGTCTCTCCTCATACTGCTTCTTAATTATGCAGACACTACTTAAATGAAGGCAGACAATAACGAAAACAGCAAATTACCTTGGGGACTAAGGTCTTGTTTAGGAATATTATAGGGCTAAACTGAGACCCTTCAAGCTGTTTCCCCGAGAGCCGTTGTCTTAACTCACCCACATTTTTCCTCTTTTACACTTAAAGAACGCCTGGAACAGTCGATCTACGACAATCTCAACATATACTACGGTATAAAAGCACTATCTACGTACTGCATACCACTCGTTCGACTAAATAAACACTGAATGTTAGTTTTCAAACTCATGTAGTGATTTATCTAATCCTGATCAAGTATTAACTTGATGACACGTGGAGTACTTTACTTTCATTTAAACTTACTTACCATAACAGGATCAAAAGTCGAATGGCTGACAACAAATTTTTGTCCCGGAGGACCACGCATGAAGGGTGGCATTCGACCAGGGCCTCCACGCATTCCCCTAGATCGAGCACGCCTCATTTTTCCTCTACGTCTACAAAGGACAACAACCGACAAATTACATGTATACTAGAGATTCTTTGCAAGTTTGTAGTGCTATAACTCCGACAACGACACGGCGGAAATTAACGATTTACGACGTCTCTTTCGAGATCGATGTGATCCAAGCAATCACATAATTTCAAGAATAACGTAAGTTTTAGGAAATCAAAATCTACATACCCTAAAAACACTAAATAGAGTGTCTTTCATCGACATCAACAACAACAGAGTACTTCCCGGCTGTTTTGAATCACATGGTAGATCATCCGGGTACTTTCTTTGTTTCCGCTGACCGAGGAAATGACATCCTCAAGCGTTCATGGCTAGGCAGAATGGCGGAGTGAAATCTCACATGTCGTCGCTTACCAAGGGCAATCTACCTCTTACTTCTACCAAATATGGCCAAATATTCAACTATGAGGTCTGAGAATCTCTTTTAATTATCCATCGCAAATAGTTTTTATGGTATAGACTAAACAGGAGCCCGAACGAATTAAAGAAAAAAGAAACTCAGTCTTTCTCACCCCGTTAAAATCGGACACTCAGTGTACCAAAGAAGACTCTTAGTGTCTAAACTGGGACACTCGTGTATAAAATCAGACACCAATTTCTAAAATCGAACACGATGCCCAAAATTGGACACGAGTGTCTAAAACGGACACTAAAATTCTAAATCGGACACTAGCTCCTAAAATCGGACACTAAGGTCTCAAAACAGACACTTGAGTCTAAAATCCGACCCTAGAATTTAAAATCAAACACTAATGGTTGAATCCGTCAATAGAATCTTAAATCATACCGTTTATTCTGTTTTGGCCATTGAACGTGGTATATTCAATCTAAAGTGCATCTGTCCTGGATGGCACCAAATGTTTCCATGATTTTGGTCAAGACCGTTATTTTAAGTAGCAACCAAACATCAATTTCTATTGAGGTCATTTCTTAAGTACCGCAAGCCACAGGAACATCGACTTTGATCTAATTGCGCTTTTGCACGTTTACGTAAGACTAGCTACTTTCGCCACCAAGCCTCGCTTTTGAAGTACGTTATAAATTTTATGATAAAGAGTTTCAAGAACAGCAAAGATGAAAAGAATGCCCACCTAAAAACTGAAGGGAGCTGGAAAAGGTGAAACGATCTTAATGAGGCCGTGGCAATCTTTGACACATCGATGCAGGAGGCCTAATGACCGTCGTGAGTTAATTACTAGGTATTATTTAGAGTGAGTTTTCAGTACTTGCAGTGATCCACGGAACTTATCATCGAAGAGGAAGCGACAACAAAAACACACAAACTTCAGTACTAATATTTATTAGTTATTATCTAGGGCTTTTTACATTGACCACTTATCGGTGGATTAAGTGAAAAAAAATACTAAAATGGAAACAAAAGATTAAAAAATGGAACATCAGTAATCGATAAGAGTCAACTATGTATTCAAAGAAACAGAATGATAGCGCCGTTGGTATAACTCAACTTGCCTCTTTAAACGGTCATGATAGTTGACGATAGTTTCAACTACCACTACCATCTACTGTCATGAGCCGTTTGAAAGCAAACATGATAGTTAACGATAGCGAATGAAAGTTGAAACTATTACCAACTATCATGACCGCTGGAGAGAAGTTTTATTTGATATCCTTAACTTTCGCTCCGAAGGAGGGGTTCATTTACAAGGGATTTCATTTGTTAAAACTATTTCTTTAAGCTATGGGCAAATAAATGTCCACATCATAGTCTGACGATCGAAATCAATTAGCAAGGTAATTTATGTTTCTCGTCAGTCTCGAGTCTAGATCCCGCCACAGCAGAGGACGCACGATATTTGTACAAGAAACCACCCGACACATTGCAGAAGTGGCATCTCTAGGGCTTCTTTTTCCTGTGGAATCAAAGAGAGAACAGGTAAGTTCTCGGAACCAGGAACCGCGTATTACTGTATCGGGTTAGCAGTTTCACTGGATGAACTCTACTGGCGTGATTTCTTATGTTTCCCTTTCCATAAAACAGGCATGCATTTAATAGAAAGAGCTTACTGGTCATAACGTGGGAAGTATGTTAAACAAATTTTACCAGGCTTGTCATAGGCAATAATTATCAACATTCCCTGACTCTTACAGACGTGTTTCCTACTCGCTAACATTGTACCACATATTACAATACAAAACTGAACGATCACAGCAAATGAGTGAAGATCATTTTAATTTAATCCGACTCAAAACATTCTTTTCCTGACTTAAAATAGGTTTCCTTCCTTTTCTAACCAGTGTCGACCAAGGAAATGTCAACCTGAGGATGTCATATTTCTCGAGGGTAAAAAATTTTGGTTATTTTATTTATTTTCTTAATGCGATCAAGGCGCGAGGTGCTAAAAGCACAGATTCTCGTAAAAGGAATGCACGAAACTCTCAATAAAGGCCACAGCTGTTCGGTATTATCAACATACATTTAAAGACAGGGCTGTTTGGAGTATTATAAAACAACGGCTAAAGAGAAGGAGACGTTACTTGTCTATTCATGTGACAAACGACTCGCTTTATTTTTGGACTTACTTAGCTGCAGTGTGACAATAACTGGGTCCAGTCCCAGGTCTGCCTTCGATTGCCGTTGAACACTGAAATAAAAAAAGCAAAGTTTGTTGAGTATCCTTGCGTTTAGAATGACTTTAAACGAGGGAGAAATGAAGACCCATCAATTGGTCTCCTACCCTTGTTTCCACATCAGTCCAGCTGGAATGGCTCTCATCATCGATCGAGTCAGACGCGTGTCGTTTTCTGTTCACAAAAAATATGTAAATTAAGGTAAATTATCCAAGAAATATAAGACAGAATCATGTATCACTCCACTGCCAAGCCTTGGGTCAAAGTATTCCGGACTCAGGTAGGATATTGAGAGAAGTATTGTGACTACTCCTCTGGTTGTGACACTAATCCATCGTTAGTTACCCTCACGAATTTCGTCTTCAAGATTCCGCGTCCGTGATCTTTCACAGGTAGTCAATGTGAGAGTCAGAAACAATATCAAGCGACAAAGTAATCCATTGCAGTTCCACCCTGCCAATTCTACATCCGTCTCATTTATTTGTATAAAGGGTCCCTTGATTTAAAAAAGTTTCGGCAGAGTCCTCGTCTTTATCAACAAAACACAGCTTGTTGCACTTACCGTCCCGGACTAGTTAGCTCGTCAGATCTTGTTTTCAAAGTTTCCACCTCTGTAAACTGGATGCAGTGACCTCCTCCCACAGTCTTGTACACGTCTCCCTGCAGTTTAGTTACACTCGTGTAAGGAGCTCGTCGTACTTGACAAGCAATTAATTGAAGGAGATAAATATCAACATTGCTATAATCTCAATTTATGATATGCAAACCTTAATAAACTAATAGACTTGTACTCGTATTTTCCCGCACTTAGGGCGATAACACTGGTTTTGTTTTAGTTCTAATTGGCTTCCTGTGACATATACTTTTGTTCTGACTGCAGTTGTGATTAGTTTAGTCTGATGTTACGAATTTCAATTAATAGGCGTTCTACCAGCATTCACGTCTGCTTTCCATATGATCGCTCGCATCCTACCGATCGCCCTGGTTTCCTATATGACTCGGAAGACCACGGAAAATGTATGAAACCAGCATGAGAAAAAAATAAGGTCTTTCCAGGGAATGGTGGTTGCACCAATCCTCCGTATCGTTGGTGGTCATTGGCCTGATTTCGACACACAAACTTTCTGATTTCCTGAGCATAACTTGGAATAACCGGGGCGATCCAGACGAACATATGGCAACAAGGGTTTACGATTACAGTACATGTAAGTGAAGTGACCCCTTCCTTTGTTTCAATCAAAAAAGGTTACTTGATCTATTCTAAGGAATGAAAACGGTAACACATGAAAAAATTCGAAAAATTAAGCAAGTGGTTCAAATGAAGTCTTCCATAGAAAAGTTTTAACTCACTTTGATCAACTTAGTCTCAATTTCACCAGCAGAATCTTCCTCTTGGTGGGCTAAAACATAGTTTGTGGCCTACACAAATAAGGAACACATCCAAATACCTTATCATGTAACAATAAAAACTAGAGGTGCAAGAAGATTTCAGAGTACATAGCAATTTAACATTGGATGGAAAAGCTCTTATCGGAGATAATCACGTCATACTTAAATTTCGGAAAAAAGGCATCCAGAAAACTAATTAGAAAAGGCTTTCCAGAGGAAATTGAGACAAAAAAGACAAATTGCTTCGTGTACATGAACTGAAAACTTTCTAAAGAGGCGGTTGTATGCCTTGTGAATGAAGAGACACTAAGGATACCGTACGTACATTAGTGTCTTTGAAGTCCTTCTCACCAGGCCTGGCAACGGTTTTCTTGTTCTTTATCGACGGTTTCATTACTGTGCCTGCCACGTGAAAGAAATTTTGTTAACAGACAAGGGTTGTAGTCTAAAACAGAGACGTGCTGTTCGTTAACATTGTAACTGGCGACATTGAATATATTTTTGGTGAGACCAAACAGAGAACCAGGATGTTGTATTATGTTACCCGTTTAGTATTGCACATCCTGGTGTTCCATACCATAACTATACATTTTCGCATTCACGCATACTACTAGTACCTGTTTCTAGGTGAGTCAAGGGTTTGTGCTCTATCCAACAATCCGAAGACTTGGATCGTCTGTGACGAGATTTGATCGGAGGCTGAAACACGAAGAAGAGAAATTTTTATCAATGATGACACAAACCGCGCAAATCTGGATGTATTTTTCGTAACTAATATCGAGTTACCTTTCTGGAAACAGGCGGTGGAGACTTCGATCTAGGCATGGAGGCGGCTTTAAGTTGAGCACGAGTAACAGGACCCGAGTCATTCGTCTTCATATTCTGAAGAGGAAAAAAATGAGATTTATACTTAATCCTCTCCATGTAAATTTTAATCCTGCGTGAATTTCTCTTTTTTCAAACAACAAAGTAACAGATGAAATAATAATAATAATAATAATAATAATTGCCAAGGACCGATATAGCTGATAGTGACGAGATAAAGAACACGGTGAAGCACAGACAGGTTGTACAAAGCAACGTACCTGCACAATTTCCTTGAGTTGTCTTAGTTTTTCCTCTTTCTGCCACATTTTGGCCTGCATCTCCATTTCCTTGTCCTTGACGCGTTTCGACTAAAAAAAGAGCCAGAAATCACACAAACGTAGGAACGACTGAAAAATTTCCTTAAAATTACTCAAACGAGAACGAAAATTTATTTCTTTTCTTAAGGCACAAGTGAAGTTCGATCGACTATCACTTTCCCTTAATCCCATAATTCTAAAACTAACAAAAATAAACATGAATTGAATAGTATTTAAAAGCACCAAGAAATTTGACTTACACACTCCCGTTCCCATTTTCCCTTTTCTTGTGACACAACTCCTTTCAAGGCCTAAGCAAAACCAAAGGAAAAAAGAGACAAAAAATATATATACATATTTATCGCTATGTTATTCATACACGTATATAACGATTGCATTTTTATCGCCAAAATTCAATAACTCTTTCATAAGGTTTACAACAAAGTAGAGCAAAGTGCATGGCTGATAGGAAGCAATTATTTTGCCTGTCTCCTCAGCATGTTGAGAAACTGCAATTACTGTCTGAATGGGCCACCCTGTGCGCTGACCTACCGATACAACCGATCACTGGCCAAAAGTAACTCTTGCATATTATGTCCCATCCATCAATCGGTGAGTCTTGCAAACGAACAACTCAAAGTTCAATTTTATTATTCCAATCTTTCAAGTTGAAAGCATCAGATGTTACTTGTCAACTGACAATTCTTACCTGGCGCATTTTAAGTTTGTCGGTCTTCTCTTTGTCTGCTCTTTTCTTCTGATCATCCAGCTAAGAAAGATGTTCACGTTATCGTCAATACACACCAACAAAACTGTCGTTAGATGTTCACTGACGAACTTATGTCTACGTCTCCGGTATGCGCAGTCCCTTGCCGTAGTTTTCCCTGTCTTATTTATGCTAATTACCGGAGCAAATCTCGCAAAGCTGAAAAATGTTTTCCATACTTTCATCTGTTTAAGATGAACAAAACTACTGCGTCAGATTTCCTCTAAGGATTTCTTAAACCTCAACTTCAAGAAAGTGTGGCTTCCAAAGAGGATTCAGGATCTGATATAGATATTATGGAGTACCTTCCATTTTTCCAGGTTTGAAGAAAAAAACCGGAAGAACTGATACTGGCCGGTGCAAATGGAGCACAAAAACTCCACCCTAAGCAGCCAAGCGGGTTCGAGTTGCGCTTCCTCAAAAAGTATTGGGAAATACTTTGCACTTATGTTTCCAATGATGAGCGAGGGTTTCAGTCAGGCGAAACAAAAACACGAAAGCCTGATCGCAGGCTTAACAGACGGCGGTTGTGGACCACCGGTAAACAGCTTTTCTGGAAACCTCTGAATTGGCTCTAAAATTCTCTCATATTATGCGGATAATTCCGGTACCGAGAAGTCTTAAAACTGATTGGCTCAAAAGACAGAAAAAAGACCAGAACCAGCTCCGTCAGTCCTCAGTGTTTACTTCTTTTCCACTGACTGATAGGAAAATGGAAAGGGCCAGTTTTGACGTTCGTCATGTGGTTCTCGCAATAAAATATAAAATTACGTACCTCATATCGTAGTTCTTTCTTGTCTTGTTCGTACATCTCTGCCGTCTTCTGAAGCATCTCGTTCTTAAAGAGAGAATTATTCAGAAAGATCGTCATTTTCTTGCTTCCTCTAATGACACACTGATCGTTACCGGTCACATGATAAAAACACCAATAATAAAATAATAATAATAATAGAAGAAAAAACGGAGAAGAAGAACAACAAAAGTTATTGTACCTTTTGTGTTAGCGCCTTCAGCCTTCTTTCAAGTTTCTGAATATCTCTGGAAAGAGGGTCACCGCGTTATTTTCTAAACATTTTATTTATATTTTCAAGTTCACTTTACAGGTGAAGGACATGGAAAATACTTCTATAAAGGAAATGATATAGTTTGAAATGAAGATTAGCAAATCATACCTGTCTTTCTCCTCAATTGTTGCTTTAAGGCTTGCTACAATCTAACAAATACCCAGAAAAATATTGCAATTAGAGATATTTGATACTCAAGACAAAACAAGACATTTGAAACAATGAAAATGACTCTGACAGCACCTGGCTGTTCTAACTTACTCCATTTGCTTGACTGTTTTCTTTTTCCAATGCCAATAGATGAGCCCTGAAAACTCCCTCTGTGACATAAAATTAAGGTAACAGTAAGGTCCTAGAACATTATTGTACAATAAAAAAAATTCCTCATATCTTTAATTTTCTTTTTAATTTATGGTGATGTTTTCCTCACGGATTTAAGTGGGAAATACCAAAAAACCAAAACAATCTAGCCATACCTGACTTAACTTGGAAATTGTTCACTAAAATTGAAACACGGGCTCAAGAGGTATGAAAAGACTCAAAAGCCAAAACTGGTGGATTGTTAATTTAAATAGAAATACTAGTATCTCAATTTCCAGTGTTTGAGTCAACATTTGCATCACATGCAACAAATTCTATAGACAATACCTTTTCTTGACAAATCATCAATAAGGGTTTGTCGCCGTCTTTGTCTATCTTGAAGGTAGTGCATCAAATTTACCAGTGTTGTGCTATCTTCTGGAGAATTCAACTAATAAAAAAAACACAACAACAACAACAACAACAGCTAAAGAAACCAAATGGAAAATCACATCTTCATCATTGTACATGGAGCCTCATCATAAATTCACTTCACTACTTACAATACCTGCATTTAAAAACAGTCCAAAACAGTACAACTTACCTCAAATAGAGGGAATGGTGGTCCCATGGTATGAACTGGCTTGGCTACAATCACAGTTTCACCGTCACCTGTAAATTTAATATACCAGTCCACAGATGACTTTGCATGATTCTTCGATGAAAAGGTAGATAAATATACAGATAAGTTGAAGTCAGCTTTGTCTCCTATCAAGAATTACTTCCTTTATTTCTGCTTCAATAGAAAAAATGTTTTAAAATTAGACAAAGTATTTAGGTGTACATACCATTACTTTCTTCAACCTTTGCTAGAACTTCCTTGTACATTTGATTTGCTAAAAGATTAGAAGAGGAAAAATCAGCAGGGAAACATCCCTGATACAAATCAATAAATATTTTTTAAAAAGCATTGAAAGGCAAATGAGAAGGAAGGAAGGATCAATGATACATGTACATGTACATGTACATAGATTGTGTAAAATTGTCAACTGAAACATACCTCTTCTTCTTCCTGGAGTTAGTCCAGTGTCAAATCTAAACAAGCAAGAAATAGAACAGTACAATGGAAGTTCTTGTAATTGTTGTGAACACAGATAAACAAATAATTTAGCCTGTGGATACAACATTCAAGGTTCAGTTGAATGCTGAGCCACTCTGTCTCTTGCTAAACCAAACTAAAGAATAAGGTAAAGGTTAAAAAAGAGTGGAGTTTGAATTAGTTTGGCCTACTCCATACCTTTTGCAAGTCAAAGTGAAAGTTCAAAATGAGATCTTTGAGCAATCACTCTAATTGTTTTAGTTTTAATCTATAGGTACACTTGCTATTTGAGACTTTTCTTGCTTCAATAGTCAAATTTTAATTTAAAACAGGTTCGTCATTTGAGAAGCACAGTATTTGAACTACAGCAATTTTACCTGACTGACTCTGGTCTGGCTATAACAACATCTTGTGTAACTTCTGCAAATTTCATGACATGCTGAAGTGATACAAAAAGACACTCCATTAAAAGAGATAAGTAAATTTAATCTGTTCCAAAGTCCAAAACATAAAACTGTGACTGTACAAGCTGTACAAAAATTGTTTTTGGGCCTCTTACCACACTCTCATCATAATCATCAGCATTGGGGTTTAAACAGACCACCATGCGCACCTGGAGAGAAGCAAACATCATCAATCCAAAAAGATAGTAAATTGGAGATCAATATTCACAAAGATGTAATTATAAAACAAGGTCTTCAAGATTGGTTTAACAGGATAAATATGTGAAGGATATTTTGTTTTTGTCAAACTCCTCCATTAACAAATTGTGTGCTTCTAGAATGGTTATTTCTGGCAGCAGATCACATCACATTTACTGCCAGAAAAATTAAGGTGGAAACTGCTGAATAGCAAAGGAATCTTGACATAGTAATTTCCATGATGGTGAGATCTGCAGATACCAATTTGTTCAGTTTTTAATTGTTAGATTTACCTATTTTATTTCAGTTGTTTAAAGCCCATTAGATTATATCCATATGTATATTGCACTATATAATTATTAAATTATTATCATAAATAAATTATTAAAGGAATGTTGGTTTCTCCTTATGACAAACTTTCCCTTGAGAAGCAATAGGTATGGCTTTTTTCTTACCTTTCCTTCTCCGTCAAAGAAATTCTTAAACAGATGAGTCAACTTTGTGTCTCTATAGGGGACAATCTGAAGAAATCAAAAAATTTGTAACAAATAATCAGTGCACACAGCACCAAGGAGTGTGTACCCTCTAAAGTGTACATATAACTCATTTACCAGTATTGTAAATATTATGAAAGCAAACTACCTTTGGAGAAACACCATTCTCAGCATTTGCTTGGTTCTCTCTTAGAACCTCCATACAAGTTCTTAATGTCATCAGGGATGCATTGATGTTACCTAATGAGAGTGAGCGAGAGATTCATCCTTAGATAAATTCACACAATTATGATTGTTCACCTTCGTCTTGCAAAACTTAAAAAGGAATGGTATGGTAGCAACATGACAAGATTAAGAGAGGTTTTTATGTTTCCTTTTGCCCTGCTGTTACCGTTTGCTAGGGTAACAAATGTGATTTGTGGAAAGTTCTTCACCCTTTTGACATACTTGACAAAGAACTGATTCATTATATACTAAAAGGTGAAATCAAGTGGGAGACAATATAATATACAAAAATGTGTGTTAGTTATTTCACATAGACTTTAAGTGTGGCAACTCTAGGGACTTTGCCAGTACCTTGACCAGATTTTAATATTATGAGCTAGCAACCCTGGTACACACATAAAAAAAACTAAAGTATTCCTGAGAATTCCCTGAAAAACTCTATAAAAACTCAAACTGAGAGGTTGTGGCAAACAGGAAAATATTTGGCTCAAGTTGATGAAATACTCAGAGTTGTCATAAAGATTTGGGTTAATGGACTGCAATAAAAAGTACATGAATGTATCCCATATCTTGAGCCAGCTGTGAAAAAGTTTACAACCCTGTATCAAGGTGGAATTTACCTGCTTCTCGCAGTCTGTCTCCACCAGCTCTGGTCCTATTTGTCCTCTCAGACCCTGCTAGATCACACAGTGATAATGTGGCTACAGCAATCTGATTTTTGTCCTGCTCAGGAGATATGTTTAAAACATGGTCAACCATTTGAATGCTTAAGAATGTTCTTCACTGTTTTTCTGTAGGAATCTAGGTGAAGTGAATTTAAAAATCAACTAAACCAATATTTTACCTGCAAGACCTCTTCACCGTCAGGATCTAATGGTGCTTGTACAAGTTTGATGGCAAACACACTGTGGCTCCTACTGGACTCACGATTCAGTACTGTGTTGGCGACACGCCTTTTCTTTTGGCCTAGGAGGTTCCATAGAAAGTAAATTTTTAATAATTTTACATGCAAGACAGATGTAGATATGCACTTGTATACAAGTTTACAGTCACAAAAATGGAAGCTTACTACCTCTGAAATACAGAATTGTTTTAATTGAAATTAATAGAAAATCTTTCCCTGAGATGTCTCTAAAAGTACTGGTTACTCACCTTTCCAGAATATGCTGTAAGCCTCTTCTGTGCTTTTGACTTCAATTTCTGTGACACCACTGACATACATGTTACGATTCATGTCTTCTCTAAGATTTTTTGAAACTGGTGGTCTGTAAAATCAAAGGGCACAATTAATCAATACTTAAATGCTATGTTATGTTATGATATATAGGTTACAACCTAACACAGTAATATTGTGTGTAAATTGTTTGTGCAAGCAGGATAACAAATCTTTAAAACACTAGGAATGAAAGGCAACCACAACAAAACAATGGTTGTATATGCACAAGATGGCAATGCATAAATCCTAGCTGTTTCAATACCAGTGTGTGAGGTCAACTTACTTTGGACAAATGGGATCCACAGGAGTCTCATCAAGCAGATCATAAATGTAGTTGTTGTATATTTCAAAGTATGACACAAACACTGCATAGCTGTTATCCTCATCCACCTGCAAATAAGTTGTAATATATAATCTTTGAAGCAGGTTGTAAATGTCTGTATAGTCTATACCACTTAGATTGCACTTCTTTAAACTTAAGATGGAACATTGACTGACGTAGTGCTAACCCCCGAAACATCAGCCATAAAATTCCTTATGGTGGCCAATTTATGTTATCAACTCAGTTGATTATGCTTAATTACCCTGTTATACTCTCCTATTGATGCAGTACCACAGTTTCTTCAGAAACTTGCCCCCTTTATTCATGGACCAGGTTAGTTGCTTACAAGAACTATATATAAACTGACTGTTACTATAACTGCTACTTTAAACCTGAATTAGCTCAATTGGTGCTATCAACAACTTGACCCATGGACTTGATTCCTTGGACATGAGATAAGTATCAACCATAATAGTAACTGGCACTATTACACTTATTGCACTCCTTGCTCACATGCACTTTAAGAGGAAAGTAAGAAAAAAAATAATTGTCATTATTGTGCTGTGTTAAAACTGAAATAAATAAATCTCACTCACTCCAGAAATGACTCCTGTCTCAGCTACTCTTATGAGATCAGCAAAGTCATTATCAGCATTCCTGGATAAATATCATTAAAAATCACAGAAAAAAAAGAAAATTAATGTACATGTACAAGAAGGGAGTACCAATAAGTAAAGTAAAATTATGTCAGCTGCTGACTTGTATTATCTTAAAGCTGCTGTATCTTTTTAAGATCAGGAATTCTGATTCATACTGCTTTCTTCTAAGAAAGAAATTTATCAAAGGTTTGCTATTCAATGTGTAGATTTTTTTTTAGGTCTTCCTTCCAGTTTTAGAATAAGTTGTATATAAACTGAACTAGATAGAAACAAAAAGAGTCTGTGTGGCTTAAACAATCGAATCATTGTGGCCCTATTCCTAACAAGAGTTGAACCCTTGATCCTCTGATGACTGCCTACTTTTTTTACCCTACCACTGTACTATAGGAGACTCAGTCACTCTGGTTAAAATAGTCAAAGTTTAATCCAAATGGGCTCTCATCATAAGGTTTGTGCATGCAATTGAGAAGTTATTGGCATCAGACCAAACTGATATGTACTCATATTAATCAATCCAAAAGAATGCTGTTCCCTCTACCTGTTTCTACCTCCTTGAGTCGCCTGGAGAGCAGCTTCTTTTACGCGTTTTTCTTTTTCAAATTTTGCCTCAAGTTCTGTTTGTATTTCAATGCCATTGGATTTGTCTGGTTTAAAGACCTAAAAGGAGAAGAATACCCAGCGAAAGTTATATTTTGGTGACTGTTATTGAAATGTTATCTCTACCTGATGTAAATGCAGCAGAAGAGAAAATAACCAGTGTCACCTGAAAAAATAATTTAGTCACTATCATCATAATTGTATCTAAATGTACATGTAGTAGATAAAAAGCAACAGAGTTCCTGGTTACATAAATATATTTTTAACATGGTCATAGACCATACTATTCACAGTTTAAAAAAATCAGCTAAAATATTTTCAAATCATACAATCATATAAATACAGTAACATCTTCTGATTGATTTTAAATTGTACATAAAATTAAAGCAAAAGGATATACTGCTCTACTGGTAAACTTACAGCAAATGGAAATGAAACACGCTAAATTAGTGTTACTGTAAGACAATAAAACAAGTACATGTAAACTAGAATACTGTTTCTAAATCAATTAGGCAACTTACAATAAATATATCCTACTTGTCATGGAAAACCACTTATAACTTACATATTTAGGAGCCTGCAATTCTCCAATAGAGTTAAAGATGACATCTAAACACCTTGGAAGCAAGCCACTGTCACTGGGCATTCCGGTCATGGTGTGTGTCTTACCAGACCCAGTGATACCATAAGCAAATATCAAACCTGTGATTAGAAGGAAGCACAAAGACAGTGCCATCAGGAACTGGTAACTGCAAGAGTTTCAACAGGTCTCTTAAACCAAGTCAACTGAGTAATTAAAATTATTCAAACTTCCTCTCTTTCTTTGTTTCAAGCCTCTTGAAACTTGACTTGAACATCTCAAAACGTGATTCAATCCTCAAAGTTTTTGAAAAACTGAGGATCAAAAAAAGTGAGGATCAAGTCTTGAGGGACTTGCTTTTGAGGGGTACTGTAAGCCATGTGTTAAGCTTCCAAAAGGTGTTTTAATATCACCATAATCACTCACAGTGAGGTATATAAACATGTCTCTATTTGGACACAGAGAAACATGCAACAACTCGAACTGAGGGGTATAACATATTACACATTTCCTTTGAGATTTTGGTCATTTTCTGCAATCACTTAAGACTGACTCAATTTTGGCATACAGCCTCAACTTGGATGATGAAACATTGTTCTGAATTTTCCCACCAGCTAAATCTATGATTCCCATTCATGTATTTCAGAGTTTTTAAAAATGCTAAATAAAACTCTAGCTGGTTGATTTTGTTGTCCAGAATATACAGAGGTTTCTCAATCTAAGAAAATTAGTAGCAGTGAAAGTCAACTCGTTTGCCTTTGAATGCACACAAAGTGTAAATCTAATACTTACCATTTTTACCATGAATCAAATCATCAACCAAGGGCATGGCCACATTATCATAAAGCACCTTCTGGGATGTCTTCTCATCATAAATCTTTTTGAATGTATGTTGTGTCTGGGTTTAGAATGATAATAAACACTTTCATATGAACTCTGTTAAGAGATTGTGAGACATCTTAGCTAAGTTACTTATACAGTGTACTGATCAGTTGAACTGTTCAGGAGTGACAAAGTGGTTCTGATCCATTGCATTTCCACTATAATATCTACATGCATTTTTCACATGTGATGCTATTAAATTGAGATTTTCTTACTTACCTCTATTCGGTGGCCAGACTTGTATCCTGCAGAATTCTGGAAGAGAATTTCATCAGAATATTATCTAGATGTAACCCAGTGGTAACAATATGGTCAATCCAACATCTGAAAGGAAGCTGTGTAACCAATCAGTTATTTTTTCCCATATGAGCTTCACAGTGAAACAGGAAAATCTGCACACATCAGTACTCAAAAGGGGAGCTTTATTGAGGAGAGACACTTATTCAAAGATTTAAACCATTTTAAAGTTGCTATATGTTTCAATCACTCTGTTGAAATGTTTACCCCAACTTCATACCAAAACAGGAAAATTGCTGAGTAAAAGCAGAATACCAAACCTTCCAAAAAGCACAGATACACAAAATACCGTTTTTTTTTTCCTTTTCTTATTTTTTGAACCGTCTCGCATAGCTAGTCTACATGTCTAATGCTGCAAAAACTTCAGGCTTTGGATCAAGATGCTCTATTCATACAAGCTGTTCATGGTACACACGTCATTGTGCTTACCTTTGGCGCTGTTAGCTGTAACACAGTATCGCTAATAATGTGAACGCAAGATTCTTCTTCATTATTGCCGAGAGGTCTGATTCGGCAATACACCTAGAGATAACGAAGGATTTGGATAACATTCATCTCGCATCTGCGTCTTATATTACCCTGCAAGATTGTAGTACCATCGCAAAAGAGGCTTGCGGACTTGCATATTTACTTTTCGAATTCAGCAGGTCGTGGAGGCATTGTTGCTTTAGCTAGCTATGACACTTACTTCCGATTGTGTTTCTTTGACACAATTCTGGAACATGTACCCTGTTTTGTTACGTGAATATCTTAAACGGATCACAATTTACGCCACACTTCTCGTTTTCAGTGCCGCACTAGCAATTTGAACAAGGGATACATGTAAACCCAACAACTATTTTGCCGGCGCATCGTGCGTCAGACGTACTATACCTTCCGTAGATTCACAAAGATCCTTCATGCTGTCGAACAAATTACCGAAACGTATACGATCTTTAGATGAAAAGTCTCCTTCCTTACCTCGACAGGATCCTTGTTGCCTGTAGGTCGTCTTGGTGTCTTCGCACTGCGCGGGGTCTTTGTCGAAGAAGGAGTTTTCGGGCTAAACGGATACACGAGACAGTTTAACATCAAAACAACAAATCAAATTACTTTAAATATGTTTTATACTTACATTGGTCTCATTATTATCTAAAACAGACGATTTCCACCATAGAAAATTGGCAAAGAGTTTCCAAATAACAAGTCGAAAATCAAAATGTCGGTCCAATAATTCTTGAATCAAACCGCCCTGGCGGTGTTGGTTTAAACCGACCAATTAGAGACGTGCATGAAATTATATTTCTTGGGGAGCGCATACTCCATGTAACGACCGCTGTCCAGATGTCATGTTTTGCAGGCTCAGCTATGATTTCTTAGGGACTTCTTTGCGGTCCATACTTAGCTTTTTTGAATCATTCTGATTTATTCCAATTGCTCGCATTAGATCTTTGGTACCCTTTTAAGATAGAATGATCTTCATGTCAAAAGCAAGATTCAGATAGTCACGGTGTGTTCAACTGGCACCCGTAAGAAGGTAATGGAAAAACGTTATTTGTTCTGTCTCAATACTATCACTAGCGCTAGACATTGAAAAGATCTTTCTTCCCCCTCGAAGAAATCGAACCAGAGACCTCCGGCCGCGCCATGAAATGAGGACTCACTGGTGAGATAGGTCATTGCAAGGTTCAAGACCTCGTCGGAGTTGTAGGGGGTGGGGTGGGGGGGGGCTGAGTAGATTTGTGGCACGTGCTAATAGCTGGAACACCAGAAGATGCTGGAAAATGCTGGAACATCCCTAAACATGCTGGAACACCGAACATGTTCCGGAGTACCAGCGTGTTCGGTGTTTCGGATTTAGCTGATGCCAAGAGTTGTGATGTTTAGACCTCTAACCTCGACATTAATTTGTTTTGGACAAAAGCACACAAATATGGAGTTTGTTAAATCGATCTCGTGGAGCCACTCCCAGCACCAAATCAGATTGGCACAAGTACATGGGAATATATCCTCTCGTATACAAGTAGTATACTCTGCAGACAAGGTACACAGAATGAGATTTAACTAAACTGTGTCGACGCTCTTGGACTACGCACTGCCATTGTCTGCAGCTTTTCCAAGGCTTCTGGTTGACGCCTTGTACATTTGAAAATTTGAAACTGCCTACCAGGGATTCAGAAGCCTGGAAACCATTGGCTGGTTAGCAGGACGGCAAAAGTGTGCACCCTTTCCACAACCCAATGACGCCTACGGACATCGAGAGCACCATCATTTTAGCCAGGGTAACGTGGTCGTGAAAAACTACCAAAGCACTTTGCCTTTATCAAAGCTTTTTATGTAATAACTCAGATGCACTGAACATCCCATCACCGGTCATCACTTCTCATTTTCAACCTCTGATCCGTGCAAACGCAAGAACTATCCTATCGCTTTTAGTTGAGGAATACAACGAGAGCTATGGACGAAAAGGTTAATCCTTAATTTAAAAAAGTTCCAATTTGGGAACGACTTCAGATCGTTGATTTTGACTTGTTGAAGTATAGTAAATATCAAGGACCGGAGATTACTATATTAGCTCCGTGACCAACCCACTCTAAGCTTGTTAACAGCAACATTCATTGATAGATATAACTGTAAGAGTAAGATACAACGTGGCTAAGCTTTCAGAAAAGTGACCAGAACTCCCGATTTGAGGGGACACACTGGCAGACGGTTTCAGTAAGGTATCATCTAGTACTTTGACACGTGACCTTGCCGTCACGTTTTTGTTTTGTTTTATTATTGTTTGGTACGCACAAAAGGCTAACCAAAAAACATACCAACAATAAAAAACTGCAGCCACTTTCACTAGATTTAGTGAATGACTGTTGTCTTAGGCAAAAATCGATTTTTGCTGCAGACTGATATTTTTTCCAAACCAAACCATGACTGGCCATACCAATAAAACAAAACAAAGCAAGTGTAAGAGAAGTTGATCGTTTCATTATAATCACGAACTCGAAACTGATTGAATTAATTGAATAGTATGCTAGCTTCCACCCACTACTAAATGAAAACTAGGACCTTTACGAAAACTATTCATTGTGGATCCTAGCATGATGCCCTGTAGACTGAATCAAAATTTTAATTAGCTGTTGTCAAGTGAAGAATCGTGCGGTTGCTTCAAAAACTAAATTGAAAATATAATTTCGTTTGTAGACACACTAATCTCCTTGAACAAAGACCGCCATCTATTCTCGTTTCAGAAAGGATTAGACTGTGCCTCTTCTTACACGAACCATAGCTTTGAACTTAATTTAATTTTAAACTGAGGTGTAAAATCGCCACTCGAAGCCGAATTGAAGATCGCTACATCAGCCGGATCAAAGGTAAAGAAAGAATTGTAGCAGGGAGTTTCAAGCTGAGTGGTCAGGTTTGGTTTTTTTTTTCATCATTTAGACAATATGATATAGATAACATGTAGACATTGCAAGGTTTGACAAAGAACAATAAGAGTGCCGTACACTCGAGCCTGAGTTGTAAACACGGTTCGTCTTTTGAGAAGTTGCAAACAAAGAAGTTTCGTTGGTTCCTTTTTTGACACAGGAATCTAGCAGAACCTGAAGTTCCTTTCTTTTCAGCGGAAATATCCATCCATGAGGCACAAAGGGACCTTTCTCACGCGTTGGTGGTAAGCTGTAAGGATTTCTTGATTTTAAAGAACCGTCCGGTAATAGTTCACCTGAAGGTGGAATAAAAGTGTTTTTTTCCACGGAGATCGATTTTACATTTTATTAAATCAGTATTAAATAGATATATAGAGTAGTACGAGCTCTCACGTCTCCCTTGTTTGTGTAACAAAAGATCCTTCGGGTCTGCGCCTAGCAACGCAAACCACGTCGTTCGGGTGGATCTCTCTCGATTAGTCTGCCTTCATTTATGTCCTTCTTAAGCGCCCTTAGGTAAGTTTGCGTGTCGATCGGTGCTTATGTAAACATGAGACCACGATTTTCATAGCATCTCTCACGAATGATGATTACAGTAATGGCAATATCTACCGGCATCTATCTGGTGTCCTGAGTGAAAGCAAGATGTCTGCATATTGCTAGAAGTGGAGTTAGTCGATAAAAACGACTTCGACCTCGACTTTGGAGACAGAATTCCAGTACCTTGTGCAACTGAAATAACATTAGTACAGCCGACGCCCTAATTTTCTAATGGTTACAAAATATTAAACGTTTGCTTTTCCTTCAGGCGGAAGAATTCAGTAGAACCCGGTGACGCTTTTCAACAGAGACAGTAAGTGTCACTTTCAAAGCTCAACACGAAACATTGTATATCATTCAGCAATCTTTCGTCTGGAAAAGAGCCCTTGTTCTTTTTTAGTTTACTGATACTTCCCGAGTCTGGGATCATCAAACAAATAATTGTGACTTGTAGGAGTTAGGATGCATCATAGAACAGCAGCTCATTCATCTTAGCCCGCAGACCCGGCTAATTTTTTGCGTTTCACAGGCGGAGCGTGGCAAGCGCTAGTTACGCGCGAGGGAAAGAGCGCGACTAATAACAATAGCGTGAGTACAGGCATTATTTTTCTTTCTTTTTTTTTGCGCTCGCCTCACGCTTGTCTCCGTTCGACTGAAAAACGAAACAGAGTACACCTGTTCTTAAGGCTACCCTCATTCAGATAAAAAGCCTTCTTCTCAATGCAAGGTCCCAACGTTCTCGAGCGAAGAGAAGGAAAGACCCTGGAAACAAGTTTAATTGCCGGATCGAGTTATGGTCGACCTGTGGCTGATAATTTTTCTGCTTCTACGCATGCAAGGAAAAAATTCGGTCGACCAAAAAAGATTGATGCCGATTGCCAATTGCCAATTACGAGATCTTACGACCTTGTTGTACTTTTCATTTAGACCTACTGGTTCTTGTGAAAGGCAAAAAGACGAGGAAAGTTCTTTTGTCACCAGTGCAACACAAGTCGATTCGAGGAACAGAAATCTGACAGAAAAAGGTTTTAAAATTCTTACACTTTATACGTAATTGTGCGTAAATGTGCGTGCATTTAGCTTTTCCTTATCCATCTAACATGGTTAATACGGCTGAGATTATATTTTGATGTTATATACGCCTGGTACATGATGTTTTTTAAGATGAGCTAGGTTCGATTAAAGTACATCGGCGGACTAAAACACTTTTTACAAACAGTATTGTCTACCTCAGTCTCAGTCATTGCAACCCTCTCGATCCAACATCGAAATGTTTGAAACACTTTTACTCTAAAGATAGAAGTTTTTCGTCTTGTCGCGATCTACTAAAAAACGCAGAATTTTTTTAATTCTTTAACCCACGCTCGTGAGAAGACGAAAAATATCTTTCTCTATTTCTTTACCGAGCTCAAAACTTACCATCTCGCTCATTCTATTTTTCATTCTGTAACCAATTTATGGCTGAATGCGTTGAGAATAATTTCGTCGAAGCTATGCGATGCCCTTAAAAAATATTAGCAACAAAAAAGTATAACAGTAAAGACCAATTGATAACTCCGACAGAGTAAACCGGATTCAGGACTTTGCTGAAACTGAAGTAAATGTAGAACTGAGTCTTCACCTTTTTCCTTCTTCCAGAAAACGAGTTGCAGGCCGAGATGATTAACTTTCACATAACAGAAAACCAAGCAGCTCACAAAACAGAAAATTACCCGGAGATTGAGGAGTTAGTACTAAGGGGAGGGGAGGTGTTTGATGTAACAGTCAAGTTTAACAGAGACTACAATCCGGACTCTGACGTTATCACGCTCCTCCTTGTCTCTGGTAAATGGGCAACAATGCAATGATTTATTACGTCGATTCTGTGTTTAATACACACTACAAGCTAGTATAAGCACAAGCAAACACTGACGATATTCTCATCAATGCCTCTCCTCAAGTACTTTTTCCGAAATGGATTGTGAGGCAAGAATTGGAACAGAACAAAATTCTCTATTTCGTTGCGGATCCCATTTTGTTTTTGACGTCCAGCTTACGAAGCTGTGCTGTTTGGCCATATTTTCTGGCTATCAAAGAGTTAGGATTAGAGCGTTGAAACAATTCTCATCAGAAGGATATAACCTAGAATAGGTTACACGTTTCTGCCCGCTTTCTTCCTATGGGAGACAAGAACAAAAATCTGAATAAGTTAACAATTGTGCTGTAAACATTTCATCTAGACCCTAAACTGGCTCTAAAGTGCGACCAAGGTGGCCTCGTTGATTTGCGGAAAGTTTTACTGTTCATGTTATTTGTTTCCCTTTAGTTTTGCTTTACAAGGAGCTTACACCCTTCTCAGCTTTTGCCATGGAATGCGCTTTTATACCAGAGAGATCCAAACCAAGGATGATTTCTAATTCTAGTTGTAACTGTCACATCCTTTCGAAGAACTTTCCTTCAGGTTGACGCATAACCAACTTGATTTTTGCAGACGAAGATAACCCCAAAAGCAGAGAAAACAATGTGCGCATCAAGATTCAAGATATCCTTCAGCTCTCGCAGTGGGGAATGCAACTCAAAGAAGCCAACAAAAAATCAATTCACTTGTCAGTCATGACGTCCGCGCAGGCGGTGCCCAGTCGTTATGGCGTCATGGTAGAAACAAAGTCCAGGGAATCTTCTGGAGAAACAGCTTTGTATCGATGTAAAAACAGAGAACGTATTTGTTTAATCTAACCCTTTGACCCTTAAGGGACGTAACCGTTTGATGGAAGACGTCTAGTTAAAACAGTAAAACTTCACCAACTCCATCTGAGCTAATTAAAAGATCGTAGGCGTCGCTGTATGTTTCACACGTACGTTGTAGATATTTCGATGAAGATTCCGACGTTTTTAAATATACTACGTACAAAATAAGGAAAATAAACAATTTAGTTTTCCCTTTACTTTAGAAATTTGTCCACAATTTAGAAAACCAGGATTCTTTCCATGATTGCAGAACTTGATAAACACCGAAAAATTTAAAGTTTTGTGAAGAAAATGAGTTTCCGTCCTCATCAAAACTACCGCGTTTCCCAGTTTTGAAGCAGACTTTTTAACATTATGGCAACTTTCTCTTGTTTTCGCCTCCCTCCACGCACCGACAAATACGTGATAGTTTTAGCCGAGCTTTAGTCGATTTTTCTACTTTTTAAGAGGTAACTACCAATGATTATTCTTGCATCCCTCTAATTTGAATAATTTGAAGTACTTTTCTAATTTTAGCTTGGGAACCCTCAAATTTTGTCAACACAAATTCTTTAGAAATGGCAACACATAATTGTTTTAACATTCAAGTTCGTAACAGTTACCGCAAATGTTGCGGCCTCATACACTCTATTTAATCTTAACTAATTACTAGTACTCCAGATCATTTTTAAATTCATCTTGGGCTGATAACTCAAATGCATAAATTTTAGTTGAGGTACTTCTTAGTTTTTCTTCTTTTCTCATGGGTGATTCTGCCGGAAATCCCACCGGATTTTTATTTCTGGCGTCAGTTCTTGTGCGGGATGGTTCTCCAGGGATGTGCGGCAAATGAGGCTTCACATCTGGCTGAACAAGAAGTGAATTATAGCTGGGATCAAACCGTAATGAATTCGGCTCCAGATCGCTATTCTGTGAGGCAGACTCGTGCGGTAATGAATGCAGGAATGCATGGAAAGGTTGAACACGTATTTGTGGCCCTGAGGAGTCGCTTTTTATAGTCCCTGTTGGCAGTTGTGCATAGGACACTGGGATTGTTCGCGTGTGAACAAAATTTGACTCAGTATGACGATTGAAGTTATCATAGCGCACAGTTGGTTGGTAGTTGCTGTTATAATGAGTCATCATATTGTGCTTTTGCTGAAATATGTTTACTGAGTTGCCATGGTGACTCGAGCCTGTATGAGGGTGTTGGGATTTGTTCTTGTGAGACGGATTCCAAAACGAGGGCGGCAGATTCCTCTGAGACATGGGGATTGGAATACATGTTCTTCCTGAAGGAAGAAATTGAAAACTCAGTCATTGAGATCTGGCGACAACAAGCTGACAAACCTAGTCACAGATGAACGCATTTGAATGATACAAAATGCTTATTTTGAAATTGATCAGGCCAGTATCGGAAAAAAAAGAAAGTTTATTGGCTTGATCAGGAAAAGCTAGGTGAGTTTTAAGTGGCTTCAAGCGTCTTCGTTCTTTTTTTCTGGTTTTCTCGCGTATTGTTTCTTTGTTTAACCAAATGACTGAAGAGTAAAAAGAACGGGCCTGGGGATGAAAATAATTCCTCCTGACGACGCCAAAACAATCTTTATCACGTGGATTGTAACGCACTCCAAGTCCCAAATGTCACGTTATTCTAATTCTAATAAATACCTGAAATAACCTTCAATATTTCCCTTACGAGCGAGAAATTACGTGGAACCTGACCTGTGGGAAGTTATAATGATGATCACGCATTAGAAATTTGGGCAATTTCCTAACACTTAAGGATTTTAGCATCATCTAGCAACAAATTCTGCTGATTCGCCGTGACATGAGCACGATGGCGCTATGGTGCACTAAATGTGTACTATGAGCATTGTGGCGCCTCAAGTTATGCCGTAGTATAAACAAACCATGTCATACTTGGTCTCTTAATGAAGAAATTCTTTTAGAGAAAACAACTTTAAGAATAAATTTAAGCCTTCGCTAAAGCTTTTATGTTACCTTGGAAATGGGAGTCTTCCAAACTGTTCTCCAGGGAACTTGAACCAGGAAGACAGCACAACTCCGCAAAGCTCCTGGAAAAATGCCTGTCCACTTCTGCAGCAGGTTCGCCTCTAAAATATAGTAGTACAACACCTCTTGGACTATATTGCGTTTGTGCAAATTCCATTTCTACTGTTTGCTTGTCCTTTGCAAATCCATCGTCGACAGCTGCCGCGAGGTTTGCTGAAGATTCCGTGAAATTTTTATCGCGGACATTTTCTGACTCGCTATGTTGCATTTTTGTGCATGAATGTTAAACACGATTTCAACTGAATACAGACATTTTTAAGAGATTCCCTCAGAGACTGCTCGCAAAAGGCGCTGCTAAGATGGCGATCTGTACCTCATTCGCACCCTCAGTGGCAGAGCATGTCGAGGTCCGTGAATTGATTGAATTTTATCAAACCTTCTCGTGGGAAATTTGCGCGGGAGAGAGCATCAGTTCGCAGTCTTCGGGCAATGGGTGAAAAAATCAAACAAGGCCGTCAAAACTGCGTGGAATCATTAAATAGCGGAAAGCGCCTTCGAAAAGAGTTTTCGTGAAAATGCAGCCATTGTGCTAGTGACACTTAGAGTTTTGAATACCCGGGCCGAATTAAATTTTTGCGTTCCGGAAAATCCTAGCTAGCGAAAAGGTTTCGGTCTCCATTGCTGAAAAAATAAATTGCAGAAAATAATCCCGAGCTAAAGAGATAAAAGTTGGGAGGAAGTTGATTCAACTTCAACTGGAATGCTTCAACTTAAATAGATCCCTTCCCAAAGATGATCAAAGTAACCCTCTTGGGGGAAAATATGCAAACGTATGAAGAATAAAAATACCTAACAGCTACCTTGTTCCTGCCCCCCCCAAAAAAAAAAAAAAAAAAACCAATCGTACTTTCTAAATCAATCCTTCATCTTCAATGAGGGATCGATAAGTAAACTGATGATTCGACTAGGCTAATGATAAAGATAGACAAACCTCCATTGTAGCTGTGTTTTTCTCCATCTTTACATCACCTTATGACCTAACCAACATATTTTCTCATACGGTTGGTTTTCCCGCGCGACTAATGCACAACATCGTGAAAACAGAAAGGAAGTACAAATATCTAATTTCACACCTAAGAGCTTGAGGGTGATTTTTGACGCCTCTCGGGTATATTCCTAATATTAACTCTTTGTTACTGTTAGAATCTATGATACTGAGAGGTTTCCTTCTTGGTAGAAAATTCCGTTCTTATTCGTTTTTTAGTTTGCATGAATTCACCTCATGGCACTTTACGTTTAACTTTGTTAAGTTTTTGAGTTACAGTTTTCGATTGGTTTATTAAGTAAAGATCCTCTGGAAAACGGTATCTCTTCTTACTTTATTTTGCTTCTTCTTACTTAATTTTCCTTTACAAAATGACGCGCCACCTCGCCATGAAGAAAAGTCGGGGATAATCAGGAATTACTGTTTAGCGGAGTATCGTTCCAAAGCCTCAGTTTTCTCTTCACATATCTCAGTTGTATGTGCCTCTTACAATTGACAATTACCTACACTTAAAACGTCAAAAACTTTTATTTCTAAATGAACAAACAACAATAAACATTTTAACACAGAAACACTGTTCTCTTGTTTTCTTAGCAGCGCATTCTGTTGTATCACGGCCAATTCGTATATCCACCAAGTCAGTAGACTACGAGAAGTACCTCCTTTTCGCCGAAGTACGTCGTACTAGTTAAAAAAAAAAAAGAAAGAAAGAAAAAAAAAACAAAAACAAAAAACAAAAAATAAGGAGAAAAAGTGAAAAACTCTCCTGGAGTGTGGGGCTCAAAAAGTACTTTTCGAGCGCCTCAAGCCGATGGACTTTGCCGAAAAGGAGGGGCTGCTCAGAGCCTATCGAACTAGTTTATGTCAAAGCCTGGTTCTAACCAAAACTAAAACTGATGGTAAAATTGTTACAGGCTGTGCAATTAATTTGCCCAAAGGCAATGGCAAACTCCTTATATATATAAAGAAAAAGCTGAACACAACGCCAACTGGCCCAAAGATGAGGTGAACCCAACATCAATCAACTGTAACGACAAAAAAAAATTAAAGAATTAGTGGGGGGGAAATTTCACTTCCGAAACTGTATGAAGTACAATAGTTCAACCTACACAAACTAATATTTCGATCACAGTAATATTTCGAGTAAAACCTTTCAAACATGGTTACTCGAGGTCTATTCTAGAAATTGGCCAATGAGGAGCAAATGGGCCCCTATCAGTAATTCTAGGGGGGCTTTCCGGGCAACTAAAAAAGCGTGTGCTCGGATTACTGCAGAATCCCGGATGTTTGAGTGGTGAAATAATGACTCAAACCAGGAAGAGAAAGGCAATTGAGGCAGTAAGAGGCTATAAAAGTTAAAGTGAGGTTATAGAACGGCCGTCAAATCAGTGTTGTTGTCAGTGATGTTTTCGAATATTTTATTTCCAAAAAATAATACTATTCCTTAGGTTTGTTTTTTAATTTTATTTTGCGCCCCATTTGACGCGGCAATGTAAATTTTATGCGGCATATCTTTCCAATTTGCGGAAATACCGCAAAGTTGCGTTCTAAAATAAATCCTGGTTACCATAAAAATTGAAACTCGCATGTGTCATTCGCATGAGCGGTTTGGCCAGCATTCGTTATTGGAAATTAACAGGACGTCTTGTAGGGTTAATACTCGGGTAACCAAGCACGGGGAGAAATTGCTACGGAGGAAAACGACAGATCATGAGTACTATTTATTAAAATTTTTGTCTCGTTTTCACCTTCCAGTCGATATAAATTAAGGCCGATGATTTATATAATTTCGGGTGAACAGTCCACATCGAGACAATTTTACGGGGCGTTCTTATCGAGTTGTGAGTAGCAACAGCTGTCCCGTCACCGGTGTCTTTCGTGACAGCTACGCAATGACACATTGGACTAAATAGTTTCCGCTGGCCTAGTACACGGAGGCTCTGGAAACAGGCAAGGTTACCCTACCTGCTGAGGCACGATAAGCGATGTGTGAGTGAATAGAGATGGTGAATTCTGAGCTCCGTCGTCGAAAGAAACGAATGTAAGTGATTATGGGACCAGTCCAACTTAACAAGCCACTGTGACTGGTCACACCCTGGAGATTCGGACAACGAATTCCAGTTAATTACCATTGCCTCGATGCCTTTGACAGATTGATAAGGAGTAACATAACGAAAATTACTTACCTGTTTGTGTTGTAAGGTGTACTCCTCTACGACTAGAAGGGTTCCCCGTATGCAATTATGCCGGTTCTCACGTTATAACTACCGGCATCGATCGAGCGACGAACTTCAGGCAAATTCAGCTCGCCAGAGCGCGACCTCAGTCTTACCTCGGGAAAACCGTGCTCTTCTTCTGCAAACGATTGCAGCTTCTTCTGTTTACAGACTCCCCAAAGCCCACAGCTGGGCACCATTCTTCGATTGGAGCGCTTCATGAAAATAAAAATGCCAAGAACAAACATGACAAATACAACGATCATAAGCACCCAGGCCACCATTACTTGCCAAGATATTCTACCAGCGACTCGCTCTCCAGTGGACGCATCTTGATCAAAGGGAACTGTAACGTCCTCGGAATCACTGCAACATTGGGATACGTTTGATGGCGGCAGTGCAGAGCCGAACACTTCAGAAGACACCGAGACAGGGCGAGCTATTGTAGGAGACATGGCAGCACCGGCGGTTGTTTCACTCTTCCTGTCTTTCTTAAGTATTACATCTGGGGTAGTTTGCGTCTTTTCATCAAAAGTGAATGGTGAAGAGACACGGTAGACAGTGGTAGTTACTTCATGTGCTATGGTTGGTTTTGAGGTGATGACTTTGTTTCTTAGTTTTCTCGTTGTGGACAATTCCGTGGGTGGATGCAAAGAAGGCTCCTCTTGAACTTGCCAACTCCAACTCTTGTGCTCAATGTACGTTGAAGTAGATGAACTAAGGCGAGGTTCCGGAGAAGTGGGATTCACAGGGCGACATATAGAATACAGGAAGCGTGAGGCATCGCGTTGTGCCTGCTGGGACAATTTTCTACCGTTCTTCAGTGTTCCAGAGCATTCCAGCGGCCCAACCATAAAATACGATCGTGCAGCAGTCTTAGAAAATGTGAGAAAAATTACGGGTAGCTTGGCGCGGTTTGTAACGTAGCCTTAAGCGGAGAAAAAAGGAAGAATTTCAATACTTCGTGGGTATTTTCTTAAAAAATAAAAAATAACAAATAAAAAAGTGGCCTCTCTTACAGACACGCTGCAAACTCTTTCTTATCTAAATCTAAGCTTCATTGAGCTTAAGTTTTACGAACGCACTCGAGCAGGCCCGTTACTGCCAGAGGTTATCACCCTCAAAAGAGGCAAGATTGATCGATATTAGGAAGTGGTTTAAGGAAATCGGTCCGTAGCTCATGCTTACATGCATTAAAAAAAAATTTTCTTAGTTCTAATAAGTTTGAGCGAGTCGTTCAATTTAGCTGTCTAGTTTTTGTCCGGTGACCTTCAGGGGAACAAGAGAGATATCGGCTTAACCCTTAACACCGAACTGCATCCAATTTCTGGAAACAGTATCACCGCTGAGTCACACATTTAAGTCTTGAGAATAAAGGAAATGATGATGACCTCAATAACCTCTTGATTGTTAGATAAATTCTCCTTGCTAGTGCCATAGGAAATAAATAGAGTACGGTATGGAGAACTTGCATACTGAGGCCTACCTTCGTCTTCTCTCCATTTCTCGTCTCCAATGTCACAGTTGCAAGCAAGTCCTGGATTCGTGCACGTTCTGTTTACACCGCATGCACACTTCATGCTCCCGGCAGGCGCACCTGGCCAGTAGTCGGTCACATATCTTAAGTCTCCTCCTGCCCAACTCACCACAGCCGGACCCACTGGCGATTGCAGAAGTTTAGAACCGAAACAGTTGAAACTAACCAATTGACGACATCTCTCGCTTTGAGCTATCAAAGCTTTGATTCCATTAAGATCTGAATATTCCAAAGTGTGAAAGTAATCTGGATAGTCATCAACCCTGGACATTAAAACAGGTTGAGGTCCCACTTTGCTATGATAGACGAGCATTACCGCTTCTTCTTGATCGGTCATATTGCAAAGGACCTCCAGGGGTTTAATTGGTCCCCTACCGTCAGGGTCCACTTTACAGTAAGCATCATCGGCCAGGCCCAGATCTTTATACTCCTGACAGGTCCTTAAGTATATCGGTATTTCGCAGAGTCGACCACGGTGAAATGTCTTTAGGCAATCGCAAGAGAAATCACCATTCGGCAAATCGTTACACTTTCCACCGTGTCCGCACGGGTTCGGGAAACAACGGCTTGAGATGTTGCAACGATTGTACACCTTTCCGAAAGCGTAACGGCTCCAAGGTATTGCCCATAGCTCGATTTTCTTGTTATCCACATGTAAATCGTGGATGCAGCCGACAAAATTTGGCTTATCCTTAAAATAGCCATTCCCTATGAAGACTTTATTTTTAAACTTTGAGACTTTCCTCAACGCTGGATTTTCGTGCCTCAATTCCGCCAGTTGATCCAGTTTCATCTTCACCTCTGTGTTGGTGACAATCACAAAAAGATAATGCCACTCTCCATCGTCTAAACTCTCTCCCTGGATTAGCAGCGGCAGTTGGCTCACTCCAACCACCAAGACATCCAAAACTACTTTCCCGTCACGCAAGAGCACATTAACTTTTACTGCTGATTCGAATTTGTACGCTAACACGCCGTTGGCGATATAAGTGCGAAACTGCATTTGGACATGGAAGATGTCTTCGCCCTGCGAAGGTATGTATAGAAAAGAATCTGGAGACTGAAAGCTCACAGTTTCAAATGGCTCACGCAGGCAATTATTTTGAGGTGAGCCGTAAACTCGGTAGTTTTTGCGCGCTGGCGTGGGGCTTAACAAAACATGCCATCTGTCAAAAACCACGTTTCGAAGGCACCCTCTTAAATTTGGTGATGGTCTGTAATCTGTCAAGACATTCAATGTGTGTTGAGGTATACCACCCACGTAAACAAAACCTTCAACATCAAAAGTAGTGTGTTCACTCTGCAATACGATAAGGCGCGTTTCCTCCTCGTGCTTAACTTTTAACTCCTTGCCCAACAAGCGCAGTTGAATGATGTGCCAGCGGTCATCTGCTAAAGTTTCTTCAAGCACCAGGTGCCCATTTTGAGTGGGGATGCCATCACCCAGATTGACAGTGATTCTGTGGAGAAAAAGAGAAAACATGACAATCAAAATTTCTTGATAAGTTTTAATTTTGCTTATAGGACACATCTTTTGCATCTCCATCAAAATCAAAAAAGCCTCACAAAGCCTGAGGTTTAAGCAGGTGAGGCAAATAAGAGAGGCAGTCCTTCATGCACTGTTACTTTCTTATTTGAACTGCTTTGTGACATGAGATATGAGGCTCCAGGTTGAAGGTGGGATGTAACATATGGCACAAGAACCTATTTTTGAACCTCTTATTACCTATCATAAATTGTATTTATTTCTATAGATTAAAAATTTTATTATTCTATCATATTCCATTCCATCACACTCAAAGTCAGTTGATCTCTAATAGCAATCATCTCTTTTCTATAAACATTGAATGATGAAGAATGAATTTGAACTGGAGGGAGGTCATAAATCAATGATATTTTTAATTCATGTGATGACCATTTGCAGCCCATTAACTCATGATCATCCTCTGTTCTCAGTAGTCTCAAATTTGCACTCAATCGTTTTCTGAACTTAGGTGACCCATACACGCATAAAAAGAACCCCAACCAAGGGTCATAATCCATTTAATTTTACTTCTCAATGCTATGATAAGACTTTTAAGGTCAGCAAAACAAAGGCATAATTGATTGAAAGGTAACCTTCGAATCTTTCCAACAGATTGAGGCTTTCTCTACATCCTGCCAAAATGGCGTTAGGTTAAAGTTGTTACATCTATCTCATGAATCAGGTCGACCTTGACTTTACTTAACTTTGTTACAAGTGACATCCAAATTCTTAAGCGTTCTTACTTTTGTACCACATTCCTTAATTGGAAATTAGTATCGCTCTATCGCCTTTTACAACTACGTATAAAATTAAGTTTGCAGATTACACTCGACAAACGCGAATCGATACACTGAACACGGCTGAAATATTTGAACGCAGTACAGCTGTGTCGGGAGAGTCGTGTTGTACAATGAAAGCTTAGAATAACTAAAAGGTCTGGTGTGCCACAAATGTTGATTCAAATTACAGCTATTTTGATTTAATCCGAGCGAGAATCGCTTCTTTTTAATGGTGAGTTCTCACATGCATTCCAATTTAAACACTGTTCACCACTTTTAGGAGATATGTTATCACTAATTAAAACTTTAAACAAATGTTTTCAAATACATATCAGGTATCGATTTATATCTCGTTACAGAATAATAACAAAGAAGAAAAGCTGACTATGTTTTGCAAATACAAATCTACGGAAATTAAAAGCAAATTAGTGAGTTTACCTAGAGTCATTCGGTCGCCAAAAAGGCTTTTTAGTGTATTTTGCAATATTAATATGTGGTAGATTTATGCCCATCTAAATGCAGCCTAGATTGCTTGTCCGACCACTAAAAAATAATGAGAGGGAAAAGTTCTGTGTCGTATTACTAGTAACTTCTCGCCAAAGTGACAGCTGTCTGCCTACAACAGACAATGTGGGAGTAATATTTTCGACGCGAAATTTAATGTTGCAAGTTGAAAATTTTATGCTTTTTAATTTGAAAGAATAGTCGCAAGAATGCTCAATGGTTTGAATAATCTTGTCAGAGCAATTTTTGTTTTTGTTCTCCCAAGAATGGATGGTAGAAACAGAAAGGTTCGCACAACACAGTAAATTCTTATGCCGAATTAAAGGAAATTTTAGGCGCGTGACAATTTGAAGGGTGTTCACTTATACTTGCGTCAAATCTTAAACGCTCGCTTCTTACCTCAGCTTTCCACGGACTAAATCAACCATCAGGAAGTCTCCTTTTTCGAATTCACTACCAATGTAAACCAACATACCACTTGGATGGATGGTTTTGAATTCAAAGCTGAGTTTGTGTTCCCCCAGAGCATGTAATCGACGCCTCTGCGTCAAGTTAAACGAGACAAAATCGACACCATCAAAACGTATTTCGTCGCTACTTGGGCGTGTTTTTAAACACAAACATTGCACTATGCTAAGAGCAACGATAGCGGCCCGTAAACTGGCCATCTCTGCGATGAGAACAAAACCACCCAGGTTATGACTAACAAACTGAATGGTCAACTACGCGCGTTTCCTGTGTAACCAAAGACCATGGCAAGATAAGGCGGTTCTGCGTTTGATGGACAGATGGTTTCTCCTCCCCTTCTTGTTGATAAGTTTTTCGTTGGAAAAAAAATGGATAAACAAAAATTCAATAAAACAATGAACAAAAAGCGTAGAAAAATATTAATGAGATGCAAGGAGAAAATGAGTATGCTTGACGACACAAACGAGCAGTTCCACCAGGGAGTGTTAAATGAACTGGATTCGAACTCGGAAGTTCCGAGCGAAACTCGCATATTGTTGTTAAGTTTCCGTCATCATTATCGCAAAGGTCATCTAAAACAGCAAAAAACAAAAACAAAAACAAAAACAAAAACATAACAAAACAAATCTAAAACAGATAGAAATTTCCCAAACATAACTCATGGCCATAAGTTTTTTTTTTGTTTTTTTTTTTTAAGGATGTTACTCGGTTTGAGCAGGAAGACCTTGCACAACAATAACCTGAATTAGGTTGAGCCCGCAGTTCTTGCAGTGTCACGCGGTATTTCCTAGAAAACGCCCTAAGGCACATCAAAATGGCGGTTTTGTTGCGCGCTTTGATTTGTTCTTATCTACAAAGATTGCTGTAATTCTTCTCGGAAATGTTCTGAAGAACCTTTCAATAAGTTGGCAGGAAGAATTTTTTTTTTTTAAAATATTCAGCTTAAATTGTATGAAGTCTTGTTCTCTCGCGTTTCGGCTACAGTCATTGTTATTTAAGAGATGCTCGGTTTTGAGCATCAGCAGTTATCTTACGCGTGAGACTTGCACGATGATGAAATGGTCTCCAGGCGATATATTCCACTTATTACACAATAACCTGATGAAGCACGGGGCTCCGCTGTGATTGGTTGACTTTCAAAAGCTGTGATTGGTTTGTTTATTAACAGCTGTGATTGGTTTCCTTTAAACAGCTTTTATTCTCAAGTTTTATCATTGTTGCTTCGGCGAGTTGGTTCCTCGGGGAGCTGTTGTCAACTTCTTTGTTCCTGCGTTTCGTAATCGTGGAAATCTATTTCTCCACTATCCTTAATGAAGCCATCTGTGGGGCGATTTAACAAATCGACCACAATTTTTATCCATTGTCTATTGAAGCAATAAACCGTCGGTTTACCGGCGTAAGAACCCACGCAGGTTATAACATGAGAGAGAAGTTTGTGAATCATTAAACTTGAGCTGGAAATTTTCATGTTGTTACATTAACCGGACCACGACGTCCTATCAATAATCTTAGTGTTTCGCATTCTTAGTTTTGTATGTTCGCTTTTTGTCCACTGTACACGCTAAAAATCGTCATCTAAAAAAGCAGAGGACTTTGAAAGAGCATCGTTTCGCAAATGCTTTTCGGATTTCTCGCGTAGACAAATGAAACGGAGGCGTTATATAACAGTGACGTAAACAGTGTCACACCATCGCTTCCATCAGCTTTATTCGGGCGTCTTGACGCGGACATTAGGCACGAAAGACATCAGAAAAGGGTGTATTGTTGAAAACAGCCCAGCCATTGAGTCAGCCATGGTGATAAGTGTTTTGCTCCTCGACAACGTCAATTTGATAGACCACAATTAAATTATGAAATTTGAATAAATTCTGAAGTGACTCCCATTTCAAATATTTTATACTTACGAAAGAGAGATGTTTAAAATCAGTCCTAAAGGTCCTTGAGAAATGAAGTTTTTTGTTGTGTTCAGTAAATGTCCTTTCAGTATCAGTATACCTGTAACCTGAGGCAAAGAGGTAAAAGTTTTAGATAGTTAGTCTACATACATACATACAACCTTTATTTATGTGTCAAATCTAAAATAGCAGTTATACAACCACTAACTGGGGACACTAATGTCTGATAACACATGGCAGCAAAAGATGGTTGAATGTATTCCTAGAGCTGATCTGCGTGTGTGTGTGTGTGTTTGTGTGGGGGGGGGGGGCATTTTTCGTGATTCTCAATGGGGACCGGTCATTGTTAATCCCCTGGAGGGTGAGGTTGGTAGATATTGGTTGTGTCGCGATAAAATTCACCTGATTCCCCCATGTGACTCTGTAATATTCTTATGATTTCCCCCCTCCCCCCCTCATTTGCAGTTACTGGTAACTGGCAGTCAATTTTCTATAGTTCTGCCTTACAATCTGTTGGCGACGACTGACGCACCCTTCGTTTCCCCTGAAATTCATGTGATCCTCAAATCCTCCAACTCCCCTCCCCTTCTCCTCCCCCTTTTAACTCCCTTTCCCTTCTCCTCCCCCCTTTAATTCCTTTTCCCCTTCTCCTCCCCCCTTTAACTCCCTTCCCTTCTCCTCCCCCCTTTAACTCCCTTTCCCTTTCCCTCCCCCTTTAACTCCCTTCCCCTTCTCCTCCCCCTTTAACTCCCTTTCCCTTTCCCTTCCCCCCTTTAACTCCCTTTCCCCTTTCCCCTTTCCCTCCCCCCTTTAACTCCCTTTCCCCTTTCCCTCCCCACCTTCAACCAGGTGATAAATGATGAACGGTGTCTTATTCCTGCGGTTTAAAATAAATGACTTTTGTGAAAGAACACTTTATCGAGTATTTCTTTATCCCACTCTCGCCAAGATAAGAAAATCTTTCCCTTTTCAGAGAGTTTAATATTTTATATATTATGTAACTGAAACCGCACTTTTTTATCTGAAGTGAAATGGTAAAAAATTGGAATTAATGTTTGAAAAATGCTTTTCTCTGATTTAAACAGCTTTAAAATGAACTGGGCCATCCTGTTTAAATATTGCAGACAAGTAGAACGGATGAAGATCAATGAAACATCCACAGTCAATAAACTAGGCTTCCGCGGATTGAGACCAAATATTATAAGATATTTATCTCTGAGTCGGCTCTATAGTGAAAAATCTTTGAGATCGACATGGCGAAATTACGTTTTTTTCGGTTGATTGTTTTTTTTTTTTTTTTTGCCGCAGGACTGTGAGGTAAAAGTGCCGTCTCATGCAAGTGATGGGTCTGCATATTAAGAGATTAGCTCTTAGTAGGTATACTGCGCCGAGATAACATCAACTTAATCTCCTCAACTACTTAAGGAATATAACACTCAAGCAAATAGAATTACCATGACACAACGCTGATGAAAAATGCATATCTACGCTAAATTTCCTCGGAATACGGTAGATTTATGAATAAGGTTTGTCCCTGCATTAGGCAAATACAAGAGATCCTTGGCAAATACTGATAATGTTAAATCTTTACTTTTTTCAAGATCCAAAGTGTTACTGCCGGCGAGAGCCTCTCTTTTATTTACTCAGCCACGCCCTGGCTTCCTATTTTAAAGAGATACAGCTGAAAGAGGAACTGATCATCCAATGCGATAAATGTTTTTCTCATAGGCAATCGGTCTTTCAAAGGAAAATACGACCTAAATAATCTATTTTGCATTGTATGATAATCAACTTTGAATTATTTTTTTAAGCAAGATACGGTTAACTGTAATATGATGTAGCATTTATGTGTTGCAAAATTGGAAAGAAGAATATGACGTCGGTTTTCTATTGACTAGAAGGAGATTTTACCGTGATCAGCCAAAAGTGAACGAGCTATTATATTCAAAGAACTTTATTGATAATATCACCCTGTGATATCTGCATTAATTTTCCTGCGATTTCACTTTTCTGCAAAAAGTATAAATTATTTGCTTCTGATGGAAGAGAAAATATAGTAAGATGTTTGTCGAAAGAACAATACGTACAGAAGGCTACACTATCTGTTTCGTTCAAAGTTTAAAAATTGATTTTTTTCTTCAACAAAAAAAGCGACACTTGTTTCATACACGCAGCTTTACAATTTCCCTGTTAATGTTCAAAAAGGCGAAAAAAGGAATAAATTTCAAAAACCTTTTAAGAGAGATTAGCATTTAGTTTAATTAATTTCGTAACCGATCGCTGTCGCCGAGAATTTGATCCCCAGGCACTTGCTGATCTTTGCAGGGGTTCCAATAATTAACTTTTTCCATAAGCGACTGCCTGCTTATGGTGTAGCAGGCAGTTGTGCCCCGAAAAGGCGCCGTAAAGCGAAAGCCAAACACGAGAGCGTGCCCACTGGCTAAACAGAAGGTGGTAACGGGTCCAGCGGGCGGCAGTAGACTGCTGGTAATCAGCTTTGACCGAGATCCCTGATTTCAGCGACATATTTATTAAACATTCAAAGTATTTTATTTCGACATGATATGAACTGGTCGTTCACCTTGCTGTTTCGAGCCTAGTCCAAGTAAGTCTTGCGGGTCTTTCACTCAGTGCAAAAGTTTGACAATCATAGCACAAAGCTGTTGCCAAAATTTCTTGTTTCACTCCCTGTAAAATATATGCGCTCATGTTTTTATAAAGTTTTTTTTTATTTTCCTTTCCACATTTGGGTCTTAGATGATATCTTAGCCACTTCAGTGACGCCAGTAGCCTGAGAACGTGTATTTTAATTAATTTATCGCGTATAAAATTCATTGTTTAATTTTTGATATACACTGATCGAATAAGTACCCGCTATCTGGCTAAATGTGCCTTTCCAGAAATTTTCCATAAGTCGCTCAGACAGAACTTATTTTTCAATTTTATCACTTTCTCCCTAAGCCCACCATTTCAAACAATCAATTAAAGAAGTTGTATTAACTTATCAAATAAATATGGTAGAACATGATTTGGAAAAGTAACTTAAACGAAACTGCGGAGACTTTTCGATTCTTCTCAAGACAACTGCGGTATTTACTTAAAGCTAAGTGCAATTCCAAACACATTAGCAGCAGAATTTAAATGGACTTTTGTCCTCGACACAGCCATCAAAAAGAGCGCCATTTGGCTGCAATTACGACGGGCTTGTCAGTGGGCGAATTTATGTTTGTGTCAAATACGATTTAAGCCATCCACTCAAGTAAGATGCATAATACTTATCCAAGGTAATAATTGTCTCAGGGTACTTTAAGGTGTGGGAAGTGTTCGTATTGTGTTGGTAAACTACCGAAGCGAAACAAGAAATTTAAAGCTCACCACTAGAAGTCTAGTTGAATCGCTGATAACGTAAAAAAAAAAATTAAATTTAAAAAAAAAACCTTTTTGTACCCAATGACTTTGTTCTCGCCTAGTCATATATCCAGCAATTTTCCTACCAGCGGGGACGTTCTAAAAGTTGAATGCTGTGAGATAAATGCATTTTTTCTGTGTATGGCAGTTAGATCAATGGAAATTTGCAAGAATTAGTGAAAGACATGTTAGGTCACGTTTATCCAATCCGTCTCTTTTTCACTCCTTAAATAATTTTATTTAATGGTTGGGTTAGGGCAGGGGGTATCTTGATTGTATTCTACCATGTATTTCGCACCTGTTTGGTTTATTGAAATATTTATGTGCCATGCAAATAAAAAAATCTTTATTTACCTTGGAAAACTTTAATTATCTTCGTTAAGTAGACATGTTACATTCTGCTTTTTCCTCCTTGCCGTGCCGAGAGTTGTATTGGCATGGCCCAAAAATTTTCTTAGCTGTTTACAAGAACTTTTTGTTATCGATAGAATTTCGTTTTTGTTAATGTTGCTCAACAAAACGTTTTCATCATGCACTCTTTCACATAGCTTCACATATTCTTGAATTACATACATTTCGAACTGGTTCCGACTTGGAGGAAAATTTTCCCGTCGGTAAACCTCTACCGCCAGTTTTATGTGCTAAGGCCGTGGGAGGTTTGTGCACATCTTGTTGTGTCTTTGTTCCTCACAACACAGCAACGAAAAGCGTCAGATTTCGATTCGCTAACGAGCTTTTATACAGCTTCTCTGCAAATGACAGAAAATTATGGACCCTCTGTCTTGCTGATGAGTATAATACTGATTGCGGAAATTTTATCTAGATCGTGTTTTCTATTTTCAACACCACATTAGATAACATGCCTGCTTACAGAAGTTCTTTTCATAAAAGGCAAATCGTTCAAGATGTTGCTGCGATATGTCCCAGTTTGTCTTGCGTCCACGACACTAAGTGGCCGGCTTTTGTCTCTAACGAATTTTCAGTTGCAACACAAAGCATTGTTTACATTTAAGGGGGCGCTTTCGCATGAATTATCTTCCTGAAAAAGCGCAGCTGAACTTTAAGTGTACGTCACAGAATGCGCTTAAAATCGTTTCCACCATTTGAGAACGACGAGTACCAGTACAGACTCTCGCATAACTCCGCTTAATTGCTGGTATTTTGACTGCGAAAAAAACTACCTCAGAGATAAAATATTGTTCTTTATACATTGTTGATCTGTTCCACAAAGGAATCATATATGGCAGGAAAAAGAGAAAGCTTGGAGCGAAAAGCGAATCGAGACGAAAACTGGGCAGTACCTGCACAGCAAAATCATGATGACTCGAGGCAAACAGTTCTGCTCCTTGGAGAAAATCTTCACGCGCCGAACAAAAACGAGCCACGCTACATTGTGGAGTCCGACAAAATAAAGGTATGAAATTCAGTTGTCGCCATTAATTTTGGCCGTTGTTGGAGAGACATTTATTTATACGAACATGCTATGAGTACTTTAAATGGCCATGTAAACACAACAGTTGCAGCTCTAATAACTTTGGGTAAATCAAACTAAAATATGTCAATTCTTGACCACATTGTCCTTGACAGAGTCACTCTAAAGAAACAAATGAAGGCCTTCCATGTTTTCAGCTCTGAATATTTTTCTAAGCCGACACTTTCTTTATTATGGACCCTTTAAAGCGGATTTTTATAGTTTTTCCCACTGTGAGAGATGTTTTCGCTTCGTTTTCGTTTACCCACATGGTGTTTTAAGAAATAGCGCGTATGTGAAGTGCAATCCAAGATGAAGGGCTGGAACTCTTTTTCCAGTGAAGTAAAAACCCAATACCGGCGTAGAAACACGATAAAAACTTTCTTGTACGTCACTTTTTGTTTGGTAATCGATATCAAACCCGCTACAGCTGTTTCCACCTTTTGAGTTCAAATCTCTTGGATTCAAACAGTCTCAGTTCTTTTTTTTTTTTTTCGAAGGCTTGCTTATTATCTCAAAGCCGAAAAGTTAAACGTTAGGGTTGTTCAGGTACAACTGCTGTTTTCTTTTTTTACGAAATAGGATATTTTTTCAACCAGCAACCAAACAATCAGACCAAAAGATTTATTCAAATAAAATTGCACCTCACAAAATTGGGTAGCTAGAAAGCTAAATATTATCTTGCGAATTTGCGGAAAAGAGATTTTTAACGAACCGTGATAAATAATTCTTCAACGTGGGTTGTTTGTAACCTCGGGGAAAGATTGTAATAGAAACCTGTTCTGGCAGCGGAAAATCATCAAATAAATATTTAAACTTCGTTTTTTTGAATTCTTTCAACTGTAATTGAAAGGTAAAAATGGAAATTCAGAGAGCATTTTCAGTCAAAATACATTTCGCTCGTCACGCAGAACGATAATCTCAAACTTATCATATGAATATAGAGTTTTATGAAGTAAAAAATTTGGAAAAATAAATCATTTATTGAAATACATTTTAAATCCCCAAATTTCTCTTTCTTCCATGCTGCAGGCTGTTTATTTTTTCTCCAGCTGTAGTGCCAAGTTGTTCTCTCTTCAAATAATTGATCCAAAATGCAAATTTCCTTCTTGCAAAGAGTGCTATTAGGAACAGACAGTTGAATAATGATTGAGAATTTAAAAAAAAAGTTAATTGCTAAAGCTTCTTAGAGGTCAAAAATGAAATCTGGAAAGTGTTCAATCTTTTAGCAATGTTGAATTTAGGGTTTGGCTCCGTACCAGAATTAATGTGACTAAAATTAATGCAATACACAGTTTATTGTATATGTAGAAGAACTTATCGCTGGAAAGGGTTTACCCGTAATTGTTACGAGACACGTAGTTATCACAAGTATGTTTCATTATGATGCCGTTTTCTTAACGAAATAATTTATTTTTCCTTGAAATGAATACTATCTTTTGGGGTTTTTAAGCCGAGATAAATGTTTCAAAGCAGGCAAACAAATTTAGGAGGCTACAACTCTGATTGTTTACACTCTATGTTGAAGGGATGACAGCTACATTTTAATTAATTGCTTGAATCATTTGCTCCATTTAAAAACGAAAAATGTTTTAGCATGATTTTAGAGTTCTTTTTACAAAAGCCCTCCTCAACCCGGGGTAGACGATCGTTTTCATGCTGAATCGAGATGAGTGCTAAATTGTATATTTTTTTGACTTTATTTAACGATGCACTCTCAAACACTAAAATCTCGTAGTTTTTGTATTTTGTATTTCTTATGAGAAAATATTGGCAAAATTTTTGTCGCTTTTGTTGCCACGCACAATGAAAACAAAGTAAGCTTCATAATAGTCCCAACAAAACGAGACCGTGGGTGATATTTTGAACACGCATGTTTTTCTTTTCCTGTTGACATTTTCTTGTTATCTTGCAAAGTTTGATAAACACCACCGGGCGGAGTAAATACGGCACAAGTTTATTATCAAAATGCGGTTCATTTTACTAATTTATTCTTTCAGGCTGAAGAGATTAATAACTCGGATTCTGAGACACAATTCTCTGCCTCTAGAACGTATTACAACACAGGTAGGACTGGGGTCGAAAACCACCAACAAGCTTTTCAATCCTCCGCAAACCAGGGTAACCACGGGCAAATTGCCCACGCACCTCCGACTCAGGGGCTAGGGAGAGGGGACCAAAATCAGAATTACCCCTCATGGCCAGCACCGCGTGGTCTTATCGGCGTTATACCTCCCAGGGAGCTAAATATGAGACCAGGGGAAGACGATGCAGACAACTCACCGAACTATCGCCGTATGGCTGTTTGTCAAGAGACAGACGGTGCTTTGGGCCAGAGGACAAAAATGCGCGTCTACATGAAGCGTTTTTGAAATTTCAGAAATGATGTCTTTGAACAAGAGGAAGTTGGATTCAGATGCAGTATTGTGTAGCGATCAGAAATTCATATAGATTCGTCTTTGGGGATGCATTTAAACTCGCGAATCTTTCGTTGACAAAACTGTTACTGTCAGCGAAAGATTAGTCAAGGATCGTCTCATTTCTTCTTATAAAGCCTTTCGTTGATTTCGTCGCAACTAATTTTAGTGCACCTGTTTGTCTGAGTTTGACACTCCCTTTTAAGCCAGACATATCCACTGATATCTTATATTAGCCTACGGTTATTTGAAACAAAAGTTCATTGTTACGATTTATTAGCAAAGTAAGCTTAAGTTGGCCTGAAAGAAACCATTAGGAAAGTTATGTTGCGCACGTCAGAGCAAGTGATTCGAACCCTTGTTTACGGGCGCTCAACTTAACTTTTACCCTCGTTTCATGTCGCTCGCAGTCTTTCCTCAAAAGATAACTCTGAAAGAGGCTCGTATGGATAACCCAAGATTTGGCCCTCCCTTTCATAAAAGAAAGGAACCTTCGTGAAAGCAGAGATCTAATTACCCTCCCCTAAATGTGTAGAACACAAGGTCAACCGTCCAATGATCACCAGACAGTGAATTAGAGGTCTGAACTCAATGGTCGTGCAAGTTTAGGCCGTTTTACCCAGTCTAACTTGCCACAGGACAAACTTTAACACCGCAGTGAATGTTTTCATACTACTACAGATGTATAAAAACACAAACAGGCGAAAAGGGTACAGAAAGTAGAACCGTCGCAATTGAGCTAAATTTTCAGAGTGCTGGCCATACTGTATAACTGTATGGAGGCGTCATTTGTATTGCCCGAAAATATCCATATTCGTGTGGTTGTCGTTTTAGGAAATAAATAAAAAGAAAAAACTGCTGCACTGGAAATTTGAGGTTTCAGGAGGCATGCAAAACAAACATGGCAGTTCTATACGATCGCATGATTGTTATCTGAAAAGGTGTGTCAAAAACAGTTCAACAAAATACAGTTTTTACGAGATGGAATCTAGGGTTTCCAGCAACTGCACGCGTAATACTAGTGAGCCTTCTACGCCTGAATATGAGGTCAACCGAAAAGAAAACACTGTGGGAAAGATTGCCAAACGGCGACAGATTCGAAAGTTTACGAATGCTCAGATATAGATCTTGGCAACGTTCCATTCCATTACGCAATGTTTTGCGAAAAAGAAAACAGAGATCTTAAAAGTAAGATTTATCGCGTTTCCTTCGGTGGAATTTCCTAAGATTTGCTGAACCATTAACTATACTAATGCCCTTCCTAGTCCCTGTTGATATAAAAAAGTTTTGAGATAGAGAACGAAAACAGGAAATTGAAAATAGCGAGGAAGCTGCCTTTGTAACTCCTATTTTTTTCGGCTTGTAAATGATCGGGAGGACAAACTTCCCAAATTTTGAGAGATTTCACCGAAGCAAATTGAAGAAAATCAAAGGCAAAGTCAAATTGTTGCTGACGAGCGCCTCCCTTCGTGGAGCCTTTGCTTAGTAACGAAAATTATTTTGATAATATTTACTGCAGAAAACGATAGACCGAACCTTGCTCATTGCCTTTGATGGCTTTTAGTGACCATGGAAAGCGAAAATATAAAAATGTTCTGGAAAAACATTACGCTGGCACGCGCGCAAATATTGAGCAAAATCACTATGGGACCCCCTTAGATTAGAAGAAATTAGTGATGATAAATTGACTTGGGTTCGATTTCCTCTACCATTTTCAAGAGCGTGGGCTCATTTCCCGGACCGCAGTAAGATATCGTGCCCATCAATAATCTGAGGGACACTAAATCGACCCAAACAATCAACGAAGAAGAGTTGCTGTACAAAACTTTATTCACATATGAAGACAAGCTATTATTAGAGTAAAAAAGACTCCGGGGAAATTCTTCGGCTGCTTTCCCCTCGCATGCAGAATGATTCAGTTACGATAAACAATTTGAATTGGGAAAATTCAATACTGTGGCAGGGGCGGATCCAGGGATATTGGATTGGAGAGGGCTCACACTTATTCAAACAACACGAGTAGTGAAAAGCAATCTTGTCGTTTGGGGGAATTTTATGTTCACACAAGTAGTTATAATACCCGCACAAAGAGGGATGTAGAGTTCGGGACCCCCCGTCCTCTCCTTGGATCCACCCTTGCACTAGAGTGTTTTTCCCCACGCCGGTGGAGCAACGATCCACTTCGTCCGGTTGACGGAAACGGATGTTGCCAGCACTTCTTATAGAACTGATTGACAAAAGCTAAGTATTTTTCCTCTTGAATAATGACAAGCACATAGTATGTTGTTAAATATTGTATTTAAAAAGGCAGCTGAATGAAGAAAATATTTGTTTGACCGCTTTTCTTGGCGTAGAAATTCTGCCTTTTCGAGCTCCAAAACCTGTTCTACAATAAGTTAGTAGCCTACGTATGTGGCGGTTTTTGATTTCTTTGAGTGTTTGATGAAAATAAAGGCGATGGAGTCGCGTAAATGGTCAGCCCAATAAAAACCGTCAGTCTGATAATTCAGCCGTGTTTGTAACGCAAAGCCTAATGATCAGGTACTAGCAACACAGAGAGTTTTTGGTCAAGACTTAACAATGAATCGTCTGACAGCAATGATCGCTCGTAAAAAACGTCAAAAGAACGACCAGTTTAACTATTTAGTGGCCAAGCACGATGGCCGCACCAGCTTCATTCCAACTTCCCCCCCAAAATTCGGCACTGTTCATGAGCACAATATAAACCCGGGATCTTATCAATGTTTTAATATCACGCTGTTTTAGCAACAGGATGCGACTGCAAGTTGGGACGTTGCACTCATTTGAGAAAAAGGCTGGACACTAGCAGCATCTCTTCAAGCTAAAGCTACGTTGAAAATAAAATATTGTCAATTTTCCAACCCTTCCGAAGACGCAGGACAAAAAAAGGTCAAAAAAAGGGAGAACTTTGATTTGGTTCTGCAATTAATCTTGGTTGAACGAGTAAAAAGTTAATTCACATAAAGAACATAAACCTGCCAATATTCGCGCTAGGCGTAGTCAGCCTTGGTACTCGCGTCTTCAATCACGGTCCCGACATTGCGTCCTAAGCACGCGCATCCTGTTGCTTAATAAATCTAAGATCAACGTATGAACAGATCAATATTTAGGGTTCTGTGCCAGTTAAAAAAGGCTGGGGAAACAGGTACGGACATAGCCTTGGTCGTACAGTCTTAGCATACCGTACCTCACACAAAAACAAAGTTCAAAGGACCTGCTTTGAACCAGATACTCGAAACTTATCACACGATACATGAACATATCTATAACTTCGTCTGAACTTAAAAACTTTATAGTGAATGATTCTGAAATACGATAACAGAAAAAAAAAAAAACACCAACCACGAAATTTGCCAATGATCTTGCATAGGCATCTCCTACTCAAAAGAAATTGGAAAAATTTCTCCTCTTCGCCACAAACACGTACAGAAATGATCATAATCTTGTGCACACGGCTGAAAGGAAGAGAGTATAAGTTCGATTCTCGCCGATTGCTGTGCGCAATAGGGATCTCACGCTCTCCCTTCCCTTACATTCACCTTGAGCGAGAGTCTTGCCTCCAAACGCAAAGAGAGCAGATCTTGCTATAGACGAGCCAATAGGGGAAGCTTTTAGACGAACCAATCGGACAAGCTTTTAGACAAGTGTCAATAAGAGTCAAAACGTTCTCTTTACGAAGAGCCAGAATATAAAATTCGAAGAAACATTTTATATTTGTGAATAATATCTAGGAGCGATGCGATTGAGACTAGTCAGCGCTTAACTTCTTTTAGGGGCAGTATTTGAATGGATTAAATAATTCTAACCGTGCTGAACGACTTACAAATGTCCCTGAAAGAGTTGAGATTGCCGCAATTTCGCTCAGGAATGTTGTTTAACTAAACCAAAATCGGATCTCAGACATTTCCAACATTCGTAAGTAAAAAAACCCGGTCAAAATAGTAAATTCATATAGAAATATCTGATACTGCCTAAATCAAACTTCTCATCAATATTAAATGACGGCCACTAAAGTGGCGATAGTTCACAAATATCCGTGACCTTACTTTTTTTAAACATTGAAAACTATCTTGTAAAAAATGTTGTTGGCCTTGCATTCTGTCAACTAACAGGGTAGCATGTATTTTTTTTTTGATACAATGAACAACAATTAAATTAAACAAATCTCTGAAATGCCCCTAACTACAAAATATGCACGCATAAAAAAAGCGATATCCCGACCTGTACATCAAAATAAATTCCTATGTTATGGAAGTGATCACCCTCCCATCCCACAATTAACAATACAACAATGGCTAAGGGATTCACACCTACAGTACATTAACCATTTCACTCCCAAGATCTCATGAGTAATTCTCCTCACTGTCGGCCATACCCTTCTCATAATGTTAGTTCAGGGAATTAAGTCTTAGATCAACCAATAATCCCCTAACTGATGTTTCTCTTATTCTCGTCACTAGTCTGCTTGACATTGTGTTGATACCGTAAGGAGAAATTCTGTCTTGATCACTTATGGGAGTGAAAGGGTTAACTAAGAAAAGCTACAAGTAAACAAGTACACCACACACCTCAAAGCTCACCTGACTGCGATGGAGCTCGCATCGCACATGCCTAGTATATTGTTCGACCTCAATCTAAAACGGTCATATAATCTTCTGTTTTTTCCGAAATTCTTTTAAGACTAATTTTCTCTACTTTCCAATTCTTTGATATAGATAACTTTCTCTAGGTCTCAGGAAAGACAATTTTTTTGCAGACTTTCTATGAAATGAAAAAGACATATTTAATAATAATCAAGGAAAATACACCAAAACCTTCAAGATGCAAAGACATGCAAATATGTCTCTTCACGAATATTCAATATCGATGCCGGTGAACATGAACGTTGTAGCGATTGTTGTCATTCTTATTCAAGCTCACAAAAGAAAAAACAAAAAAAATTTAGGTGAATCCTTCTCAGTGTGTGACTTGAGCAATCATGCAGCAACGTGACGAATTGGGATTGCGTGACATTTCAAAAGGGGTGAACAGGACTAACCTTTACTTAACCCTTTAACTCCCACAAGTGATTAGCATGAAACTTCTCCCTAAAATATCCCTACATTCTTCGGCAAACAGTTTATGAGAATATTCAAACTTATCAGGTAGAAGCTGCCATCTTGATCTAGCACCAAGTTCTCATAACTGATTACAAAGAAATGTATGGCAGCTAGACGGGAGAATTGACAAGCAGATCTTAAGGGTTAAAGGGTTAAGCTCGAGTAAACATTGAACTTCAACTGAACAACAAAAATACAAAGGCCCATTTTTAAAGTGTACAAATAGTTATCAAATTAGCTAATACTAAACCAGCCACCTGAAAAATCGTGTCAACGTCCATGCATTTGGATGGGGGCCCCGGGGTACGGTGGCGGATCCTCGTATCCGTTGTATCCATGCCGGGGGTTTCCTCGGTTCCCTGGCTCCATCTGTCGACCTCTCTGGTTAGGTCGGTTACGTTGTTGTTGACGGCGGAGTGTGAGCTGACGATGTGGCTTTCGGTTCGGGTTACTGCTCGGCGTGTGAACGCTGCAAACCTTGATGAAGCCTAGCGGTAAGGAAGGACGATATAAAGTGTAAGTTGTCAGAAAGAGGAGTGATTCACTTAAGACGCCGCTTTATTGTAAACGTGTTAGTAATCTGGCCGCATACGTCAAACCACAACGCGCGTTTTACCGACAGCTAGCACCCTAATTATCGTTAAAAATAATTATTTGAGGCTAGAATGCTTCTAACTCCCAACTTTTCAAACATGTAGACAAGGTGAGGCGTGACTTTGTTTCGCCAAGTAAGTGGTCATTTTGCATATCAGGATTAAAAATGGCAGTGTCCTTTGTCGATATCTTAGCAACATTTGAAGACAATTTCGAAAGTTTGAGTTCCTCTCTAGGATCTTAAAACCGGTCAGAGTTCTAATTTCTTACAAACTTTTGAATTGCGGAGACATCCCTTTCATTATTTTGAAGCATACTTCTCAGCAGCACTGAAGTCTCTAAAACATATTTGGAGAGGCAGAGATTTAACTCGTTCACTGTACCTGCCATGAGAAGAATGAGACCTACACCCATAAGCACCACCGCCCACCAATACTCCTTGATCCAATCTAAGTATCCCTTGATGGCCTCCTTGCTGAAGAACTTGTTCTTTAGACGTGACAAAGGCCCGTCTGCGTCCACCGCGCGGCACTTAAGGAAAACATCACAGTAACCATTGAAGTCATTGCACGGCGCGCCGGGAAATTGTTTCAGATTCTTTCCCTTCTTCATTTCATCAATCTCACTGGCCGGCAAGCATGTGCCTTTTTCACCGTCTTTGCAGCACAAATCACAGAGATGATCTTCTTGTGTACACTGGCACTCCAACTTGTCGAACTTTAAGCAAATTGAACCGCTGCATTCCTATACAGATACAGTAAAAAAAAAAAAAAAACCACAATAATAATCACACAGGTTAACAAGCTAGTTTACCATGTAGACAGAACTTCTCAACCGAACGTTTTACTGCACTCTACAACTGTTTGCGGAATTCGAGCATGCAGAACTCCGAGCGTTGCAGCTGTAGAAACGTGTCAAAAAACTGTATGGGAGTTGTATAATCTAACAGCGGAATAAGGATAACAATTACAGAAGGAACATTGTACTCAGACGACAAACTCAAGTACGGTAGTTTTAGTCTGAACAGCCCATGATATATCTTCAATCAATGCGGAGAAAATTTGTTTCGAAGGAATTTCGACAATTCATGTCTGAGAAGAACTGAAAAAATACCTAAGTTTGATTGTTTTTTTTAAAAATTTTTTATAATTTCCTGATTTTCTGTCGGTGCAGCCGAGACCAGGACTAGGACCGAGGCCGCTAAAATTAGAAAGGAACACATCTTTGTTCAGCACTGACTGACAAGATCAGTTAACCAGTTTAATATTTTTTATAACTTTTATGAACATTTCATCACCAAATAAAGGATACAATTACTGAATTGGAAGATAGGGCAGGACAATGCAGTCTAATCATGGACTTTCTTCACGAAAAGACCAGCCTAACCTGCTAAAGTTCTGATAAAGGTAACCACCCTACCTCGAAACTCCTACTCAGTAGCACAAACGAGAACTCTAAAACTTACTCCCTGAAGGCAAACTTGTCTTCCGTTGTTACACAAGGTGAGATTGGCTTTAGGGTCCGGAGCAGGACAGGTAGCATTAATTCCACTTTAAAAAAAAACATTAAGGAAAATACCAACAACAAACATAAACAACAAATGCAATGTGTTGCTGCAACTGATATAATCTGGAGTAAACAAAACTTACAAGACTACAGCGTAACCTCGTTTGCCTCCCTTGTCAATAGTGTCATAAAACTAAAAATTCCTGGCATGAAGGTACAGCTGAAGGAAATCCATGGACGAGTGAAATGGGGATGAGTAAGACGAAGGTGTTCTATGTCCTGATTGGCTAACCAAGGGGACAGCCTTTCTTATCCATGTGAAATAAATTGCTTTTTTTTAAAATTCAATTTTTCATTCATGAGCATTTTCCCTCCACCCATGACTGCTTTCTTTTTTCCTATGAAATAAGTTGCTTTAAGCCAGCTTTCGGCAACACTTCACCCTTTGGCCCCCGAGGGTGGGTGGGGTGACTAACATCAAATTTCTCTTAAACCAAGATTATAATCATGAGAGTAAAGGAAACGAGCACCTATTACAGGAGCTCTTGATTGACACTTAACTTCTCCTTATAAGGAAATGTATGGAATGTGGAGGGTGCAAAGGGTTAAATATATACATGTAAGCTTGTCCAGTCAAAATGACCTAGTGTTGGCCTAGTATTGGGCCAATATTGGCCTAGTGTTGACCCAATGTTGTTCTCCCTCGCTTCTTTGGCTTTCTATAGTTTCTCAACTTTGTTTACATCCATGAAAAAGCAAGATAAAATAAAAAAAGGAAAGAATAAAAAGAAAAGAAAACACTATCCACCCATTTGGAACTTAAGATTAGTCAATGATGCATTTGAATGAACCTGGTTCTTTAATGGTCAAAGGTCAATTGCTGCTCATCCAAAACCCTCCTTTTGACGAACCAGGACAACATGCCGTGAGAAATGGAATGGTTATGGAAATAAAGTACAACGCTGAATGCACACATGTACAGAAAGGATACTTGCAATAGGAACGGTTGGCACACTCTGTCTCATTAAGACACAACACAGTTTGTTTGTGTGGAGTGCAATTGTAACTGCAGCAAAGACCTTCACTTGGGCTGGAAAAGAACACAAATATGTATTTAACATGCTCTTTCTCCTTAAGGGTGACTGTTACAGTAATTATCTCTTGATCAAAGAGGTTGATTCTGTAAGAGAAACTAGAATATGACAGCCTAAACAAATGAAAGTCAATTCGTAACCTTTTATTCAATTCGTAACCTTTAAAAGCTCCTGTGAACTATCTACAATGTACCACAATGAATAAATTAATGTGTAGAGTTTTGCCAGGGAAATATAACCTCATCTAATACAACCGACTCAAAAACTTGTGGGCCCTAATTTAAAATTCCACATCAGTAACACTAATTCCCACAAAAAGACACAGCACACTTAACTCATAACTGGATTAGCAGAAAACATCATCACAACTGTTCTTGAGCTTACTGCCAGGGCTTCTCCCAGTTTCAGTTGTACAGAGGGACTAGAGGCCCAGGGATGTTAACGTATGAATTCCAGGTTAAACCCCTGAATTCCCTCAGGGTCACTTGACAGTTTAATGGAGCCCATCAACATTTACCTTCCAGAATAATCTACAGTGCAGACAGGAACTGAACCTGTACTTTTAAAGTACAGTAAGCTACCCATTTAGTCACTGTGTGTCTTTGCAATGAAATAAGTAAGGTATTAGGAAAATGTTAAGCTGACACAATTCAAATGATCAGAGAAATGACAGTTTCAATTTAATTATATTTCCAGATGTGTATCGGTATATTCACAGCATACAGTACAGAGACATTTTGTGGTAGTACAAAATGAAATTTTCAGCTAGTTTTTTAGAGAATGATCCATGGCCATCAAGCAACTACACAACCATGATTCAAATTTGTGGGTAACATTTTAGTAATGAGATGCATGTTAAACAATAAAATGATTAACCGACCTGCATGTTGCATTTCCCCTTCGCTTACAGCCACTTCCTTTGCTTTGAGTGTCACGACCCACACAACATGTGTCCTTCTTACACGAATCATCAGTTTTATAACCACAGTCACACTCCTCCCCATCTTCTGTAACCTTGTTGCCACAGATGGCTCCCTGAGCCTCTGAAATGGACAAAGGAAAAAAATTCAACACCAAAGTGCAAAAACCACTCGTTAAAGAATAGCTGCTGTCCTTAGTCAAGATAATTTGATTCACAACAGGCTATTGTTGTACTTTACATGTTGAAGAACATAATAACTCATTCTTTCAAGTTCTACACTTTATAGGATATAAGGCTGCTCAGCTCTTATCATTACATAACTTTTTTCGTTCAACATTTTCTTCTTATTTTCTTGGTAAAGTACACTGAAATTCCAAGCATTTTGCACTTCACGAGTTACAGAAAAAGATGTTTTGTAGATGAGATGCTATTCTTTGAAGCTTTAGCTTTTGAGATGAAGTACTGGTATTCATCACTATCAGTAATCCAGGAGAGAGAAAGCTTGTCAATTTAATAGAAAAACTCTACAGCTGCTTCTGCCAAATTCCAGCTCTTGTATCCCTGCTGCTACAACCTACATGTACAGTTGTATGCCAGAATATACAGGTCTAAATCTTAGCACAGTTGCTTATACATGTAGCTCTACATGTATCAAACTCTACCATGTTCCAGGTTGTTGACTGTACCCTTTGACTGGCCTTGAATTTATCTTTTATAGCATGCCACATGTGAAAGCCCCAAACATAACACACTAAACAAGGAGAAAATGCTGCACTATTTACCTCCAAAGCAACAGGAATTTTCAGTACATCGCCCCTTGACATTCATCACCTCGTTCATTTTTGTCCTGCTACATGGTGAAAAAAGTCTGTTGTTCTTTTGATCTCCACTTGTAGCTCTTGCAAACATGATGTAATTCCCATCAGATCCTCCTGGGGCGCATTCAGGAGTACTGTCGTGCTGAGAGTTTAAAAAGAAATGTTGTCAGACAACTGGACAAAAACTCCACACAGTCAAGTAGTTTTAAAAATACATTCCATGCGGAAGGGGTGGGGGAATCTGGCTCAGGGTGCCCAGCTTACAACATCAACACTTTAACTACTTAACATCCATGCTTTCTCATTCATTCTGACTGATGAACAGTAGGACTAAAACATCTAGAGAGTAATTTACTGTCAGTTATCTGGAACTTCACCAAGCTATTGTTTTGGTTAACCACTTCCCCTCCCTCACCCCCTACAGTAAATAAAAAGTTTGGGTATCACCATGACAATCTGGCAAGCACCCTGATGTGAAACAGCATGACACCTCTTGAAGATCCTTGCCAGACCCTTGAATTTGCAGGCTAAAAGTTAAAACTATCTGATTTTCACCCTATAAAACCACTAGGCATTACATTTTTATGGGTATATAGTATTGAAGGAGTTCAAATGCTCTTGGGGTGGAGGGTGGAGGGTCCTATATCCATTTTGCTTGTCTCTGGTATGCTTTGTGGAATTATGACATTTCTTGACTATGGTGCTTGCTAGTATTATGAACAACTTTTTTCCTCCTTTCCTTTTTTCATTTTAAATGGTTCATCATCCCTTTTTACCCACAGCTATATTATTTGATAAAAAATGCCCAAACTAATGAACTAAGTTTACCAGAAACTCTTCACAAGTACATGTATAAGTAAGAATGATCATTACAGCAACAATGTATGCCAATTAATACAAACAGACATCATTAAAACTTACTGGTGAGCCAAAGTTATGGCCAGCTTCATGTGCAAAGGTGATCTCAGAGACTTTTCGTAACACTTTCTTGTTATAATTGACAAATGTGACAACTCCAGTGTTCAAACTTTTTGTTTTGCCATCTCTAAATGAAGTAGCCTTTTCACAAATCCCCCCTGCAGCTCCACCTTATAATAAATGAAAAATAAATAACACTTATACCTGAGAAGGTAAAAAAGCAATGAAGTATGTACAGCACTGACCTAGCTGTGGTCATTTGAAACATTTAGACAACAAGAGTGAACAGAATAGCAGCTTTTATTTCAGGATTCCTCTACATGTTTAAATTTCAAGCAAAAGAAGCTGCTGTAACAGTATTAGAAATATGTTGTGGTACATCGATTTTGTAAGAAATCCAATAAACAGATGCTGATGTGAAAGAGTCTTTGGATTTATCAAAGTGATCAGCCATATCGATGGTTTGGTATTACTACAACCATGAGCCCCTCGATGTTATGTCAAAATTTACGTGCTCTGAAATGTATTGTAAAGTAGTAGGTGGTACTGTTGGTTCCAAATATCAAAGATTTTTAGCTGAAAACAAATGTAATGTCATGCAATACTCAACAATGCCCTTAACAGGTACTGTTAATGGAATTAGGGGGTCACATTCATGTACAGCATGTATCTTACCCAGGCACTGTAGCAACTGGCATAGGAATAGAGTTACATAACCAACCCTTAATATAAAAGTTCTTATTACCTGCTTCACCAACCCATGCAAGTCCTAACACACCATCTGCAAAATCTCTGTAGGTAAAAATGTATGACAGGCATACATCATCATGGTTCTCCTCAGAGTTCAGCTCAAGGAGCTTTTCCACTCCAATGTTGCTATCTCTGTAAGGGTTCCCTCCATCATTTGCTTCAGCAGTCCCATTGGCAAACATTCTCTGGATTTGAAATTCAATGCCTGATAGGAAAAAAATTTGCGTTGCATTTTATACCAAGCCCTATAAGAGCACAAGATTTCTAAATACTTCTTACTGGCAACACAAGAAGATCATCAGCCTCATTTGGTCAGTGGTCATTTTCGTCAGTGCATGCCCTTGTAGAACATTGTCATTAACTATCTAACAGCTAGATCTTTGAGTTCTAAGATGTAAGCAGCATTGAAGGAGTTGCTTATTAGCAGTCTTTCATGCTTTTGTGTTTATTTTTCTTTAATATCACATTGTCACTTTCCCCTCAATTGTCTGAATGTATGTTATGTCTTGAGAGGTCCCTTACAACTCCAATAACCATCACCAGATGTTAAAGTTGATGATTAAATCTTGTCTCAATCTTGTCTATGTTTAGTCTTTTCTTTTTGTGTTTGTTTTATTTCCAGGTGAACAAAATGTTGTTTCTTTTCACCTCCTTATGATTCCAGGTCACCAAATAGTGAATTTGAACAACATTGAGCTTGTAGCCTGCACTCAGGATGATACATGTCAGTTGTCTTATTAGCATCATCTAACTTCAGAATGAACAAGTAAGTGGTGTAGTAGGGTATATATTAAGTGATTACTTTACCATCAGCTTTATTATTATCACTGAAGTCTGTGTTTTTGAAAATAGAATTTGCAGCCTTGACATGTTCTGCCATCAGTAACATTGCTCTCTCCTTATTTCCACCAGCCATGTTTTCTGTAAACAAATGATCGGCCTGCAAAGCAAGGCAATCATTTTTAATGAAAGCTGCAAAAAGAGACATTTTTCATTTTTGTTTAAATATGAAAGGAAGCTGATTTTTATTCCTGAAAGTTTTGATAGATTAAAGCAAAATAAGCTTAGAAGCTGAAAGATTCATTCTGTCTCACCTCATCCCAGTTTTAGAAGCTCAATAACACTAAAATAAGTGTGCTATAACTCCTTGAACAGGATTTCTGTCCATTTCATGGCTACCAATTCTCCAACAATATACTGGTATAAAAAAATTTTCAACTCCCTCTTGCAGAGAGGCACTGTAAGGATTACATGTAAGGGTAACCTCTTCATCACTGGAAATTTGCATTTTCCTTAAAGTTTGAATTTGTCAGAATTCCAAAATGATCTTGAACTGTAACACCAACATGCACAGGTAGTGCATCAATCATAAAGCACATGTACATGAAACTACCAAAAAAAAACACTAGCAATGTCAATCACTGTAAAGTGATTGTGTTTTGGTAAGTTTTTTGTTGCAATATTATATTTTGGAAAAAGTATAATAAGCTTAGGATACAAAATTATATTACATGAGACAATTAATTGGCAATGTTACAACCAGCTATTCTTCTCTAACAAGTAAAAGGTTAGTTACTCAGAAAAGTACATGAGCAGTTGCCAATACTTTTACAAGGAGATTTAGATTTCAAGACTTGTGACAACTGATGCAACAACTGAACGCAAGGAAAAATACCAAAGGTGTTTTGATCAAGAAACAAACACCTCATGAATCGGTTCCTTAATTAAAAGACAAAGTACACTTGAACCATTATGTGATTAGCTTCCTTTATTGTAAAGAACAATGCTATTTAAAATAATACTAACAGACTCACTACTTCAATCACTGTTTGACAAAATAACTAATCACATTTCAGGAAACCATGATTTCAATTAATTTAATTCAATTACAGTAATTAGTTCTTAGGAATAAAGCAGGCAAAGATGAAAAAAGGCTTTAAAACCATAATGGAATTCATGGCTCACTTCCTGTAATCGTATAGGTCAGGGCTGTGTAACTGACCCTTGTAACTACTTTGTAGTACTTCAACATTAAAATAACACAATCAGTGGACCTAGATGCCCATTTGTGTGATATCAATTGAACAATTTACTCACTTGCATCTTCAAAGTACAAGACAACTTTTTAGGATCAATGTCTCCTGTTGCCCTGCGATATCTGTATAGGACTGGTTCATATTGGGTGTGATCCTCCTTGACTTCCACCTTCTCTGTCACTGCTGACCTGGTTGAGTCAATCAAAAAGTAAAAATTGAGAATCAAAGAGGTTCTGACTGTCAGTTTGCTCTTGGTTTCTTCAAATTAACACTTCTTTGTGTTGAATTGTCAAATATACAATATCATATTTTTATATTGTTTATCTAAAATTGGTTTCTCTTGCATGACAAAGATGCTGGGAGCAGGTTCAAATACATGTATTACTGATACATGTACATGTATATGAACAGTTTCCAAAATAATTCAGAAATTCCTTTGATTTGTTTTGAAATAAATAATGCCAAAATGTTAAAGGTCCCTGGTATCAAGTCTCTCAATCAGTCTACATGTATTATTCATCACTCATCTCAGTCTAAAACCACAAATGTAGAAAGGCAGCCCACAAGTGAAAAATGCTGAGAAATTAGCAAAGTCTATCACATGTAGCTTAATGTATTGGCACTGACATTGATATACAAAAGTGATAAGTAACAGCTGATGAGTCAAGTGAGTATGAATCATATCCCACACTTCCAGTGTTATAAAGATGTCTCTATTTAAGTGTACAATATATATGTACCTTTTAACTTTATCCATCCACTTCTTGGTTTTCTCAGATACTCCACAACCTGGACCATAGGCATGAGGATAATTCACATCTCTGCTTTCATAAATAACTGAGTGGAAGTCATTGGGCTCATCCTTGAAATATTCCTTGGCGGACTCCACAAAATACTCATCATCTCCTACATGAATTTTACCCTCGAAGACACCATCATCAGAAATAAAACCATGAACAAGAGATTTCTTGTGTCCTGATTGTAAAACAAGAAAAAAATTATGTTGTCAGTGCATATCAAACAAAATCCATAAAGGCATTTGCCCATGTAACTGAAATTATATGATTTCACACACTCAAATACACACACAATAAACAAATCATGCAAGTGAGCCACTAAAATACAAATGTAGATTGTAGAGGTGAAAGTGGAGAGATGCAGTCTCTATTTTCCAACCTGAATGACCACTAAATTCCCTTTGAAGCTAACTTCTCTCCTAAAATTATTCACATTGTAGTTTGTCTGTGATGAACTTGCATAGAGTTGTCAGTTTTTAACACACGCTTCAAAATGCAGGAAAATTAAAGCACAAAGAGTCCACACAAGTTGATTTACACAAATTGTACTGGTACAAGAGTGCTACAAAATTTAAATTGATTGAAGTTTAGGCAAGGTTAAAACTAATGCTATACGGCCATTTTTATGGATGGGATTTGGTGTGCCCCAAGGAATTTGGAAGGGAATTGATGGGTACTTATGCTCAATTTGACCATTCCCCAACCAACTCTTTGGGTGTTTGTTGACTGATTTGACAAGTGCCTGAAGAAGTGATCCTGCTTGGTTGCCATAAAGACTAACTTCTAGCTAAGGAGACTGTTGCCCTCTTTCCTCTAAATACTGTTGTTGATTATAAGTAACGCAGCGTTTTACAGCATATGCAATGAGGTTCTTCAGACACTGATAACACACAACTTTCAAGTACCTTCTACATCCCCTGCAACCACTTTAGCGGGATCAAAGTAAGCATCTGCACTAAAGTCATCTGTAAAAAGTTCTGTATCCCTTCTGAGACGAAGCTTAAAATCTCTGTGACAAGAAAACCATAGTGTTTATATAGTGTTTATATAAAACAACTGTAAAATATCAACCCTGCAGACCAATCAACTTGGGTCTTAACAAGGATTGCTTTACAGAAGGGATGGCTGATCCAACATGATTACCTTTTTCATATAATAACTTTAAACTAACAAATTTGATAGTAATGAGTGACCTTTTTCAGCAATTCATCCCCATTAAATATGCAACCAAGTGTTATCTAAAGAGGGTCCCAAATGGTAGTGTATTGCTTAGCTGTCAGGTGAGCTGTCACTTGGGTTATTTGCAAGGACATATTCTCTAACACATGCCCATACCTAAAGCCCTTTTCACACTTGGTTGTGGCCAAGTCAACCTCAATATCATTCAGTTTGCATTAACAACAAAATAATTGTGGGCATTAAAACTTGAGAAACATGCTTTCTATTGTGCATGCTTACATGACCCTTCAGACCAGCAAAATAATATATTCGTAAGCTAAATTATAAGATGACTTCTGTATGGGGAAGTAGACAGATGTTATTAGCCAAATGATTTTATCTGAAGGTACTTGTATGTTTCCAAATTAACAATGTACAATACCCTGAGGAATGTTTAAAGATGCATGCTCTTTGTTAATCCAAAATTACTTCATATAGTGAAAGCCTTATGTGAGAGACATGACTTAAATGGGGTCTGCAAGAAGAAAAGAAGTCACCCTTGGCCTATGTCCGTGAAAAATCAAGTCCGAGTGTTCTTAACTACCAGAGCTAAAAAAGTCTAAAAAAGTATAATAGCACTCCATATGGGGAACTACTCAAGGTTTACTATGAAGAAAGACACAACACACCTCAAATTATAACACGGATTGCTGTGCTCCTACGCTCAAGGGACCTCCCTTGTATTATGCTTTAGCTTTTGTGTTAAGTCAGTTTTGAATAAAAGAAAGTATGACTTTGGTTCTAATAACATAAAGAATTTAATTCCTCACATTGTTTATATACAATCGAAGCTTTAGTTAGGAGACAAGCAAGACGGGAGATGTAATCGCAGCCCTTCTTTCAGCATGTAACTTGGAAACGACTTTAAAGTTATTTGCGTCTTTGAAGTGTTTCTACTGGATCAAAATTCCCTGGAATACGACTTAGACGTTGGTTCTTACCTCTGTTTAGTTTTTAAGTGTAATTCAACCACATGATCGCTGTTTGGACTTGAACGCCTCACTCGACCGTGTTGCTGGACAACAGGAGCCGTGTCATAATTTAAAGTCTCGTAGTGGTTTATAAAATCTCCCAGCGGCCGTCCTATTAAACCCAAACACCGACATTATGTGGGAATTCATATTTCAAAGGTAATGCAGTTTAATACGAAGGGATGACAAAACCACAAACAAATTTCAACTTACGATATGCCACAACATAACTTGTGAGGAGTATGAGAGAAGCAAAACAAACTTGTGAAGCTGCCATGGTTCGTAACCGCGAGGTTCCCGCACGAGAAGGCGCAATATCAAAGGTCCTGTCAATATATAAGGTTCTATGTTGATCTTAAGAAGACTGCAGTTTCTAAGTCTGAAGGAATGGCGGTGAAAGATATATAATTTTTCAAAATTCGAAATCTCAACTCATTCTCACTCCCTTGGGAATAATGCGCATGATCACGATCGTAAGCAGCTATTGACGTCATAGTGTTATTCTCCATAGTTACTTCGTAGAAAACAAAAAGAACTTCCGTGATGCGGGCCCCTCCACAATATATCAACTAATGAAACATATATTGGACTGTTTCTTCAAGTGTGCACCGTGAGAAAATACGTTCTGAACTACAACAGGCATATTATGATTCCTAAAAGTTTTCTTTTAGATCAAAATGTGTCCTAGAAATTCCGTAATGATCATTGATTTAAAAGCCGTTCGAGTGTCTCGATTTCAAACCGTTACGTCGTGGGTTAAGCATTTTGACGGTCTAAAATCAGCGCGTAAAAGGCAATAATCACACTTTAACGAAAAAAAATAAAAGGAGTTCTGTCATACTGGTCTGACTGAGTCTATTGTAACAATAACTTCTCCCTCTATGTCCTGACATTTTTTTCAAGCTGTAATAAAATGTCGACAGATCTTTAATCCCTGAATAGTTCACCTTTAAGCTGCTCCAATACCCTTGGATTATGTCTCTGGTCAATGGTTGATCCCTGTCCACCATTTTAGCCCATCTGAGATATGAAATATTCGAGGATCTGACAGAACAGGACAATCCGATTGGCTATGTTGCCATGTTGTTTACCCTGATCTACCCTTAATGCCAAATTCATACTTTCTTTTTTACATATGCGTGGTTTACACGACTCATGATCAGTTTTCGCATTCGAGTCAACAGATCGATTAAAAGTACTGTGCGGTCTAAATTAGAAATTCCCACTTACAAGAACACTGTCATATAGTAACTAGAAAACCACAGAGAGAGAAACCAAAGATGTCTGTTATTTCCCTGTTTTTCGTATTGATGAAAGGTACTGGCACCAGGAACAAGTGAATCCATTCATACGCTCCTATGCACTCCAAGAAACTGTAAGCTGTTGCAATAAGCGATCTCTAGTGCACTGACACCTAAACCAATTACACAAAACTGGGACAATCATCTTCTAAAAGCACTAAAACAACTTTTTATTTGATCATTGTAACTGAACATTCTTTTAAACTCTACGCCATAATTGCCTTATTGAAAACTAAATTTCAGTCACAATTCTTAAAAAACCCTTTTTTGTTAAAAAAATGCTTTTAATATTAATTCACATCGATAAAAAAATGAGCTAAGATCTCATCCCTAAGAATGGCATCTAATGCCTCATTAACGAAATTCCAAAATTGTGAATTCAACTAATAAACTTTTAATTTTATAATATCATTTAAACTGGATAACTTCGGGATTTGGGCTTCAACTTGAAAAGTTATCCTTTGCTGAACGACCGCTAGATTAAAATCTCTCCCAAAATAAGAACGACTCAGGAAAACTGCCATGACAAGAAAACAGGATCATTTCCTTCAATTGTAGAAAAATACAATTCGTTATTTCGCAAGTGGATTCTAACTCTTCGCCCTTCTTGAAGCTGCCTTGCCGGATCGCGTCATTTTTTCATGACCACTGGATAGTGAAGCCTTTGTCCATGGGTAGCTTGAGATCGGTTACTTTAACCACCTAACCAGAAAGAACACAACAATAGTAAAGCAGTTAGACACTCAATCCTCCTGCTCTTCCGTCTGTCAATCCGTTGGTCGTTCAATCATCCTATTGCTCAGCGAGTTACTAAAAATGTAAGCCAATCTGTTAAACCACATGCACATTTCTTCACTTCTCGAAATATGTGTGAGGCTGAAAACTTTTCATAACTTTAGAAAAATGCTTTTTTACTGGCCAACAACACCAGCCCAATAACTCTATTTTTCCTGGCACTGATGGACTCAGTTACAAGAATTATTTCTTCATTATAATTGGTTACCACTACATCCCATGATTAGATGTCCGAAATTTTTTTACTTAAAGTTACTCACAGTACCAAGCCAAGAGCATAATGCAGTGAACTTTGACCGTTTAATCTCGAGTCAAACACGTCAACCATTACTCGTCAAATCTTTACCTTCTGTTGACTTTTGTTTTAGAACTTACTCAAGGAAAACGTACGGTGCCCTAGTGAATTATATGAACAGAATTTAACAAGCAAAGAGACCCAGTGCACACAAAACTGTCAACTACAAGTACTTCTTAACGTTTTAGTCTCTAACATCAGTTTTTGTATTCTCCATACTGTTTCTTATACATTTCTCATTGTACTGACAAGGAGAATTTGTCCCACAATTTAGAGCGTCTCAAGATGGTGATCATTTCCTTCATTTTTTCATTTAACTGTTTCATTCAGCAATGACACTGTATGGAGAAATTGGATCTTAATCACTAGGGGTTAATAAATAACCTTAGTTGAGGCGCTGTAGGAGAAGCTCTCTATCGGATGATCATTCACAGTAACGGACTTGGGAGCTGATGAGACACCAAACACTCCCAAATTCATCAGTAGTGGTTCGGGATGGTACGAACTCTTGGGGTCCACTGTTGCTTTAAGCGTCCCCTGCAGGAAATTCAAACATAATTAGATCTAATTAATCTGCATTGAGAAAAGATTGACACAAACTTTGCGCCACAGCCGAGTCTATAGTTTCCAAAGAGAAGAAGAATATTCATAAATCATAAAATACAAAACCAAAGAAAAGTGTTGAGTCTTGAATATTGATGCCATAACACTGTCTCGATGTCTCCTCCTATTTCAGTGAACAAATTGCAAGGCAGTGGGGGTGTACTCGGCAGGAAAAGAAACAAACTCTTCTATAGTCAAAAATTAGCAGAATCCACAAAATAGAACCTTCAACTCGCATTAACGGCGCACATTATTTGAGTCGAGCTATGGTATCGGAAGATATATAAATTTAAACCGAACGGGGTTGTTAAAAATGATTACTTACCAAAAGCTCTTAAAGGAGGGAAGAATGGGAGGGACAAAGGGAGCAAAAAAAACAAAGAGCAATGACACACTTCCCCAAACATCCCGCTAGTAAAACTGCTGCATTCGCTTCATGTAACCTTGCCTTAATTACATTTCGCCTCATTTAAATGAATTACGCTCTACGTACTGACCTCGGAAACTGCATATATCACGTATAAATATGGAGCACTGACAATAGGATCTGGAACGAAAGAAATAATTAAAATAATCTTGCACTGGAGGAGAACACGAATCACCTAAGAATGACATGGTAGAAAAAAAACTATTTCATCTGAAGTTTAACAGAGGCTCAACCGAGAAGACTTGAACGCCAGGTTTGCTGTTTAGTCAGGCCGACCCTCAGCTGCTCCGGTTAGCATGATTAGCACCAAGACCAAGCCTGAGGTGACTTACCAATAAAAATGATATTCATAGCACTCAAAAGCATACAACAAACACATGATGTGTACTACCTGCGTTGAACTAGGGACTACTTTGCTTTCTTATTGGTAGGACGTACTTCCTTTTGTTCAAACCTTACCCAGAGACTCTCCGTCATCATAAAACAGGTCTCCCATGGCCTCCCCGGACGACGACAAACAGACGGTCAACTGGAATGGATTCTGACGGCTGCGATACAAATGGAAGAATCGAATAAATAGACAAACAAACACAGCAATAAACAGAAAAGACTTGAACCAACAGTTGTTGAGGATTACGAGGAATTAATTCTAAAAAATTGGCACTAATTCTAAAAAATAGGCACGAAGTTGTCACGATGACGCCGAGCAGCCCCGCTTTTGGGCGAGGTCCATCGCACGAGTCCAAAAAAAAAATGTCAGTGAAAATGCCAGAGCGGCGCGCTAACTTTTTTCGATGACTTCGCGAAAAGAAGGAAGTGTTCGTAATCTATTGTCACGCATATTGCGCTGCGTTACCTGTAATATGTGGTGATGTTTGGCATTTGCGTTGGTATCACATATCCTCCTCTGAAGTGAAAATTGATTTTATCCCAGGGGGCGGATAATGTGTGAGTCTTACCACCTTGTGTCTGTAGAATAGAACCATCTGTTCCATCATACCAGGTGGCATCTGGAAAATAGCCAGTGACGGATGTAGATCCCTTTAAATAAATAAATCATATCACGTGCTTGATTATTCCTCGAGTCCTTGATGACTTAAGCCAGCTTGTGTGCAATTCTTACAGATCAATTTAAAATTTTTTTATGGTAAAGAACTAGTTCACGAGATGAAGCGTACTTTTCACCCAATTGAATTGTGTGAGTGTTTCCCTTCTAAATACATTATAAGTTGTTTTAAATGTAGATGAATCTGACCGATTCAAAAGAAACTGGAAGAGAATCATGAACACTAAAGTTGATCACGTGCACATACCTGTGTTAAAACGGGTGTTATCAGCAAGGCTGGACCAAGGAGGAACTGCTTGTCAATAGCATATGTCTGACTGTCACTTGGAAATCTAGACATATCGGGAAGGAAAGAGGGTCATTAAAGTTAATTTAGATTTCCCCCGACCACTAATATCAACAGTGACCTGTCTAGGCATTTGATAACAATTTAAGGAATGAAGTTCGGGGAAACTTTGAGGGCCGATTATTTACACGAGGTCTGACTCAGACCGCGGTTTTACGCAAGCAGTGGGCTTCAGGGATTCTCTATAAGAGGGTTGATTTCATTAAAAAAATGTCCTTAGCTTCCGGCCCTCGTGACACTGTTCACAGAAATAAATGTTCAGATTAAAGGTTCGGCTAAATTGAAGATGAGACACAAAAGAGAGAAGTAGCGGGGGTATTCACATCTGACTGGCGTTAAAAAAATTTTAAATGAATTAACAGTAATTGTGAAATATGAGTCGAATGTTTTGGATCGAAACATAAGCCTCATTCCTCAATTTTCACACAATCGTAAGTGACACTGATACTGCAAGCAAACCTGTCGTGAGAGCAATTTTGGTATTCAGTGTTTACTTACTCGTAAAAAAGAGGCCTAGCCACGGCACTTCCTCGCATGTGCGAATGCGCAAACAACGTATACAAATACGGCAACAATGCATAACGGGTTAGTAACACGTCACGTGCCATATGCGCAAAGTCGTCTCCAAAGGCAGCAGGGTCCTGAGGCTAAGAACAGAAAAAGAAAATGTGTTTCGACTGAGAAAAGGGATTGTTGTGTTGTTAGGGACCAGTCATAATTTAGCGCAGGGGGAGGGGGGGGAAGGGGAGCGGTGGAGGATTTTCTCATAATCCCTCTTTTCCTTATGAACCCCCATAGGGCTCTGTAATATTCTTATGATCCTATGGGGGGAGTAGGTAAATATTATCGTGACCAAACCAAAATGCGCCAGCTCCCTTCCCCCTTCCCCAATTAATTTCCAATTAACAATTTCACGAACGATTCCTGATGATGGCCCCCCACCCCCAACCCCACCCACAGCCATCCTCCTTATCCCCCACCCACACCATCCTCCTCAGTCCCCCACCCACAGCCATCCTCCTCATACTTTCAGTGAGGCACTTCCAGTGTACACGAATTCATAGTCCTTTCTGTTACATGGAAGAAGGACTGATTTTCTTGGAAATCCAAATCAGCTGGTCGTTATATTTCATTAAACTAAATCATATCAATCCAACACCTTTCTTGTCTGTTGCGAAATGTTATAAAACAATGAAATTGAAGAAGAAAAATTCATTCATTCATTCGTGTTCATATTCATAACCCAACTCGAACTTGCATGACAAAGGGAAGGATATGCTGATCAAGAATCTAAGTCAACTGTTCTAAACAGTGGTACAATATACACTGGTAGCATCGACATCACAAAAGGAAAGTGTTAACCATCTTACCATCTTTCCCTATAAAGGGGGGCCAAGATCGACTAGATAAACAACTTCCTATTTACTCGAAATTTCATTTTTCTCCAACTTTTACAAAGATGTAAACTTTCCCCGACTCAAAGTGAAATTCTCTGACTTTTCCCTGATCTTGAAAAATTTTTCCTGACCTGTGCCAGCCACGATTAAAATCTTTGAAACGCATCTTACATATCAAACCCACAAACAGGCATCTGAACTATTAATATATTCTCTCTAAATTTACTGACATTGGCATTAATGGTGTTGTGGTTTCTCGAGAATGGATAGAAAGCTCCAAGTTGCATCCATCTTCCACACAGTTCTTTGTTGGTGTTTCCGTTAAACCCGCAAATATCTGCTCCGACCAGTGGAACGCCGAACAAATTAAAGTTTAATATTCCTGTGGAAGAAATCAACGAAAACTCGATACTGGTTGGGAATGGAGAAGCATGCAGTTGTTGTAAAATTAATTCTGAAAACATCCCCTTCCCTACGGGATGCTGTCACCTAGAATGGAGTTTCCACTGGCTGCCCAGTACATTGTGCGTGTTCTCCGGAGACAAGTTATTATTTGGATGTTGCTTCCAAGATAGTTTCAAAGTTTACAAGTTCATAATATCTGATATACAAGACATTTATCTTAAAACTGGTCCTCTTTTCTGATCTGTGGCTGATTTCAACGTCGCTTTGAAAAAGGCAATAATGGCTAACGTAAGTATAAGAGAATTTAACGCAATCCTAAACTTGGTACATAAAAGAGGGTTTTAACCATGACGCACGACATATCGTATGACAAGCTTACCTGTGGATTTTCCGAAGAGTACTTAATGAAAAACACTACAACAGAAAATAAAGTGTACGTGTCTCTTGAACTGTCGTCGTTCGGCTGGATTAATTCAAAAGCGCCGGAAATGAAAGAAAGACTTTAAATTTCTTCCGTGCGCGGTCGGGAAATTAAAAAAACCCAACAATACCGGCACTAGAAATGCTCAACCGTCTTTTGAGGCGTGCAAAAAGTTTAGCGACTTGCTGGCCCAAACATCAGCATGCCACCCGTTAAAAAATACAAGGGGCAGTGAAATTAACGCTTTCCAAAAACTTCATTTGTGTTCAGGATTAGTGCAGGCACCAGGCTTAGCAGCAAAAACAAAGTCGCATTATTCAAATTTGGCTGGCGTAGATTGTCGCTGTTCTGAATTAATTTTGTTTTAACCTTTCAGTATATTTAAATCACACGCATTTACCTGGTATGGAGAGATATAAATCATTGAACGAAGCAGTGTTGTCGCCTAACCAGTGACCTCCATGAAGACCAGCGCTGGGAAATGTTGAACGTGAAATCACAACACTCCGCTTCCCACGGATTTTCTCCAGCGCACTATATGACAAATACAACAAGAAAATGAACGTTAAAGCGCAAAGAAGATCATGGTTCCGCTGAAGTAAGGCCAGTTTCTGGGACAGGGGGTAAGCTAATTCAGTTTAGTTTGAGAAGTGGCTATGAGAAAAGCTTGAAATAATCAGGAACTTGACCATGCATGAAGAAAATATGCTCCATTTCCTGTACCTTCTTCGGTCATAAAGCAAAGAACAGAAAATGTAGTTAAAACGAAAGCTTTTTGTTCCCCTTTCAGTTTTGGGTTCTCACAGGATTTTGGACTTCAAATTTGACCTAAACTTCCTTCACGGCCGTTCTTTAGGATGTGCCCCCCTCCCCACCCACGTTGCGTGACATGCGAAGGAGACTATTTTAGTTTGACCTACTCCTGAACAAACACATGGCAAGGTGTAATCTATCACTTTTTTCTGGGGTTTTTTTTGTGGTTTTTTGTTTGTTTTTGTTCTTGTTTTTGTTTTTTCGGGGGGTGGGGTGGGAAGGGTTTTATTAAAACTCTGATCACCTCATTGTGTTTTTCGCTTCTGTGAGTCCATACAAACTGTGGACATCATAATGAGAGTAGTTGTGATGTCTGGCTGACATGCATAAAGTCTTGCCTTTGAGAGTGCCTCCTAACACGTGAGGCGCATAAGGTGGATTATCCAGGGAAGTTTCTGGACATCCCTTAGTTGAGCCATCAACAAAGTTTGATGGTTCATTCATGTCGATCCAAAGTCCGTCAAATTCGACGAGTTCCCTGAACTCGGTCAGCATCTGATCCCAGTACGACTGCGTCACTGGGTAAGTGAAGTCTGGAAAGACAGTCTCTCCTGGCCATACCTGTGTGGAATATGAGTGCAATGTGAAAATCTACAACCGTTCTATCACAAATACTGCAATCCGACTGGCTTTGCCACTCGCTATTTATTCCGTGTTATTCATTACTTTCTCTCTATTTCTATGCATGACAGTTGGTGTGGGGTTCGTCATCATCGACTATCAAGCGATTGAAATCCCAAACTCTCAAAGTAATTGTTAAATTGTCGATAATGGCGACGAAGTACCATCGTTCGTCTCACATAGTAGACTTCTTTTCTACAATGGCTTTAATTGCAGTCTTCCCCTGAAGATAAGTTTGTCAGTTGTTATGGAGCTTATTTTGGTCGAGTGTCGAAAAAGAAAAACCATAGTGATCACAGCAGCCAATCTGACCAATGAAAATAGAAATACAAACAAACACAAGGAGCCGATGGGGCCACAAAGTAAAAGAAAAACAAACTCCCTCAAGCGCGGGAAAACTTGAGTGACCAAGAAGCGACTGGTTTTAATCTGAATCTCGGAGGCGCAGTAGCCTAATGGTCAGTGCACTGGACTCCGCGTCGAGAGGCCCGGGTTTGAGACCTGGCCGGGTCAATGCGTTGTGTACTTGGGCAAGACACTTAACTTTCACAGAGCCTCTCTTAAGGGCACACATAATTTGGAGCCTCGCTCTGTTGTGTGTCCCGCACCTTCACGGTGAAAGCGATTAAAAGAACAAATCTGATTGGCTAAGAAAGTGGCAACGAGTTTTCTAATCACGGAGCGAAATGAAGCAAAACCAAGGAAATCCTGGATTACTTTATCGACACTCAATCAAAAGTCGCTCCTCCTCGACCTCCACAAAAACCACATTCAAATCGGCATACTAACAAAAGCCTTCGTTTTCAAACCTTGCCAATAATAGGTTCACCACTGGATGAACTGACAAACACGCCCATGCTGCGGCCAATGTCATATGGTCGATACTGGCCTGCGGGTTGTTCGGAACTTATACCTGGATCCTGAAAAAAATAAATTTGAAAAAAAATTAATGACATACCGCATGAACTCCCAAACGGTTTGAGAAAACTGCTTTGGAGTTTCCCTCACGAAATTGACAAGGATGCTTTAAGAGGGGGAAAGTTCCACTTTCCCAGCGAGCCTTACGCGCAGCTTCAAGGCCGTGGGTTTCAAATTTCCTCGATTGGGCTTATGGGCTGAGATTCAGGGGAAACTGGAGCGAGGAGGGAGGTATAAAGAGCTTCTCAGAATCGTATCTTTGGCATTATAAAAACTTTCTCGGGAAGACGATTTCAACAAGAGTTGTAATCATATCAAAAACGAGACGAACGTGATTTCAGGGTCTCTCCTTTCCCCGTCTTCCTTGGGATGAGTACCTGAAAACGAGATTGCTACGGTAAACTTGATTGGACTTGATTACTTGGGAACCCTTGAAGATGCCTATATATGTCCTTGTGACAAGACGAAAAAACACCTTTCTGTATGCTTTCCTCATTCGTAAAATGTACAAAAAAGCAACTTACCACAATAGGTATGTAGTGTTGATGATAGTTGTTATGTAATTTCTTCACAAAATCACCCAACCCACTCCATTTGCTTTGATCCACAGTAAAATCCAAGTGTCTGTCCATATATTCGATATCATTCCATTGGACATCCTGTGGAATCCCATACCTCCTCATGTTTGCATTTACTGTTTCTGTTCCATTTAAACTCCCATATCCCCAGCGACACAGGTGAAATCCAAGACCCCAATATGGTGGCATGGTTGGTCTCCCTACAACCTAATATTTTATAAAAAGAAGTACTGATCTTAGTGGTTAGTTATAGGTGGCATGGGTAATAGAAGTTGATTCTTGCAGCCAGAAAGAAGTAAAGCAAATAACTTGCAGGAATTTTAAGTCTGAAAAATAATTCAGGCCTTAAACTAGTGCACCTCCCAGATAAAAGTTCACAGGGGCCAATTTCTCAAAAAAAAGATACATATATACTGAATCATACCTTTGACCTGTATGTGGTATGTGAAATATATAGATATATATATATATATATATATATATATATATACCGTATTTGACTTTCTCTGGATGTTCCTTTTCCATAGCTTACTTGTTGGTCTCTTATCAGATGGATTTTTAACCACTTTAAATTTATGTCAACATTAAGGGCCCGTTATTTTCACAAGATCAAACCCAAACAGCATTTTTACCCAAGCAGGGGGCCTTAGGTATTCTCTGAAAGAGGGTCCTTTTTTCATTAAGTAAATGTCCTTCCAATTTTCAGCCCTCTTGACACTGTTCGCAAAAAAAACTGTTCAGAGAAAAGATTCATCTTAATTCAAGATAGTTTAAAACAAGTTTTGTTGAACAACGGCTAAACTTTGTTTAAATAACTAGCCCTGAGTGTTCTCTTTGAGCCACAATTAAACCCTCTGCCTAAAAAGTAATTGTGTCTGTGCAATCCAGAGTTTATAGTTAATTCCCATTTTTTATGTTCTTATTTAGTCTTTCAACTATTCATAAATTATCTTTTTATATCTAGTTATCAAATTGCAAAAAAATATAATACACCTCTGTGTACTGCTGGACAACTAGATCTGGGGTAGGCCCAAGGAAAACATAAAAGTCCAGTACTCCTCCAATTGTCCTGAATGTTATGGCAGGTGTAGGCTGCAGAACAATGTCTATAGAGCAGAATAATTCAAACAGTTTAGTTCACAACACATGATGAAAGCATGTGCTTTCATGATTTGATAAAGAATTGTGAGGCCCATACTAGACAAGAACCTTATCCCTTTGGTGACCCCTATGAGTGACTAGCATCTAGTTAATCCTTAAAATTAACATCAACCCTGAATCACACATTATAGTCATGAGAATGAAGGAAATGATCACCAGCAAAAGAACATCTTGATTGTCAAACAAGTTCTCTTTGTCAGAACAGTGAGGAGAATATATGCATACTGATGTTTTAGGATGTAATAGGATAAGTTATCATGATACTTATAAAAACATTACACAGAGCCTTTACTTCATATGTCTGCTTCTGCGTATAACATTATGATGATGATTTGATTTAGCACCCTCCTTCCAATAAGAGATCCCTTTCTAATAATTAAGCACCCCCCACAAATTTTTTTTTGGTAATTCGAATAAGTGCCCCCATTGAGTAAGGACCCTCATTCTGATAAGCCCCCCCATTCCAATAATAGCACTGTTAGAGTACATGTATATTGAGATGAACCATTTCACATTCTGCTGTTTCTCAAAAAAGAAATAAAAACCCTGTCCCCAATAAGCACCCTGTTCCAAATAAGTTCTCTCTTAAGTACCAAAAATAAATAAGTATCCAGGGAGCTACAATAAATTGAATCATTATAGTGCTGCCCTAATGAATTTATAAAAGCTTAGCACCTCAGTTTCTTGAACAAGAAGCCCTGAGATCCTTTTTGGAGTAGAACTTTGATGCTTTTATTCAGCATTTAACTTAATGAATGAAGATTCAAATGTCACATGTCTCATCATGAATTTTGAGTTTGTGAGTTAACCATGTCACTGATAAAAGTTTCCAATACAACTGATTAACTACCAATTAGTTAAAATATTAAACAACTTAATTCAAGCCTAGCTCAGTTACAATACATACCCATAGCATTACTGTTCAAAAGAAAGACTCCATTAGCATTTCCATCTCTTTCCAATGAAACGTAAAATGGATGAACACCATACAAATTGTAGTTGAATCCCTAACAAAAAATCAGTGTTCAGAAAAAATAGTGTTCTAATTGAATCCAGGTAAAAAACCCCTTTTTTACACTTTTCCCTGCTCAAACAACTGCACTTGACATAATCAGCTGCCACCATGCCATTTAATTTCACATTTTGGGTAGGGGAATGCAATTTAAAGCATCCCACATACTGTTTTGTACTAGCTATCATTATCATTAATATATAAAAGAGGCAAAAGTAGTTAACAAAAATTCTGTTTCTCTACGTACCTCAGGAGTTGCCACATCCCTTGCAAACAGTGATGCTCTTTGCCACTTGACATCAAGTAACAATGGAGCTGAATGTTCGCCCAAACCATATAAAACATCTGAGGGCAACAGAGAAGACATCTGAAGGAACTGATTCTCAAATGTCATTCCTCCAACTGAGCTGTTAAAACTTAAAAGCATAGATAAAGGGTTTTTAGAAGTGTACTCCTCTGAATGAAAAAACACCCCAGGGCTATCAAAAATTTATTCGTAGCATGCAATTTTGTGCATAGTTGCTCACGTATTTGCTAACACTTTACAGATATTATCCTTTTCATTCCTGTGTGTGACCAAGACAGAATTTCTCGTTACAATATCATTACAATATTAAGCAGAAGGATGATGAGAATTAAAAAAGAAATCAATTAAGGGATTGTTAGTTGATCCAGTGAATATCAAATATTTCCAAATAACATCTTAAGATTTGTATGGAAGACAGTAAGAGAATTACATTATTTACTAATAAGATCTTGGAGGTGAAAAGGTTAATGAACATGTCAGCTGTCTTCAATTCTTCATTTCCTTATCGAAGCAGTACAGACTGTCTAACCAAAGAGCACAAACAATTCACTTTGAGGAAACTTACACAACAGTTCCTGAAGATTTTCTTGTAACAGCAATCCCAAATGGAAAGTTAGTGACAGTAACAGAATAGTCCAGTGAGGTTGCTTCTGTTTCAACTTTTGGTGTCACAATAGGAACCTCATATCTGTTGTTATTTGGATCATACACCTGGAAAAATATACCAGAAGAAATAAAAATGAAGATTACATTTGATGTATGTCCATCATGTACATTGCACATTACATAGCAAACACATTCTATTATTGCCATAAAAAGGTTACTTGCATCGTTTCAGTATAAAGGAGGAGTATAGTTAGAAAAGACTTCTTCTGTATTTAAAGATCCTTCTTTAAAATCGAGAGGAGCTGCAAGAATTTATTCCTTTAATTCCCAGAAGTGATTAACATATAATTTCTCCCTATAATATCCATACAGTTGTTATCTTGATCAAACACCAAATTCTTACAATTAAATTACAAGGAAATGTCTAGCTGCTGGAGGGGAGACTTAATAATCAAATCTTAAAGACTGCTATTAACACCTGAAACACAGAGGTCAGGCTTTCCCACTTTTTTAGCTCGGGGAATTTAGGATATTGTTTTACTTTTCAAATGCTGGAGATTTTCTTCGATATATATTATTTATGACCTATGAATGTACATACAGTACACAGGAAAAAATATTTTTAATCAACACCAAAAATGTTAGAAAAATTTAATATTGACTGTTCATTGGTTAAATGAGAAACTAAACTGACAAACCTTCCTGGTTTAACCCTTTAACTCAGAGAAGTGATTATCATGTATCTTCTCCCCCTATAATATTCATTCATCATCTGACAAAAAGGTAATGAGAATACTCAAACTTATCAGGAAGAAGTTTTTATCTCGATCTAACACCAAATTCTTGCAACCTATTTACAAGGAAATGCATAACAACTAGAGGGGGGAATATACAATCAGATCTTGGGAGTTATAGGGTTAAAAAGGAATCTTTACTCTGAATTTATAATGCTTCATGGGTGGTAACAGATGATTGGAAATATTAAATTGGGCTTTTCCTGATAACATGCAACTGAATTTGGCTTCTTAGTTTATATTAACAACAAAAAGGACCATCATTAATGTAAAAAAAAAAAAAAAGGCAAGTTGTCTCAAGCTTTCCTTTTGTTTTAAAAGGCCCAAAACTACACAATGCAGTTAACAAGCACAAATATTGAAGTAGCTATTAGAGGCAAAATTTAACATGGTGAGTTCTGGTTGAAGTAATGCAAAAAAGAAAATCCATGTCTTCATGAGATTTGCAAAGAACAGAGGCCTTACTCCTTAAAAATTGAAAAAAAAAAAAAAAGTTTGAAATATAATTTCCATGATTCTGACAGTCTGGGCCAGCTTTAGTCTAACAGTTACATGTAACGTGGAGGAATTCGTTTTTTTCATTAGAGTGAGACTGATAAAAAAAAACTTTACAGGAAGCAACATCTAAAAGTAAACATGAGGTTTGACCCCTTGGTGATCACAAGACGATCATGAGATGTTAACTCTTATGGGAAGGTTTTTTGAAAGCAAATGCAGTAGAGCTTGTTCAATTTGTTTGGTTTGCCGTTTAATTCAATTTTGTTTTTCATTTAACTTTGTACGTAACCAATAATGCAAACTCAAGCTTACACGTACACTTGGACAACGAGATAAGTTTATGACAAACATCTGTGATTAAACGTTCGAGCTCAGGTCACGCGACATATTAATTACAGGAACGAAATTAAACCACATGTACAACAAAATCGAGGCAACAACGTGAGCTCAGTGAGTTGGAAAATTGAATTTTCAAACCTTGAAATGTAGTCGATCTTTGGTCTCGAAGCGAACATCCACCGCCAAATTTTCGATTTCATTTCCATACGGTCCCGGATGACCTTTCTTTGTGAGACTCAGCAGATATCCAGTTTGAGTCTTCTCCTTGTTCACAACTTGATAACCATAGTCGTTTGGATAAAAACAATATGGTATATCGAGGGGTACGTGTACGTTCTCCTCCTCAATGGTTGGTTTGGCCCAGCAACATCCACGGTTCACACAAGATTGTTCGTTTGCGTCGCCTTCCGGGTAGCAGTCGAAGCGAAGACTGTTAGGAATGTTGGAGCATCCTTGCTGAGCTCGTCCATGATCAAGCTGGAATACCGAGACCAAAATTAGCAAAGTCAACTTCCAATACATGGCTCACCCGTACAGGTACGACGGTGCGACTAACAATGAAAGATTTTAAAAGAATACACCTTTTTAAGGTGCCTTGTCAACGAGCAGTGAGTGGAAAGATGTCACGTGGTATTTTGCCAGCGTGAGCAATGCATGCTCATGGCTCACCACAGTTTTAATCATTGCGCAATTTTCTCTAATTTTTTCCCCTGCTTCTTCGTCCATCCCTTTATGACTGGGAATTTGGTGAAAAAGCAACATGCAAGCTCGATTATTGATAAAAAGTAAAAAAGGAAATAATAATGAAATAATAATGTTACTTATTATAAGTATCCGCAATCACGCCTGGGTCATATCTCGGTAGGGAGATGATTGAGGGAACTATTTAAAGGAATGGGTAATCTATCAGTTTTTTTAGATATAGAAAAAAAATATGCATGATCAGAGCTCATACGAGTGGGTTATGTAATAATTGAATTAATGTAAAATATATTTAAGCCCGTAAACATAAACTCATAGCTATTGCTTCTTTTTTAGTCAATGAAGGTTAATATCGGTTTTAAAACGAAAAGATTCAGATTTATCCGAATTTTGTTAGAACGTAACCACCGAACTGATGTGAGCCATTCCGTGGGCATCTGCTAGCTCAGCAAAACCTCATGGGGTCTGGGACTACAATAGAACTTAAGCTCAGGACTTGTCAGGTGGCCGGTGTTTTGAGGGGTGGAAAAAACCTCCCCTGGCCTCTCCTCACTGTAGCAGTGATCTTTACAAGTTTGAAATCAGCTGAAATAAAATTGAAAAAAAACAAAAAACAAAAAAAACCAGGAATATTTCCCACACGTCCTACAGATCATTCACCTGTTTTTTTCTGTCATGAACAATTACGATAACAAATATATTTCGTCAAGTTAAAATGTAAGTCACTCTCGGAGTTTTCCGTTCGCAGTAAACATGTTATGGTGTTGTATTCAACTTCAAATATCACACAGGAAAAACGTCTTTATGTGAAGTGCTCTCGCTTGCAAAATTAAACTTCTTCACTAACTCTATGCAAATCATCTTGAAGACAGTTTTCAATCACACTTTCTTTTAATTTGTTCTCGAAATTGTGTTTATAGTTTTGGCTCCCTAGTGCAAACATTATGAATTAATTTTCGTCACCAGCTTGTCACTTTTCAAAGTCATCAAAGTTAATGCAGATACTGTCTTAAACCAAAAACAGCAGGTTAAGATTATTCCATGGAACTTAACACTCTTATCCGAGAATATATGTTGACTAAGGGAGAGAGTTGGAAAAAAAACAGCAAAATTTGTTATGACTGCTATGACAACTTCACTGAATAAACGTGACTCACACCTTATTCTTGTTCGTATCAGGTCATTTGGAAAGCTAAAAAATTTCTCAGCAATATCTCTCATGGAGACTGAAAAAAAAATTTGAACTGATGCTCGGTTGTAGACGTAATTAAAAATAACATTTTCGCTCAGAGTCTGATCACGGAACTTTTTTTTTCTTATCATTTGAACTTTTTAATTGAAAAATCATTAAAAAATACTGTTCCACTAAGTCAGTGCAAGTTTTGCGCTTATTTGGCCGGCTGTGGATGCCGAATTCTGCTCTATCTAGTTTGTCGTAATTGTAAAGGAAAAACTTTGGTGGGTTGGCACAGCAAAGAAATTAGCTGAATTGACATTTACTTTTCCTCTGTATGTCATTTCAGAATACGCAAGAAGGCCACCTGATCAAACAGCACAGGAACCCAATAAGTCTCCAATATGCCCTAAGATATTATGTAAAGAGTATTGAAACTCTTGCTCCCAATGAAAAATTGACATTTCTTCAAATCTGTTAGAATCGCAGCAATAACGTGAGTTCGTAATTACTGAGTTCTATTTCAAGCAAACTAAGTCAGAATGATCGCAATAAAACGTATTGTCGCAGGCTTGAGGCAGAAATTGATAGGATTGTTTGAACGATTTTGTCAGTAATTATTCATAAGTGTTCGTTCGTGATGATAGATTCATTGAAATCGTTGAGTTGTGCCAGGAAGGCTTGTCAGTTATCCCTGCGAGCTTGACACAATGTAAATTTCTGACCTGTTCCTGTTAGCTTTAAAACTTTACTCTTCTTTGACAAAGCTTCAGTTAAAGATTGAAGGTAAAAGGACTTAAATCAGTAATAAGTGAAACCAGGACGCAACGAAATATCCAAACCATTCAGGCACGCACTTAACTGCAAGAGCGTACGCATCCACGAAACCAAATGAATCAGTATGTTTGAAGGTTTTTTTTGGTTTACTTTACTTCATTTTGTGATATTTCATATCGGAAAAACCCGCGCAGAAGCGTTTTCTTTTACTGCACGGGATAGTTATCTAGCTACACCTGTGTTGAAGACACTTTTAGTCGAGGACTGGCTGGGTTGTACACTAGCTTGCCAGGATGACGCCATGTGCATATCGTACAACTACGACACGTCCTCCAAGTCTTGTGATTTGAACGAACACGGAATACAATCTCCATATACCGGGTCTGACGAACTGTTGAAAATGCAAGGAATGATCTTTCATCAAATAAGGGTAAGTCACACGAAAAAATAATTTCAAGTGTTCTGTTTCGATCACAAAGTTGATATGATATTTTTTTTCTGGGCTGAATTTTTTTTTTTTTTACACAGAAATATAAACATTGGCAATGTATCAACACCTCACTGAATATTTCCTTGCGGGCAAAAAACACATTTCTGACGTTTTATAATTTTCGTGTTAATTATCTCTTTCCTTTCATCAGCTATGATCACGATACGAGGTAATTTACACCATTGACACAAGATTTCATTATGGTTTTCATGATCTTTTACAGCCGAGCGCAGAAAACCAAACTGATAAGAGCGCCTTTGTGTGCATCAATTCTTTTCCAATTTTAATTGCTTAGATGAATATGTCGGTACGTTGAATTGATCACAGTTAACAAAAGACGGTTTTTCAGCGCCTGTTATTAGTTTGGAGCTGTGATAAATGGCAGATCACTTCAGCGGAATACGAGTGATTTCAGTTCGAAGTTTGAGAAATTTAACCGCTAATCTGGGGTCTTCATCATTAAAACTGCAACGTAGACGCAGTTTTTAGAGTCGAGTTTTGACGAAAGGATTTTGTGAATTTCCCTCCTTGTATGTGCATTCAGAGTAGTTAGAGCAACTTGCAAGTAGTTACTGAACTGTCAAACCGCTGTAATAATGTCCGTTGGTTTACCACTGTTTCTCGTCTGAGAATCACAATCAAAATGGACGCACATTGCCTGATGATAAAGAAGGATGAGAAAACAATTTTGTTCAGTGTGGTTTCACCTTTACTTATGATAGATTGCTGTTAAGTTCTATGTTTTATCAAGCATTAAACGTTGACAATTTAATATCATTCCACCTTCAAGTTAAAATTATTGACGCGCTAACGAACGAAAAAGAGTTTCGAAAATCTTCTCCTTCACGCGATTTTCCTTTGGTTAGAGAATTGATCTTTGATGGTTCGTAAAAAAGAGATGCTTGGAATATTCGTTCCTCTTTGCTAACGAACCAAACGGAGGGGGTTTGTATGAATGATAACTTATTACAACTATTGCTGACTTTCTAAGGAGAGACTCTCAAAGAGAAGGCTATATTCACACTCTTTGATCCATAGCACCTGAAAACCAACAACGAGTAGTAGTATCTAGAAGCAGCATAACAGTAGCACATCACATCCTTGCATTTACACCCGAGTGGGTTGATCGAAGGGACCGGTAATTATCTTTCGGCTTAGGGGAGGGAGCTGCGGAGGACTTTTGAGTGGATAACATAGTTTTCAGGGAGGACCGAAGGGGAGATCATAAGATAAAAAAGCCTTATGGGAGGATTAGTTAAATTTTATCATGACAGAACCAAAATCCTCCGAATTCCCCTCCCATCCCCTCTCCCCCTCCAACCAGACAATAAATAAAGAGCAGTTCCTTAAGCTTGAGCTGCTCAACTCAAACATTGGCTCTCTCGTCGAATAGAATACAAATCCTGTGTTTTTGGCGTTGAAAATTTAAGATGTTTTTTGTTCCATGCAGCATTTCGATTCGTCTGAGCATTTTGAAATGCCAGTGCGTTGCAATCTTTCAGTGTATCTCAGTAAGGAGTAAAACTTCGATGCTGAAAATTGTAACTAGAAAAAACACCGCAATCATAGCCAAAGTTATAGAGTAAATTAAGAATTAACCATTTATTTAGTGTCGTTCCCTACTTTTCCATGATTTGATTTTAGAAGATCCGAACTCAGGAGCGGTAAAAAAAAAAATCTCTCTGGTTACGCTTATACTGCTACAGTTCTCAATGGCTTGTGATTCAAGAGAACGTATTCTCCTGTTACAAAACAACGGCTCTAAGGTGTTGGGGACGATATGCAGAGAACTCTTTTACGCGTAGCCGCACCAATACAAGTCATACCATGATTGAGTAAACCTTCTTTTAATTTAAACATTTTTACCATTTGACATTGCGTGTTGTTTTGACTTGATCTTCGTACACCTACGGTAAAAACTGAAAACGAGAACCTAAATTAACAACTCACTGGGCGAAAGCGAAACTGCAAAACGAGGCACATGTAATTACATATTTCTATGCGATAAACGGGTAGGAAAAGCACAAAACTTCAACAATCAATCAACCCAAGGTCCTGGCACGAAATTACTCTCGCACTAAAACATGTACTACTGATCATGTGACCTAATATAAGTCCGCAATTCGTGCTCGGCCGCTAGTCGGCCCAAACATAAGGCAACACAAGACTTGTTTGGTAAGAAAACTCAAGTTGCACAGCAACCCCAAAACCTGATACTGTTCTTTACCTATGAAACCGAAGAAAACGAAAGCTATACAATGGAGAAACTCTTTTTGTTAGGGTTGTGTAACTTTACGAAAAAATACGTGACAATAGGTTGACAACTCTAGCGTCAAGATTAAAATAAAATTGGTATTTTAAGAATTATCTTGAAAAAACTCCCTAATAAGCTGTGCGTGGGCGAATTTGACGTTAAATTACACCATTTCTTGATAATTACGTCGAAATTAAGAGGTCTTACCAGAACTGTACTCCTGTACTCTACACTACGGAGGTAGATATTTACTGTTTACTAAATTTGGTCATTTTCTTCGTGAGGTAATCAGTCGATGGGTTGCAATATTCGTTACTCGATCCCTTTTCTGTTTTTTCCTGAATAATCTCAATGCCACCGCTGTGTTATTCATTTTCAGAAAGCAAAAAAACCTCTTCCTCCGCGAGAAGTTCAGCCTTCGAGTCAGTGCGACTGCAGTTGTACCTCAGAGAGTGCTTGTAGGCCTGGCGAAGGTAAAATCATTTAGTAAATAAACCCTTTAACTCCCAGAAGTGATTAACATAAAACATCTCCCTACAATATCCATACATTATTCAGCAAACAGGTAATGTGAATATTCAAACTTATAAGGTAGAAGCTGCTATCTTGATCTAGCACCAATTTCTCATAACTAATTTACAAGGAAATGTCTATCAGCTAAAGGGGAGAATTAACAATCAGATCTTGGGAGTTAAAGGGTTAATGTCCGCGACAAAGAGATCATTTGTCCAAAAAATTAATATGTGGCCGAGAACGAAGCTACGGAGGCAAACGTGAAATTTGTGGACAATCTTTTACAGATCATTACCAACCGACATACCAGTAAGCCAGAAAGGGGTGAATTTATATAACCCTCCCTCCCATAGACTTTCATTTCGTACGTTGACAGTAAATTTTGTTAACGTTTTTGTACTATCCGTAGCAGCACTTGAGATAAGTTTTTTTTTTAATGTCACTATCACTGGATTCTACAAAACGAGTACCTTTTTCTTTCATGTTAAGTAATAAAGGTTAAAAGGTGAAACACTTCACCTGGTTTTTTCCGCTGGCTTTGTTTCTTTTCAACGAAAATAATCGGAGAACAAATATCGACGTAAACGGAGGTTAGATGTTAGAGTAGCCAATAGAATCGCTAAGATATTATTGGAGGGGTTATAATGCGCCTAACACGAGTATATGTAATTGTAACTGCTCAGACAGAGCATGCTCAGCATTACCAATGATCACAATGAAGAAGATGCGTATAAGAAATGTGTCAGGCCTATTGAACGTTCATTGGCCTGTGTGAACCTCCTTGAGTATAAAAAGGAGTATGAAAGCATAACTGCCAATGGGGGGGGAATCATCTGAATACTACAGAGCCTTCGGTAGGGGATTTTGTGAATTTTCTTGTGACACAACCACAATCCTCTGACCCCTACTCCCCGGTCCCCCTACACCCCTATCCCCCTAAATCCCGGTCCCTCTACACTCCTGTCTCTATGAGTATTTGAGTATTGAGCATAAATTTCATTGGACTGCATATGACTCACCATCTTTTTTATTTCAGGTTCCTACCACAGACTTCCCGAATCTTGCAAAGAGATCTGGGAGAATTCTAGGTAGGCATGTAAGAACCGTCATGGAAAATCTCCTCAATTCCAATAGTTAGGACGTCACCATTGATCCCCGAAATGTAAAAATAAATCCAAAACCTGAATAAAAGTTAACTCAAGGTTTTGTTCTTGTGTATTAATTTAATCCTGCATGGGAAAATCTCAAAATAGTTGAAAAATGTAAAGAGAGCGCTGACTGAACCAACTGAATTATCCTTATTGTTTTGAACTCAGAGCTTGAGATCACACGACCTTTAGTTCACGTAGACCGAATACATCCTGCACTGCAGCAGATCTCATTCTGCGTGCGTAAAACAGATTTCCGGCTCTATTTTCTCACTCATTTACTCGTTTTTAGTTGATTACACTCAGTCAAACAATGATAGTAATGATATTAAACTGATACTAACAAAGTAATAGTAGTGGGTTATATTTTGGTCGCTGAAGTCTTGAATCGTTCTATTATAAGGTATTGGTATTAAAAGTCATTCTTTTCTTCGTTGTCCTTCAGAGTCCGAGTGGATGGGTCCTATTGCATCCGGGCTAACTCATCTGCTAAGTATGCAAACGTATTCTGTCACATGACTCCTATTCTCGGATGTGGGGATGGCGGATGGACGCTTGTCATGAAAATCGATGGACACAAGGTATTCTGGGTCCCTGGGCGCGCGGTTCTGATAAATGAATAACTCATAACTCAACCACCAGATGAATAGTCATTGTGAGATTGCTAGTTGGTTTATTTAGCTATGCAATGTAACTAGCGGTACTTAACATTTCACAACGAGTCCTTTGCCCAAGATAATGATACACACAGAAAATCAGAGTGCTACAGAAGTCGAACCAATGCTTGAGTTTCCGCTTAAGATTTTGGATGCTGTACCACTATGTCATAGGTCACTCTGATATTGCATTTTCAGCCAAACCACATTCCACCGCTTAATAGCATAACAAATTTGTTCCGTCCGCAAATGTTTTCCATTTACCAGGCTAAAGGCTCTTTTGTTGTTTATATTAAAAAATTCATCTATTTGCAAGCTGCTAAACTACGCATATGAAATCATTTTTTTCTCGTAAACGCCAACCGAATGCCTTTTTTTTGTATAGCCGCGCTTAAGGACCATGTGCTTTAACTAAATATAGAATTTAAATTATTATTATCAGTCGGAAGAAGGGCATGGTATGTTCTCTCACCGCATCCATTCTTGTTCAGGCCTAATATATAACATGATGATCCAGCCTGATCATCCCTGTAGATTAGAGTTACGCGCGTTTAGACACACTGCCTAAACCTGGTTGATTCGTGTAAACCTTGGGAAAAACTCGTGTAAACCTGCCCGAGGGAAATGTAGATATTGGCGCAAGCCCCGTTCTGAGAAGTGCCTGAGGAGGATCCTGGAATTTTCTCAGGGAGGGGGTGCACCTCCGAGGAATAACGTAACTGACGGGTGACGTGAACAAATTTTGGGAGCGAACTATGAAGAAGTCCTATGACAAGGTAATAAGATAATCTGAACTGCTGAGAGTACAAATCACACGACACAGTAGATTTTGTATGACCGTGAAGTTGTATTAGAAAGCTACTCATCAACTCAGGGGAGGGGGACGGTAAGCACCCCCTGCACCCCTCCTCTAGGTCCGCCACTGAATGGGAAATGTAACATCTGTCACTCTGTTCTTGTTATTCAATTCGCTGTAGCAAACATTCAACTACTCTTCTGAATACTGGAATAACACTTTTGGTTACAACGAGGCTGCTGGAACAAACCTCGATGATGTAGAAACAAAGCTGAGTAGCTACTGGTCTACACCATTCAATCGACTCTGTTTGGGCATGAAATATCCTCAAAACGGGGAGACAAACTGGATTGCACTAAACTATAATGGCTTTTCTTTAAGAGATGTTATCAGAGACGGAACTTCCCGGGCGACAAACGTGAGCGCAACAGAGTGGAAAAAGCTGCTGAATAACTCAGACATCCAGGTAAAGAGTCAACGGTCCAACATATTGTCGTGATCATGCATTAATTTCCCGAGTTGTTTGAAAACCCCGGTTAGAAAAAGAGAAATTTTCGTATTGATCTGCATACCAGAGTCTCTCAGTTTTCCTGTACGTGTTGTACCGAGTCACTCAAAATTGATTTCAGTTGAACTTTTAACGTACGTATTGGAAACAACAACAACAACAGTAGTAGCAAGAAAAGACAGACACACGCGCACGCACACACACACATACAAAAAAAAAGCAATTAAAAATAGATCAGGAAGAAGTATAAATATTCAAAATACTTGCTTTTTCCGTTTTATACCTCGTCCATTTCGCGAGAATACTTATTTTTTCTTTCTAGATGAAGGATAAGTTAATACTAGGAGGTGTAATTCTTTCATTGCTGATACATAACTGACTTTGAGCTTATTCCCTCGTTAGGACGGATGCCAAATACAAGGTTTTAACAGCATTAACAAAGGTTTTGATTTTGATTTTGATTTTGGCAACGGTGCAAAGGCTCGCATTGGAATCATTGGTTGTCAATTCAGATGTAATCAATCTGCGGGGTCCAGAATTGGGTTTGGTACCGAGGGAGGTTTTTTTGACATGGATAATACCAATTCTTGTGGAAACGAACTAAGAGGTGAACGTGAAAATTCAACGTCGATCAAAGCATTTGGCTACATTTTTGTTCAATAATTTTGAAGTGCCATCACTGTAAATATCATATGGTAGTTTAGGCATGTAAGGTATTGTCTATATTATTGAGTCATTCGAGCATTTAGGTTACAGTCAAAAACAAAAGACAAAAGAAAACGAAGGACTAGAAAGAAATGGGACTTCCGAAAAATATGACATTTTCTATACCGCTTAAATCGATATCCGGCATTAGTTCTTCCGAGTAAGTTAGCAACTGTAATTACTTAACGCTGATCGAGCAATTTTCAATTGTGTCGCCAGTAACCCGGATTGCTTTGTTTTGCTTTACTTCGCTCTATGATTGGTTCAGAAAACTCGCGCCACTCAACCAATCAGATGCAAATCTAAATCAATCTCGACTTGGACGCTTGCGTTTTCCGCGCCTTAGGCAGTTTGATCAGTTTCACTTTGAGTTCCCATCGGTTTTTAGAGGTATTCTTCCCTCTTCTGAGAGCATGGCTGTTTTGCTTGCTTTGGTTTTGCATAGTTTTACGACACTCAATCGAAAAATGCTCCCTCTCTTTTTTAAAAAAAAAACTTCTACGTGATATGTTGAAGTGAATGTCATTAGTTTGTTTGCTGAGATATTTGAGCGCGAGCATTGTATTTAGACCCTATATATAATTACATTAACAGTTATGCATATAAAGCAAAAACCACGCTTGTGCAGTGAGCTATTTTTTTCAGTCTACGGATCTTTTTAGCTAAATATCAAAGAAATTTTCATTTCAAAATAGCTTAACGCATCCGTCGAATTTATAACTGATTAATATAAGGACAAATCCGTCCAATTTTTAGACAATTTTTTTGATGGTGTACTCTTCTTATTGTGGGTTTTTCTTCCGGGCGTCATTAGTTGTCAGATTTAGGACGTCAATGGTTGAATTTCAGTTTTACGCTTCCGTCTAATTTTGGACGTCATTGTCCTAGTTTAGACGCAATCAGCTGATTTCAGAAGCTTCCGCCCGATTCCGGACGCTTCTGTTCGATTATAAACACCTCCGTCTGATTTAAGACCATATCAACCCCATTTCCGGACGCTTACATCCGATTTTTGATGCTACTGTCTGACAACGATTTTGCTTGTACCTTTTTCCTTGAAAGGAATATCATAAAAACCAGGGCCCAGCTGTTCGAAGGCCGATTAGAGCTAATCTATGGTGAAATTTTGATCCAGGTTTCTTTGTTTCTCTATTCAGGAAGCCCTTTTCAAACACTGATTTTTTCTTTCCTTTTTACAGCATCCGGTAATAACACTGCAGACAAAAATAATTTATCTGAATTTTTTAAAGCTTTCAGATCTGAAATAAAATTTCACACTAACCTTGGGTTATATCAAACCAGCTTTGAACAACCCAGCCCACGATTGTGCTAATGGTAAAACGAATTTATCGAAGCTGAGGATATCAAACATAAAAATAGCGTGATGTTGAAACAGCTGATCACGCGTCACAACCAAAAATACAACCAGATGACGTGACCGTCAAAAGAGCATACCGGATCAGCACAGGGAAGGGAAGTAGGAAGTCCTTTTTTCTGCACACTCGCATATTGTGACAACTTTTGCACGAAATAAAAACGAATATGTACTGTACTCCGAGAATATGTCCTGTAGAAAATTAATTTTTCGATAGGGAAAATACCCTGACTAAATTTTGAACGGTATGTTACGCCATAATATGTATGCTTGATTATACATATACAGTCAACTCTTTTGTAAGCGGACACCCTCGGGAATTGGAGAAAGTGTGCGTCAGTAGAAAATTCCGTCTACGAGAATATTTTCCAAGAGCAGAAATCAGAAAAAAAATAGTGGAGTGCGTTAAGCCGGACTCTTGTTACTGTCAAACGAACGCACAGCATGCTTTCCCGCAGACAAATGGAGATTTGACAAAACTGATCCACACTGTTCTGTTGCTTTGTCAAAGGTTATACTTTTGTTGACTCACAAACTCAAGACACTGATATTGATCCGACAAATCTTACTGCCAAGAGTCAATTATATATACATGGGGTTTCCGCTTTGGAGAGAGATAAACGAAAAAAAAAAAAAAGGACAGTTTCGCTTTTCAAAGTGTCCGCGTCCGCTTACGGGAGAGTATTCGCTTACGGGAATGTGTAAATACAGAGTTTAGCTGGGAGGCAAAAAAGGGGAATTGAAGAAAGAGTCTGTTAGAGGAGAGTTGACAGTAATTTATAGCTCTGATGAAAGGCAGAACATCAAGTAATAAAAGGAAAAAAAAAATACCACGTGTGGTAAGAGATCCGAATTCTTTTAAAGTAACGTCATTACCGGATGCGGAGGATTTAAAGGATACGAAACTGATGTAGTTATTTTGAAGGGAGCTGTGTTGTTAGGAGCCGCAAATACTCTTTGATAAAATTTAACTCGAATCATACTCAAACCACTTTGGAAAACTTTGCTTCAAGGATGTTATAAATGCCAAATCTTCCAAAGCGCAGAGAGACTACAGCATCTGTTACGATTACTTACATGACATAGCAGATACCGCTGGACAGGTCTCAGAAATAAACAATACCACCGTCTCGCCATCGTGTCCTCTCTGGAGCGAAACGCAAAGAGTAAGGAAAGTCCGCTGCAAACCCTTGCACGCGCTCGGCTGTCGGCGACCTTCGATCTTGGTGAGTATTTCATACAGATATCAGCCTCAAACTGACCTTAACTGTGCCAGTTTTAAAGTTTCTCTCCACGGGGGCTAACCGAAGATTATATCTAGAGTCTGTGTTAAAAACAAAGTGAAATCGAAATCGATCAGCATAGTGTCATGCGAGGTTCTCCCGATTCAACCTTTGACAACGACTACTGAAAACATTTGCTTTAAAGGTAACATAGAAGTATTCTTTTTTTGTTTGCAATCGATAGAAATTCGAATTCAAAGCGTAGGGTTTAAAACCAAAGGGTTTGAGGTTTAATTTATGCTCGTTTGGATATTTTTGTGTATCAAATTATGCAGGTTGAATTTCTCAAAAAAAAAGACCAGATACTGAAAGCTTGAAACCTAAAACGTTGTCTGTTTGACCTTGAGCCATTTAAATGTTTCGCGAAAGTAGAAACCAAAAGCCCCAATAAAACTGTCAAATTTTATTTCAGAGATAGCTGAGGTTTAGACCGCTGTACAACCTGGTTTTAAAATTTATTTAAGGAAACCAACATTGCTTTTGAGCACTTAATGGACTATGAATTTCTTGAGGATGAGGATCTTTTAAGCGGGTTTTTCAGATCTCAGTTTTTGTGGTAAATAAAAATCTAAGAATGAGCGCTCAAAGAATACCGAGATTCGAAGAGACAGCTGGAATGTTTTGCAGAACCATGCCAATTTGCGTATGATGAATCCTAATAACTTAATATGCAAATATTGGCTTCAGCACTCATGAAAACCTGATCGTAGCATGTGGGTTTCTAAAATTGATGGGGAGTAATGAAATATAATAGCAGAAACCGCTTAAGTCATCTGGAGCGGACATCGGTCGGTGTTTGTTATAATCGGAAAGAAAAAGAGTGCGTTTATTCGAGGAAGCAATCTTGTGCGGTCCGCCCTCAATCGAAACCGTTGAAAGGGTATGTTGCGTGACGTTACACATGTGATTTGAACAAAATTAAGAGATACATTAAATTGAGAATTTTTAAACAAATGCGACTCGTTTCTTTCCTTATTTTACTGGCTAAATTCTAGACTGAATAATCCATCTTAATAGATGAAAGTATTATAGTGTACCAAGTACAGTGGATTTTGGATAACGCAAGGGGAACTACGGAATCTAGAGTTCAGAGTAAAACTAGACTACAAGGTGATTGCGTAGTTATGGTTTTTATTAACTATTTCTAAAACAAACTGTGGTGGTGGAATTTTGTGAGATGTTAATTTTATTGTAAGAGCCTACAGGGCCGTACAGATCATGTAATAAACATCTTACCACTTTAAGCAATCTCGGGATGTCTGCTGATCAAAAGAAATATTTAGAATGACATGTTCTTGTACCGATAATGCAAAAGGTATCTTTTCTTTCAGGTGTCAATTACCATATTAGAATATGAAGTTTTCTCGTTGGACGTTCCCTCTTTTTGTCACTGTCTTGATCCCTGCAGGTACGTGCATGATGTCTATTAGTTTACAGCTAGTTTTAAAATTTTTATGAAGAAATGTTTTATGGAAATCAAACGGCCAGAACGGCCTAGAAGTGAAGTTTATGACAGAACTCATCGTTACCGGGAGTCTAGCTGAGGAACAAGTAATGAGGGGGATCGAAATGCGGATTAGTTGCGTTAGAACGGCCCAGAGAATCCCTAGGGGAGAGCATGCACCTCGTTAAAGATGGCGGACGGACTGTTAATATGGTAGATCAATGAGTGAGTTGCCAGTAGTCGGATTCTTGTGTTTGCGCAAAGATTTCTGAGATCACCACGGGGCAAACATTGCAACTTGCTTGAAGGAAATATTGGCGAAAGGTTTTTTTGACGTCCAAAAAACGATTATGGAGAGAGATCAACGCTTTTTCGCCGCAGTTTTATCGCAGATTATCAATAATGATGTTGATGCGAAGGATGCGTAAATTTTTGGTAGGATTACCACCAAATATGTTATAAAGTGTACAGATAAACTTTTTTCCTTAAGCAAGGTCTATTGTGAAATCTTCATCGCGTAGTGGTCTCGACATGTTACAAGATTAGCCATAAATCGCCAGGAAATAAGTCATTTACGACTTTTCGGTTGTATTTATGTATGTACAGCCTGTTTTTACACTTGTTAACGAATTAAATAATCTCCAGCTGCCTTGAAGACTAGCTGTTGTAGCGCTCTTTTGTTTTACCGAGCCGAGAAAAAAGCTAGAAGTAGACTTTACAGATGTCAAAAAAACTGAAAAGGCTTTGTTGAGTTATTTCTTGGCGATTGATAGCTAACGTTTTTGACGAGACCATTACACGATGTGAATTTCACAACTAATAAACTTTGCGCACGGAGAAAAGTCAATCGGTAGATTTTACTGCATATTTCATGGTTCTTCAAACAAAAACTTACTCTTCCTATTTGTCAGTATCACCCAAATCCATTTCTAATGAGAAAAGCGGCAAAAAAGCGATAATCTCACCCCAAGATCGTTTTTTTGGACGTCGAAACAACCTTTCGCTGCAGATTTCTTTCTAGCAAGTTGCAAACACAAGGATCCGATTACTGACAATTCATTCATTGGGGATTACTTCTGTGGGGATGACGGCTAAATTCTGTTTATTGGAATACAGGATCATTTTCTTTTAGCACAATCACTGTATTTTCTAATTGTATTCCACGGGTTCACCACAGTGCCACATTGGTTTTCTGTCTTCCATGTACGTTTGCGAATCGTACTTCACATCAAATTGAAATAGCTTAATGGAAGTCAGACCATCACCATTTTCCACGCGAAGGGATGGTTGGCAGGGGGTGCTAATCTGCGGGCTGCGAAGAAGGAAAAACGCAATTTTTACCAACATTTCTTGGCGTTGAAAAAAGGAAGGGAAACCTTTCCTCATACGGAGAGCTACAATTGGTAGAAATACCATTTAAAAATGTCTTTACCTATTTTTGCCGATATTTTCTCGCAGGTTTTTATCTTAAAAAGCCGCTTTTGTTCCTTTCAGCTTGTGCTCTTCAGTGCAATGAATGTCATTTTGATACTCAATTAAATCAGAACGCTTGCAACACTACCGTAAAGAATTGTCCGAAAGACTCGCCATTCTGCATGACACAGTCAGACCGCAGGCCAGATGGAAGCAGGACATTCACGAGGGACTGTGTACCCCCTATGGTTTGCAGAAAGGGCTATTGCGAGGAAGTGATCATAAAGGGAATAGGACGGACGGATTGTAACATCACCTGCTGTCAGGAAAATTTTTGCAACAGGGACGGCGCCACAACAGTTGGCAGCAAAGGAAATATGACACGTACCAACTGTATGTTAGAATACTTTCTCATTATTGTAGGTATCTGGTTTTCTCTTCTAGGAAGACAGTTGCAACTTTAAAAAGTTTATTTTAGCTTTAGGCAGTTTCCTTCGAATTCGCAGCCTTTGTTGGGATCGTCAAGTAACACACTTCATCCCTCTCTAAAAGCAAATGTTGCCAAGGGAGTTGGAATTCGGTGATGAAGAAAGAGTTAAGGATTTACTTTTCTGTGCGTCACGCTTTACTAACTGTACCAGCCATTCTTACTTTTCTGGAAATCTTGACAACAGAGTCAATTTTCTCGTTACCAACTCTTTTCAGCTTATCACAGTTTGTGATGAATAAGCCCGAATAAATTGTTCATAAACCAACATATATGCATAAGCCCAAAGGGCAATAGCAATTCGTAGTCTTTTAAAAAAAATGAACGAGTGCTCAATCATTCCGAATGGCACCCGAAAATCATTGTCGTATAAACTGAATTAAACCTTGAACACTGTTATTGTTGTCACGTAAGCTTTGCCATGCGGTCATGTTGTAATCATAAGCGCGCGCAAGTCACATGGCAAAGACTGCATTCGGAACGCCATTTGGAAATATAGTTGTGTTTGATTATTGAAACACTGTTACTCGTCTGTCCGCATTCCTTCGTTCTCCTTACAGCCGACATCGGCGGACGCTGAACTACTTCTTCTCTTCTCTAAATTACGTCCCTTCTGCTTTGTGTTACCTAAAAACTGCAGTTCTCTCATTCCAGTCAGAATGAAAAAAAATTTCATTTATATTATTGTAGATCAAACATTCTGGATCTCTGCTTGTTAAAATCTCCCCTAAAATTTTTTATAAACATATACACACAACAAGATATGTCGTTCACGAGGCAAAGTAGAGTGTGTCACTGACATTTTTACCACATTTTTAACTCTTGTCTATTCAATTACTGATGAGGTGACATTTGTTTTATTCATATGATTAAGAAGGGTTTATTTAGTTAATACTGACGTCATCTATTTGTGTCTCCTCCAAAAGAACATAGGTAAGAACCAATCAAAATTCGTGTAAAATTCAGCTTATTGTATTACGTATATAACCCTGTCGTGCTCTCATCAAGTCTCGCAAATGTTGACAGAAAAAGATCATTCATCGATTCGCTATATTTCTGTGGAATCACGAAGATTTCTAAAGCCCTCGCAATGTGGTTGAATGAAAAATAATTCTCTTTTTTCACTTTTACAGGTACTACAAAGAGCAAAGTTAAAATAGTGCTAAAAAAAGCCGATGTTGTTGTTTGCAATTGCAAACTTTCGAAATAAGAAAGACCACGTGTATTTTCATTGGTACTCAACAGATTCTGTGAGCTTGTTGCCTTTTACACAACCACAGGATACGCACGAGACCCATTGCATGAATTTGAGAAGTGGACGATGGCTCTTGAAAACTGTGACAAGTTCTTATTGACGTTTTTAGAACATAACTACTTCCTTAGAATGGACGACATTCTCCATTGTGTTTCAAGAGACGCTAAGTTGGCAAATATGATTGTCCAATATCGTTCTTCAGCAGTGTGGCAGAATATGTTGTTTGCCCCTTTCACGCCTGGAAAATCAATTGATTCAGCTTAATCTTAAATTAAGTAATATTTCTTGTTTATAGTCACAACGATACCGTGCCATATCAGGTCAGTGCCTTGATATCGTGTAATATCAGGACAGAAAACCAGGCTTTAGATTGGCTAATTGCGAGTTTGGGTACGGTAAAAAGTAATAACGCACGAATAAGCAGTCGTTCCCCGTAGCCTCCCCTTGTACCGTTCCTTAATTGGGGGTCTCCATGCGGTTCTGCGTCAGCCGTAAAAGTGAACGGCCTCAAATTTACCCAAGGCCCGTGATAGCCACTTCCGCTTTGAGGCCTGCCCTCCAATCTTGACTCAACTCAGTTGACAACTATTTGGTGTCGCATAATGAGACTATTGGTCGGAAATATTTGAGCTGAAGAAATACCAGTTCAGTTTAATATACATCCTAAGGCAGTATTGAATATTAATGCCTGTGAATATCTGAAAATCATACATGTGCATTGCGGTTGAAGAAACAAAAATAGAATCGATCCTCGCAGTTATGAACACTACTGAACTAGTAGTTGAAATAAAGCCTGAAAAAAATTCAGGCTCGTACGGGATATGAACCTAGGACCTCTGCGATACCGGTACAGCGTTCTACCAACTGAGCTAACATTATCTGGATCAAACATAATGGCCAGCTCCCAGCTGGCTTGTTAGCTCAGTTGGTAGAGCACTGCACCGATATCGCAGAGGTCATGGAGTTCAAATCCAGTATGGGTCTGAATTTTTATCAGTCCTTATTTAAACTACTCGTTCAGTAGTGTTCACAACTGCGAGGATCGATTCTATATTAGTATTGAATACTATTCAACGTTTGCTTTTTATTAAAACCTAGAAAAACTGCCTTATAAATAATCAAAATTCGTAAAACATTTTGTCAGTAATCAAAATAAATTTTAATTCTGATGGTTATGTAAACATTGCCACTTTAAACAAAGCGGAACTTCCAAATAAATAGTTTAATTTATACAAGATACTTTTAACTAACTAATCAGTATCATAAAATGTTACTTCCACTACATCTTCCAATATAAACAATGTCAAAAATGTTTTTTTTGTTCCGAAAGTAAATTTTAAAAGTTTTAACTTCAAAATCTCATTAAAGCTCTTTATGGTTAGTGACACATTTCCTAATTAAAAAAGAACATGAATTAAACGCCCTCGAGGAAAGGGTATACAGTCGCCGTCACCTACAACCTCTACACATAGGAGCATGGTTGATTATATAGAAGGAAGTTACCATTTATTTAATTTTAATTCCATAAGCTTGAGGAAGCTAATTCAGAGTTTTTATCTTTTGAAAAATTTTCACCTCAATTATTTCAAGTTCGCTGACTGCAGTCCACGTATATATTCATCATCCAGCTTTTTTTTCATTTAACTTACTCTTTCCCTTATTGCATTTTTCCACATTTGAAGGTTTCTTCGTCGCTGGATTATCACAAGTTAGTTTCATTAATCGTGTTACACAATCAAAGGCGGCCTGCACATAAACTGACCAACTCGCTCAGTTTTGGATTGAATGTCGAATATAAGATTACATTGGCTTTGCCTTACTTGTCTCTGTGTGACTTGGTCTAGGGAACTCGAGCCAACTTCTCAACCAATCATATGAGTCACAATCCCGACGCTCCCCTTTTACTGCGCTTTAAGCAGTGTGCTTGTCTTCACTTTGAGGTGTCATCGCCAGATTATGAAGTTAACCTTTATCCTATAATAACTATGATTTTGGTTTCACAACACACAGACTAAATGCGCTCCATATCTAACATAAAGAAAGAAATATAAAGAAAGAAAAAATAAAAGAAAGCTTTACTGTCCGCGTGAATGAGGATCTTTTTTCATTCACTTTCTCAAAGACGTATTTAAATTCCAAATACTACTCTCTTATAATTCAAAACTCAGAGATCGCAGACAAAAAAAGGTACAAACGCTGATCTGATACTAGACAGATACCGCGAACACAACGAATACGTTAACAAAAACTCAAACTTAATGGGATGTAATTGTAAAGTTTTTGTCTGCCATCCTAATAAAAAGTAAAAAAGAAAACCTAATAATTTTAAAATCATAAAAATCTTCTAAAGACTTACAAAATAAGGTTTCTAAGTGAAATGTTGATCTCATAGCACTTGATTTTGATTTCTTATTAGGATTATAAACTCTGACATCTTCCACTAATTTTACCTTAAATTCACCTATTCTACATAACTTGTCTTACAATGGAATAACTTCCTACAATTTTTTCCTTTCGGAAATAATTTGATTTAGTAAAGTCTCACTGACTAGAAACTGCCGATACTCTTCAAGTGTATCTTTGATACAGTTATTTAAACTAGGCAAGAGAATATAGCCAGTTTAAATTCTCTTGAACTGGGACAGTCCCTGAGGAGACGACGAAATATTTTCCCAATCATTTACAATCGCCTAAACGTTAGTGCAGTTCAGAATTTACGTTGTGAGTAATATTTCAAAAATGAGAATTATGCAGAGAACAAACAAATATTACTATTGGTCCGTTAAAAATTCTCGAGCTTTCATATGATTCCTTAACACGACTATAACAGTCGTGCGGTGAGTAATTTTCACTTATATGATTAAATGTGTTGCATCTTTCTAGGCTGAGTATTAAAATTTGAAAAATTTCTAATTAGAGTAACTGTAAATTAAATATTGTTTCGTAATTAGAAGGGATAATATTTTCTTTTGTTACGTTCCGTTGAACCACTTGTTTAGGATCCAACCAGTGTGTAAAATAACGCCCAAAGAAATAGTGTATCTATAACAAAAAATACAATGCAAGAATCTGAGTAAGTCGCCTTGTAGGGATCAACCGTTATACTTTTGAATAGAAAAGGTAAGTTTCTAAAGAAACTTCGGCGCTGTGTCGATTGGAGGGTAGATAAGATAATCTGGTTTCATCAACTGCAAATTGGCCACCATAGAGAGTTTCAAAGCTGATGTTTCGAGCATTAGCTAATAAAGCCCCTCTTTACAGCGCTCTACTCTTGTTTTAATGGTGTTGCTCCCTAACGAGTTTTCTGCAGCTCTGTTGGCAAAGCATCCGCATACGTGACGCATGCGCAGTTGGTTGGGGCTCTAACTTACAATGAACGAGACTTAATCTTCGTTCCATGCAAAAAAAAATAATCGTACTCACTAGTTCATCAGTAAATTGGAGGAATAAAGTAATTCTTTAAAGCCAACCCACCTAGCTTCGTAGTAAACTCCAGCTGATTCACAACAGGAGGGTTTTCCTCCTATCGAACAACAATATTTCAATTTTTTATTATCCTTTGGACGTGGACAGTAATCCCTAACTCTTGATCCGTTGTCATGACAACGCTTTCCTCCCGGCTCACAACAGCTTGGGCCATTGTCATAGCAACAAATACCAGTTTTGTTGTTGTTTACGTTTAATTCCTTTGGACATTGAAACGGGTACCTCCAATCCATCGGACAGGAAAATCCTATAACAAAGAGATTACTTTCAGTTTTACTTCTTCCTTTCAATATCAGAAATTTATGAATGAGCAGGGCTCAGTTGATTTGCTGCATCCCTGTAACTATGAGACGCACGCACGAACAGTGTGCCTGTTTTTAATTAGATCTATCCACTATCATTGACTGTGAACGTGAGAAAGCTTCATATTCATTTTCATTCAAACCTAACCATAGTCTGATGAAACTGAGAGATAATGATTATTATCTCTTGAAGAAACTGAACCACACTATGCCTTCTTTGCAGTTTAAGTCGGCACCATTTGCAAACTGGAAATCAGCTTACTCTCCACTTAACCCTTGGAAGTTAATATCACACCTAGGAAATCGTACAGCTTACCTTTCCGATATTTCTCAGAAGAAACCTGCGCCACAAAACCCGAATCAGCCACAGCATCGTCTGATCTGAATCTTACCCATAGGTGTTGGCCGCTTGAATATATCGCATCCGTGTTATTAGTTCCACAAAATGTCCCGAGAAGACGAGCACTAGAATTTGCTCCATCTCTTACTTCAACGTAATCGCACGAACAAAACTCGGAAGTTCCCATTCTACCGCAGCTTTGTATTGACATCGAGAGGATTTTGAATATGATGCGCGTTCTATACGGCGCAGTGATTTTCCAGATACAGTCCACATTGTTAGGATAATTTCGAGAAGGAAATTCAGGGCTGTGAACTGTTCCCACTGATGTAACGAGGCTCGTGGCGTTCCTACAAACTGAGAACCAAAACTATAACTCAATAATAGAATAAACGGAGATAAAAGTGAACGACAAAAAGGTCAGGACACAAAGAATAACTATTGTAAAATAAATTGCATCGAGTGGTGTCTCTTGGCTTTATTACCAACTGAGCTACTTGACCGACTAGAGCTTTGCTTTAAGTTGTAATTCTGATCAAGAATTGATTTAAATAGTTTACTTTTTAGTAACACGCTGAATAAAAACGATTAGTGCCCGTAAGAACCGCTGAGTTAGTGAATAAATGACGTTTCTTAACCTTGTGAAATGCATGACAAAGAAAAACACTAAACAAGGCACTAAACAAACCTGCACCAGGAAGCACTGAGGAATATGTCGCAGTAAATCCTGAAAAGCCGTTTCCATGATCAGAACTGAACACAACCTTCAACGCCTGTTTGCTTGAAAAGAAAGGGCCTGGTAAAGAGCTTCCGCAAAACTTTCCCAAAGAAGTGTGTCTGTTTCCGATGACGTCCAAAATCTCTACAAAGTCACATTGGCAATCAAGGCAGCTCTCCAATTGAAATGTGTTAAATGTAAGTTTTATGTGCTGATTTCTGGCTGGAATTGAAATGTGCCATACACAGCGAGTGTAGTCCGGATAGAGCAATGACCCGCGTGGTTTGGGGCTACTTAAATCTCCAGAGCTGTTTGAAAAAAAGGTAGATGCAGGACACCCTGAAAAAAAAAAAAAAAAAAAAAAAAAAAAGGAATGGAGTAAGCATGTGAAATCCAAAGACATTGTTTATAAAGAAAACCATTTTGAAGCGTGTAATCAGCCATTACTTTCCATGGTTATGGGCCACCATCTTAATAGATGGTGCTGACTTTCTCTATTTAACACAAATTTATTGTTGCGTCTGTTTAGTTATAGATCACAGATGACATCAAGATATGGTGAGAACAAATAAATAAAACAAACGGACAAAATATTTAAATGGTGACTTTTTTTTATGCGTCTGTCTTCCAATAGATTATATGTAAGTTCTAGTTATAATGCCTGCGTAATTCAGCTTCTTATATATAACAAATACACCTGAAATTCAATGTTGCCGTGACACCTGACATTCTATGTTGCCGTGACACCTGACATTCTATGTTGCCGTGACACCTGACATTCTATGTTGCCGTGACACCTGACATTCTATGTTGCCGTGACACCTGACATTCTATGTTGCCGTGACACCTAACATTCTATGTTGCCGTGACACCTGACATTCTATGTTGCCGTGAAACGTGACATTTTATGTTGTGACACTTGACATTCTATGTTGCAATGGTTCTATTCGAATTCAGTGATATAGTACAGATGACGTCAAAATGTGGTAGGGACAAGAAAATGGCACACGAGGCGCAGCCAAGTGTGTTACTAATGTTCCCACCACATTTTGACCTCTTCTGGTGTAGTCCTCATACACGTCTGTTCTCCATAGGATCACGAGGAAGAACCAAAATAAGAGCGTGTATAGTTTAACTTATTCTATAAAAAGGAAATAGTTAAATAGAATAAGAAAGATGTATGCTTTAAGCTCGGTAAAGAAATAGAGAAAGATTTTTTCGTCTTGCCACTAGCGAGGGACAAAGAAAAAATTCTGAGTCTCCAGGAGGGGCATCGGAGCGCAGAATCCGTGGGTTCGAGGTTCGAATCCTCATAGAGGACTCACAATGTTTTCCTTGTCTCACGCTCGTGACAAGCAAGACGAAAAACATCTTTCACGATGATATAGTTATTTTCTGAAAAAACACATGTTAGCTTACAGAAATAATTTATTGCGTCTTGGGAGTTGAAGGTTCAGAGAATAGCTTGCTCTGGTCAGTGAATTAAAAAAAGGCTCGATGATCTTTCTCTATCTTTTTTTTTTTTTTTTTTTTCAAGGAGCTAAAATTTCAAGCTAACGCAGTGCATAATCATCTAAATTTACTGGATTGCACAATAGTTAAACTCGAGGTTGGTAATCTTCAGTTGAGCAGGGAATTTCCGCAAGATTTCCGTTATTATTTTAAACCAGGTACACCGATACATGTACATCCGGTATTATCAACAAACCACACACGTGCACTCGGAGATATGAAAATATCTTAATACTTCCAGCTGCATTTGTTGGGACACCTACTGGGTCTCATGCCCCTCTCAATGCAAAATGGCTCAGGAGCATTGGCAATTAACAAGATAGGAAGGGAAGAGGGGTGAAAGAAAATCTTGAACATTGTCCTGGAGAAGCATCCCCACTAATTTTGTAAAATAATTCAAATAGTACGCGCGCTCTGATTGGCCATAAAACCATTTTACATGAGCGTATGTAAACACGGTTTTCGTTCCTCTTTCATTGGTTATTTTATAAAAGAAATGTAAAATGGTTTCTGTGTTTACATAGCCTGATGTAAACACTTGGGAGGTTGGGAGAACACTCGATAAGCTGGAAACCACTCCGCTTCGCGTCGTGGTTTCCTACGCTTATCTCGTGTTCTCCCAACCTCCCGCGTGTTTACATCAGCTATGTAAACACGGAAACCGTTTTACATTTCTTCAATGTCTGGAAGCGTGGTTTCACCAATACATGTGTATCCGGTATTGTTTACCACCACACGCGTGCAGTCGGAAAAATGCACGAAATGAATAACAATGGAGGACTATCAGCTCCCAAATAGGAAACAGCTTGATCAGGAGTTCAGCGCGTTCTTTTTCTGCTGAAGGAGATATGCTTTTTCACGCTCAAAATGCTGGCGTGACTACCAGGTGATTATTCGTATTTTTACACTTTTGTACCGAAATGTATCAAGTTATCCAAGGTACTTACATTTTTGCGTTGACACAATTTCCACGAGACAGATTACTGTAAAACCAGAAGGGAAAAAAACAAAATTTTAGGGAATTAGTCTCTGCATAACCCATAACCCATAACCCCAAATGTCAGACCAACTGTATTAAATTAACTAACAAATAAGTCACGACATCTTTTGACGACGAAATTTCCGTTCCAAGAAAGGAAACCATATCTTGTTGACTTGCTAAGGAAGAAGCGCTCGAAAGAGACATAAGCAAACTGAAGAGAACGAGAATGTGTTGATAAACTTGAAAAATTCTGGCTGCGTTTTGCGAGATCCTCGAACCGTGATGAAGCCTCTTTAAATATTCTGAGAGGCTCTAAAGCTCACAGTTACAATGTTGGCTCTGGTACTTCCATTCATAACTAATATACGCGTCTAGATCAGTCTAATAAAGCGGCTTAAGCTGTAGTGTGCAATGACGCTGAAGACACGTTCTAAGCACTACTTATTGGAGCGGAAGCCTTAAGGCGGAAAATAAAACCGATAGGTAGCAAGCGGTCTGTTGCACCTCATTTGTCGGAAAACGACGAGGATAGTATTGTATGATAGATAAAGTGGAGTCTTGTGTTCCAGCCGTTAAGACCTATGTTTTATTTTGAACCTCATTTTGAGCTCTCGAAATAAGAAATTCCCCTCTAGAACCTGATATTATGAGTTAGTTTCAGTTTTGTTTATCAGCAGCGGTTATTTAAGTCCTTAACACTGTCTGTTATCAAATCATCAGCTGTCAACAATAGCATTATCACCAATCAAGCGCGTAACAAAAGCCATATATGTGAAGAATAATTTTAGACTAAGTATTAGCTCTGAACAACAGAAATTATCTAAAAATATAAAAGATCACATCATTACCTGTCAACAACTGAAGCATATCGTCAAGCAAATAATAGCAAAAGCCAACTCCACCTAAATTTCCTCGGTAACTGAGAGGCACAGAAACCACAGCGGATGTAGAAAGGTCATTTTCAATTCACGTGAATAATATTTTCAGGATCACGTCCGGTGTACGTTCCGTCATGCGAGGCTAACAGCGTTCCTTAATTAGGATCGGTTCGTGATGATCAAAATAAATGCCTTTTCTTCACAATGGTATGACGTCTTTAGTTCATGCTATGGTTTGATAGGGTATCTTTCGCACGAACTCCGTCCTTTTTCCTCCGCCAACAAAAGGCTGGTTCAGCGAGAATGTGACTATGACGATCAGAAAACCACCTTGAGATGGAAGCTTTGACAAATTGACGGGAAGATCCTACGAATTAAGTGTCTACGAGCAGAAATATACAAAAAATGTGAAATATCGAAAGCACTTAGCGGTATTTTATAAATCATGACATTTTCTAATGGATGACGTCTGTGATGTGCTCTTTTCTGGCGTCGAGGGTTTGTAAGCTACTTACTTGCTATCAATTTGCATTTATCTAAATGTAAACATTATGTTTGTGTCTGCACCACAGTGAGCCAACACGTGAGACAAACCTTTTTAGGTTTTTCTTATTTCCTTATTTGTCGTCTTTATGAATATTCTAGAATAATTTCTGAACCATGCCTTAGGGTGATTTTAAGTTGTAAAATGGTTTGAAATATCAAGAGCGCGACAGTTTTGTGAGTCTTAATGAAAAAAAACGAATGGGTTGATCTACAATGTCACTCATACCACGAAAACCGTTGACGGGAAAATAATTTACATCGTCTGAACGTGATAAAAGTGCGATAACAACGAAGCACAGAAGTTAAAATCAACAATTTTTCATTAACAAATGCACTTGTCACGAAAATACATGAGCTGAATTCATAGTTAAGAAAGCATGCGTGTGTTCTGACACTTTTCATTACAAGTAACTTGAAGAAAAAACATCTGCTAAGGTGGACTTTCCCCGCACACTTTTCCAATCTAGTTCCTTTATCAGTCTCTGTATTACAAAAACTGGCATGTCACTCCCTGCCAATCGTACATGTTTAGGAAAAATTGTTAAGGGAAATCTTGCCTTTGAAAATAAGTCCTAGGGAAATCATCCCTCCTACCTTTAAATTTCTTTGCAGTGCAGCTGGGTAAATTTTTTAAATACCCAGGTTTTTGATGACGAGATCAGGAATGAAGACTATTTCTATTATCAATTACACAGTGGGGAAGTCTTTGTTGATCACATTACTGCCAACGATCAGTGTGGATTCTGCTTACAATTACTTTTGCCAAATGCACGTAAACAGGCACTTTATGCACCTTATACAGGCCACATCTGACGGACAGAGAATGCCGGCAGGAATTGCTGGCACTGCTAAAAACAAGCCGCTTGATCGATAATATTCGACTTTGCTTTGCTGGAAACTTTCTACCACGTAACCGAAACTGATGACTTATTAGATATCTGCAATAGAAAGTCATTCTTTCAACTTCCTTTCTCGATCAATTTTGAGATGACGATCGTATCTTTTCAAATTGTCAGCCTATTCTTTCGACTTAAGAAGGATGCTATGCCATTTAAATCATCACTTTGGCAACTCTTATCTGTATCTCATAGCGTCAAGGCGAGATTCAATGTCGCATGTGTTGCCGCTGCCAACCTTGCTGGCGCAGAGCTCTTGTGTAAATATACAAGAGAATACAGACAGTTTATTATCTCTTGATATATATTTAAATTTAAAACTAAATTAAAATAAAAGAGTAATATATATATATATATATATATATATGTATGTATGTGTAAAGAGTTGTGAAACTCCCTTTATGGTTATAGTCATCTTTACCAATATAACCAGTCGAGTATCGAGACTATCGTGTTCAGGTAAAGGCAAATCTATTGTAGGTGTGTCTTTGGAAGCCATCAAAGCGAGAAAACCTTCTAGCGGTTTCATTACCGGCGTATAGCAATTGAGGGATAGTATCTTGTCTCTGCTGATCAGACGTTCTGTCAGACCTTAGGGGGTCGGAAAGGACACATTGATTAAGTGTTCGACAGCTTGATTCATCGTGTTTTGAGCATCGCTGTCACGCTCGGATTCTTTTCAATTAAAACCCAGCTCATTATCTCATATCGGTCAAGTTTTGAACCGATCGGAAACCTTCTGAGAGTCAGCGAATAAGCAAATCTCAAAGCCATCCAGTATTGCCATGGCACTGCTTTTAAAATAATGTATAATTTTGGTATTTCCATCACTTTATCACAACCTAAAAGATTATTAAAATTTTGTCACGAAATCAGTTTAGTGGCCCCAGAAAACTGAAATGGCGATTGAAACAAAGTTTGAACTTCGCTGTTTTTAACGCGGTATTTACGTCCCGCTTCTTATTGCTAACCAGGTCAAGTTATCGAAATAAATTGTCATTTAAAGAACATGTGGTGGCAAGTATAGGAGGAGTAAACACGTGGCCAATTGTTTTCGTTTTGTTTAAAAACTCTTGTTTACATTAAGACTCGACAATGCTTCAGTGTTTTCGTTTATGAGAGCGATTATGGCGATATCAAGTTATAATAATGTTTCTACTTTACGCCAAAACGTCGTTTTGTGGCGCAAATCAAGAGTTAAAACCTCTTGAAGCGATATCGACGTAAACCAGAATGTTTTAGGTTCTGCGTATAAAGCGTAAACGTATGGTCTTTGCGTGATGAGGCGACCACCCATGCGGAAAAGACTTACACTGAAACGAAGATTTCCCTCGAAATTTAGGGGAAATCAACTTAAAATCTTTTAAGGCTCTTTGGCAAACGTGATGGTGAGGTTACGTTTAAATGGTAATTTGATCTTAGTCGATGGCTTGCAACAAACGCGATTGTTCCACGCCTGAGACATTAATAATAACAGCGGTCGTGTATGTCGAATAATCATTTGGCTGAATAAATCTATGTCTCCCTAGAAATGTATAGAAGATATCAATAAAGGTTTGCTCACCTATAAAAACTCTCATCATCCCAACAGTTGCGTTCAAAAACTTCCTTAGGATGATTCATAAAATTTACACGCGGTCTTGATGTTGAGCCAGTGTGGCTTGTCGACAAGGTGATGTCTGTCACGCAAAAATGCAATAGTTTTCTTGTATATGCAAATTTTCCTCCAATGATTGGGCAGGTGCTAACAAAGAAAGCCTGAGCTTTTGAAGAATTAATGCAAAGTCAATTGACCGGAATAACAAAACGTCATCTGAACGAAATGTCAATAAAACCTGATTTGGAAAAAAGCCAACTCGTCACTGCACCTCGTCGGCCGTGTCTGCTAAAGTCGGTATTCGCCTGCGCGCATTCTAAAAGTGACAGATAATTTGTTTATACGCCCTTTTAAGTGACCCATGAACGAAAGCTATGCAAATTTCGCAAACAAGAAGAAAAATCGTTTTAGGCAAACTTCACTTTCAGTTTGAAAGTTAATGCCACTGTCTGGAATTTTCTATCACATGTTCAGATTCAATTTTTTATTTTTTTCTCTGTTCTGCTCTGTTCTTGCGTATTCTAAGAACCTTCTTGTCGTGAAAAAATTTAAATGGAAAAGTCATATCATGTATCTTTAATAAGACGCCAACTTCATAATCGATGGCGAAATATAATGAAATATTAAAAAAACACTGAAATACAGGTTGACAGATCTTTCTTTTATCTACATTGCGGTCGTTGAAAAATAATTTACACATATAGTTTTCAACCCCAAAGGCTTGAAGTTTACACTGGTAATGCATATTTTATGAAAATACAATTTCAAAGAGTAGCAGGTTGGTGCAGTTTTTCAGCTAGCGAAAAAAGAAATACATAAATTAACCACTCTATTGCTAGTTTTCAAGACATCACATTTTTAATTATTGGGTGAATATACCATTATTTTTTTGGCTAGATATTCTTCCCAATATTCTTGGTCCTTTAAGATTATCGGCAACATACTGAATAGAATCAAAACGAACAAATTTTATAGATACTTTTTGAATTTTTTCTGTCATCACGGAATCGCAGCCATGTCGATCACTACCTTTTTTCGGTAACTTTTTGGTGGTCAGTTTAGTTACAAAAAGGAATTGATTTAAGTTGCCATTCCTTCCGTTGAGATGATAAAATCAAGTTCATCCAAAGAAATTATTACTATGTAACTTAAACGATTTGTAATTTTTCACCAAAACCCAAAGATATGCACGCTTTTAATTAACTGGGTGATGATTCTAGACGTTTTATTCGATCAGCTCAAGTTTTCTTTAAAACAGCATCATTCTAAAGGGTATTTGGCTCTGTACCTCTGCCAGCATGCATTTAGAATGTCTTGTTTTTCATTCTATACTATAATCCTAAAACATACTTTCGGTCCACTTGGAACACAATCGAATCCTTATTATTTACATTATGATATTTGTCAAAATTGTTTTAAGGGTTGTCGGAGTAATTCTGAGTGAAACCGCTGATTAACAATTAATATTGATAATTACAAGTTATGCCTTCATTGAGTGGAAGAGACAGGCGTATACCTACAGCCATCATTTTGAAGATATTAGTCTCCGACACCTCGTTTTCATCAACCAGCAAAACCAAAATTCTAAATCAGTTCCAATTTTGACTTAGAGAACAGTGGGCTAGGAACCACCTTATTACTGCCTCTGGTATAAAATTCCAATTCGATCTAAACCCAGAGAAAATATCAAGACCAATATTTTCTCTTAATTTCGACATATGTATCTAGAAGGGGAAAAGAACAGCGTACGGTAGATACACATGCTGTCTTCCATAGAATAGTTTAAGGTGTTTAATCTCGCGTGAGAGAGTAAAAAGAAAATAGGAAATAAAGAAATAAAATTACCTTGATTTTTCTGAAATTTGCGTGTTGCCTCTGTTTGAACTCTCTTGTAATTATCATGCTGTTAAGCCTCTCTGACTTAATGGTACAGTTTTTTTAAAACATTCTCTAAAAAAAATAACTTTTATTCTAACAAATTTTCACTTTATGACTTCCTGCCTCTCAAAATCCCCAAAACGTCGTGTTATATGTGTGTGTGAATCCTAGCACTGGACATGTGTAAAATCCCAGCTGTCTCCTGCTTTGTCCCTAGGGTAACGACCAAGTATTCAAATAAGTTCATCTTTTCATTTTTAAGTGCGGGAATGTGACTTTCCTTAGACCCATTCTCAACTGACCGCTCACATTAATAGCTGGAGATATTCGTGTGTCTGTCTTGAAGGTATTAAATTTTGATGCTGTGGACATTGCTACAGCCTAAGGGTATTACTTACCGAGACTTTACCTACCGAATACACAGGAAAGACCAGCAACTGAAAACATTTACATTGATTCCATGCATGGTTGCAGAGCATCGAACTATCAGCAATGATGGTATATTTATCCGAGCCTCTTTGTTTGACGATTGAACATAATCTTTGCCACGAGGAACTTTAATTTCTTTATCTATTAACATTGGGAAGTGCTAAGGACCAAGCTTTTGTCAAAATACACTTCTTGGCTATCAATCGGAGAGTAAAAATATAAATAAGATCAGAAGATAGGAGCTTTGCTTTTAAGTGAAACATTGTTTTCTTGTAAACTTTCTCTCGGCATCGCATACATATATGCTCGACGACAGCCCAAAAAAAAAAAAAGCTGAACGAAAAATGTCTCTAGGTATTTTAGATAGAGGCGTTCAATTTTCTTATTTTGTATTCATTCACAATTTATCCGTTTCTTCACTTACAGACTGAACTCTGCCGATGTTTTTAAAGAGTAGATTAGTGTGGTTTTACCCTTTTTTATTAACTTCTTGTCAAAAGTGGGCTTCAGATGTGACATTAATGATCATTTACCCAATAAGTTCTCAGTTCTTCCTCTTTGAGGTTGTCGGAATGCCATTAGCCATTGGTCAGGCTACAAATGGAAACGAATGTTAATAAGATGTAAAAAACCATTGAGATTTTACCTCTAAGAAATATAAATTATGTAGGATTTCACAGCAAAACAAAGTTCAAAGCTAGCCGTTGATATATAAGTAAAAATGATTATTTGCAGACACTTTTTCAATTAATTTCTTCAGAAGCAGTTATGGCAGGTTAGTTCATCCTTGATAAGATAAGATATATAAAGATAAATCCATCTCTTATGTCGATTGTCAAATATTACACGCCAACAATCAAGTTTTGTGAATAATTACTTAAAGAATAATTTTACCTGTCTCCCGTCATCGGTCCGTGGCTAAATTTTTAAAGCTATCATGCCTGTCATATCTAATCGAGGACTTTCAGCAAGGTGTTTGAATTAAATTTGTTTTCGACGCTAAAGAAATGTGCGACTAAGCCGAACGAAGAACGTTGTGATTGCAGTGAAGAGAATTAAGAATAAAAGAAAAATCATTTAAAACTATTTACAGGGAAAATGTGACAAAACTTTAATCGTGATCGGTGTTTTAAAGTCCATTTGCACTGAAGTCGATTTCACAAGACATTAACCAAAATATCATGCAATAAGCTTGTATGCGCGTTCTGTCTTAGTCGATCTGGAAGTGCCGAACATAGTAATAGTAAATATATATGGCTCTTACTTTAAAAGACAACGATTTACACCTTTTCTCTTCATGCCGCGGAAGTTAAGGAGGAAGAATAACTCTAGGCAGTGTGAGGACGAAGTTGTTGATATTTGTGCTTAGTTTCTAGACTGAGTGGAGAAGTTCGCCGAGAAGGGGTTGGTTTTATGCAATAAATGTCTTAACCCTTTACTCCCAGGAGTGACTAAAATATTACTTCTCCCTAAGATATCCTTACATTATCCAGCAAACAGGCGATGAGAATACTCAAACTTATCAGGTAGAATTTGCCATCTATAGTTCTTGCACTAAATTATTGTAACCGGCAATTTACAAGGAAATGTCTCGCAGCTAAAGGATAAAATTAATTAAGGAGAAGAACTTGGGAGTGAAAAGGTTACACTAACAAGTGCAGATAGCAATGGCAACGAAATGAGAATTATGTCTGACGTAAACGCTAGATTTTGTCTTTTCCAGGTGAATAAATAGCGTAGATGTGTCTGGAACAGTCATTTCGAAATACACGTCTGATGACGCCATTATCATTTCCAACCGCATTCAGTTAGCGTTATTGTCACTGGGTCGTGGGTTATTTTACTGTGTAATGCTGTGGCTCGAGTGATTTTTCAGATTCCAAAATTTGATCATATCACACCTGCACTTATCGACCTATATTGGCTCCCAGTAACGTTCAGAGTTCAGTTTAAATTGCTCCTCTTTGTTTACAAGTCATTACACAACCAAAGTTCTCCCTACATTAAAGATCTTTTGTCCCTGAAACCAGCTATTAATTATGCTCTTCGCTCGTCTGCTCAATCTCTTCTGTTCGTTCCAAAAGCCAACTGCTCTTCACTTAGGGATCGGGTCTTTGCTCATGCTGCACCTGTTTTATGGAACTCGCTGCCATCAACTATCAGAACAAGTATTTTAAAAAGCAACTTAAAACATTTCTATTTAGGAAAGCTTTCAGTTTGTTTCAATAGTTCTGATGTTTATTGCCTTTGAAAATTTTAATTTTAATTGGTATAGAACTTTAACTTATGTAAAGCGCTTCTGAATATTGTTTATAGTTTTAGCGCTATATAAATTCCTTATCATTATCATTATTGTCTTTTCAGCCACCAAGTAAGCTTACAGCGACTTCCAAAGATTGATAACAGTCAAGCCCACAAGACGATCCTAAGAGGTGGTTTTAGTGGGTCGTGGATTATTTTACTGTATTTCAGTGAGCTTACACCGACTTCCAAAGATTGATAACAGTCAAGCCCACAAGACGATCCTGAGAGGTGGTTTTAGTGGGTCGTGGATTATTTGACTGTATTTCAGTGAGCTTACACCGACTTCCGAAGATGGATAAGAGTCAAGCCAACAAAACGATCCTAAGAGGCGGTTTCAACAGCTCAGCTGGTTGTCATGAGAAAGATAAAAATGCCTCTTGTAGCACTGAAATAGGTGCGTAAAGCTTCACTGTCATCCTGCACGATTGTGCATTAATTGGTAACATAGCGCCTCTGAGACCTTAGACTGTGGAGTCCATGGTTTCTATTGGAAGTTGGAGTTTGCAAACTTCTAGATATTTTAAAGTTTTCTCTTTTAGATGACCCTGGTCTTCTCCATCAATGTTGATATGTTTATACATCTAACCAAGTATTAAAACGTAATGGAGCCATTCACTTTCTCAAATCTTACAGAAAAAAGATGAATAAGCCAGGGTATAAAATGATCAAGTTATTTGACTTTCCTTTCATGCTACAAGAAACAACGAAAAACCTGCACCTTTCGAAAGAGCATGCAGACATTATTTACCCCTTAAGCTCTGTTATCAATCCTTCTCCCCCCCCCCTTTTTTTTGTTTGCTATTTTTCGTCTTTCGTAGATAAACGATTGATAAAAAAGATGGGTTTAGTCAAATTCATTAATGGGCCACTTAATGAATAAAAAGAAATATTCTTGCTCTATTCCTGTCCCTTCTGCTAGGTACCAGTTACGAAGAATGTGAGATAAACGTGGCGGTTGTAATTATAGTAATTCTTGTAATCGTGGGTTGGTTCATTGGATACCTGTTCCTCCAGAAGGTGCAAGAGAAAAAAGAGGAAGGGACTAGTTCGACACCACAGAAAAGACGAAATTTTAAAATACCATAATATGTCAAACTGATCAACTTTTAATATTAGTGATCATTTTAGTTATGGACTTCGTTTCACCTCGTCGAGGATGGCACAGTAGATATTGTACATTAGGAAAGGCGACAGATTTCTTGGTTTAGGTTATACTGTCAAGCTTTTTGGACCGCATCTTGCACAAAGTTTCATAGTATTCCAATGGTTTTTAGTTAAGTGACCAACAGAAACTTTCCTAAAGGTTATTAAGTAAGAATCAGTGAACAATAACACACTAGGATTTTGCACGGTTAGGGAGCTTTCATCCTGAACCACGCGATAGTTATCATCATCTTTCATTTTGGTTGGCTTTCACAACTAGTAACCTATGCTATATGTGACTATGATGAAAATCAACGAGGTAAATATCAAGAGAGAACGCGCAGACATGAAAAAAGAGTTTCCTTTGAAAATAGAAACAAAAGTGTAAATGCTCTTGTCCTTGAAAGCAACATCAAAATATTATGCGGCTTTTGTAGTGTTGTGTGAGAGGACGCGTTCTATACACAGAGAAAGTATGTTTATTTGTAATAAAAAGTTTCCTGAAAGAAACATATTTAAGATAAGGTGTCCTCCCTGAGCTGTAACAAAGTGACAAAATGAAGTTTTGTTAAAGTACCTCGAGTACAGAAGATGATTTGGGTCTCCCTCACAAACGTGTATAAAGAAATCCATTCAAAAACATCCCAACGAGTCCTACTCTTAAAGTTATTGAAGGTATCCTTGACAAAAACCCTTCATTTCCAAATAAAAACTCTCTGGGATTCAAGTGTATAGTTAGCACCACTGACTAAGACTGCTTTCTCGATGTTACAAGTCCGTTGAGAGTGGAACAAACTTTGTACAATGTGAAATGCATGATAGTTTGAGTACATTCACGGGGCGTCCTTTTTTATTACCGCTGAAACAGTCCCAAATGTCAGTAATAGGAACTTAACCCTCGAGGAAATCGGCAGGTCACTCCAGGCAACTAGAGAATACAACGAGGGCTAAATTTGTAAGAAACCATAAGAAACTGTTCACTTGCGTCTTTCCTATCGAGTTACGTGGAGTGTGAAGCGTCGGTGGATCGGTGCCTCCATTTGATGAAAGTTCCTCTGCCGTGCTAGATATATCTGAAAAGACAAAAAGAAGGCAAAACTGATTTGACCTATGCGAAAAATTTATACAAAATTCTAGTTACGATGTACATCGTTACAGTTTTACAGTTTTAAACTAAAAAATTCTATGCTCTGTCTAACTTACATTTATTTACCGGTTTCAGCCTTTAAAACGTGGTGTTAAAATCGAACAATATCCCCTGATTTATTTGTTATAACCTTCTGTTTAAGAATGTGATAGTATTGTGTAAAGAAACTCCTTCATGTTCATCCCTGTGTTTTCTCTTTTCATAAAAACTTCTTCAGCTCGAATTTAACTATTCACCAAGCAGAACATCAATGTAGGGCATCAAACCTGTTTTTGTGGTCTGTGAACTTTGTTCCTCACTGTCTTTGGCAGTTGTCGGCGTTGTTGTTGTAGATGACTCTGACCATGGACAGTAAACACTAGGAACAGACTCCCCTATTAATAAAAAAAACAACAACAACAAACAAACAAACCATCAAAAGAAGTAAATAGTATAATATGGTATTGGGGCTGGTGCACAGATATGCCTGAATATTTAAGATGCAATCGAGCAATAACGTTAACCAATCGCGTTTCCTACAGGATCTTGGGCCTGCCAAAGGAGTTGATGGTGAACGCATCACTCCGTCTGCGTTGAAGCTTTGTTACATGTTACAACCACTCCCTTTAGGACACTGCTGTTATGGGAATATATTTCAGATCATTCTTTCCTATGTAACTAAACCATCGAAGTTTCCAGAGAAAGTAGAGAACTGTGCACTGAAAGTGCAAACGCAAAAGTTGCGGCGTATTTAAAGGAGCTGTAAAACCAAGTGTTGGTCGTGAATTTTGGATATCTTAGCGTTGTTCCTGCATATTATTAAGGCATGATGCGTTGAAAACATTGCAATTTCATTGCCATAGGTTCCGATCTCATGATCACACCATACACCACAAATGCGAAATAAACAAAGCATTTCTGCGGAATAATTGTGACAGGTTTTAAAAAATTGATCCTTTTAATACAGTGATCATTACTCTTGCACTCATTGGATATGAGGTACATTAGTTGTGAAAGATTCATTTCCAATGCTTGTTCATGGAGAAACTACTAAATATTCTTGTAAAAAGGGGACCCAACTGGATAGATCAAGAAATTTGCAGGCAAAGGAAAATTTTCTTGTTTCGAAAGCTGAGTCTTTCAATTTCTAGTACCTTTAATATCCTTGTTGTTATAAAGGGTACAATGGAAAACCGTGAATCAACACTAAAGACAATGAACATGTTGGGTGCTGCTTTTCAGGGGCAGCTTCTCATTGGTTGTGCCATTAAAGAATTTTGCAGATCAGACAGACAACCCTACATTTACTTGGCAATTTTGTTCATTGAGTCTTTGTACCTGTACCCACAAGTGCAATATATGAACTCATCTTAACTCTTGAGAAAATAGAACAATAAGTAAACAGATTACTCACATGCTTCTAAAGGTACAAATGTGTAAACTGCTTGAAATCCCTTCTTATTTGAATGACTATCAGATTTAAACGTCACCACGATATCACGTCCAAAATGACTTTTCACCTTCCATTCACCTGGCTGTAATGTTCCACATTTCTTTTGCGCGTAGTCTTTGCCGATAGCAACCTTGAAAAAAAAAACAGTAGTTTATAATTTTATACAAAAAAATGATGATTGTCTTTAGATTAGGAACGAGGGAATACTTCAGTGGGTTGTTCGAAAACCTCACTGACCGAAAAAACCTTCAAGGGGTACCCTTATCCTACCTGACACTTACGATACATCATCAGTCCCTCTTATTTATCCACAGTTACTACAGTATAGAGATTACTCACCTCAACATAGTCACAAGAGCACGAGCTTACACAATCTTCGAGATCAAAGTCCAGGAAATTTAGATAAATCTTGTACCCTGCAGGGATTGAAATATTCCAGCCGCACTGAATATTATCAGGATAGTTGGCAGGGAAGTTCGGACTGGAAAACCATCCACTCGTGTTCGTCAGTTGTGTCATCTGAAGGCACGCTTTTGAGAAAAGTATAGGGTTAATGCAATATCTATTTGCGGAAATAAGAACATAGATGGAAACGGGAATGAAAAACTAAGAAATCAGTTACTCTGAGAAAAGAAACAAAATAGGTCTATAAGTAGGCTAGATCCAGATCATCACTTAAGGAGTGTTGTCTATTCGTTCGTATGGCTTAACTGATGTGATACTCCGAGCGACCGTTGTCCAAAGAAAAAGAGACTGTTTTCATAGTGTCCCGTTTTTTCTTCTTCTTTCTTTTTTAAGCTAGACATACAACTACTTTTGCATAGATGGGTTTAAAGGTATCCTACCCCACTTCCAATCGAATAAAAAGAATAAATAGATTTCAAATTCCACCAACCTTCATCACGAAATACATTATGATAATCCGCCACGAATCCTCTTGAGGTTTGCTCATTGGTCAACATGGACAAAGAGATTTGATTGTCCACCGAAATAAACGGTGTTACCGAAGAAAATGGACAAAGATGCTGATCGCCTACTGTGACTTCACCAATATCTAAACTACTACATAGACCGTCCGCGCATGGCGTGGACGACGAAGCGCTGGGCGGGCAGATACCGAGGCATATCCGGTAAAATACGAGAGTGAGCCGCGATCCGGCTGGTCCTGTTAAATTCCACGTGCACTCCATGTCACTCGGGTAGTTCAATGGGTAAAATGGGCTGGTAATGGATCCTGAGGTTCCATTGGAATTGATATTTCCGGGGCAAACTGTAAGGGTTTATGTCAACAAATGAACTTTTCATGGAATTCGTATATATTCACTTATTATAGCTATTTATATTTATAGCTTATTATATATTTATATATATTCACTCATATTTACTTCAAAATATAAACCCTCGGTAGAAACGTCAAGACAATAAATTCTCTATTAGAAAAAAAATCCCTGCAGCTTTAAGACCCGATTTAAAATGCCTGGTGAGGACTCGTAGCGGCAAGCCAAGTTTCAGGTCACCACGTATGAAAGATAAACATTAACACTCTCACTCCAAGGATCTCGTTGGTAATTCTCCTTACTGTCTACCATACATTTCTTGTTGTGTTACTTTGGAGAATTTGGTATTGGATCAACTAATAATCCCCTAACTAATATTTTTCTTTTTTCTCATCTCTTGTCTGCTTCATGTTGTCCTGATATTTTAAGGAGAAATTCTGTCTTGGTAACTCATGGGATTTAAAGAGTTGAGGCTGTCAATGGAAGATTAAGAAAATCTTAACGATGTCTATCAGCATTGTCATGGAGCATAGTCAAAAAAGATACAAAAAGCAGGATCGGAAATTCTTTTTAAGAAGTACGTTAACAAACATGTTAAAATAAGAAAAACTACTTACAAGATGGATCAAGAAGCTTCTTGAAGGAAGCTTGGAAGGAGTTGCCTGTTTGAGTTGAACTGTATTCCACCCACATTTGCCTTCCAATTGAACGGAACACAGAAGGACCTGGGTTTGAGCTGCACATTTTCTTCAACAAGGTGCTCGTGTTACTCCCACCATCTCGAATCTTTGGAATAATGAAAATAATAGTCAGCGAAACTAGATTGTTGCGAAATGCTTAAAAAACGCAAAGGTCAATTTTGTTATCGCACAGTACATTATCATTTGGTATTTCCCAAGAAAAACCCAGCCTATACACGAAGAAGTTCCCCTTTTTTTTCTTCTCACAACAGCTGCTTCTAGAAGAGTAACCATATTTTTTCACACAGTCATCCGCTTATACAGCATAGCAATAAGAATGTGGCTATAATTACCTGTACATAGTCATTAACACAGTTTGTGTTACCAACAGAAGCGACGTTATTCTTTGATATAGTGAGTTTAACGGTATAGTTTTCAGGCACTGTGATCACCCATGAGCAAGTGTAGGCAGCATAGCTTGTATAATCCGATCTCCGTCATACGGCACCTGAGCATTACTGGAGCACTCTGTAAAATAGAATACTTTTCGATGTAGTTTCGTACATCAAAGGAATATCTCTTGCGTACATGTAATACCAAAACCAAAGTTATCCTTTCAGTCAGTCAAAACAAAGGGAAAAATCGTAAGGAGCCAATGAATTCCAGTAGTTAACGAGGTCACTCTGGCTCCTCATAGAGCGTTATTTTGTACCATCTGACGCAAACTGACCAATCTTATGACATTATTGGAAAATTACCCACAATCTACTACTTCCCTAAATGACGTTAGAACTCTTAGTTATTTGGAACAATCGCTGCTAAATCTGAAGGATGCCAATTTGTTCCTCTGTAGTGTGCCTAAGTCTCACCCCTTATGAGGAGTAAGTTTAATTAACGCTTTTTATTTTGGAATATTTATTCAAAAACATTTTAGGGTATAACAGCCACAAAGGCTTGAATAGCTTAAAAGGTGACTTGCTAATCATAAAAGTGACTAGTTGTGAATACATACCAAAGGCGAGTAGATTCTTGGACTGTGCAACAATGATAATAGATGCTGTCCAATGAAACAGATACATGAAGTATTTCATTTCAACAACACCAAGAGACATCTAAAGCACTAAATAAACAAATTTAGCCAACCAGGCTCGATTGGAAGTATGATGAATTCAACTAAATCCCGCATCAGCCTAGCAACTGACGAAAAATGACAATATATATTTTTGGCGCAATAAAAATATAATTAAACATGGAAGCATTGAATGATACCCGTGAACTGTGAACAGAAAAGCCTAACGAAACGCTTCAGGCTTATCAGGCCTAGGGATGGATTATTCTCCCATCCAGGGGAAGTGACAATACTTCATCAGGACCCTTCATGCTAAAGAGACCGCCTGACTTGAGTGCAGACTAGTAAAGAAGCTTTGAGGTCAATACTGTGCATCAGTTACCATTTGAAGTAATTGTCTCCTCCCTAACTATACTGTTTCTTAATAGCATATTCATGCCCCTATAGGCTTTTTTTTTACTCCATTATTATATCATTTTAGGTTTTTAGAATTAAAAGGTACTTTTCTTTTGCTCTTTTAAAACGCCAAAGGCAAATTCAACAAGTTAAACATTATCTTAGTTCCTTTCATATCGCTCATCGTGGGATGCGGTGAAAAAATAGGGAGAAAAAAATCCTTTAACCGTCGTAAGCACGGAAAAATATACGTACCAAAAAACCAAATCATAATGGATACGTAATCACCATGATATCTTCGATTGATAAACATGAAATGAAAAAATTAAAAATGGTTTATGTTAAATCAAGAACTTTGGAGCACTTAATTAAATTCAAAGGCACAATGTTACATTCAAAGACATTTCTGGGAAGAAATGGGTTACGATGTAATAGGGAACGCTACATGAATACAGATATATTTTTTATTTCTGATTCAACTATGCATGGTGTTCTCAATTTCGCGCTTAGTGGTTGAATAAATTCATCAATAATAGATGTCTCGTTTACATAGGGAAAAATAAAATTATCACAGGATCAACTTGGTCACCAACATTAAAATTTGTTAAATCGCAAGGAATACAAGATGATCCGGTTGCGTGACTGTGAAGGTGCAGGTGTCAACATTTACCGCTTTTCTAGCGACACCTAACATTTTTAAGTTTAAAGTTTAGACAAAAAGACGATGTGAAGGAGGCAAAAATATTCAAATATGATTTAGCTGAGGATGGATAACATGAAAACATAACTTTTGTTTCATTGGTAACCAGTTTTTGTTAACACGCTATTAACATTAACATTAACCATTCATTCCCCAATAGAACTGATATCGACTGTCTTACCGCCGTCCTATCGACGAAAATAATTGGTCCAATCGACCAAATTTTCGTTTCAGAGTGAAATGAAAGTAGAGTTAGGGGTATACTTTAAGATACCTTCTAAAAACGAGGTCTCTAGGTAAAATTTCCGCACAGCCCCATACTTCATTATGCATTCAGTTCTTGAATAGAGAAAACAATTACTAAAACAATACATTGCCATTAGGAAAACAGATTTGTTTTACAATAGTATGGGGCTGTGCGGAAATTTTACCATTTATTCTCAAGAAGTCCGCAATCAGAGGCCAAAATGTACACAAATTGGTCAATTTCTACTTTTTCTGCTGTGGCATTAGCAGAAAGAACCGATCATTTATTTGCTTCGAGCAGAAAATTTATCATTTTGTCTATAGCGTCCGAATGAATTTTGTGCGGATAGAATATGCGTTGTTGAAATACAGTGATACCAGATAATTCATCATTAATATTTCGATTTAAAACGCTCTCCTAAGCAAAATAAGTAAGTAAAATAAGAACACTGAAAGAGAATTTACCTCTATAAAACCTTTGTGACGAGAATCCAGTTTCTTTTTACAGTTGTACCAAGTATTTGGAGTGAGGCTGAAGGTGACCTTGAATTAGAACCAGAATCTAGTTAGGATAACAAATTAATTTGCATTTCAAAAACAGCAAGGTTTGTATCATAACAAGGTCACCCTCAGCCTCACTCCTGTTCAGAGGCTTGGCAACCAAGCACACAACTGTAAAATGGACTATTGCGTGACTGGTGCAATTGCACGCTCATCGGTAATTTGAATTGCTAATATTGTGCAAAGAAACGACCGCCTGTAGTATATTTTTGTTAAAAGCTACCGCTTAATTCAATGCATAGAACCTTCAAACGCAAAGGATTACCCCTAAAAAGACTGCATGCGACATTCTACCTTCTCCAAACGGGAAAACTTGGTACATGCGTGGTGCTTGGTTTTATTTTCATATATTACTTTATATCATTTTATTTTATTTTATTTCGTCTGTTGGCTTGTTCTGTAAAAATTTTATTGTTTGGTTTATTACGTTCTTTTCATTCATTTGCTTATTTCATTTAATCATGTTTTATTTAACATCATTTTTGGACTCAGCAGGATATAGATAGGGATTTTATGGATATTGAAAGATTTTTCAGGGCATTCTGAGGGATTTTCTTTACCAAAAGAGAAGAAAAACTGCTTTTTACATTTCTCAATAAAGCAAAGGGGTTATGGGATATGATGTGTGCACTCAAACTTCGTGAGTGAGCTGTTCTGGCACCATCAGGGAGCACCATTATTAGTTATCATTCCACACGTATCCGGATAAATTTGAAAACGGATTTTTATACGGTTACGGGTTCCGTCCACATGGGGTTTCACACACAAAAACGGATAAATTTGAAAACGCTCTCCAAAATTTGAAAACGTCTAAGCGTTTTGGACGCCTTATCCGAATAAATTTGAAAACGATTTGAACGATGACGTAACAAGAAAATGAAATTGAATTTCTCGTCATTCTGGCACCATCACCATTGATTTTGATTTTAAATGGGGTCACACTGTTTTGCAACAGGAAATTAGAGATATGTATTTTAAACACTGTTTCAAACTTAGCAAACTTAGTGGTTCAATTCTGCACATTTTTTTCAGTTCATCACGGCATTGTTTGACGTTTACGTGTGGACACCAAACACGATTCACAAACGGCAACGTGTGGACGGGGCCTGAGGGGAGGGGGAGAGCGGATTTCGGGGATGCAATGATTTTCAGGGGAAACGGAGGGAGGATCGCCAACAGAGTGCAAAGGAAGTCCTAAGAGAATTGGTTGACAAATTGATGGGGGGGGGGTCGGGGTCAAAGGAATATTGCAAAGCCTTATGGTGGGATGAGGTAAGTTTTACCCTGACGCAACCAAAATCCTTCGCCCATTACTTGACGAAAATGTTGCACTGCGTAGTGATGTCAAGTGCGCTAATATTGTCTTTTTTTGTCAGATTTTATCAGATCGGTGTCTCAAGATTGCCTGTTACCTGTGATTCAAATCATTCGTTTTATGGAGTAATTGTAAGTGTTAAAAACATTGTAGTTCCTGCTGATGTGAAATTTCTAGGCCAGGGCCTCTTTTGAAGGAATCGTAAACGTAACTACCACATGTCAATCACAGCTAACATGTCAGGTGAAAGAGAACTTATCGCTCCTCTCTTGTTTTCAGGTGGAGACAAATTAAATCTTGCAGTGATTCTCCATTCGTTGCTTAAGCTAAGACTTCCTTAAACGAAATGATTTTTGGATTAAGAAAAATGGAATTTGAATCTGTATTGGAAAAAAGATGAAAGAAAAAAAAAGAAGTTACTCGCAAAAAAATTACCAAAAGGAACACCATTTTCATCTAAAGTGTACCGATGAGGATTGTAGATCCATGCTTGATTGCTCAAACACTTCATAATCTTTTCGTTTTCCTCCTTTTTTACACCTGCGTCCGGTTCGATTGACCCTTCGATATTATGGGAGAAAAAAAAAAAAGAAACATTGATGAAAACGATAAAGGATCTTTTCTATCCCACATAATGACTTAACGCTTCAATTTGCTTCTTAATTAAATTTTCAAAACAGCCTGTAAAATATGTATGAATACCCTTAGGGCTATCTATAAAGCTTTTAGATATATTTGGGAAGATTAAGTGGTTCGTGTTTGCTCACCATATCTTATATACTCTGAAAGCCCAAATATGATTGGGCGTAATTAATCATAAACCGGAATTCAAATTCAGACTTCTTAAGTTTCTTACAGGATATAAAGAAACAAGAAAAGACAAAAAACAAAAATTTAGCCGAAGCCTTGAGACTTTTCTCTGAGGCAAATTTATTCAACATCCATAAATAATTACGGTCACTTCGCGCTAATTTCTGAAATATAATGAATGTATCCCTTTAAGCGAAAGCTTTAAAGGTTACACAAAAAGGGGCTTTTTTTTTAAAGAGCTCTGTATAAGTCCTTCTTCTGATTAGATTGGTCAGCTTTTTCATTTACGAATAGTTGTTTATTTGTGCTCCGTTTATAATTATGCTCAGGCGGATTGTCATCCCATCCAATCTACCATTATTCCATTTTATAAATGTTCGTTTTAGTCGAGCCTATTTGTCTCTGTTTGGAAACAACACCCACTATGTTTATGTAAATTCAAGATTTTAACCCTTACGTAAAAAAACTGCGCACTATACTATTGGTTTAAATGTCTTAACTTGGTGTGAAATAATTTCGACTGTTATCGTTAAGTGAACACAACCCTTTTAACTTCGCTCTCTTAAAGTTTGTTCCTTCACCGCAAACACATTTCTCTTGTCTAATTCAGCCGGTTTCATAATTACTCAACTCTGCTACTGTAATTCGATGGTTGGCAAGTTTTGAAAGCATTGCAGTTTTTTAATGCCTTCTAAGAGTAATTTTTCATCTTTTAACTGCTCCCAACCAACCCACCTGCATCGCCTATAAGCATTCAAACAGTAAGTTTGCTCATCCCTGTGTAAAGCCAAGCGAAAAAGTTAAATTTCGTTCAGAAAGTTCTCTCAAACAGGGGTCATTATTCACACCGAGCGCCAGAAAAAACACGAGCAAACTTGAAAAGAATTCAAGCAGCAGAGCAATATTAAACAGGTGTTTTATCAATATTTGAATATTAAAATCAAAAGAGTAAATATGTCATCTATTCGAACAATAATGTAAGCTTTCAGGCTATAAGCTTTTCAGTGCTTTCAACTACAGCACTCGAAAACAAGGCCCCAGGCATTGCGATAAACATTGATAGTCAGAACGTCTGAGTCAACTCACATTACACAGGCAGCTGATGTCCGATCTCCATTTTCTCTCTTTCATTATTATGTTAATTAGTCACGTAAATGACCTTTTAAAAGTCCAAACATCATATGTCATTCGACCCACCAGCGCTTAATTAATTTTATCCCCGTTTGTGGTTATGGTCACAGTGCGTTTTGGACCACGAAGAAGGCGAACGAAGAATATTTGCAAAGACTGTGAAGCTTGGAAAGCAGAACTTGGTATTGATGAAGTTACGAATTCTCAAAGACTTTCCAAACTGGGCGAGAATAAACAATAACAAGCTACTACGACGCCAGCACACCTGAAGCATACATCAGTATAAACTAATCTACAACATGCTAATCCGGCTGTTAGAAATGAGAACACTTCGTAAACTTATCTTTCTGGTCTTTGTGAAAACAATGGTTCGTTGCACCATCAGTGGTTGGTACACCTCGAAGTTATATCCTTTCGGTAAAGAAGCTGGCGACTCACCTTTGCCTGTGAAAGATGATGTGAGCTCAGACGCAATTTCAACACCGCCGTTTCATTTCTTCGAACTGAAGGTCGAATCGTTTTACGTAAGTATTGGGCAGGAAAAAGTAATATTTTAAGGAGTGAGAATATATCTCCTAGCGATCTTTTGTAAATCAATCACTAGCTTTGAATCTTCTTGAATACTTTGAATTTTCACTCAAAACGAATCTGATTCACTGAGTCGGTAGATTACAGAAAATAAATTTTTGTTTTCCTTCTTCCCTTGGGGTTTTTTTATTTCTCTTTTATAAACAAAATCAGATGGCTTCATAGTGAATGAGTTACAAGTTCGTGGGGCCAGGCCAACATATTTAAAAGTTCATTGATTCAAAATGTGATGGAGTTAAACTGCAAGCGTCAATAGACATTGTGGGCGGACGGCAAATTTACCTCTTATTTCTTTTCTTTTCCTTTCAAGCTTTGAATAGATTCAGTAGAAAAATAAAACATTCACAAAGGATGCAAATTTTGCTATATTTTATGCTCAAACCGGGATGATTAACAGACATTAAAATTCAGTTTCTGCCGTTTGCTCAGCGTTTGTATCTACGCGCTTTTCACGAACTTAGCTATCATCTTAACGTTAGATAGAACATATACGTAGACTAGCTTTAACGTCGGGTAGTCATTGAACGTAACTGTATGTGTGGTGCATGCTAGCAAGTCCTGTTTATTGTTTAATTATTTCAACTGCCAGGGAATACTTTGTTTTCTTATTGATAATGCATACTCAAAGTATCCACTTCCACCAGAGTTTTTCTCGTGTATTCACCAGTGAGTGTTATGAAATACATACCTGTCATTTTTTTTTTCACCACCATTTCGTATGAACAAACATCTAATGGTCATTGCAGGTTTATGCAGCCCTTTAGGGTAATTCCTAGTTTTCTCGTTGCGGTAAAATTTGATAATTTTTGTAACTTTCAATTTACTAAGGTTTTCAAGTCAAATACCGGCTCTCTGATTTTAAAAGCAATGTAAACAATACGTTGAGGAATTCTACTAGTTTTTTTAAAATATTTTTGAGTGCCCCTTTACTGTAAAACGGTTGGGTTGACCGTTGTTACCGAATGGTAGGCGGCAAGTCTCACGTATTTTGATTACGCAAACGCATAGCGTTTTCTATAATCGAAATCTGAATCACAGACATCGCAGCTCACTATATGGAAGAATTACTTTTGTGACCAAAGTAAATAATTGATGTATATTTTAGGATTGAGCTCGCCGTCAACATCGGGCGACTCTCATAAAGATTATGTGTACGATGCTTGAAAAAGGCGAAGAAAAATGTATGAGGACGACCAAAGTAAATAATTGATGTATACTTCAGGATTGAGCTCGCTGTCAACATCGGGTGACTCTCATAAAGATTATGTATACGATGCTTGAAAAAGGCGAAGAAAAATGTATGAAGACGACCAAAGTACCAAGTAAATAACTGATGTATACTTCAGGATTGAACTCGCCGTCAACATCGGGTGACTCTCATGGAGATTATGTATACGATGCTTGAAAAAGGCGAAGAAAAATGTATAGAGACGAAGCAAGGGGTCATTTTTTCTAGACACCCTACAGGGTACATGAATTGAAGAGTTTGAAATACTGGATTTTTTCTGTATACCAAGGCGCAATTAGAAAATAACATCAGATGGAGTGCAGGAGAGTGCATGTTAACATATCTTTTGAATCATAATTCAGTGATACTTTTTTTTGAAGAATTCGTCGTAACTGCGATGAAACAGTCTATATAAGCGTACAATGTGTCATAACAGAATTTGAAATTCTGGTGAAAGGAAACTTTGCTTAACAATTATTTTGGTACATTTTTTTGACACCTTCTGGAAAATTCGGCAATTATCCGTTTGCTAATTAAAACCAATGTTCGAAGCTATATTTCCAAATCTACAAAATTAAGTTCCCCGCGTGCTTCTTTAATCTGCTTAAATGTTTAACGCGGCTATGCATATTACATGACGTGACGTCCAAATTCTTATTAAATCAACAACTTCCTCTTGGGGAAAATAACCGCGGGTAAACGCTTTTGCATGAAAAGAAGCTTAATCTATTTGCCTAGGGCTGATTTTTATCTTTCGTGGCATTCGCCGTCGTTGATGATTTTAAAATCAGCTGAGGAACCGATTTTGAAGTTGTTATCTTTGCAGAGTAAAATCGTTAACAAGGAGCTAAACCGGGGAAATTACAAAAAAATGTTTGCTAAGCCGAATAAGAATATTTTAACAAGGGTTTTAATAGCTTGTAATATAAGCGGCTGCTTATTGGCGGCTGTGCCGAAAGGCGAACCTAATAAAGAAAGCTAGCTCGCGGCTAAAAAGACGGCAACAACCGTCTGTTATTGAAGTCGCTGGTTTTAGGATAACAATTCTCTGATACTTCATTTTCCATCATATGATTTGTTTCGTTTCTTCAGAAACATAAGGAAATCGTATGAAGAACATTCCATTAAGTTAACTGCTTCAGTATCATGATAATGGTAAAAAGACGAGTTGTAATTAACTTACAATCAACAGTCTGTCTCTTTATATTTAAACTAAGTTATTGGAGTAAAAAGCAATATTAAGTTTAATCTAGCTGGAAATCTCGTCCACTAGGTACATGAAAATGGACTCATCTCGTTTGGTTCTTCGTTGAAATCCCAAGAGCCACTATCTTTTCCGCTTAAAAGCCGCGCATACGTAGCCGCACCATATTGGGCAGATGTATTTACAAAAAGAGGAGGAAGGGTCTGGTATCGAGTTACTACCGAACAAGCGATCATTTCCAGGGCGGCGAGAGACGTCATCCGCGCATTTCCACGCGACACAAAATTTGTGGCAAACTGGGTTGCAATCGTTACATGGAATGAAGTCTCATTCTTTGGAGCCAGTGGTATATACACAAAGAATGTAAGTGACAGTGTTTGAATATTCTTGAGAAAAGTGAAATTTTTCATTTGTTCATCTCATACATAGTGATGTTCTTTCGTTGGTAAGTGGCGAATTCACCCCTCTGCAATCACTCGATTCGATTGCTCGCAAAGGTGGTTGGGGGCAAACTTGCAATGGGGCGAATTCACCATAAACCCTTTCGTTTCTTGTATTTCAGACAAACACATTCCAAGTTGTCATAGCAAGTGGAGAGCATATGACATTTGTCTCATTCATCTACGATAACCTTTCTTGGACAACTGATACCTTGCATGGAGGGAACAATCGAGGTTTGGGAGGCAAAGCAGCAAAGGTATTTACCAAGGATTTTCATTTAGTAGGCTGGAAATTTATCTTTTAAAAATGTTTAAATTAAAATTTTTTCTTTATCTTTGGAAAATTATCTATAGAAATTTTCAATAGAGTGTCGAAAGTTATCCGGGACTACTTTCGTTTTGTATTATTTGACTGAGTGACTGTTTCACTCGAAAACTTGCACCACTTTCATATGCAAGCAATGAGATACAAAGCTAAAACCCATCGCAGTTTCGTCACTCGTGTTTCCCTGAGCTTTGACAGTTTGCTTATTCTTACTTCTAATTCTCATTGATCGACTAAGATTGTTTCCTTTATTCCGATTATTGACTGTTGTGATCACTTTGGTTTTGGTTTGGCGACTCTCAAACGAAATCCTCCCTAAAATAATGAGATTTAATCTTTTTCAGTTCTTCCAGCACGTACAAGGAGGTTGCTTTTAAAATTTTTCATTACTTGTAATCATAAAGGGTTTCAAAGATTTTGCGTAGTCTCAACATATTCTAGGTAACTGCAACTGGGGTTTAAAAGGATTTAAATTATATGGAATAAAGGCAATGATATTCATAACAAAAAGCAACCATCTTTGCCTGAATTTTTTTATGTTTGCATGAGAAAAGATGAATCAAATGGATGAATGAAAGCACAAGCGTAAGTAACAAAAGAACAAGCGAGCGAACGAAGGAAAAGAAGGGATGAATGACGATCAATTGGGAAATAAATCGGACAGTTTAAAAATATTTTACAACCTTTGACGCATTTATCCCATTTGACGATTAATGATATCAATAAAAACTGTAATGATAGAAGCCAGTACAAGATTCTTCGTTTTCATATTTACAAAGGTTGGCTTTAGCTTCGGATCTTCATACCAAAATGTACAATTCTCTGGGTCAAAAGAAGTTTTGAGTCTAGTAAACAGAACCAACTGTGGTCAGCCGGGTGTTTGGCTGTTCAAAGTTGATACCGAAGAAGATATGAACGAAAAAAGATGCGAAACCCCAGGTAAGACTGAAATCCTAAAGAAACACTTTTAACCCTTTTAAGGTCATAACTGTATGTTTTCTCTCTCTTTTATTGATTCATTACCCACTCTCTAATCAGATTGACATCGTTATCTTTGAGAGCCCAAAAAGTTAATCTACGTTTGGTTTTCAAGGCTTTGCAAACTACATTGCTGTTGAAAGTCATCTCATTACTGACATTTAGAGCATTTATTCACATCCTATGTTGGTGTTTAACTGGTTTAGAAAGGCAAAATGAAAAATTCTAGTTGCTCAAGTTTAGCTCCTAAAGGCCGTGAGTAATAAGATAACTTAAAGCACTGGCCCGTCTTAAGTAACATCGTCCCATTCCTGAAAAAAAGTTTTAGCAAACATCGCCCTCCAGTCGAATAGAGATAATGCGTCCATAAAAGGTGTATTCTTGGAGTAACTACTTCCTTTTACAATTATTATTAACATCCAAGGCACAGTATCCATTCATTCGGCCGGTGGAAAGCTAAACAGTGGCTCCAACATCCTCATCACTGGACTGTGCTATTGGCCCGGTATTGAGTTGCGATGCGAATTTGGCGATATCGGTGTAGCCAAAGGATACAAAGTCAACGAAACGAAAGCCATTTGTACCGTTCCTTTGTTACCTACGAGAAAAAAACAATCCGTCTTTTACATCTACCCGAATGAAAATGATGATTTAAGCTTCGCGCAAGAATTTGACCTGGGTAAGTATCATGGAAACTAAAATCTTTTAAACCTCGTTGCGTTCAGCAAATTTCAAATTCTGAGTAATTTTTTGCCAAACAGGCTAATTTTTAAAAATTTCCTAAAGCTAGATTCAATAATAATGTGGGAAAAGATGTTTTTCGTCTTGCCACAAGCGTGGGACAAAGAAAAAAATATTCTAAGTCTCCATGAGGAATCGAACCTCAGAACTTCGGATTTCGTGCTTCGATGCTCTACCATTAAGCCACGCTCGTGACATGACGAAAAATATCTTTCTCTGTTTCTTTACCGAGCTCAAAACTTACCATCTCTCTTATTGTATTCACAAACATGACGCTATCGACATTGCTGATCCTAGCTGTATGCAGGGCGCCAGTCACATGAACTTCGTGGTACACTTCGCTCACCGTAGAGTCTCGGCTGTGCCTCAATGGTTGAGCATCGGAGCGCGGAATTCGTTTGGTTTGATTCCTCATGGGAACTCAGAATTTTTACTTTGTCTCATGCTCGTGACAAGACGAAAAACGTCCTTCTCTATTTCTTATCCGAGCCATCTTATCTACCATCTCTGTTATTCTATTAACAGTAATAATTTTTAGTATGCCTAGGAAATTTTTAGAACATTTTGTTTACCATACTATCCCAATAATTTTTTGTTGTCGATGTTGTAACTTTGTGTTGATGATTGCTGTTGTCATATTGCTTATTATAAAATAATTCAATAGTACGCGCGCTCTGATTGGCCATAAAACCATTTTACATCTTCGCGTCGTGGTTTCCTACGCTTATCTCGTGTTCTCCCAACCTCCCGCGTGTTTACATCAGGCTATGTAAACACGGAAACCATTTTACATTTCTTCATTCTCCTTCTTCTACTTCTTGTGGTGCTATTATTCTGGTCAGGGTCTTTAGAGGTGATACAGCTTTTGATAAATTTAGATATGATTATATCTATACAGTGAAGCAAAGTAACAATAATCATTCGTTTAACAAACAAGAGGAAGGCAATTACATGCTCTAAATGAGCATTTATCATATTGGATTTCAGAACCTGTTTTTCTTGACGATATCACTGTGCAGAGAAAGGCTCCAGATACATGGACTACAGGGAAACGAGTGAACATCACCTGGAATGTCTCAGACCTGGCGGCTGACTTGCCAGTGACAATAGAGATTATAGATCTATCATACAATCAAAGTGGTAGAGAATTTCATAATTATACTACAGTCGTGTTTAGCCAGCCGAACACGGGGAAAGCCGAGTTTGATCTGCCACTTATGGAAAATTTGAGGTGAGTCGATAATACAGAGAAACTGTCCGTTTTTCCATGGTTTTTGTTATTTGTAGGAACAGAATGAACTAAACCGTGATTTGTTGTAATTTCCAGTTATTTTTAACCCTGTTTAATTTACGTCCAGGAGGCAAAAACCTGCGTGAAATTTATTGTTATCACATAATCAGGCTTTTTTCAGTTGTAATGGGATATCGGTGACAATACTAATCCATTCCACGCTCCAGCATTTCTTTGTCCAGAGCATAGAATTTCACGGGCATTTAGTAGAAAACATCGCATCTAACCTTTCACGTAGCGTTTGTAGCTTGGAGACAATCGTTTAAATTTTAGAAAATCGGACAAAAGTAACGATATTCACTTCAGTTGATTCTCTTGCTTCTATTCGATTGCACATAACCTGAGTCAGACTCATCACTATATGAATATTCCAACTTGTGTTTCTTCACTGCATTGTTCCTTTTCCCTTAGAAAGAACCCAAGTGCACCAGAAACGTTGCAGATGGTTAGGGTTCGAAGCTTGGTTGGAAATAGTTACAACAAGTTCGTGGCAAGGGAGTGGATCGGAAGTGAACTCTTCCTGCTAACAAATCAGACTGCGGCCAACGGAAGCTGCTCAAGTTGGCTACAAAATCAAACGCATTCTCTCATGATAAGTGAGTATATAATGTGCATTCTAATAATATATAGGTCCCAAACGAACGCCTATAGTTTTAAAACCTTTTAACTTCCAAGATCTAATCGTTAATACCCCACTCTAGCTCTTACTCATTTCCTTGTAAACTAGTTAAGAGAATTTCATTTTAGATTCCACATAAAAACTTCTACCTGATATGTTTAAGTATTCTCATTACCTGTTTGCTAGATAAAGTACGGATATAATAGGGAGGAGTTGCACGTTAATTACTTCTTGGACTTAAAGTGAAGTCGTTGCTCTTTGCTGGCGTAACCAGAACGTTGTTAAGGGTAGATGAAAAAATACAACCTGGCCATCCATCACGGAGGAAACAAGTGTTATTAATATCTCAAATTTTTCACCAGCAAGTAATAACCACTTAACACCCTGCCCCAAGACTCGACGACAGATGAACGCAGACATTGGAATTTTCAGGGAACACGACTTGTGCGATACAAGTATCTTGCCTCTTTGTAAATTCTACTTTAGAAAGGTCGAAACATGCTACAAAACAACAGTTACAAGGTGGGTAAAAATTTAAAATGCTGATAAACATTACTCTGGATCAAGTATTATCAAACTTGAAAATGCTACTCTGAATTCTCTTTATCAGTTTGTTATTGCTACATGTTGAGGGCAAAGTACTTTTAATGTGAAATGAGCAGTCACTAAGCAGTTGTAACCATCTTTCCAGCCACAATTTAATCATTACCTTTGTGGGTGTCTTCCAGCGATCGAGGAATAACGCGAGCATGTTGCTATGACAAGGAAGGAGAATTGACTGCAGGGCCACCTGGAGAGTTCGTAAATCGAAACAAACACGCTGTCAGGAGTGGATCAATATTCCCTTCCATATGGGACAAAATCATTCCTTATCTGCAGTGCTGTATGTTTTCTAACAATTGCTTTAAATATCAAGAGCTGACGACATCGGAGGGGCGATATCTCCCTCCTAACATTGGCAAGTATTGCTCGATGTTGTCGATCTACTAGATACTGATTCAACTGATATCATGAGGAATTATAACGTGTATGCAGTGTGTTGCTCTTTCTAAACAAACACAGAAATCCCTGTCTTTATTTCAAGGACTGAATCCAAGTTATGAGGTAAAAAAAAAACTTTAATAGGGTTTTTAAAACTATGACAAAGCCAAGTTGGTGTTAGCATTAATTTTTTTTCTTTAGTTTTATTGCTTTACGCATGAAGTTACTGCTGATATTTTTCCGTCAGCTTTTGGGTTTGCAGTTAGATAAAATCCCAAGAAACGTTAAACTTGCAAACGATTTTCCTTGGGGACAAATCTAAACTAAGCTTATTTTTCAGTCTTTTATCAATTTTTAAACACTTACCAGCCTTCGCACAACCAGTCGTAACTGATTGAGGGTAACTCAACTCAGGAAGTGGTCTGATTTAAGAATGACGTTTTATTTCGATTTCAGGAGCAGCATTCGGTGATCCTCATATTCAAACTTTAGATGGTGTGGAATATACGTTTAATGGTTTTGGCGAGTATACAGTCCTCAACGTCGACAATACACGGTTTCTTCTCCAAGGGAGAATGCAGCCTTTGAAAGGCGAGAAAAGTGGAGAAGCACCTGCCACAGTTTTCACTGCGTTCGCCATGAAAGAGCAAAGAAGTAGCCTCATTCAGGTGAGTTTTTCCCGGGTTTCAAACTCTGCTCAAATATCGCTTGATTCTTACTGAATACTTTATGTTAATCTTCTTATGAAAATCCTTCGTCCTCCCATCGTAACCTATTTCAGCGTAAGATAGATCGGGAATGTGGTAGGAAAGTGAAAATAAAAGTTTTATCATCAATAACTATTCAGTTAGAGGGTTGGTGTGATCTAAAGTAATAGATAAAACTAGGCTGTGCCGCTGATGAGAATAAAATCAACAAAATTTGACAAAAACTGTGTTTTCTAACCCGTAGGTGCAACTAAATGAACGGCAAACTATAGACATTCTTGTCGACAGAAAACTGGTCGTTTTTGATTACGAGCCACAACCTAGAGGAGTGTTTATAAAGAACAGCTCTCGTGAAAACAATTCAAGAGTAGTTGTTGCCTTTTCTTCAGGGATTACTGTATATGTTGAAAATGCCGCACCAGTTTTGCAGATGGCAGTAGTTGTCCCTGTAAAGTTCAAAGGTGCGTGAATTCTTCAGATGCAAAGCTAGAAAGGTGTAAAAGAGGCCTTTCGTATTAGAGCCTGTGAACATCTGCTTTTAAAACGGAAGGGGCTAGAGAAAGTACGTGTATGTACCTTTCCGGCTCGAATCACTGGATTTGAACCTCCGTTTACGACTGAACGATGTAGATGGTTGAAACAATCCTAGGAATTTTTTCATTATTATTTTCATCAACTCTAGCTGCTTATTATTTTAAGAAAAAATACTATACTTTGATGTAAACCGTTTAATGTTTCGTAGTCTGAATCTGAACGATTTGCACTCTTACAGGAAAAACAAGCGGTCTTCTCGGCTATTGGGACGACAATAGTGATAAGGAGTATCTTCTGCCAAACAACGAAGTCCTCAACACCGCGTCAACCATGTCCGAGTTACACTACAAGTTTGGTCAGCAGTGTATGTCTCTCTTATCCTGTAGTCATTAATGTTCACAACAGATTAATCAGCACAGTTGTGCTGGCTTCAAAACACTACCAAAGCATAGGGAAAACTACAACTTTAAGTTTGTAAATAAAGCTTAGCAAGGAGCTACGAAAAAATTGGCAACAGTACATAAGAGGGTTCATGATGAGATGTCAATTTTCTTTTTTTCCCTTCAATCGTTCATTTAGGGGTGACGAAAGAGATCGATTCTCTGTTCATGTACGGCCCAGAAGAGGCTCATAGGGACTTTTTTGATCCTTCTTATATCCCAACGTTTATGGAAGGATATTATCCAATAACATCCAAGATGAAAAGTGGCATGAAAAAGAGGGCGCTCAAGACGTGCGACCACTCATTTCAATGCATATTTGACATCGCAATAACAGGGAGATTTGGAATCGGCCAGGCTACCAAGGAGTTCCAAGAATGGTTAATGGGCATGAAAAGGGATTTACATGATGAAGGTGAGACAAATGCAAGCATGAAATCAAACTCATGTTTTTTGTTCCTTCTTTTTGAGTTAAGCATCACCTCTTATGAAGAAGGCAAAGTTTTAAATCTCAATACACCTGTCGTACTGTCTCATCGCAAATATCTATAGCTACTAACACGCCACGCAGCCTAATAAGCAATAAAGGGAACCTCCTTGGAAACTAAGCAGCAGCTGAATAACTTTGACTTAAATCTTGCTTCTGAAGGATGTAACGTTGTATTGAGCTTTGATCGTGGGTCTGTACGAAGGGACGTCTCAGGAGATCAAGTAACGCATCACTTTACTTGTAAAAATGGTTACACAATGGTTGGAAAAGACAAAATGTCTTGCCGTGGAGGGGTCTGGGATGGATCGAAACCAACCTGCATAAAAGGTTAGTGAATGTGACTATGCGATACACATATAAGATAATGGTTTTGAATCAGTCATATTTAAGTAACTTAACTCAATGTGTTTTGTCTGACAGCTTCGAAAGGGTGCGGGCAGTTTTCGACATCATTTAAAAACGGGCACTTCACTGGTCAAGGTAACAAAGCAGGCGATCGATACAAATTCCAGTGCGACTCATCATACACGCTCGTAGGTAAAAAAGAAATTGTCTGCGAGAATGGGGAATGGAGCGGAGAAGTTCCTTCTTGCAAAGGTAGTTAAATCTTTAAGATATCTCATTAAATCGAGCCCCAGACCTTGGGATGCTCCTCTCCCGAGCTATAAAGAACTCAGTGGTAAGTTAGGCTCTTTGAGGATGGAGAAGGAAGCGTCAGTGGGATATTTACTCTCCCACCGTAAGCCAGTCTCTTAGTTTATCGGAGTATGGTTCTCCGTCATTCTCTCTGCGCCACTGGGAAAATTTCCTGCGTGCCACTGACCTGAAATTTCTTGGACAGATACGTTATGGGCAAGAAACTCACAGTATTTCTGGTTTCTGACTTAAAAAGACTTTAAATTGCATTCTGAGGGGCGCACTTGGCCTGCCTTTATAATTCCTAGCAAACATAAATTCATTTTTTCTCCTCAGCTAACTGCTCTCAAATAAAATTAAACAATTCTCAAGTTACAGTCGGGAACGGAGGCCAACTTATCATCCAATGCAACCCGGGATATACTTTGTCCGGATCCAGAGTAATAAGCTGTCTGAATGGACTACTGAATGGAACACTGCCTTCTTGCACAAAAGGTGCCGTTAAATAAAACATATTATTATCTTAATTCTGTTTATAATCATTACATACGAATATTACCTCCAAGCTGCTATAACATTAATCAAGAATGAACGAGGCTTAAGTTATTTTGGTTTCAAACTCGCCTTCCACGGCTGCAGGACAACTTTAACAAGAGGGCAAGAATACTCAATTTTGCATAGCATCAACGAATCAGCGAAAGAAAAAAACGTGGCTCAGCGATCATAACTGAGGACGTCGAATCCAAATATCGGTGCACTTGAATCCCAAAAGCCAGAATGACTGTTCGTTTACTCTCCATAACTTCGGTGCAGTATTTCACCGAAAATTGTCTTGTTCAGCGACTGTCCTCGCTCGCATTTTCACAATGCATGATTAGTAGTCTTTCCCAAACGTTTACTCTGACGGTATCACTTAATTTAGATGGCTTCTATTAAAATTTCATATCGGCTTATGTTCACCCGTCCACATGTCACTGCTGAGCAAAAATTTCCACATTCTCAATTGGTCACTATTCTTGTTCACATTTCGAGAGTCAGCGAGATGTGCTTTTAACTCTCCAGGCTGGCTCACTTTTCCGCGCAGCACCAGCCGCTTGGTGCAAAATCAAAGAACCTGCAACCCCAGGCTTTCGGGAATTTGTGATAGTCCCTGTTCTGAACTCCTATCGCTCATTCCGAGGGTTTGATTAGCTACATGACCGTATAATAAATTATATTTATCTTATTTTATTGCTTTTTAAGGGTACAATTTTACAGCTCCGATCCTGAAAGCCTCCGAAAAGAAGAAAGATTCCATGATTGTCATCGTAATTGGAGTGTTAGTCCTCTTCATAGCCATTCTTGTAATCATGTTGACGATTTTCTTGGTCAGAAAACATCACAGGAGGAAGGACACCCAAGTGCAAAAAAAGCCGGACGAGGACGATAACGAGTGCGTGGCAGTGTGAGAATAAGGAAAGTCAAATAATCAGCACGAACTTAATTCAACATATTTTGCTCCTGATTTCAGGTCGAAACCAAAGGAAATTCACAATTCTACGGCCCTCAAGTTCATACTACTTGCGTTTGAGTAAAATCATTCTTATCCTCACTCTGCAAAGCCGTCGTAAAAAATTGCCCGAGAAATTTCCCTCATGCCAGTCAAATACTAATGCGTTCTCTCAGAACAACAAATAGAATATCAGGAGAGCATGAAACTGTGATGGTATTTGAGATAAACAACCTCATAAAACAATTTATAATTATGGCTGTAATGAAACTGCAATCTCACTAAGATCACAGAATAAGGTTGCTTTATTCACTCAGACGCCTCCGCGCTGTCGTATTCATGTGTATTGACGTTTACATTTTTGGAACTTTCTTGGAGAAACTACTTAGGTGTGGGTACTTCCATTAAAATAAACACAGCTCATTCGAAGAAAAGAAATAGACAGCGTACAATTGATCGACGCGGATATTAATCGCTTATGCAAAGTGTATTTCTTAGACGTCCTTTTATAGAAAGTTTTCAATCGAGAATTTATAGTTCAGCAAAATATGTTAGGCCAGTTTTAATTGAATGATATTAGAAGATATATAAATTATGGCGACAAACAAAAATACATGCATGAAACATCGTTCTTAAGATTCCCCCGAAATTATAATTGCTCAAATATCCCGCTCTGAATGCCAGTTTCATTTCAGTTTTTCCAAATATTTAAGATAGCTGATAATCAAAGAATATTCACAAGACTTCATATAATAATCATCTTTCCAGTAAAGATTGTTATTTTTCATTCGGTAAATACATTTGCCTAACTGAATGAAGTTGACTTAAGCATCAGGAAGCAATGTATAATCAATAAGTGTTTCCCTTGAATCCTACTGTTTCTTTTACTTTCCTTGACTGAATCCTTTGATATGACGTTTGTGAAAATAACTGTTTATCATATGGCCAAGTGTCAGAAGGTCTGTATATAACTAAATTCAATACTCATAAAAAAGACCTATGTACAGTGCTTCACTTAAAAAGAATTAAATTTGTACCTTAACATCTGTTAGAAAGAAAAGAAAAAATCATAATGTCTCAATATCTCTTGAACTATAATCCACGAAAATGTTTCTCTACTAATTATTATTACTATTACTATTAGCAATCACTACCAATATTTAACATCTTTTCACTAATTCCTCTTTAAAATCTGCCAACAACGATAAAAACATTAAATAGTAGTAATAAATAAAATGCAATATTCAATATCTTTTCTCTAAATAAAAATCTAGCGTCCTAAAAGTCCTGCTAAAAATAATAATAATAATAATAATAATAATAATAATAATGAAATAAAAAGATATATACGAAGTAAGGAAACACATCAATAGTCCGATTTAATGGCTCCTTCAACAACTTCGACGTCGATATCAACATTCTTAATGTCACATGGCACTCTTCTTGTCTTGAATCCTCTTTGTCTGTAAGCCTCCTCGTTCCTTTCTAGTTTGTTACTTTCATTTTGATGCTTTCGTATCTCAGCAAACTAAAAATTGGTTGTTTCCTTTGGGGTGAAGGCATTATTTACAGGTCTTTACAAACCACACAAAATTTGGATAGTTTTAATTCAAGGCACTAACCAAAGACCTCTGACTGTGAGTATATGAAAATCATATATGTGAACTGCGGATTAAGAACTTAATATGAAAGCCATCTTCGTAGTAATGAACACCACTTAGGCAGTAAGTATGAAATGGTTTTCATGCATTCACAGTCATTGATCAATCCCCACTTCTCGGGTTTATTAAGAACAAACATGATGTCAACTCCCAGTTGGCAGGTTTTATTTTCACTACTGCTCAACTAGTGTTCATTACTGCGAAGGTCGCTTTCATATATATTTCCAAAGAGAACTGTTTGGATTTAATAATACACTACACTTAGTCACCTATTTCCCGTGATCGCGGGTTTTCCCCTTTATGAAGGTCTACAAATCCTTCCTCCTCCCCCGCCCCCACTGGATAAAATTGTACGAATGACGACAACAAGAATAGTTTAGAAGAATATGTGAATGAGCCAATATATTCAAACAGGGAATTAATCTGTTTTTTAATAATTTGCTTGACCAATGACCTTGTTTCAGCAGAAATATTGGACCTGCGGCGTGTTTCTGAAATGTTTACCACTCTTAACTCTTCACTCTCCGGGAAAAATAACAGGATTTTTGTTTAAAAGCGCTCTATTTGAAGCAGAGTTGTAGGAGAGGAAAAGAATTGAAAATTTAAGAGTTGGAAGAACATCTGGATCATATGTTACTTCAGTTTTGGACGTGGCTTGCTTACTAATTTTTGCAAATGGCATCAATCGTATCATATTTGAAAGATCTCTCATTTTACATACCGAATAGCCTAGAAATCCTTAAGACGGCTTTCTCTTTCTGAGAGTGTATTTTGTATATGAAGATACAGGACTCACTTTGTGGATCGATCAGCACTAATGAGAATACTGCGAGTTTGTTACCGAGATAGTGGCTATCCACGTTTGCATAAGAACCGACTTCTAAAGATTGTATCAATAACCAAATAATGCTCTTTTGACATGATTTCACAAAATGAACTTAGCCGTAGCTATTGCGAGAGTAGTCCTTTTCACATCTCTCCTGAAGTTATTTCTTTATTCTTTTTCAAATCACGGTGATAATTTTTTCAGTTCCTAACATCGATGATATTGTTCTTTTAACTTATATTTCAATTTCCCTCTTTACAATCAAAGGTCATGAAGTGTAAAATCGGTCAATATTAACCACTGGTTACAAACTGCATCAAGTACCACAGTTCTTCAACCTATAACAGGTTTTCCATCTCTGAATTCGGTGACATCTGATTTGCTGCATTGTAGCAAATCAAACGTCACTGAAACAATGGTAATCTTTTAAAAATTTTTTTCCCAGGGACCTGTAATACGTCGAACTTTACCTTTTGACCCTACAATCACTTTCCACATAAAAACACTTAACAACGAAGAATCAATACCAAGTGCTGGGTGGGAAAACCATAGAGCGAATTACGTCAATATATTCTATTGCGGAGTGGATAAGTAGCTGACGAAAACTTTCTTGAGCAGTTTTTTCAAGTATTTGACAGAATGGTGTCAAGAAAGCTCTGCTACATTGCTGTGATTATCGTTTTTTCTGGTAAGTAATTCTTTATCATAGCGAAGGGAAGGTGGAAGGAGATAAGAGCTCATGAGGAGCAATTCTGGAACAGTTCTGCTCTGAGTATTGACATCTTGGTACGATCTTTGACTTATCGAAATACATCATTAGTTTCTATTTAAGTTCCCTGCTCATTTACCTCAAAGAGATACCTCAGCCAGATCTAGAAACATGCGCTGTTATGATTAAGTTGATTTGTACTTCAGTGGAAGTTCGATTGTAAATCGGTTTGTAAAATTCCGAGGCAATACATACATGCTATCTTACTTTTTACAGGTCATAGACATAAGTCTCGTTTACAATGTAAGAAAAAGTGCTCATTCGCGTAACAAAGCAGCAGCTTATGATCTGTAAAGGGAAGTAAGCAAATCTGGCAAAGCACGTGCCAAATGAAACCAGAAAAAACCTTTAGCAATGAAATATCGAGTCATTTTCCATTTTTTATGCAGTCAATCAGAAGCTAGGAGTTCCTCTTTTAGTCAGAGCTTTAAACTTAGACTTCTACCGAAGTCTATCTACCTTCTTCTTTTCCTAAGTTGTCATGATAACAGTCTTAAACAAATATTTTGCATTACAATAGGGAGTTGTGCTCGGTCTGACTTGTTCAGCCACCATCCAAGTACTTTGTTTTCTTTGTTTTTTTTTCCGACTTAATTCCGCATATCTTCATATCTTGGTTTAATTTTATATTTATCTGTTGATAAATGATGTAAAAATAGAGTCTGATAGAAACAGCTAGGCGTTTAACTTAGACAATAAAGGGGGTAAGTTTCTAAAGAAACCGTGGTGCTGCGTTGGTGGGAGAGTATAACAGGGTAATTTAGAATTATAAACTGAGTTGATAACGTAAATTGGCCACCTTCATTAAAGCATTACAAAGCTAAAGTTTCGCACATTAGCTCTTTATCGCCCTTCGAAGGGCTAACATTCGAAACGTCAGCTTTGTAACTCTTTACGGTGGCCAATTTACGTTATCAACTCAGTTGATAATACTTAATTACCCTATTTAACTCAGTTGTCTTATTAGTAATTTACTAATAGAGACAGTGTGACTTCCAGATTGAGTGCTTTTCTCGTAATCTGTTGGTGATTGGCTTATTCAGGCTCTCCCTCATTTACTGGATATGCTTTTCTGTTCTTCCAAGCTCATTCTGCTTCGTTTCAGTTTGGATTCAAACCGATACATAATCATTTAGAATCGCTGGTTCATTGTGTGTATACGTTGCCTTGAAAATCAAATGCACATGAAAATATGCATATATGCTTAATATATGTCCACCGTTTTGGCCCCATCCGTCCAACCAGCAGCCCTTAATTAGGCTCTTATCCAACTCCATACCACGTAACCACTTGATTCGAATGCTGTTTATCGCAATAAAGTTTGTCAAAGGTTTGAATGATATAGGAGGGAAACTAACTCTTATATTACTGAACGTTACAAATTTGACTCTATCTTGAATTTTGATATCAAAAGACAGCTCATCAACGGAAACCATTCTGGTAAGTAACACTGTTTTTCTTTCCAGTTTTTACCCTGTTATCGTCGGTAAGAGGACAATGTAGTGAGGCCGGTATCATTCTCAATGGTACAACAGGAAGTTTCGCTAGCCCTAACTACCCATCAAACTATCCAAACAGAAAGACTTGCAGGTGGATTATAGAAGTTCCCCAAGAGCATGTTGTGCATCTGAGTTTTAATGTGTTTGTAATGGAAAAGTGCGCAATCCCTTCACCGACCTGCAGCTGTGATCATGTGGAGATACGAGATGGACCAAATGTCAATTCTCCGAAATTAGCGAAATATTGCGGAGACGAAAATCCCGGTGCAATTATGTCATCTGGAAGATTCATGTGGGTTGAGTTCGATTCAGACTTCTTTAGTAACGCACAAGGTTTCTTGGCAACGTACATAGCAGTGGGTATGTGAGATTCAAGTTTCTCCTTAATTCAAACCGTTGCATAATCATTTAGAATAGCTGGTTCATTGTTTGTATACGTTGCCTTTAAAATCAAACGCACATGAAAATAAGCATTTAGTAAGTTTTATCTTTGGAAAAAGTGAAGTAGCGTATGAAGAATTAAAAAAAATCGCTCGCTATTATTTTATAGGGATTAAAACATGGACGCGCGTAGATATGGAATTTCTCTTCGAGTTTTCAACTCGATGGCTCACGAGTGAGATATGCAGTTTTTCCCTCTTTTTGTTTCCTTTCAGATGCAAGTGAATGCCCCAGGGGTAAAATATTAAGTGGAACAAATGGCAGCTTAACCACTCCACGTTTTCCCGTACGTTACCCAAACAGTGTCAAGTGCACCTGGATAATACAGGTTCCTGAAGGCTTCCAGGTGCGGCTGCGATTTGATTCATTTCGACTGGAGACGTGTACTCTCCCTTCTGTGTGCTCGTGTGACCATGTCAGAGTGAGAGATGGTCGAGATGAAAGCTCACAGTCTTTAGCGAAGCTTTGTGGAGACCACTCACCAACCATACTGCGATCGTCAGGTCAAACACTATGGGTGGAGTTTGAAAGTGACTCTTTAACAGGAGGGCAAGGATTTTCTGCCACCTTCAAAGCTGTTCGTAAGTATACTATGTTGACGTACGCTAAAAGTTATCTAACTTTAAAATAATGTAATACGTAGTGAGATGTATCGGGGCAATGGGAAAAGGTCGCAAACAATTGTAATAAGGAAATTGTAATCGCACGGGGAAAGATAAAAATACTACAGCTGGTGGCCATAAGGAAACGATATAAAGATAATAGTGAACTTCCAAACGTTTCTTAAGATAAAAAAGGTTCGCGCAATAAATTTTCTTAAAAATTCCTGCCGGTAAAGTTTCAACTTGTCTATCCCAAAGTGATGAGAACTTTTAGAATAGATAAACCAGGCCAACTCCTTTCCAGGTAATTTAGTGTTAAAAACTGAGTTGAAAACGTAAATTGGCCACCGTAAAGAGTTAAAAGGCTGACGTTTCGAGCGTTAGCCCTTCGTCAGAGCGATTGCAAAGGGCTAACGCTCTGATTGCGAACAGCTAACGCTCTGAGGAGGGGTAACGCTCGAAACGTCAGCCTTTTAACTCTTTACGGTGGCCAATTTACGTTTTCAGCTCAGTTGTTAACACTAAATTACCTGCCATACTCTCCTACCGACGCAGATACCCCCTTTTGTCAGCTCCTTTCCAGCCTGACTGGATGTAACATTACTCAAAATTGGAGCAACTTTACATCAGTGTCAGTTACTTTCTATTTACTTCACATTTACAGGGATTATGGGATTATAAGAATCTTACATGCTGGCCAATTTATGGAAGAAAAATCTCCTAACCAATCATTCCCGAACAATGCTAGAAATGAAATGATTAAGCTGCAATTATTCCTTAAAGGTACCACAGCAGTTAAGATAGGATCTGTAAATTTACTCCTCCTACGTAAAATTAGAGCGAAGAAAAAAAGAAAAAGAATGAATGGTGTGAAGTGTTTCACCAACAGTGATACTTTTTCATTCGACCCGGCATTGCATTTGTGCTGATTTCAGCTGAGAGTGACTGCCCAAGAGACGGTTATATACTGAGAGGTACAAATGGTAGCATCTCAAGTCCAGAATATCCTCTAAGCTATCCAGACAGTGTGAAGTGTACATGGATAATAGAGGTTCCTGAAGGCTATCGCGTACGACTTGAATTTCAATCTTTTCAACTGGAGACTTGCACAATCCCTTCTGTGTGCACATGTGATCATGTGGAAGTCAGGGATGGTCGAGATGCAACTGGCAACTCCTTGGAAAGGTCTTGTGGCGACAAGAAACCCTCCCACTCGCGGTCATCGGGGCGATTCATGTGGATCGAGTTTGAAAGTGACTCTAAGACGACACGCAATGGATTCCATGCAATCTTTAACGCTCTATGTAAGTGTCCAGTAGAAAGGAGCGCTTTCTCTCTTTGAAAAAAAAAATCAAATATTAAAATCAACCTTAGTTTGATTTATACTTTCATCTCAGTTGAGCCGTGTAACAATGAGCCCAGCATGAATTGATCCATTTTCCAAGAGGCATACCTCGCTGTGCTTTAGTTTTGCTTCTTTATGTGCTGCTATCTTTTATGGATTCTGTAACTAATCTGTTTAATGCAGACGCGGTTGTTTTCTATACTTTTATTCCCCCTTATTCCTTTCTGTACACTTCAAAATTGTCTATTCTTAAACCTTGAAAAAAGCAATTCAGAATTCATTAAAGTAATCCATTACAGTCATCTCGTCTAATATATTTCCCTTTAGCTGTGAATGAATGTCCAACAAGAGGAGTATTGCAAGGGACAAATGGCAGTTTCTCAAGTCCACAATATCCTTTAAACTACCCAAACAGTGTTACATGCACGTGGATTATAGAGGTTCCTGAAGGCTACCAAGTTCAATTAACATTCAATACATTTAAACTGGAGGATTGCGCAATTTCGTCGATTTGCACTTGTGACCACGTTGAGGTGAGAGATGGGCAAACGGAAAATTCGCCCTCCTTGAAGAAGCATTGCGGAAACGAGAAACCAACTCCACTTCGATCCTCTGGTCGATATATGTGGGTGGAGTTCGACAGTGACTCAAAGACAACTGAGAAAGGATTTAACGCTTCCTTTGTGGCAGTTTGTAAGTGCTTGCAAATAGAATCTAACTAATAAAAAAATAAGATACGATCCGCGTCGTTTTTGATACAGTTTTTTTTTTTCGCTTAGTTTTTGCTCCTTTGATACGTTTCAAGGAAAAAAATTCGACCTTCAGTTCGAATGTATGTAGGATGAAGAAACGACAAGTATTGAAGTTATTTCTTAAAAATCTAGTTCTGACTTACAGTCAGAGGAATTTGTTTTGGAATAAAACTTAGTCTTTTAATTTTCTTATTTAGCTGACAGTGAATGCCCAAGAAATGGTTTATTGAAAGGCAAAGTGGGCAACTTCTCTAGCCCTGGCTATCCAAAGGAATATCCAAACAGTGTGACCTGCACATGGGTCATTGAAGTTCCTGAAAATCATCTTGTTGAACTTACATTTGACGATTTTGAACTGGAGGACTGTTTCATATCACCAATATGCACGTGTGATCATGTTGAAGTCAGAGACGGTAAGGATAAGAGTGCGTCTGAGCTGGACGAGTTTTGTGGAGACGACAAACCATCGACGTTGATATCTACCGGGCGGTATATGTGGGTGGAGTTTGAGGCTGACTCAAGCACAAATCGAAAAGGATTCCTCGCGACTTATAAAGCAATCAGTAAGTTTCGGAGAAGGACACCCTCAACGTTGAAAAAAGCTGTATTTCTAGTGTTTTTGAAAACTTGTGGTTAAATACAATACCAAAGTTTTGTTAGAAATGCATTATTCATTCAAAACAGACATCCTCTTAAGGTGGAGCCTGTTTTCAACTAGCGTCGCCTTCGGTTAAATTTGGGCACGAAAAAAAACACATAATTTCCTTCTTCAAATTGTTCAATTTGAAATTGAATTCTACTGCTCATCTTAACAAATCAGAATTTTTTAATTTGACTAATGCTCATTCTCAATTTAAAATTTAATTTATCAATTATTCCATGAATCATTTATTCCTACTTCCCTTTTTCATTTGTTTTCCTAATTCAGAAACTGGCATGTACTGTAACACCGCATTTGGATGGAACATTAGCGCAATCGGCTGGTGAGGATCATACTTTGAGTTGTGTTGCCATTGTAGGTTAATCTTGAGGTTTAAGCCTTGGAGGTTCTCCAAGGAAGGCTCACCTAAGATTAAGTTATCCAAATTTTCTGTTAAATAAAGCTCAGCGGCTTTCAGTTTTTGTTCTTGTCGTGGTCATTTCAGGTTTAGCTGCATTATGTCAAAGAGAAATCCGCTTCCAAAGCTCATTTACAAATTATTTGCAAAACATGTTGAATCCTCCATGTGCTTTTTTGATTCGTTTTAAGTATTTGCTTCACGAGCAACGAGGCGCCTGAAACAAATAACAGCATAACCTAACTTAAAACACTAAAAACTGCAGGATTGTTGCAGATTTGTGTTAAGATCTTCGAACGAGTAACCTAAAAAATAAGCCTATGTCTTCTTTGAATTTCTAGACCATTATTCCCAGCAGATTTAGTAGCCTTACGCAGCTGATATTCAAAACTGGACCTTTCACTGAATTGAACATCAGTCGTTATTAAAAACAGATTTTTTTTAGAGAAAGATGTTGATGTTTAGAGAAAGACATAATTTATCCTAACAGTAAGCTAGACGCATGTCACATGTAAACCCAGAATCTGCCTCGTTCACCATAGAATTTCTGTAACTCAGAAGTAGAGCATCGAAACGCCGACTGAATCTGAAGGTCTAAGATTTGACCCCTTATGGGAAGTGCTAGACAGAATAGTTTCTTTCTCCTACGCTTGTGACAACACGAAAAAAAATTTTTTCTCCATTTCATCATCGACTTTTTTTCTGCTAATATCAGATTTTCTGCATATTGTCTATGCCCTTACTTGGTGATAGGGAAATGCTTTATTTTAACCTTTTTAATTTTTTACAGCATTGCTGCCACCGTTGGTGTGTTAGGAGGAGGAGTCTTCATCATAGTCTTGATGTGCATTGTGTTGGTCAAGAAACCAAATGTATTTAAGTGCAAGTGCCGTTGGAGTCTCTTCGGCTCCTGCTTCGACTGCGAAAATGCTTCGTAATAGTTGTAATATTCCTTGCTGAGAAAAAAGGCTTTGAAATAATCTTGAGAGCATAAAGGGGCCAAGCTTTCCATATTGTTTGATAAGAATACATGCGCTTGGTTTAGTTCAGAAGAAGCGTCAGCAATGCGTGTGCCACGCGTATATAGTGTTGTAATCATAAATAATTGTCACCAACTCTCGGAAAGAGCAGCATGATGCCCTTTGCGAAACCCTCGAATTCAGCAAAACTTGTACTTCTCCAATGTGAAAACAGGTTTTGCCTTCACAAATGAACGGACGGACGGGGACAACTCTTAAAAACTCTTTCTGGGTAAAGGCTTTCCTTGGGGGCACTCGCTGGCTGCGGGAAGGTAACCGGAATCTATTACGGTTGCTGACTATCCTTGAGAGAATGACTAACGACAAGAGGGTTGGCTCCAACGTAGATTTATTCTGCAAGCTCTACTACAATTTTGACCAGAACGGACCTGGCCAGGGCTGGTTCAACCCTGCTCTACTCCCTTCTCTCTTCCTACCGCTAAGCTTTACAGAACAGTCCTATTTAAGCTTAACGTACATGGATAACGTAATGCCATGAATAATCTAAAGGATCATGTAATCTACTACACTATTGGCTAAGTAGGAATTTCGCCTTTTACAACATTAATTACTTCAAAGAGTTCCGGTGGATAACAGTTACACAAAAAGACATGACAGGTGGCTGTTACAGTTTAACACTAACAACAACTGTTTACGGGTGACTGAAGGAGAACTGGTAGCGTTTACGCTTTGCTGAACTAAGTTTTCTACGTGGAATATTGTATTTTTTTGAGCGTAAGCATGAAAGAACTCGATAACTAAAAATCACTAAAAATCCTATCGTTACACCAAATGTACGTTAAATAAATTAGGTGACTACGAAATTGTGTCATGGTTTCACTTGCATCTGTCTACTTTGAAAGAAAAAAACAACCTTGAGCCTTGAAATTTTCACTCTATGGGACCTGAAACGCAAAAACAGTAATAAAGTAATAAACAGAAACGCCATAACCATCGGCTGACGCGTCACTGGCTTTTTGCACTTCTCTGTCAGGTTGATGAATGAATGTGATATATTGCGTTCAACATTGATAGAGTCGATCTTTCTTATCGGCAAAGGCCCACGGCTTTTATATAATAAACAAAATAATAAACGGTTACATGTAGATATGGAACTGCTCTTCTCTTGTTCAAATAGATATCTCGAGTCTAACACTCGAAGAGAAATTCCGTATCTGCGCGCACACATATATTTACTGTCTCACACCAGATACCCCGAATCTACATAACACAAGGAAAAATTCCCTTTGAAAAAGGACTTTGCTTAACACTCATTCTCTTATTCGTCAAATCTCGCTTCAAAACAAAATGTAAGGTAACTTCACGACTTTGTTAGATGGAAGGTGGCCGCTAACTGAGGCTTTGATTTTGATATAACTTACATTTTTCATCACACTCCTGCTTAACTTCACATGGTATTCCTCGGCACCATTCCACATCTTCACAGTAACAGCCTCCAAACATACCACGACAGTAGTCGCAAGCTAATTAAAAACAAATATCCAAAACATTTTTATCTGCAATTGAATGCGAAAGCGATCTTCGCAGTTGTGAACACTACTTAATTCAGGCCTGTGCGATTTTCATCTGCAACGTATCATTACATGAGCGATTTCTTAACAGTTATCGTGTAAATGAATGCTGGTATGAGAGGACCTTAATGGGGTGATTGCTTTTACGGCTAACGGCTTACGCTGAGATCTCTAAATAACAAAGAAAAACGGGTAGCCACGTCATGTAATGAAAATGGACATTGCTTTTGAAATTCTATGGAAGCGACCCTTCCCCCAAAATCTTTAGCAATAGGAGATCTTACACGACTTACACGGTATGAACCATATTTTGGATTCTTTGGGATTATATTTTCTCTGGTAGATTACTGATTCCTGGTTAATTGGCAAAGCTTGGTTTAGTTATACGGACTTGAATATACAAGTGTTCGTTTTCGACATTTTACCTGGGTTGGATTCGGAGCCAAGAAGGTTAGCAGTAACAGGGGCTATGGTCTCCTCAACTACGATTTCACCTTCAGGTGACTCTGAATAAAATGCATATAAAAACATTAACTTTATTATTCAAATGTGTTTAAATTACCAGTCTCCGACGTGGGACAAGAGATGAGTCTCCTCGGTGGTACATCAAGCAATACCAAAACACTAGTTTGATTCGTTCAATATACCGAAAAATTGTAGGAAATTAAACTTTTGACGGGCAGTTTTTTCTTTTCGGCTTCTTAGAGGCGAATTGCATTAACTATTCACTTCCGAACTAGCCAATCAGTACGCACAAAAAGTACCATTCACTTGTGTGGTATAAAGTAACACTGATTATTGGTGTGAGATTCTTGACATAGTTATACAAGCAATGATACACAGTCACTTGTTTTCCGTCACTTTTTTACCCTGTTTGGATTCGGAACCAAGAAAGTTAGTTGTAAAAATTATAAAAATTTGGTCTCCTCGACTCTGAATTTTATGATTACTGAAAAAAAAAAATCCAATCACGATAACAAAAATATTTGTGATAAACTAATTCTTCAATGCGAGTAAAAAGGTTTAACTCGAGCCTACTCAGGTTTTAATTTCTAACCTTCTCGTTCATCTGCTATAGGCTTTGGCATAGTCAATTCCATCATAGCATTCACTTCTTCATCGTATCCTTTGACATCAGCGCCACCTTTGTGAATGATACGTTTCATTTTTTAAAAAGATTCATGCCTTTATAAGTTGACCTACCCAATTGAGCCGTACCCTGACGACCGAATTGAGAATATATTGCCCTTCAGGAACCACTAATCCTTGATTGAAATAATTTCAGTGATAAGATTCTAAATCACTGTGATTTTCACCTTACTTTTCACGTTTTCGCAACCAATCCCATGTTGAGGGACTAGTGCGTAACTAGCGCCGGAGATAAGAAAGAGATGATGAGGACTTTTTATTCGGCGGGAAAAAGGCGCTGGCACAAATATACAATTATTATGCAAACGGCCATCAGTTGACATAAAAGAAAAAAAACTTCCGAGTTGTACATGTTTTTCACGGGCAGTACAGTTAGACCTTAAGTTTTAGACAATGAAGAAAATGAAAACAGTGTTTCTTTGATAGCATCGGCCATAATTTTACCTCATTGATAAGTTACATTTGGATGAGACAGTTCTTACCTCGATTCCTCTGTTGGAAAGGAAACTTTACGCCGTTGCAGAGAGCGACAAACAAAATAAAAGATATAACGCACACATACTTCATCGTGAGGTCACTACCGATAATAACTTTTTTTCCTTTTCTCTCAATTTTTTTAGCAAGATCGGATAAAGCCGAGTCAGCAGAGTGCTCTGATTCGATAAGGCAAGTGAAATGAATCGTACACCAGGAATAGCACTAGTTTTATTTCTGACAGTTCAAAACAAAATACTGCAAGTCTTCTGTTCATAATCACTAGACTGCGACCGGATTAATTAATGAATTTGCACAGCCCGCGATTTTCACGCTTGCTTTGCGCGCCACTCCGTCACAACTGTTAACGTCTATGGACAAACGACAGAAAATTTATTTCTGATAGGGATTTTCCTGGAGTGAGCTTAGTATATAATCCTCATGATAAATACGTTCTCTTTAATGAACGCTTTGTTATTTCAATAACATTTTTAAATGTTTGCGCTCTTCAAAACTAGTAGTATATTAAATTAAAAGTAACAGAGATAGTGATAATTGTAATGTTATAGAAATGTTCATGGTCTTGTTTAAAATTTTTATATAATATTGGATTCGCCGTACTTAAAAGAGAGAAATCAAAGACCGCTTTTGAAAATAGCTTAACTGAAGAAAAACAATTAATTTTTCTCGCTTCAGTACAGTTATTTTCAATGGCGCCTAAAAGATAAATATTCTCGAAAAATGGCGCGTGAAATGGCGCGTGAACTTCCCTCGTCTAATTTGTAGTAAATGGTCTCTGACAAGTTAGCTTGGTTGAGGGAACAGTGCAATAAATGAAGTCTCGGCATATAGAGTTTGGGATCTTCCTTTATACCACTAGCGCCTTCTGAGATTCGAACTAGTTATAGAGTTCCAGCACCAAAAAGTATGTGCAATAATCCAAACAAACAACAGCTTCCCTAATAATATTTATAACAATATGCGTTCTTCACATATCTCGCTCTTAAGACTCGAGCTTTCGCATGGCAGGCTATTACTCCTTTTTCCCGCACACTGTGGAAGTCCTATCGAAGAACTAAACGAAAACCACAAAAACCCAAGTTTTCATTCATTTCCTTAATAAACATTTATCGAAACTTTTCTTTAAGGTTCACTCTGTTATCCCAATTAGTTTCCATAATGTTTGTATGTTTATAACATTGGAATTTATACTTCATCACCCGCGGTATGTACATTGATTTGTACGTTTATCGTACCATTGGCCTTTACCCTTCGTCAAGGAAACAAAATTTCAGCCTAAGTAAGATGAAAAATAGCAATTTAATAAGGGTAAGTAAACCAGATCAAATTTGCCATTTGTGGGTTCCTTGCTTACCCGTTTAACGTTCCCGAACATTCTGGAGTTGAACAGGTCAGGAAAATGGCTCGAGAATTAGAATGAAGTCGTTCTTGCAATAAATGGGGTTTGTCAGGCTGATCTAACGTGCAAAACCCGCTTTTACGATAAAAAGTTTCGAACAATCTGATGTTAACCAAGCTTGAAAAATGTGCGTGAACTGCCGTAGTCTTCTTATGTCAAGTGACAGCTGTGATAACTAGCTTCTAGTGAGCCAAGCAGACAGTGTACCAGCTGTTCGTCCAAAATCGCTATTGGACCCGCGTAAGACCTTTGTTTATAGCCTCATCATGGGAATGGAAACTTTGCAGTGTGGCTGAAAGCAAGAATTCGAATTTGAAAAAAAACAAAGCACTATTCTTCTGATGACATCAAGAAAGCATCTATCGTTCAAATTCATTGGACTGCAACTTAATCAATATAATTTGCATAAGTCTTGTCAAATAACGAGTCACGTAAAGCACAAGCAATTTAATATTTTTTTCTTGGTTGCGATGAGCTAAGTGAATAATTTGTGGAAGTTTTCCTCGATGCATAAACTCTACTGATGCGTTCGACGAGGGAGATCTCAGTCCTACAGTAGACGGAACCGAAATTTTATGAGACGGTGGACTGCGGCAGTTGGAAGGATGTGGGGACATGGATGAATGTGCACGCTTCGCAACAGGGACGAATACAAACAATGAATTTCTATTCAATTTTAAGAAGCATTTCCCATATGAAAGTAACACCAACGCTGCATGACTCACGCAATTTGTTCTATTTTGTGCAAGGATAGTCAGTCTTAATTTGCGCGGATGGTATTATGAGCGCACACAGCCATTTCCCTCACAACACTATATAACCATGTTCACATTTCCGAATTAAATTCCTTCGCTTTTAAATGGTTCGACTTCGAGAGTATTTTGAAAAAAGTATTTTCATCAAAGAACATAACTCGTGGAATGATACTGACCAGTAAACTCAATTAAAAAACGAGTCGGAAGTCACAAAATTCCGATGAACTAGGGTGTTTGGAGGCTCGGTTAGGTCTGTGAAAAAGGACAGACGTACGTGCGTTAGTACTCAAACCACTGCGATCCTTTCCGATTCGTAGATCGTCTCAGAGGTAACTAAATTGTTGTCATTAATGTTATGTAACTATAAGTCAATTTTCAAAACAAAAATTTGCACGCTGTTCGATACTTTTTCCAACTTTATTAAGAAGCTACGTGCTCTTATAAAAATTAGCGCAGACTTAGACTTAGTTACATGCAAAGATCTCTTCTCATGGACGTTGTGTCCATCAGTGTCTTTATATTAACTGCTTAGAAGCGATTTACTACAAGTGCAGCTACGATGCTAAAGAGATACATTTATGCAGCAAATAGCACCAAGTGCCTCAGCGGAACCTCAGTTCTATTTCAGTCTTCAGCGAACTAAAAGATGAATAACAAATCAGAAGGATAAAATGAATTGTAAAGCAACAAAACGTTCCTCTAATGTCTAGATCTGTTTATCATAGAGGAGATCAGTGATCCATAGTTTTTTAAATCAATTTTAATCCATGTAGGTATTTTTCTTATTTCATCTTGGATTAATCATTCTCATCACTACTTGAAAGTCGGTTAGAAATATTTAGAGAACTTACCCTTGTTATGGTGGAGTTTTCGTGCAAACTTCGGAAAAATTTTATCCCTCTTATTGTCCACGCCTAGAAATGCAAATAAATTGATTGTATAAGAGCGCAGTTCACATCGGGAAACATTATCCACTTGCTGGCTTGTCTGAGTCATGTTACGTATTCAAATCACTATTTCTGATTGGTTAGCAAAACAGCCAATAGCGAGACGTGATTACGGAGTCCGTTAGCGAACCTTTGGTGTTATGATTCTTTAGATCCTTATTCATAATGGATTATCATTGATCTGCGACTGCGAAGATGTTTATGAACGTTACGTTTAAGAGTTTTCTTTCAATTTTCCGATAGACTAACGGAATTCGGGAAATAAGCCTCGCATGGAACTTTCTAAGTGCAGTGAAGCACGAACCATCGAGTTTGGATTCGAGTTCGAGTTGGATATCAAGCTAGAAACCAATTTTTTCTGTGATTGATTGATTGTAAACCTAGTAGTATACGTGTTTGCTAAAAAATTTCACTGTCGGAAGACCCGAATGCGAAATCGGAAGTCTTCATGAGCCGAACTCCCTGAAGAATAGGAATAAATGACATTACTCACAGTTATTTCCGCATTTCTCAGGTACTTCACAAGAATTACTTTTACAGAATTCCACGTCCTGGCAAACACAATCCTCCAACATATAGGGAACGCAGAAGTCGCAAGCTATTGAACAATAAATCCATTGTTACAATTAGAAGACAGTTAAAATACAAAACAAAAACGAATGGGTGAACAGGTAAAAGTTAAGTGCAATTTTGTTGCGGCAGCGAACGATTTCAGAAACTGTTTTTAGAAACCCACATTGCTCATTTGAGATTGAATTTCAATCAGCACAGAAAAAGGACGCGAATTTCCAGTCCTTAATTTTACATTTTGAAATGTGCACTAAGAACCTGATCGGTGATCTTAAGAAAAATTAATTTTGAGCCAACTACAAAGCATTGATCATAATTATTTTTTTATCTGCCAGATACTCGATAGGCAACGCAAATATCAATTAGTATTTGAAATAAATCGGTTAGATTTTAGCTCTAAAAAAACTTAAAAACTCTTCGCTTCAACAGTTGAGATCTCCGGAACTAACCAAGCGTGAGACTTGGCGAACAAATTCGTATTTAGTCTCTAAATGAATGTAAAAGGGCTATATTTAAGCTCAGCAAGGAGCTACACTCTACGGCTACAGACATCTCTTGAACTGTTAACACAACACAAATTAAACCAGCAGATCTTTGAGCCGAACAACTTTGCTTAAATTGAATTAGTTAATGTAACAAAATGGCGGTTGAAGCGTGTGACTTCTACATACCTCGGCGCTCTACATGTAACGGGATCCTTGCAGCGTTGCAATTGAAAACAATCAAAATCAGAAACATCAAAAATACCGTCTTCATCTCTGGAGTAACACAGATTATTGTACTATGTGGAATGTCTCTGACTCAAAATCGAAATCTCAAAGACGACGATGCGTTCGGTTCAGTTGGCGGAGCCTGTTCGAGGTCTTTCGCCAAAATGAATGGTACTCCAACTGCACGTATCTTTTATTTGTCACAAATACGACAAAGGCCTCGAATAAAAAACAAATAATACAAGAATGATTGGCTGATGACGCAGAAGGTTCCTTGTTCTCGCGGTTGGCAAATTTTAATGACAAAGAATATTTTTCCCAACAAGCACCACCTCATTGAACCAAAGCAACGGACTGAAACTGGCGTCTGTTTTTCATTTAAGCAACCGCAAAGAAAACCGGGTATGATTTATGATGCGAATCCATATTTTAAGCCATTGCGAAAGACTTGTATAAATTTCTCTTCAGCTAAAACTTAAAACAGAACCCAAAAAACCGAAAAAAAACCTCTATTTGAGCTATCAGATGTCTGTAGCTGTCTTTGCAATGCTTGCAAAGTTCAAGAATCAAGGAACTTCGATGCAATGAAGTGAGACAAACGAGTCATGACATGATAAACTCATAGATCAATATGCGCACTCATGGATGAATGAACAGCAGATTGTTGTTTTTAACTATTTTCCACCCCTCACATCTGTCAAAGCTTTATACAAAATAAAGAACAAAGGACGAATGATGATAAGATATATTTGCACAACAGTGGCTTGCTTCCTGGTGTGAATTCATTAGCAAAACGCCCGGGAAATTGCTTGGTCCTAATTTATGACTAAATAATATACATGAAAAAATTACTCAGTTATGATTAGTTAAGATAGATGCAGTTTTCAGGTAATTCAGTGCAGAAGAGAGTTAAAAGAAAGAGAAAGTAACAAACCAGACATTCTGATTGGTAAATAATCAAAGAAACTCAGAGATAGCCAATCAAATACTAGCCTTGGATGTCGCAACAAAATTTGAAAATTTGAAAATTTGCGAGCGAAACATGGCCGGCGTTTTAAGTAGGTTTTCTTTCGCCACCGCAGCTGAAAAACAGCTCTTTTCAGCTGCTTTTTGGTTGTCGGTTTAGAAAAGTGGTGTTTAGAGAAGGGAACTGCCAAGGAAATCGAAAATTACGAGCCAACCCAGCTTAACACTTTGCTCGAGCGATCCAACGCCGAAATGAAAAAACAAACATGGTTAAACCTCGGAAACGACGATTCCATTTCATCGAAAGTGATTTGGACACAGAATGAACAATTTCTTGAACTGTTTAGCCGGATTTTTAACTTTTTTTGCGCCTTAAAGATGTGAAGATATCATGGCATATTATTGTTTTGATCGTACGCGGTTATTTTGACCGAACGCACGGTTTGAATAAATTATTTTTGCACTTGATGCGCGCGCTTTGCTTATGCTTACTTATGATGAGCTGTCTCGTATTTTTTCATGTATATTATTAACACGTAATCACATGATTTTTCTCGTGCAATTTGGAACAAACAAGCACTTGTGTATTTTTTCAAAGACCACAAATTGTGCGTGCCTATTTATTCCAAATTGCACTCGAAATCATGTGATTACCTATACAAATAATATACATGAAGTAATTACTCAGTTCTGATTGGTTAAGATAAATGCAGTTTTCAGGTAATTCAGTGCAGAAGAGAGTTAAAAGAAAGAGAAGGTAACAAACCAGACATTCATATTCATATTCATGTTCATATTTTCCCTTAATTTTCTGACGCATTTTGTGTTTTACTCAAGGCTCAAAGTACGTGTCTCAGTGGTTTTGCGAGGCACTGGAATAGAAATAAAAAATAGTGACCCTTCAAATGATGTTGACACGGAAGGAAAAAACGGTCGGCTTTGCTAATTTGCATATGAGTTTTATGCTAGTGATGAGAATTCTTGGGAGTAGTTGGTCAATGCCTGGTAATTTCAAATTTCATATTTTTCCCACGAAAGGAAACTGTTGTTTTCAAAATCGATTCAATGAGTAGCTGATCTGGATTGCAAAAATTGAAGACTGAATAACTAGGGAAATTTGAAAATACTTTGCCCAAATTTAAAGAAATTGAATTATATTTTGCAATCGTTTAAAAGCAAATCAGAGAGGCGCTTCGGAAGCATGTTGGGCCCAGATCGGGGATAAGACCTCGCCCTGCTGCTTTCTTTTTATTCCTTTTAATTTTCTTTCACAGAACAGTAATACTGTGGACGCGTTGAAATAACCTCCTGGAGTGTATTAATATCCTGGGCTTCTAGACGAAAACACACTTTGGAGGGGCTTTGGTTTTTTCGGTTTGATAGCCCAAATGGGATCGCATTTTAAGGCTTACCATCACTTTTAGAGTAAGAATGCCACTTATAAACCCTTGAGTGGAGGATTTTATCGAAGAGTCATCTCTGAAGGAATAAAAGAAAGGTCTATTTGTCAGACCAGTCATTATTGAGGAGGGAGGACGAGGGAGGACGAAGGGAGGTTATAAGGCTCTAGGTGGAACCATATGGTTTTCAAGGAAATTAAGGGGGATCAGTCGTCGCTAACAGAGTATAAAAGGGGGGACTATAGTTGAATTTACTGCCAATGAGGGGGATCGTTAGAATACTACAGAGCCTTACTGGAGTCCAGTAAATTTAGTTGTGACGCAAATAAAATCCTCTCGGCCCCCTCCTTCCGGGCGATAATTAATAACTGATCCCTAACCAAGAGAAACTCGCATTACAAACTGGCCCGATGACTAGCTTCCTTTCCCGTCCGACAAAGAGAGAAACCTAATTATTCCCTCCCTCACTGACACTAAAACTTATAGATATATTTTCAACCAAAGAAAGTGCAACCACAGTAAGATGGAGTGAGGAAACAGGAAGGACCCAAAGACAAGAACTCACTGAAAACCAAACCATAACCGAGCTATTCTCTGCTACTTTGCGTTCTTAATTTCATCTCATCTATTACACGAATTAATTTATTAATTAACTTATTTATTAATTTTATCAAGTTATGTTAATTCTGTTTGGATTTATCTCAAACTCTACGGAACTAAGCTATGGGCAGTTGTACATCTTGTTCATTTGACGGGCATCTCCTTCGCTCTCTCTTTCTCTTTGACCAAACTCGATCTGAAACGAAATTTCATCAAATATATTATACTTGGGGAAACCAAAAAGAAATATGGTCTCTGTTAAACGGACAGAAGAAAACAAATCTTCTCCATATTAGTTCTCAATCGAAAGCTAGTGGCGTAGGTTGTAAGAACACACTTTTCTAGCCACACAAGAAATTGGACTCACAAGTGAATGAGAGTGATTATCATTTGCTGTTATGTGCAATGGCTTGAGAACTACTAACATCACTGCCCAGACTGGAAAAGCCGCGAGAGCGATAGCAAGCAATGTCTCAGTGAGAAAACTATCGAGTAACAGCAATAAAGAAAGGATAAAGAAAGGATACTTTATTCTTAAGTCACAATAACAAAATCATACGCTGTTGAAAAATAATCCAGGGTTCTTTAAAATCGTGTCTGAAGTCAGAGAAAATTAACAGAATCCCGTTCAGTGAGGTGTAACAATACTCAACGCTACCTCAAGCCACCAGAGATGTAGTAAGCTCTTGCAGTAATAGGCTTACTGGCTCGTAAGCTGGAGCTGACCTGTGCAACCATACCCCCCCCCCCACCCTTTTCCCAACCCACGTACCGATTTCATGAGCCGCAGTCCCCATGTGCCAACATCCAGGAGCTAGGTTAACGAACTGTTGATATCCTTGATATCCCACTGAAGCAGAGCAACTGCAAGAACATATGAGATTCTGTAGACACAATGTTAGCTCCCTAATAGATAATTCTTCTCTCTCGCTATAACTCTGTTGTTGTGAATAAGTAATGAGAATTTGGTGCCAGATCGTCTGTAGGCCAACCCCTCTGATTGGTGAATTTAAATGCCAATCAATTTTTGGATTTCGAGCTGAGAGTTTAATAAACAGAACAGGATTGTTCGTTACGAGATGTCTTTATTGATTTTATTCTAAAATCAGTGAGAGCAACAAGTCAACAAAGTTCTTGGACTCTTAAACAGCCCAAAACGAAGAAATTTAAATGGGAATGCATTATCCAGCAGGAATTATTCGAGGGTTACAAGAGTAAAGTGAGATAATGAAAGGCTTCCAGGTAAAGAAAATCGTGTAAGAATGAAGAATTGTAGAGTCCAGTTTCGAAAATGGCCTGAACTGTCCAGTTTTGACACGATTCCTGGCGAACGATGTGACTTAAACTGCTATTAAAGGCGTTTATACAATCAAATTAATATATATTAGTTTGACTAAAATCAGGCACAAACCCGCTTCCTATGCGAAATGTAACGTATGCCCTCTCGGAAGTCCTTTCCTTGAATTGCAAACAGGTTTTGCTTGTCCATTCCTCAATAGCAGCAGCAATGACAGATTTGGCCACATCTTCCCTTTCTGCAAGAAATGTGATGGGCAGACTCAGTTTCTCTGACGCAAGATAAAATCATAGCACGAACGCTGTCATTTTTTGGGGTGTTAGGTAATATCTTAAGAATACTAAGCCTTCCGGGTTAGCTTGTGTGTGTTTCTTTTCTCCTACTTTTTATTTCTTTATTTTTAATCGCATGGTTGTACGGGCGTGGTGATATTTGACAGGGGAGAGCCTGGATCAAGACTAAAGGCACAATAACATTCTCCTGTCTCGTCCCAAACTCTTGTCATCGGCAAAACTCACTCCCTATCCAAAGATCACAGACTACTAGCAGGCGATTCATATCCTAAGCATAGGAGAAAAAGTTGTTAGATTAAAGTGTCTATCCAAAGATCACAGACTACTAGCAGGCGATTCATATCCTAAGCATAGGAGAAAAAGTTGTTAGATTAAAGTGTCTTCAACTTTAAAATTAATGTCACGCTTACCCAAACTCCAATCGATAGTATATGGCACCATGCCATTTGGCCAGCGGCGAACAAAATGAGCGCCACGTGACTGTCCCAGGAGTAACCCTCTTACTTGCTGTGGCGACATAATCATGTCACCTTCAAGTAGGTTAGGATTTAAGGATTCCGAATTCTCTACAAGAAGTGTTCGTTCCTCTCAATAGTCCAACTTGTTTTTCTCAGAATTTTTCTTAAAAAATTGTTTCATTAGAATATAACTTTGATGTATCAATCCGATTCATTTTCAGAAGAGCAGATTTCTTTGAAAAGAATATCCGCATTCATTCGAAAAGGTAGCCAGGCAATAGCAGTGTAGTCCGGAAAAACCAAATTATTAAAAGTCATTTATTTGTATGAGCTTTTCCGTGTCCCTAATGTTTCTTTTAGAAAACGTGCAGTTCGATTATACTAAATAAAAATTCACAAAAATGACGAAAGCAAACCTTCTGGGCTGGAGGAAAGTATTCTTGCCCTAAGAGTGAGAACTGCAAAAAGCAACATCGTTGCTTGTTATACACTTCAGTCAAAAGTTGGTTGCCTTGACCGTGTTTGCAGTTACTCAGAATTAAAGTGTCCCAAAAGGAGACTGTTAGGTGAAGTCCTGCGGAAACGGCACAGACATTGGTTGGAATCGTGTAGTGATTTCATTGGATAATTTAAAGGAGAAACGGCTAGAATTTCTCATCGGTGTTTAAATCTGACTCGCGTTAAAACAGTCTTAAAACAGTCTTAAAACAGTCTTTGAGCATAAACAAATCAAAGTGACTGTAACAATCTGTTTACTTAGGCAAGCATCTGTTCAATGTTATTTCATAACACTAACTTTGCTCCAAAATGGTCTTCGTCCTTTTACTTGTTTACATATGAATGGTAAAACGGTTTTTTGATGGAAAAGTAATTGCGTTTACACATATTATTTCAGCTTGTCAATATCAACAGCAGATTTCCCTCGCTCTCCGCTGCGGCTGTAAGGCGGATGTATTCTTAAGCTAATTTCTGAACTCAAAAAGAAGCACACCGCCACAAAGAAAATGCGCGATGACCTCACCGAAATTATGCTAGTTGGGAATGAAATAACTGGTCCTTATGAAGAAGCTGAAAATTTAGAAAAGTTGGCAACCTTATTACGCCGCGTGGTAACATGGAAATTGATTGAAATATGAAGCGGTTTTCCGGACTGATGCTCAACGTATTTAAACAGCTGGCAAACTTGAGAGGATCGACCTAAAAAGTTTTTGGTCTATTCTCCAAGTGAGAGTGTAAAGCAATATTAAATGGTTACTTTTGTTCGGTATTCCCCGTGCATTAACATTTTTTAAAATTCTCTTTTGAAACTGACGAGAAAACCTGGACTTCATTTCTGCGGCTCTCTTAAGTCACGTCTTTGCTTTCTCCTGATATATGAATGTCTCCCCCATACAGCAGCTGGTTGCCGAGCCGAAATAACATAAACAATAGACCTTTGAGGTGACCTCGCTGTTTACACGAGAGCCAGACAAGCAAAACTCATTCGTACTTCCTTACTTTTTCTTGAGGACTGAGAGAGCGAGGAATCATCACAATCAGTACCCTTTGGTTCTATTTTTTTAAAACAAAATCATTTGCAATACTGGTTAAACTGGTTACTCGTCTTTAGGGTACATTTTCATCTCTTACATGAAATTCTTGATTCAGAATTCTGGACTAGCCCGAAAAGCGTTAAAATTTCTGTTCCAGATAAGAAGTTTTACCTGGAATTTCAGCTGAGCGGATAAAACAGAAAACATTTCTGTCTAAAGAGGGACAATCAACAAACCAATAAAAATTCCTAGCCATCAATTTTATCCATTTTTATTATTAAACGGATGATGAAATTTCAGAAAAATAAATACTCTGTAGTCCATAAATGAAGACAAAACTTTGGGTAAAAAAAAATTATAACCTTCATCCAACATCAAAATACAAATGTAAAATAAATAATTTTTCAAACCCTCTTCGTGGAATATCATGTAAAACCAAAAGCCATTATTCTCCTTGCAGAGTAACAACTATAATACAACAACACTCGTGAAAATTGACCCCAAAAAAATTGCTGTTACACTACTTGACATAGCATTTAAAATGCTCACTCAGTGAATCTACTTTTGAACACTCACAGAATGCAGAATGGATGGACAAATATCCTTGTGAAAAATGTGCGCTTTACACCTTAATAATTTTTTGAACAAATTCGTCGTAAATTTGTTTATGAGTCGAAAAAGGGGGCTGCCAAACTTTACCAGCCTCTTTAACTGTATCCATAAGAACGAACCGATGGGAAACCATCGATAGCAGGTGAAACGATTTACAGTACAACTCAAGGAGTTGTTGCTAAACCACCTCGCGGAAAGTATTAATAAATCGAACATCAATAAGACGTTTAAAAGACAACATTCTTAAGGAGAAGGGTCTGAACTCTCCAGAATCGCTTTAAATGTAACTAGAGCACAATATTCTTGTCGTCACTAGTCCCTCACCACACTCGGCCATCAGCGTACGCGGGGTGCTGGGCTGCATACTCATGACGGGCAAGACTCTCGCTGTAGTTTGACTGAACGAGCTGCGCATGAACAGTTTGATCTGCTTTGCGATCTCTAGCACGTTGATTCATCTCTTGTCTGTAAATGAAATGATAAAATAAAAGATATCTCATCGAAATAAAATTTCTTTAACTTGCACTGCAATGTCTTATCAAGCGCTGCAAGTTAGCGTTAAATAGCGTCCTACGATTGAATGGAAATCGGTCGATAGAAATCGAAATACAACGCACTCACATCGGTCGATAGGCGTGCTTAATTAAGCAAACGCTCGTCTGCGTGGTGGTTTTGTATAGCTGTGTTTAGTTTTTTAACCTTCCTCGTGTTTAGAAGAGACAGGTCATTTATGGTAACATACCTAGCGCTTGGCCACAGACAGAGAAATGTACGAAGAAAGTCAAGACATAATTAAATGTTTTCATTGTTAAAGACACAATCAAAAATACAAACCTCGCCTTAGCCAGAGCATTTTCTTCCATGTCATTATCAGCAATCACATCAACATTTACGGAGGAGATAACAAATGGTGTCCCGTACATGAAAGCTTGGCCAGAGTTGTAGTATTCCACTGCCCTTTGAACAGACTCAGCGTCTGCAAATAACACCCAGGCTAAGCCATTTGGTTTCCTGAGAATCTGATCCTGATTCACAGAAAAAATAGGCAGATTGGAGAGGAAGAAGAATACTCCCAATACAATTACAAAAAATATATGTTAGCCCCTATTTCTAGGTACTCAAAAGAGTAATCTTTAATCAGTAAGACTAACCGACTGACCGACTGACCGACTGACTACCTGACTGTCTGACTGACTGACTGACCGATTTACCGGCTGATTGACTGACTTATCGACTGACTGTTTGACTGAATGACTACATCACTGACTGTCTAATTGACTACATCACTTACTGACAACTGACTGACCGTCTGACTGACTAACTAAATCACTAATGAATAAAGGGGTAAGTTTCTAAAGAAACTGTGGTGCTGCGTCCGTGGGAGAGTATAGCAGGTAATTTAGTGTTAACAACTGGGTTGAAAACGTAAATTAGCCACCGTAAAGGGTAAAAAAGCTGACGTTTCGAGCGTTAGCCCTTCGTCAGAGCGATACACTCGCTCTGACGAAGGGCTAACGCTCGAAACGTCAGCTTTTTTACCCTTTACGGTGGCTAATTTACGTTTTCAACCCAGTTGTTAACACTAAATTACCTAACTAAATCACTGACTGACAACTGACTCACTGACTCACTGATTGACGGCTGAACGGACACACAGACCTGCTGTCCGAAAAAACCGTCTTGATTTTAAAAATGAAGCTTCAATGATTTTGGCTCTTCTGAGGTATAGGAAACAATTCTTACTGAAAGGGAATTTTTTTTTCGTTCTGTCCGAAGTCCCCTACATTTGATAAATACTACACTTTACAGTTAAATAGAGGAGTTACAGCCTAATAAACAATTAGAAGTTTAAACCTTTAGCAAATAGACTTCCACGACGTTACACTCCGCTTCACTATCCAGCTGCCCTTCCAATTTCTCCGCAGTCACGCTCAGCGGCAGATTACTAACATATATCGCACATGCCCGCTGTGACGAGATTTGCAACCATCCTGGTGCGTCTTTGTCAGCGCTGATGACTCGGTTCCAGTCGCCTTGACTCATCTGAGATCTCGTGTTTTCCGTTTGGGAGAGAGCCACAGACAGCTGCAATGCATCATCAAGTGTCAAAGTCCTACGATGTTTTGAGCTGTAGTCTGTAAGGACGGCCAGACTGTCCAGTTTCGGTCCCAGTTCACCAGGTTCACCCCCAAGTCCGGTGAGGTTGACTGAGAAGTTTGAGGGTGGTACAAAAACGTCTGACGTAGGAGGGTCACTACTCTGCGGGTCGAATCCTGAAAAGTATAAGACAAGGCCGCTTGCCAGTTATTTCACAGACACGCTGCCACTGGTTGTAGGGTGCCATGCACGTTAACGTACAATCCTAGCACGATAATAATACTTCAGTAATTCCTTATCTTACATCAAATTAATAATTATCTAAACGAAATGAATAGTGCAAGAACACTAAAAGAAAAAGCGTAACATATCAACAGGGGAGACGAAGAAAATAAACTGCCAGGGTACTATGACAAGAACAAAATTATGATGTTAGGTAATAAAATATGAACAGGCATGTACCAAGTGCTTCTGCCAGCCGTTCCATTATCTGATCCACATCTTCTTCTCCCAAAGCTTGTTGCTGACTTTTGAGGTTTAAAACTCCCAGTTGAGTGCCGGAACCAATTTTGCCAACCAAAGCAAGTATCCCTTCCCTGCCGATACAGTTGTCGCCCATAAACAAGCTCTTCAGGTTTGCCAGTTTGTCAGCTAAAGCACAAGCTAGTTTCTCAGCGCCGCCGTTTCGAATCTAACGAATAAAACAGTTGTTTCAATTAGTGTTTCATAATAAAAGCAATTTATAAATACATGCAAACCTTGTTTATTGACAGATCCAGGGTTTCAAGAGAAAGCGAATTTCCAGTAGATTCCAACAAGTTGTTAACCGATGTGTCTGTGATCCTGTTTGCCGCCAATCTCAATTCCTTTATAATCAGTCCATTCCCTATTGCAGTCATCAGCGGTTTCACGTCTCTATCGTTCAACCCACACCCTATAAGCGACAACAACTCAAAGCTGCAGGGAGTTATGGGTATAAACATGTCTGACAATCCCAACATTCTTTTCAGAGCATCTGTTCCTGACAGTTTGATTCCGTCCAATGTCAGGGAGGAAATAAGTGGGACTTCAGGCGTTGTCGCGGCAACGAGCTTAGAAAGATCAGCGATGAAATTTGGTGAAATCCTACATTTCTTTAGAAGCAGCGATTTGAGGTTTTTAAGTTGAGGAAGGTTTACGATTTCGCCGGCGATATCATCAGCAACATTCAACGAGAAGTCAACGGCACACAAGGAATGTACACTTTGATCTACAGAAGCAAAAAATGGAAAAATTAAAACCAGTTCGTCGCCTAATGTAAGATAGGGTTGAACAGAAAAAAATTTAATCGAATAACATCCCCTTTCCTTCGTGTTTCCCCGTTTAAAGGCAAAAAGAAACCTTCAATTAATTGTCTCACAGCGATTTCATTCACCTACCGTCGCCAGTTAGTAAGGGTATGGCCAAAATTACATAAGAAATGAAATCTCACAGAACTGGCTGTCCACCATTCGAAGATCACGTCTCTTTCAAAAATACGATGTGTCATCGAGCTTTATGGGGGCATCTAAGTGTGAAGGGCAGATGCAGGGCTTTGGGTCTAGATGCTAAACCGTATGTCACAGATTTACATGTTTTGCCACTGCTTTGAGAGGGGAGGCTTGGGAAATTAATTCCAAAGTTCTGTTTGTTTAGAATTCTATAATAAAGGATATTTGACAGACAGGGAAAATAATCTCTCACAGGTAAAACGGTCTTTATCAATAACCAAGACAATTACCAGAGGAGGTCAAGGCGCAAATGCTTGATAAACACTTTGTGGTAAGCTGATCATTGCTGGACAAATCCAAGGAAAAGAGCTGATTTAATTTTCCCTGAGCGTTTTCTGCCAAAGTCCCTAACGCTTGATTTGTCAGCGAACATCCTGATATAAGTAGCTTTTTCAGATTCGAACTTCTTTCCAGCTCAATCACACCTATATGGTTACAATGCATTCAAAAGTGAAAGTAAGACAAGATGTAAGTCTGGGGATGAATAGTTGCCAATCAAGAACAGTTACTGCGACTATGAATGCAAACCGTTAAGAACTATTTCCCATGCCAGAAGACTGACATTCGAGTTTAGCACAAATCTCACCTACAAATAAATGCAAAGACTCTAAAACACCCTAGACAGCACGAGATCGGTAGATATAACAAAATAAGAAAGCTCAAATACACTGTAAAGTACTGAAAGTTGCAAACAGAGAGCAAGACCTGATGGTTTCCATTCATCCCGTTCGCCAATTTTGGTTCCGTCAAGAACCAGCTCCTCCAAAGAAGGATGACAAATACAGCTCCACAAAAACTCCATGAGAAATGACAGACAAGACACCTGGACATTAGACAAGTCGAGAAATAACATGCATTAGCCAATCTGAAGATACGTGTGAACTCAGCGGCAGCTTGGTGATGGCAAATAAAAAATCAACAAGCCAGAAGAATTCTCAAAATTTACTGGATCTCGTGAAAAGTCCACGAACAGTCAAACAAAATGTGGAGATCGTGCTTAAAGGTAATTTTTTTCCTGTTGCACAATACAGCGAAAAATTAATTGGTCTTCGCAAATGTTAGACAAACAATAGCTTCCTTTGCTCTCTCCAGTATATGGTTTGGACCCGGAAGTAACGCCTGAACGGAAGTCATCACCAGAGTCGATTGAAGAGTTGTCGTCAGTCACGTATTCTAAATTCAGTTCGTGTAAACTGATAAGTCATGTACGTTTTACTCTAATTTTTTTACCAGTGGTTTGAAAAAAAACATCCATGATGAACAAATGCAGTACACTGATTGTCGCCTTTTTTGGTCCCAAGTTGCACCATTCAATATCACAAAATATCACGGTCTAATTAGATGATGTCAAAGTTAGCCCAGAGGTGTGAAGTTCGGAGAAAATGACTCCACTCTCACTGTTAACTGACAACCCTGTAAATGACTACACAAGTGCATTATTGTGAACCAAGCACACGAATCGTTTTTTTCCCCGTGAAAATTGTAATCACAGCGTTCAGTAAATTCAGTGCAAAAATTTAGTTTTTTGCGTGATATAGGTAAACTTACCTGGTGCCCAGCTGCATTCACACTGATGAGAGAGTTGTTATTTTGAATTCCTTTCCGCAGTGCTGCCATTCCATCGTTTCCAAGGCTCGTTCCATGGACATCAAGATGTCGCAAGCGACAACCTGGTTTCTGTGACAAACAGCAAACACTATATTATAAGACTTATTCACGATACCATTCAACATTATAAACACATCCACTGTACATGTATCCAAACGTCTATAAATTTATGATATGAGTTTCCATAACAATATGCAACACATGAACTTTTCAATAACACTGAAATGCGCAGGATAACGATTTCTCCGTTGAATAGCGATATTCGCTCTTTAAACGACCCAGAAAATTAAGAGTGAACCAGAATTCTGCCGTTAGTATGCTAATACCACTAATATGCCTAGATGTACATATACCTGCAAGATTTTTAACAACCCCTCTCCAAACACAGCTCCAATGTGATTATTACTGGCATCGAGTTCCTCAATTGTTGTATTTGCTTCTACCATTGCCTCGCAAATGGCAGACACATCATTTGATCCACAACTGGTAAACTTTAACACCTTTAGAGATTTGTTGCTCATCAATGCTGGTCCAACACATCGCGAAAAGTAATCACTCCCAAGGTTATTCCCAGAAACATCCAGTCTCTCCAGAGTGGAGTTGACAGACAGCATTTCTCCTAAACAGTCCTTTACGCGTGAAGAGAAAACATCACACTCACTTATCAAGGTTATTTCAAAAAGCTGATTATGCTCATCTATATCAAACAAACAAAACATGGACCTTTACAACACCATTACATGGAGGTTAATGTTTTTGCTGGTGACAAGTTGGCATTTGTGGGAGAATGTCGTTAGTTGTACATATTATATAATAAAATAATTTTGTGAGAACAAAAACCTTAACAAAAAAAAGAAATAAGAAAAAGGTTTGGGTAAATTTGAATCGCCGAAATAAATTTATATTATGTCATGAGATAAGCTGTGTCGAAATCAACCAGAACTAAACGAAATGCTTTTGGCTCTGTGGGATTCCTGACCAAATTTATGATAGTTGATGAAGGTTGCCATTAGATGTTAATAACATATTTTTGTTTCGCAAAGAATTAGTAATCTAGTAAATAATAGCTGATAAAAAAAAAGATTCCAATACTTACAGAACTATCAGTGTCTGCCAAGTTGTTTGCCAAGTTCAAAGACTTAAGAGTTGCATTCCTTCTGAGAGCCAAACAAATAACACGAAATCCTTGAGGTCCAATAAGATTTCCTGATAAATCAAGTTCCGTCAAGTGAACAAGCTTTTGTATCAGCTCTGCAACAGTCACAACCCCTGGTGAGAGTGAACGCATCAATTGAACTGACTTCACACCCATGACATTAAGATCTTTCACAAGATGTCCAGGTGATAACTTGCAGGAAAGACGTAGTGCTGCAGTGAGCCTGTTTTCGGCAATGACGTCTCGAAAAAGCGCAGAATCTTGTGCTTCTGTTTCAACACTGCTCATTTCACCAACAACTGAGAGACTTTCAGCTGATGTGACATTTCCATCTGACAGATATATTTTGACATCATTTTCACTCTTATCCGTGGCACAATTTCCTTGGCCACCTTGGATATTTTCATTAGCTTGTACACCTGACACATGGTTCAATATTTGTAGAACTTCCCCTCGGTCACTTTCATTTTTACTTGTCACAGCTTTGTTCAAGTTGCCACAAAGCAGGGGATCCTTAACTTCAGCAATATCTTGATTTATTGAAGGATAAATATCAGCATTCTTAGCAGTTTGTTCCCTACAAATATCACCATTTTCTAACTCAGTTGTCCTTTTTTCTATGTCTTTCTTTTGGGTAGAGGATTCTTCATTTTCTTGAATACCTTTAGGATCAGTCACCTCGGCTACATCTAATTTATCCTCTACATTTCTTAACTTCATTTCCTCTTCAAATGATGCTTCTGTAGCTTCTTTCACATTACTTTCTTGAATTTTTTTATATTCAGTCACTTTCACAGCATCCAACTGATTTTCTGACAGATGAAGATCAGTATTTTCAGCTGTTTGATCTGTAGCAGCCGCACCATGTGTTAACTCACTGTCACGATCTTTATACGTTTCTTTGGTACGTTCTGTACTTTCTTGATTGCTTTCAGAGTCAGTCACCTCAATAGCATTCAACTGATTAAGATCAGTACTCTCCGCTGTTTGGTGTGTTGTAGTAATTGTACCATTTGTTAACTCTGAGTCAGTTTCCAGTACAGATATTTCGTTGGCAAAAGAGTCTTTATTTTCTTGAAAGCTTTGGTTGGGTGTTGCAACAACTTGGGTAAATGAATCATTTGTTTCATTCTGGGATGTTTTCTTTACCCCACCTCTACTACTATAGCCATCTTTGGCAGGACCAGAATCTCTAGTCCCAGCCTGAGGAGTAACATGGACCTCAGAATTTTCATTGCTTTGATCCATGCCAGCGGAAACTATACATAAACCATCTCTATCTGTAACCTGATTTGTCTGCCCTGAACTACCATCTTCATCTTTTCCATTAGGGATATCATCTCCCTTAACAACACCACTTTCATTGTCCTCTATGATGTCATTTTTAACAAATTTCTCCCCTGATTTTGCCTGCTCTGTCTTTGCAGAAGTTGTAGAAATATTTTGTATATCAGATAATACTTCACCAGAGACATGTTTCTCTTGCTCCCTTGAGTTCTCTTTCTCTTCTGTTGAGGCTGCATTTACTAAGTCTTGCTCCTTTCCAAAACCAGCTCTCCCAACTGACAACACATAATATGTCACAAAATAATCATATCAAAATAAGTGCTTCACTTAGATTGGCAGTGTAGGATTGAATTTCCAACAAAAATGAGCATATTCATCTAATTTCATAAATATGTGAATTATGCTCAGCTTACAAACTTGTTCAATTCAAGGCACTCTGCTTCCAAGATATAAATGACCTATTCCTCATTAAAATTGTTAACTTTTGGGAATCTTAAGGAACACTAGATAAGTTAACAAAGTATAACACTTGTGTGTTCACCAGCATTTTTTCTTTGATATAAACACCTCTGTCTTCTCTTGAAAAGTACAAAGCAAACTTAACACTCAGCATGTACATGCTGGATATTTTTTCCACTCCTTTTTAACACCAAACCGGCTCATAATTATATATTAACCACAAGATGCAAACAGCAGCGCCAGTAAGGGCTTGAATAGATAGCAATGGACACCCAATTGATATGATATACAGTGTACTTTGAACAAGCCATAAACACTGGCAATATTCAATTCATCCTCTTGCACTAATTGATTGTGTCTCTTACTCATTCCCCATGATCACTTGGTAAAAGATGATTCATCATCAGCACTTAGAAATAAACTTCATCTCCCAGTGTTACAACAAAATATAAATATATATATATATATATATCTCCTCGGTGTCATTGAAAAAAACAAGTTCACATTAAATGTCTCCTCACCAGATTTTGTTGCTTTCTTGTAAGGATCTACATCATTTCTTTCCTCTGCTTCATCAACTTCTACTTGATGAGCACTTGACCCACATCCCATACTTTGGAATTTCTGATTCACTAGGGACAAGACATAAACTTATTGAATTTTCACTTATTCCATGATTGTGCATCTAATACAAGATTGGTTATAGTCAAATCAACACTATGCACCTCACTGGCTATTAACCATCTTATATCCAGTGCACTATCATGGAATAATTGTTAATTGTATCTACTGTATTAAATCATAATTAATTTAAACACCACTTCCATGCTCCATACATAGGTAGTGAAAAATTAAAAATCAATGGAATTTCAGAGACACCAAGTCCTATCAGCCTGATTATAGCTTGTACCACAACCACTGACCAAAGACTCCCTTCTCAGACATTATGCCTCCTTTGCCAAGTCTATCATCTAGATGACAAGAGCAATAAATTCCCCCCCCCCCCCTTCACCCTCATAAGCCCATTTCTTCCTTTCTTAGCTGAATAAAAACTCTAGTCATGTATTTTCATACATTTGGGCTGGGTAGGGTTACATTAATGGTGTACTTGTATTTGAAGGCCTTTGTTGCAAGTGTCTGTCCTAACCATAAAAAATCCACACTGCAAGCAGCATTCACTAAATGGCGGGGGACAGGCCGATGAAAATAATGGCTCAAATTTGGCTTTCATTTCTGGATTTTCAACTCACATCACTTTCTCATAACTAAGCCCCACTCTCCACCAATGTTCCCTCTTGGGAGGTCTCACAGTGAATGAGCCCCCTAAGGACTTATTTTAGCATTTACAGAATAATTACACTACCTCATTATGTGAAATGCAGGAGTCTCCTGGACATGCATAAAAATATCTCCCAGCGCTCTATATACTTTACTTAATCTCAAAGATAAGTGAATATGGATTTGTTTATCTACAGAGGAGATGAAGTTATGTAAACTCTACTCTCCACTTTAAAGGAATTTTAATTGGTTACCTTTTCAGAGATAGTAATTTTTTGGCCAATTCTTATTTGATTGTGGAAAATCTGCATCAATTTAAGGGGCTTTCAATCGATGAAGAGAAAAATTGGCGACAAAACAAATTTCAGAAGAGAGAGGTTGTCATATGCTGTCCACTCTAAACATTCTCCAGATTTCCGTTGTATACAGTAAATGATGTCTGTAATAGTGAATTTCAATTGTTGATACTATGGTGTCACTTATTAAAGAGGGCAGCACAAGAGTTGAAATCCAAGTGTTATTTCAATAATAATACGATAGTCCTCGTAATTTATGCTCTCTTTTCATTTGTTGTCATGACGGCGGCTAAAACAACTACAACATTGCCGATTCTTTCAAACGAGAAATTCAGGTCTTCCCTCGAATAGAAAATTCAAGACGTAAGATCAAAGTAAAGATAAGCCCTTATCGATTATTTATGCCCTGATATTCATTGACTAATTCGGTTTAAAAGTTACGAACAATAATTTGGGAAAAATTAATCAAATGAGCAATCATATCAGATGCCAGGATTTGTGAATAGAATGAAAATTTTAAGATTGGGAATAGCTCAAATGGTTGGAATTTCAAAGAAACAAACCTTGCACGTTGTACCTGTCCCGTCTCAGATATCACTAAAGATATTATTCTCAAATGCATCGACTTTCCCGCTCGACGCCATATTTACATGTTACTGTACCCATCATGCATCGCTTCTCATCTGAAAAGAGGTGAACCGTAGTTGTTGTGGAGTTTTACAGGTAATTTCGGGCAATTCAGGTCTGAAAATAATTTTTTGATCGATTTCTTGTTCGAAATTTCTTACACTTTTCATTCCTCTACCTTGCCCTCATGTTTTCCATGTAAACTACAAATTACGGCAGTATATTGATACGATCAGAAGGCCTGGTTCAACCAGGGTTTGTGCAGGGCAATGAGGCTCAGAGAGATGGTATCATTATTAATTACACGTCGTTATAGAAAAGGTTGAAGAACTTGTCTGATTTTAAGAATGATGAAGAAAAAGAACAAGGACTGACTTCCAAGGACCGTGCAAATGATCCACCTCACCGTTCAACAGACACCTTAAGCAAACGTACAAGTACACGTAAAATAATTCTGGAAACCTGCCTAAGAGAAAAGATTGTGAGCAATGATCTTAGAAATACAACAACAGTGATAATTTCAGGCTGCGCATTTGTTCACTTCTGACCTAAAATATGAGAGCCTGTTCCAGATGTTTTTTGTCAGTTCATCCCTTAAACGGAGTGAGTAACAAAGAAATTTTTCTCACAGTATCCATTTAATTTCAAACAGAAAGGTGATGAGAAGCAATAAAACATAAACCTTGGGATACAGTTTGATTTCAGATATTCTCTCATCTAAAATTCAAGAAAATGTGGTAAACAGCATGGAAAACGATAATGGGAGTTTAAATTTGAACAGCGTACACATTGACTAAGCGGAAAAGGTGGTTTGGGACGAGTTTCTTAATCTCTCTCCACCCGGTTTTCTCACTGCGCAACCATAGCAACCCGTTTGCTGACAGGACACCTTGTGCAGGCTACGCAAAAGACCACATCGTGAGACAAGCAATATAGTTTCAAGGGGAAACGGATGGGGTTCAGTTTTCACCAAAAGAAGTAAAAAGAGGAATTATAGAAAATCGAGTACCAAGTAGGGAGATCATTAGAATACAAAGAGCCTTAAGGGGAAAGGAAAGGGGGTTTGGTAGATTTTATTGTGACACAACCATGCCGCCTCCCTACCCCGCCCCCGGCGATAAATTTTTAAGTTCACCGCTGATTACGTCACGATAAACACTCGAAGATCTGTTGAGCGTGATTTATTTACAGCCCAAAGTTTCACTTCGTAAGGATACAAATTTCATTTCAATAAGTCATTGTAATTACAATATTTTGTAAATAATTTTTCAACGAAATAACTTTGTCTCTCTTAAATTATACGAATCTGAGTTGTTGAAAGTTTATTTTTAATAAAAATTGATAATCAATCCCCAATTAAGGGAACTCGTTGAATGCCGGACATAAAATTGTCTCATTTAGTGCCACATCTGATTCACTAAAAATAATTTCATTAAGATATATGTTCCTTCCGAGCACTTCAAACCGGCAAGCATTCCAGTGAGACAACAGCAGCAGCTAGCGATGGCGCGCTAATTATAAAAAAAAGTGTCGTTAAAAGCAGGCACGATTGCACAACGATTAATAAAAGCCAAAAATGAAAGAGGGATCACGTCCCTGCTACATCGTCTAAAAGATAAAAGATCTCCTTTTCTTTCTTTAGCACAAACTTTAAAACCAAACTTGAGCGCGCACAAAAATCAGGAGCTTCTCCTACCAGGCGGGTAATGAAGAAGATTCGTGCACTAAGAAGGCATTTGAAAGAGATGCAAACTGCGAACAAAATTTCGCTTGGAAAAAAAAAAGGACAAGAAAACGCACGGAGAAAGTAAAAACAAGCAAAACAAAACCGAAAACAACGACAACAAAAAACTACACTTTCTCGTTAAACTAGAAACTTGAGGGCATATAGGAAAGTTCCCTAACGAGCTTGTAGTTTTAAGGTAGTTTTTAACCCATTCAGTTCTCCAATGGTAGAAGGACATGAGACGTGTAGGTGTCTACCTTTTCCTTCCCAGGTAACCCTTTCTCTTCCTTTTCCTCTCCGAGTTTGTCGCCTTCTCAGTTTACATTCTAGCCGCAAAAGGAGTCGGTAATATCTTGTGAGAGTTTCAACACGAGCCCAATTTCTAACCGTTTGAGGTCCAAATAAAATGATTAAATAATTATAAGCGAGCTAGCACGATTGCGAAAACAAAACTCTGTCGATTGTTATTGAGAGCCTGACAAAGCCATGGGCGACACGAAACAGTTCGAAATATTCTGCAACGCAAACTTAACGGGAAAAATCCCATCCAGTAACTTCAAAGCGATTCAAATTATGTAACCAAATGTGATAGCTGGAAAGTACTTTCCTTTATACTATCATTCAAAGCAACTTTAACTGCTGTAACAACCTCTGGAAATTCGTAGAGACGAAGGGCTTCCGAGTTCGATATATTTGCTTGAAAGAGAGATTCTCTTCAATCTTGAAGGTTCTTCTGTAATAGTTACACATCTGTCACAAAACTACTAGTCGTGTCCATTCGCTGGAATACAGGTTGCACCGTTTCTTTGGAGTCCCGTCGCTCAAGCGTTGTCACTTCATTTTCCAAAGAGGACTCGAGGTTCCGAACAATTGGCGAGGACGGCGCATCCGTCGAACAGCGTCGGTACCAAACCGCCGAAATCTGACACGAGGGTTGTTCCGATTCAGACACATGACGTTCTTTCGAGTGAGACCTTCTCCTCTCATCAGAAGGTTGACCAAAACAAAATTCCACCACTCCATCCCTACCGGAAAGTCCCGGATAAGGAGGGAGATCTTCGTCATCCGACTCAGGGTCACCCAGTAAATAGCTGATTTCCCGATGAAGGTGTGGAACACCGGAGTAACCACGTGACTGTTGGCGTTCCTTTGAAGGGAAAAGATCCGGAGACGCCATAACTGCAAAGGAATAATTGCAAAATTTGCTGTTATTGCGAAACACGCTATAGGTAACGGACTGAGGGAATGGACGGACATTGCTGTTATCTATCAAGACGCAAAAGGGTCTTCAGAACATTTTTTCGAATATGGATGGGCAGTTCTTCAGGATGTTTAACATACGCATCTCACACATTTCCCTCTAGATTTACCAGCATTACCTAAATCATAAGCTGGCGGGGCATTAGCCTGGTGGATGTCGAAAGAAACAGTGCTGGCCACTTCTGATATCCGGCTCTGAGCCCGTTGGCGCCGCAACTTGCGAGTGTGGAACACGGCCAGAAGACTGAGCACGATGAAAATGACACCACAAGTGGCACCAATCATTATTCCAGTGAAGTGATTCCTTGTTTCTCCGTCTGAAAATCAAAGGATTTCATTTAATCTTGCACAAAAAGAAGTACACGAGGAACAAATCGAAGTTTGAGAAGAGATTGGCACATTGTGAGCTAAGTTTTGCTCATCTAACACTTATTAAAGCACTTCCAGTTAGAAAAGAATAGTGAATTAACCTTTTTTTTTTTTGTATCGTGATGTTTTCATTCGTACTTTAGCAAAATTATACGTCCTCAAACCTCATTATTTGCAATAAAACACTAACACACTTTATGGTACAATACGTTTGTAAAAAGAAATTTAATACTACTGCAAAATAGAAACCCTGCCGCATCCCACATACTTATCAGAGCCCTATTCTACAAGGGAAAGATGATTCAAGAATATACTGACTAATTGACACACAACCACTCATTAAATGGTAACAAATAATCACATTAATAATAATAATAACAATAATAATAATGATGATGATAACAAAAGTAATAGTAATGATAACTTATAGAGGCTCGCTCAAGAACCTCACTGTTCCTCTGTCCGTCTACCCCTAGGCTTCAATAATGATTAAACTAGCCTTCTTTTAATTTTGATTTGCCTGTTAATTATACATTGCAATTCCATTTTTGTGAGACTTTTGTTTCATACAACAAGGCATTCCGCGCTGTAGAATATTAGGCCTTTCCATCATTCCATCGTTCCATCGAATGGCGTCACCCTGTTGAACTCAACGTATCGTATTATGGACCTTCCTCGCTTCGCAAATTTAACGGCTCTTCTGAGCATTTGTCGCTGATTGAAATGGTAAAATGATCTCTTTTCGAATATATAAATTTTTCTACAAAGTTTCCACGATGTACAGATCAAACGTATTAAGATATTTCTTCAATATCATTCAAACGCTTTCTTTTTTTTCACGTGCCATTCTGAAGTGATTGTGAAATGTTTATCGTCTCCTGTAGTACACTACGAGAAAACCATTAAGTAGCACCGAAAAACAGTGTGATTACCTGCTAATATGCCGCGTAACATTCGAAGCGATTCGAAGAAGTCATTAAACGTTGAACAACCGAAGATGTTCGGAAACAAACAAAAGCCAAGAGCGAGGCATATCGGGTAAAACTCGGCAGACTTCGTTGTGGACAAAGAAGTCGTTCGTATTCTATTCTATTTTAACTCTCACTCACTCAACAACAACATTACTGCTTCGCCTCCACAGGAGGCAGTGGTCATAAAAATAGGACAAGAAAAAGCAAAACAAAGAAATGACTAAAAAAATAATGGAAATTAAAATAACAACCAATAACAAAATATTTTGGGTTCAAAAAAGGTAAAAATTTCGACCAATCGTAAACCAAGGTTAAAAGTTTCCTCATATATTGTAACATGTAGTTAAATAAAATTATAAACCTTGAACATTACTCGAAAGTTTCCTTCTAACTGAAAACGAAATTAAAATGAACAGCCCCATTAAAATGTTTCCTTTTTTCGGATTGAAATCCCAAGATCCCGACAAGAATTTTTGAATTTTTCGCGACTTAAATCGCGTTCTGAAAAGCTCGCCGCTTTTAAATTAATTAATTACAGGATGGGAACGAAAGTGTTCACCAGCCAATAATTTGTCAGGAAGCCACGGCTCATCACAGAAGATCAAGACTTTCACTCATACTAAAATTTACAACCGGAAATGGTATTTGGAACTAGCCTAAACCGGAAGTATTCATTGGTCAGGGATATTAGAAAGATGGTGAAATTGTTTTTCGTTTTTAATCCATCTGAAATTTCCAGATGGGAAAATGACCTTTGCAATCACCGCTTTCATGGTTGAAGGTGATATTTCAAAATTGGTTCCATTTGATCACTGTAAACCAGTTGGTGTAAATCTGGGATATTTCTTATCTCGATGATCTTGTCATTATTCAAAGCTAGGATTTCATCAGAGGAGTCAAATGGCGTAGGCGGGTGAAGACAGCGAAAAGCGAGCAGTGAATCACAAATAAAGAAAAACATTCAATCGTAACATCACTCACTTAGAGGACAAAAATGAAAACAAAACAAACCAAAACAAAAAAAGAGAATCGAAACCAGAAGAAAAGGCTCTCGAGAAAATCAGTACTTAAAGTCTTATTTCTCATTTCACGACTGCGATTTCGAAATGCTTGTAGCCTACCAGAAAAGCCAATATTACCTGCCGGTGAATTTCTTGCATAATTCACATTTAATGATATCCATTTAATGTCGTAATCGAATTCGAATATTTTATATTCGAGACCCCAATAAAGATATCGTATCCATGGTGAAAGAATATGTCGCCTGGTATTCTGCCACGTAATAGTTGTTTTAAAAAAGAAAAATTCCATTTCCCTTTCACGCAATGGGGATATAGCTCAGTGGTAGAGCATTCGACTGCAGATCGAGAGGTCCTTGGTTCAACTCCGAGTGTCCCCTTGCACAAACATTTTTCCTCTTTTCTTTTTAACATCACTACAGGAATTTTAGCAACCTAGATATTTACAATTCTAGCCCTCAGGGTACTTGTCTGTAAAAATTGGTTTATAGGCTTATATAGAAATAAAAAAGCGTCAAAATCATTATCAAGTTTACAACGACTACACTAAGATTCGAACCGAGAAGATCAGGCAAGGAAATCTTAAAGAGACCAGATAAAGGAAAAGGGGGTTAGCTCATAATTGTATAAATCAAGACCATTAAATATTAACGTTTATTTCAACCTCTTGGAAAGCGCACACAAACAGCCCTAACACTTGACTAGGCTCCACCAATGTCACTAAGATACACCATACCTGCTTCGTCGCTCTGGACAGTGTAGACTGCATCAAACCCTCGGCCAGCATATTGACTGTTGGATCGGAACTCTATTCGGAGCTTGTTCGTCTTCGATTTGATGGTGGCCGGGATGACTCGGCCACAATATCGGCCGATCACCGGGGACCAGCTAGCCAAGCCATTGTACACTTTAGCATAGTCGGAATCATCTGGGCATACCTGTGAATCCCCTTCCACATCAAACTCCCTAAGGGAAAATCAGCGTCGAAAAGATCAGCTAGTTGAAAATGCTTCAGATAAAAAATCGTAGTAAATGCTTGGTATTAAACATGACTTGAAGAAACCCCAACTGATAGAGGAACCACTTTCTGTTAGAGGAAATTTTGAGAAATGCTAATATGTTAAAATAAAACTGCGACTTCCTAATCTGTCGAACAGAATTAGCTGAGACAACAGGGACAAATTTATTTTGATCACTGAGTAACACGCAAAAATATTAGTGGAACTGTTGCTTAATGTAGTTGTTGTGAGAAGGAACCTTATCATTTTGCACTTTTATGGGATTATCTAACACACTCAGTTTTGCAAAAGTCTGAACAAAATAAAAAGGTATTGTTTTTATTATTCATTCCTATAGCTAACACAAAGTTTACCACACGTCTTTTTCTATTTAATCGAATGGTTCCGAAAACACAAAAACTATTTACAGTGGATCACCCATTGCAAGAAAAATGTAAAAATTCAAAGTCACCGAAATTACCAAGTCATTTAATTAATTGAGGGCCAAAACTGAAGGTTTTTCCAAATTCGCCTTGTGAGAGCGCAAGAATATGGGTGTTCAAACTTGTGGAGGGAGGGGGGGAAAGAGAGGGTTTGAGGATTTCGGAAGGGGGAATCAAATGGATTTCAAAGGGGAATGGAGGGATGTCAGGCCTGACCTACAGAGTACAAATAGGGGGGGGGCTATAGAAAATAGGCTGCAAATTAACTACCAATGGTGTGTGTGAGCATCATACAATCACAGAGCCCTATGAGGGTATTGGATAAATTCTAACATAGCAATAACCAAACCTAACCCTCCCCCTTCGCACCCAGCAGTAAATAATGACTGTTCCTTCCCCCCCCCCCTCCCTAAGAGTGAACTGTAGAATGCTAACATCAGTTGTGGCAAAAGCATTTTGTAAGTAATGAGAATGAGAATCTTATGACTCTCATGTCTATCTAATACACACAATAAAATAAATCTTACTGAAATCTGAGGAAAATCTTGTTCTTACTGGCAACCTCAATTTTCCATATACAATTAAGACCAGGGGGATATTGTTCCAGGTATCGCGGTGTTGAAAATCTTCCATCATTGGCATCCAAAAAAAAAGCATGATCACAGTAATCTGGTATGAAAGCAGTAACAATAGAATGAACTTCTTAATTTGTGTATGACTAAAGCAGTTAAGGGCAGCTGGGGGAGAGGGGGTGTACTGAAAGACAACAAAGAGGGGAGGGGGGCGAGATACATCACTGGGGTATGGTAGGGAGGATACACGCCATAGAGTTGAGAGCAAGAAACACTTAACACTCCTTGGCCCATCAAAGAGAAATAGCAACAAACTGGGGTGGTTTCAGGAAAATTGACAGGGAGACACCCAGGTATCATGGGCTACAACACTCTGATTAGACTTGATCTTATTCTGAAAGTTTTAATTTAAAAGCAAAACCTGCAAATTAAACAACTATGCCAAAGATAAAGTGACAAAGATGGGATGAAATTCAACATACTGGTTTTGGATGCTGGAGTGCTGTCTACAACAGTGTACTGTGCCTTGAAGGAATGCTTAGAGGTGATCCCTGTGTTACTTCCGTGCAGTGTTATTCTTAAGTATTGCCCTGATGAATACACAGGGTATGGCCTTGATGTTCCACAAAATCTTCCAAGGACAGGTGAAGTACTGCTCAAACACAAAATACATTTTAGATTCATGTATGCTCAGTAAATTTACAAGAGGAGGTAACTACAGAAGAAACACTTTTTGATCAGCTACACATACAAAAAAAAAAACAAATAAAACCACAGCACTCAAAATGGCTGATCAGAATGTACATATCAAAAGGATTCAATAACAACCCACAGAACCCTTTGACCCCTACCATCAATGTGCATATTCTCCATACTGTTCTCTCTACATTTCCTTTGATGGTGTCAAGGAGAATTTGTTTAACAATCTAGAGCTTCTTTAAGTAAGTGATCTTTTCTTTCCTTTTTTGACCTTAATTTTTGAATCAGGGATGATATTGTAAAGAGAAACAAGATGATAGTCACTTTTAGAAGGGAGAGGGTTACAGTAATTAGATGTATGTGTAAACAATCATGAGAGTGGGTAAGAAAAAAGTGCAAGTGATTTAAGTTTTGTTTATCTAGCAAAAAAAATTTAAGGAAGAGGCCAAAGTTGTGTCATCCAGTCACCACGAAGGTAAAATAACAACAGTTCAATCCGACATGCAAATCACTTTTGACCCTCAATCTAAAACTACTCTATCTTTGGTGTAAAGCTCAGCCCTAATAGCTGAACACTTCATGGTATTGTACCTGTATCTACCATCTTGAACTTGAACATAATTCTCCTTACAGTCCTGGGCAAGGCTTGTCACTTGAAATCTGTCTTTGAATGCCAACTCAATTATGCCCCTCTGGACAACAATGATCCATACACACTTGTTACTTCCTCCAGGGTTTGCAGGCAGTCTGCCTTCAAAGGTTTGGTTCTTGTTGTTGTCATTTTTCAATATGTCTCCACAGGAGGCTGCAAGAAAACAAGTTGTCAAACAAAAAATGCAAAGTGCATGTACTGTACAATCTTGTCATAAAAAGTTTGGTCTCAGTCGCAAATATCAGTTGAAGTAAACAAATATAATGTATAATAAATAACCACACAGTTAAACAAAGATATATATACGAATGAGGCATTTCAAGAAATGACTACATGTACATTGTAGCATGCCAGGGATTTTAGGGGTTTGACTTCGAACTTCAGTTCATTGTTAGGTTTTCGTTGATTCAGTTATGAAAATGAGAAAAGAAAAAAGAATAATGAGATGGTTGGCATAATTGACAAAATTTAACTTAATGGTTGCTGTTCATTCCACTCAAAGATGACAGGCCTCAAACAAATCTTACCGATTGAATAAAATTATACAATGTTTTGGGAAAAAAATTTTTCATGTCTAAATAAAAATTGATTGAATATGTGACAGATTTTCATTTAGCAAATTCCAGATTTTGAGTTCATCTCTGTTTCATTTTGTTTCACAAATTACAAAAAGCAGAATACTTTTAACAGTGCTAAGGAAATAGTAAACTGATGTCATTTTACCTGCACTCTCTGCCATGCTTAGACGAAATTTATTGCCTTTACGCTTCCCTGAAGAGAACTTTATTGTTACACAAGACCCTGATGAGACCCATAGGATTCCAACTGGCTCAGTTTTAGGCCTTTGACAAATCTTTTCCACCAGAAACCGCTCAGAACCACAACCATTGAAAATTTCTAGCCTGCCATTTTCACAGTCATCTTTTATCTCTGATCCAAAATCAAGATTAATAGCTTGAACAACTACTGCCATCCCTCTTGGATTGCTCACCCTCCATGAACATTCAGAGCCACGAGGTGAGGAACTAGGATAATCCGGTGATGAGAGAGAGAAAGTTGTCTTATTGAGATAGATGTCTCCACCACACTCTGTAAAAAGGAGATGTTGATTAGCTCTCCAAGCTCACATTTTTTTAAAGTTTCGTTTTGCAACCCAACTGTGAAACTCATAAAATCATGAACAACAGATACACTTAATATGAATGCTATTTTATTACTGACATCTCTCAGTTGGTATGTGTACTATAATTGGTCAATTTGGCAGGTCATATTTCCCAGTGGCACCCACTAAATTCAAAAGTTTGTTTGAATTAAAATCTTATTTCTCTATCTGAACCCAGAGATATCACTAACAATAATTAGCATAATTACTCAAGTAATTATAGAGATTAGCGTGCTCTGATTGGTTGAGGATTGCATCATATCTCCCTATAATCACCAGTGCAATTTGCAACAAGTTTCTGAGCATAATTAAGTAAAATTGCATTCTTAACACCATGGGAGACCCTACTGTAAGTATCCCAATAGCTACAAAGTAAAATACAGAAAAGGAGTCTAGTCATCGATTGTGTTGTTTTACCAGCCAAGACACTTAACTCTCAGGCTGTCCATTGATCTTCAATCAGACAGGTTTAAGGAGTGTACCAGGAATCAGCAAGGGAACCTAGCTCATTATATTCAAGGCATAACCCAGGATGCACTAAAATTCCATGCCAGTGAATGATATTTAACAATTATTCACCAGAGTGGAGGTGAATAGTGGTGGATATTTACCAAGCCACTAAGCTGCAAGGTCAATATCTACTACTTTCACCAACACTGAGGTGAATAATTGTTTTAGTATATACCACACAGATACCAGAAAAACTAGGTTTATTAGTTCTTTCAATTAAACTTGATTGGTAGTAATTAAATGTGATTTTTCTCATAGGCTGCTTGGAGGTGAATAATAGTTGCTATTTACTTCTAAACTAGCCAATCAGCAGGTGTAAAAAGCACTATTCAGTTGAGTGGTATATGCCAATTATTGATATTCCATGCCAAAGACATCAGCCAGATAGACATCGCACATGCTATAAAGTAAATGCCTAATGTGCAATATGTTCTTAATGTCAATGAAGCTGCTATATATATATATATATATAGCTGCTCACCCCAATATAACTTACCATGTTCTGGATATCGTTCTGCAGCAACCAGGAGTGGCCACAATAAAAAGAAACAAACTGGGAATAGAAACACAAAAAAAGAGAGCGATATGCATTAGTCACACAAAACAACCAATACATCAACTTTCATTTTGTCAAGAAAAAAGAATTCTATCATTTCAGTTTTCCTTTTTTTTGCTATAAGGTAAAGACGAAGAGTCCCTGATGTTAAAAATACTGCCATATTGAAGCTGATATAAAGTAAAAATGAACTCAGAAGAGAGTATTTCAATGCAAGTACAACAGGTAAGATAGTGAATTGCATATTTCATATTCTTAGCCTTAGTCTTGTCTTTTAAAACAGAAGTAACCACATTTAAGCAAGTTTTGGATTGAATTATTCACCACCCTTTCCACAGGGGGAAAACTCTAGTCTACAAAAAGTGTCCCTTTCACAGGGGTGTTGTAAATAAAAAGAGGATTTTTTCCCAAACGGACTACTGTTTATGCTCCTAGAATTGGGGTTTCCCCTAAATGTTGTGTCCAAAAAGATAGGTTTGATTGTTGCATTTGACATTAACCATCATGTCTACATCAGACATAACATTAGACTACAGTAACAAGTACTTTGAAAACCAAACCAAAAAGTCTAAATGAAAATACAATGCTGCCTTTTTTTTTTTAAGTATCTAAGGGGTAAGGAATCTTGCCAGAAATTTTTTGTACAAGTTTGCATTGGTTTTTGAAAAGATATACAAGAATTCTGAAAATATCAAAAACATACCCATGTTATTTCACTAAAATTTGCGTGCAGCATCTCAGTTTCCACTCTCAGTATCTGGACAATCTTGCAATCTGGCCAAATTTTTGATAGTCCAATTGCTACTCTAAAATCCTGTATTCTTAATTCACAGAAGTTATACTTTTCAATAGCTGTCTAGAAGAGTGATTGGTAATCTAAAGGCTGGTTTTCATCTCATTTCAACTCTGAGTTGAAGTTGGAGTCTCAATCATAAGCACACAGCCAGAGGATCTAATGAATATCAATCTGACCAAATTGGAAGTAAAATAATTTTGCCACTTACAACTCGGTCGCTCACAATCCAGTGAAAACTGAGTTGTCAGAGTCACAAGTGGAAGAATGTACCGCAAGGGCCTGAGAATTGGCATTGTGATTGGTTGGTTTTTCCATTTCTGCTTGCAACTGACAATCTCTTTCACTGGATCAAAAGCGACAGAGGCATAAGTGGAATAGGAAGAAAATGAAACAGTTTTGATCCTTCTGAGTACGGTTCTGTTGAGCTTATGACTCTGCTTTTGACTCTGATTTTTAGCTTTCACTCGGTTGGAAGTATCTTACAACTCCATCTTTTTTTTTTTTTCAATTGGAACCAACTGACAATGACCAAATTGAATGAGGAATATTTTACCGTTGCAACTTCTGCTAACCAAATGCCAACTGAACGTTACTCAATTATTAGACCGGTGAAGCAAATTCAGTATTGAGAGAACCTTATCAAACGTAGTCGGTGCAACTTCACAGGTAAATTTTAATCTCAAGACAAGGTAATCAACTCAATAAAAAGGATTATCTGCGAAGCAATTCTCAAGGCTATGATCGAATTGCTCTCAAGGCCGTCGTCGATGACAAGGTAAGATGAACTCGTCTACATTTTTTTCGTCTAGACTTGAAAACCTCTATTCATCTCAGCAGCAAAGCATAGGCAAAGGGGCGGTCACGAGATCATTTAAAGTGTCTACAGTAAAAGACAACGTGGCTAAATAAAGCATTCCAGAGGTCATTTCACGTCTAGTCAACTTGCACGGTGTCATATGTGCTCATTCATGTTCGGGGAGTTTTGCTTAATCCAAATCTCTCACAGCGATTTAGTTCGAGTATTCTGGCTACCTTACAATGGAGAAATTTCTTTCGAAAATTTGAAAGGTTGTTGCGAAATAAAACCTTTAGTATAAACACCGCAGTGCCATCACACTAATGAAAGTTCACCGCTCCTGATCACGTACACTCTTCACATGATAGGACGTATTTAGCAAAGCGTGGCGAATTTTAATTGCGTTGTGATTGCAAAATTCCACTTCAGTTTCGCTCGCTACATTGAGTAACCGTTAATTTCCGCACAAAATAAAAAACGAAAATCACAACAAACATAAATCGAGTCTGTGCAAGTAGATACGCATTTCGCATAGATCGTAAAATGACTATGACGGTCCCAAAATAGCAGTTTAAATGGTGTACCATTCAATAATCAACAGGTCGGTCTTAGAAGATTTTGACGAATTGCGAATCAGACAGCAAGCAGAAAGCAAAAAGAGGACTCCATGCATCCTCATTACAACGATCACAATGAGCTGATGAGCTTAAAGCCGCAGTATCATTCGCGTAATCGAAGAGTGCGTAGCACGTTTTGAACTCACCAAAACAACAATGAGTGAAGAACGAGGGAGACTGAATGCCGTAAAACAGCCGCAGTAATTCCATGCCTTTCCGATCCTGCACCTCTTGTATCTTACTCTGCCTCCAAATATACGAAGGTCTGCGGATGGCGGCCTTTCCTTCAAACTGATCGCTATTTTCGAGCTCGGATAGCTTTGATGGCCATTACAAATACGGTAGCTAATTACACGAATCTAAGCATAGAATGCCCACAGTACGCATGCTTCGCTTCATTGAAGTGCATGTGATAACTTGTCACCGCGGTGTCCTATATTTGCATACTAAATCGCGCCTTTTTCCTCTTTTCGTCACATCACAAAAGGCTTTAACTGACAGGGAGGAAGCAACCATCTTAAAACTAGAGAAGAGTGACCCAAGTTACCTAGGTACATAGGGCTATTTTTTGGTGTATTATGTGTGCCCCTCACTTCCGGCTGTCCCTTTCATGCGGTATGTGCACTTGGCTCTTTGTTTCCGGTCCCCACTGGGCTTGTTAGTCAAAAAGAGCGAACGAGAATATTAGTCCGGAAGCCAAGACCCCAAAATAAGGGTTTCGTACAATGATCGAGTCAGAAAAGGCTCGATAGCGGATTTTTATAGAATAGAGCCTGCTGATCAATGTTAGGTTCCGAGTTAGGGGTGTTTCATACGACACCCCTTAAATTTGCGGAAACGAGGCTCAGCCATTTAACTACTGATAATGCTTAAATGTAACGTTTATTATGACAAGAATCTTCAAGGGTACGTTACATCTTTATAATTAATAAGTTCACGCAAGTGAAGGAGATTTAATGGGCTTCCACAATAATTTGGGCTTTGGAAAAGTGTTTTTGTCGGAGACACTTGTATGATGTAACAAGTACTTAAACCATCGCGGAAATGAAAAAGTCAAATACATTTCCAAATATGTCAATTTCAGACTTGGTAAGGTTGACTTTATGCTTTATGAGGAAACAACTCTAACCAGTGCAATTTGCCAAGGAAAAATTCTCCAGCAGTAAAATATTTATGTGCTCTCATAATACGATGGTAAAACAAATCCCTATTAGCCTGCTCTAGAGTGGGTTAGGGAGTGCAAATAAAGTGAAACGCAGCAAGCCAGTTGTCTATTGGGCATGTGTTTGTAAAATGTACAGTCAGCCCAAGGTGGAACAGGTGGCAAAGTGTTGTTTGGAGCACGGACCTGTCTGTTATTTGTAAGTGTCATTTGAATAGAGACACCTGCGTCTCGTGTTTGGCTTCAGTTTTGGTAATAATATTTTTTCATATCTCGCCTGACTTCTCTCCAAACAATTTTTTTACCTTATCACATTTGCAAACAATTTATTTTGTCTTTTCAGACCCTGCAAACAATTTTTTTTCAAGAATCATTATTTTCATATGTCACTTCTAGATAATAAGGATCTATTCAAAATACCAGATGAGCCACGTCCCAAAACCCCAACTGGCCCTCCCCAAACTTTTAAATGGGCAATAGATCTAGATCTATAATCTAGATCTATAATATTAATAGATCTAGAGTTGTTCACGATTAAAATCCAAGCCAAACCATCCCTCTAAGTCCTATTTAGATGATGAAAACTTTTGAGAAATCAACGAATAATTTTTTTTTACGGGTGGAATGGTTCCTCTATATGAACAACGATCTGGCCCTGACGCATTCTGTTAAGATGGTGATGGCAACTATTGTGATACTAGAATCAACGACATGTACTTTTGCTTCTCTTTTCGTGCAAACTCTGTGGAGCTTACACAAAATAAAAAGAATTTAACACCGTCTTTGGTGAGTTGATTAATTTATTAATCATGATCCAGCGCTCCTTGTTGATAGAAAGTGGCTGTGCAACTCGCTTCATAAGTATTGTGGGACTTTTTCCTTGTTATTCGATTTTAATTTCTTCGCCTGATGTAGAAAAACAAGAAAAACAGCAATAATCTCGTCAACTTCGTGAAGCAGAAGGATATTTCCAATCTCAAAATCTTTACCTAAATCTTAAAAGGTAAGCACTACTTCCCGGTTATGGTTGGCAATGGTGTACTTGACATCAAGAAACCGGAGTAACCTCCCCCTCCCCTTTTCACTCCAGGGGTGATTACTTTGGCTATGCCAGTATACCTCAAAATGTGACTAGGAGCTAGTACTTCGGTTCATAGTTAAAATGACCAAAACAAATGAGTTGACTGTGATAACAAGATAAGTTTATTTCATTTCACATTACACACTAGTCGACCTGACTGATAAGCTTCCAATAACTGAATAACTGCGAAAATGTAGCATTAATTTTACTAAGACTCCCGTTATAAAGAGTCAAGTGTTAAAATGGCCATAAAATACATCAAGCTGGCTCAAAAATGTCTTCAAATTATGAATACATTTGAATCTAAACAAATATTATAACTGACAAGTCAAAAATCGGGGCAATATATTAATTGTAGACAACAAAGTACTAAAAAGTTAAAAATCTCCTCCTAACCCACACAATGAAGTAATTCTTTACCAAATTATCATTGTTATCACACTACAGCTTACATCAAACTCAAGCTATTATTTTACAGCAAGCCTTTAATTGAAGCAGCCCAGTCACGTTTTGCAATCTTGAAAACTTGAGCCTCAACTTTTCAAGATATTAGCTATAATATATTTTACTTGTTTCCATTCTCTATCATTCTGGAATACCCTCAAATCTATTGTCTGTCTACTCAAAAGAAAACGAAATTATTAAGAAAAAATTTTCTAACAAGCCCAAAGATTTAAATGAGAGATTGTTTCAGTGCTAAATTATGCAAACATTAGGTATGTTTTAGGAAAAAAATACTCGAGTTGCTCCTTTTAATTAGAAATATTTGTGTTAGAAGCTAAACATCAACAGGGACTACATTTCTTAAAATTATATACTTTTGTCCCAGCATTCTAGTTTGAAAGTTAAATTTGTTCTAATTGTATGCATCAAGTACTGTACTGTAAAAGTATACTATGGTAGATCATTTTCCTTGATGGTCCTCTTTTTAATTTAGTGAATGAAAGCAATGAATATGAAGATTTCTGCATGACAAAGTTCTCTGCAAAATTGTGATGAAAGTTGGATGAATTTTAACAGAAATATTTTCATTGCATGTTAAAAGTAATTTGTGAACTACAACAGAAGGACGGATTCAATATCTAGAGGATAAATTTTAGTTTCTAAAGCAAAACAGCAAAACAAGCCTACTAACAGCTTGTAATACAACAGTAGTGTTAGGAATGAGATGTGTTTTCAGGCTTCAAGTGGAGTATAAGTATGTTCACTTCAACTATTGCCAAAACCTGTCTCCATAGAAAAAAAGTATCACATACCTACACTAATACATACAATCTCTGTAATCTAAGTCTTGAATGGAGCTTATCAAGTTTGAGAATGACAAGAAAAGGTACAAACCTCTTTTAGACATGATCAGTAAGGAGAGCTCATGTACAAGGCAATGTCAGAAAAAGTATTCTGTGTAAATGGAAGGTTAGCTAAGCCACCCTGCTTTGAACCAACTTTCCTTTTTATAATTTCCCCTCACAAAGTTGCCCTAATTCATCTTGAATATTCAATAACACAGAAAATATGTTATTTCTCCAAAGCTCAAATGAATTTGCTAGTTTCTTCTGTTTGGCTTCAGAATTCAATTCTGGTCAAGAATATCAGGTGTAAGGATGATAAACATTTATCTGCAAAGTCACCAGGACCAATCTGGTTTAATTAGTTTCAAATAAAGTCACAAATACCTAAAATCACATACACATGTGTTGAAAATTTCACAACTGTCCTGCAGTTGGCAGACAATGCACCTGATATACTAAACCATGACATCATGGCATCACTTATGAAAGGCAAGTTGAAAATTAAGATCAGAGCAATAGAGAAAGTTGTTGTTCAAAGACATTCGCTTTACCATGATTAAAATTAGGTATATGGCTGGTTAAAACTATCCACATAACTGACGAAATACTACACTATAACAGATGAAAACAATAATTATTGCAAACAATAGCCATTTGTGCAACTGCCAGAAGATGCACCAACAAAAGTTAATGGAGTGAAAAATTCCACTACCCACAAATCACAACAACTCAGGTTATCACTGTGAAATATCATTTGAACTGAGTAAGTTGAGTTGAGAGGTTTGGACCTGATACTAGCATTCTGGAGTCCTGAGGATGCACATTGACAGGCCTGTAAATACATGAACATGTACAGCCCTAAAAAGCAGTGGGTGCAGTTCATACATGCATCATTGTTTGGATTGTACTTTAACATTTAAAAACCCAAAACAATTCTATCACCTCCTACAAATGACTCTGCTAATTATTTGCAAGCTATACCTGTGCCCTATACTTTAACCTGACACCCACTAAATATCTTTATCAACTAAATTTTTAATATTTTTGTAAAAGACTCTATAGATTTCAAGGCAAGGACAACACCTTTTTATATTTTGGTTCACTTTATACAGATAAAAAGGAAGAGAAATCACCCTCGAACCCCAAAGCTAAATTATTTACATTAGCTTTAAGCTTGCTTGCTTAGCTGGCAGTTTTGTAGGTGAAGCTGAGTGTTACCCTTCCTCCTTACATCAAAGTTTCAATACCCATACAAAACTGCTAATTAAGCAGGGAAAGCAACTACAAACTTTGTAATTGTAAAGAAGAGCTCCCTGAAAAACCCTGTCAGCTGATTGTCAGCTGAAAGTTAACCAACAGGTTACCAATATTAGTGATAGACCCAAGAATAAAAGGAAAAATAAAAATTTGACTGTAATTAATGTATACTTTTTAATGTTGAAGTTACTCTGTATACCTTGAATCACTTATACTGACTGTTGACTGACTGTCACCCAACAGGTCTGCTGAAAACTGTCAGCTGACAATTGGCCTACTGTTGGCTGGCTGTCAGCTATCTGTCTCACAGACTGTCAGCTAACTGTCAGGTGACAGGTGTTTTTTAGGGAGATCTTCTTCACAATTACCACATTCTTAGTGTCAATCCTCATCATCTCGGGTTCCAGACAATGGTACTTCCATGGGTGGCAGAGGGACACGAGACATTGACGGAGTGATTGATCCTGGAGGGACACCATCACCAGCACCCTGTTGAGGGGTTGGCTTCTTGTACTTCAAGATCCCAAAATAACGCAGTAAAGCGAAGATAGGAATGAAGAGTACTGACGTTGATATAAGGAGGACAATGACAGCATAGCCCCATCCAGGATAATTTAAGTCCACTGTCTTGGACTGAAAAGACCAAACAGAAGGAAAAAAGGTTAACTTGGTTTCAACCTGTACGTGACATGTAGAAGTAGTTATACCTCAAACCTCTTTAAAGCCACATTCATCACCTAATCTTTATCTGCTTGTGAAATGTTATGTTTTAAACAGACAAATACAGATACTTTTGAAAGTGGACAACAATAAAATTGTCATAGTGTAGTTTGATCATCCAGGTGAGTGTAGTCGTGAGAAGGACTGTTGTCAGTAATGGTGAAAAGTCATCATTACTGGCAACAGCCCTTCTCAGGACTACACTCACCCGGACAATCAAACTACACTATTACATGTTACCACCGGGTTCAAACCATTTACTGTAATGAAATTGTCCATGTTAATGTGTGGACAGTGTAGGCCCATGATTAGGTTTGTGATGCAAACCTTACCACTGTCTTTCTACAATTGTAATTATAATTTACTTTTAAAGGTTAACTCTTTAACCTTCAGATCCTGTTTTCTCCCATCCATAGATATATCTTTTAGCTCTACTGTACTTCTGTTGCTTTTTTTATACCTGTGTTTCTTTGTACTTTTTCTACAACTTCTAGTTACTATTGTAACCTTTTGACCATGCAGTTGGTTTGCATTACAAAATTCATAGCTCTTTCAATTCAGTTTAATTATTATTAGGAATACAACCCAAGTTGACTCAACAATTACCAGTGATCAACAAATTTGTATGACTACAGAGCAGGCAAAACACATAACCTGTCCCATTAAAATGTTCATTTATAAGTACAATGTACTGACTATCCTACTAGTGTTAAAATCAGGCAGCTAATAGCCAATTATATTTGACAATTTTTTAATAGTTTTGACAAACTTTAGCATGCATTGGACAAAATTGGCCAGAACACTTACAAGATTAGGATCCCATGCTGAATATGTCATAGGTGTGATTGCTAGATTGATGATGCTAGCAATGAGAATAACAGAAATGAGGAAAGGTGATACATAGCGCCAGCAGATCCTCCAGTATGCATGTGGTCTGAAGCCAATCATATACTGTATGTCATCTTCAAACCTGTTGAGGGAAAAGAACAAGATGTCAGAGTAGCTTTGAAGAAAAACCATAAATATAACACAAAGACCTCCAATCATGGCTCCTCCACTGAGTTTTGTAAAGTACTCTTACCTTTCAATTGTGTAGATGTAACTGACACCAACAAGTTCAAACAGGCCGATGAACAGCAGAGGCAGTGTAGCACAGTAGTTATCAAACATCTGGAGCCAGTACTGTCCAGAATGCTGGGTAAACAGTAAACCAGTGATGTAACAGAAGACGCAGATGATACCTGCAAATAAATCCCATGGTTAAATTATGCTAACATTACTAGTTATTCCTGAAGTGGCCAAACTAAGAGAGCCCTGAAAGCTATTTATATTTCATGTCTCACAACATTCTATACCTCATGACATGCACACTGATGAACAAGATATGACAAAACAAATTCTTTGCCACCAGTGAGATACCATGCTTTAAACAGACATTTTGGACACTAAACATACAACTTTAAAGACCAAGACACCTACCAGTCATGATCTCTTTCCTCCATGGCACAATTTTCATGTCGTAAAATGGGGTGATGACTCCTTCCAGAGTTCCAAACATGCTGCCAAGTCCAAGGGTCAGCAACATTGTGAAGAACAGCACAGACCAGAGGGGTGAGGCAGGCATTTTGACTATAGCCTCAGTGAAAGCAATGAACGTCAGACCAGGGCCAGTTGCAGACTGCAAAATTAAAGAAACATCACCTTGAAGATCTGTGCATGCACAACCAACTGAGAATCACAGTGAGAATAGTGTGGTATGTGGTAAGAGGTTATAGGGTTGATACGGCAGGGAAACAATTAGTATTTGAATTTTAAAGATCTGTACCAGGAATGTGAGATAAAAACCTCAACCTCCTAGATCCAGTTTTTTGTTGTATTTGTTTCAAGCTTTTGTGTGATAGTTAAGTCTTTGGCATACATATTACAACATAAATGGTATACAACAATAAGTGAAGATAGCATATAGCAACAACTATGAAAACAAAACATGTACTCGCCCACTTCTAACATGTTCATATTCAAATCTTTATGCAATGAAGAGTTATCCAAACGACCTATGTAGTAACATATTTTGATCTGTGCTAAATTGATATCAATATTATTTTTATTGTGTGTACCTTTGTTCGAAAATAATCCAATGGGCATGCATGAATTCTTCTAGTTATTGTAATAACTTAAAGATAACCTCCGCCTTACCTCTGAAAGCCAATATTCTAAGTCCTTACACTTCTCAGCAACCAAGTCAGTTCCATTAGTGTTGTTTATGGCTCCATAAAACACTTGACAATCATGGAAAGAACGAGTGGCCTAAAAAAGTACCAAATATTAAAATGTTTACCTACAAGTGATGTGACAACAAAGCTCTCTGGAGTAAAGCAAGAGAGTATTTTCTAGTTCTATAGGAAAGAGATGAATAGGGTTGCAGACTAAAATATTAAGTACTACAGATCCAGGAATAATGTTGAAATAACAGATTGGGTGAAAAAAAACTGAGCAAATTGCCTGGTTCCACCAACTTAAAAGCTAGAAGTTAGATTTTTGTTACTCCCAAAGAATGAGAGTAAAAAATTAAAAGGAAGAAAAATTGGAAAGCATGGGAAAAATATGAGTGGAACATATTAAAGTATACTGCATAAACAGTTAAACCATAAATAATACACAATTTAACATTGTGGGGGTCATCTATTTGGAAGAAAAATTCTTGATTTCACAAAAGTTACAAATACAAAGCTGGTCCTTTCCAATTCTTCAACATGATGTAATTCTCAACTTAAACTCTTGAAAGATACAATTATAGACATCTAAAAAACTCAAAAGAAGAAAAAAAATAGTTTTAGAGAGTTTCACAGAAGACTACACCAACAATATCAGTATTGTGTTATCTTTACAAGTAACAGGACAAGGGTAAAGTGTATAAAAGGCTCAGCATAGTAATCTTATGGCAAACCTTGAATCCAAGGATGCTGAAAATAACAATACTGGCAAACACTGATGTTCCACAGTTGATCAATGAGACCATAATGGCATCGCGGTGGCAATTGTTGTGCACTGGATTGTAACTGGACATGGCAATAAGTCCTCCAAAGGCCACACTTAGAGAAAAGAAAATTTGTGTGGCAGCTTCCAGCCACACCTGAGGATTTGCGAGCTTTGAAAACTGCAATAAGAAATTTGGGGATGATGAAGAAATGGATGAATAATCGATTGAGCCACTAGTATAGGGTGACAACACAGAGATTTCAACCATGCTAATCCAGCAAAAAACCCTCCTATCACTGCCGACCTTCTGTTTTCATGAAATCCTTCCTCCTTTTTCTTTTTTCAAAAATTTCTTAACTCTTTAAACCCTAAAAGTGACTAGCATCTAATTTCTCCCCACAATATCACCCCTGAATCACAGATTAATGTCATGAGAATAAAAAAAAGAATCATCAATGAAAAAAGCTTTTGATTGGTAAACAAATTCTTCTTGTCAGCACCTTCGGAAATGTATAAAGAACAGTACAGAGAATATGCATACTGATGTTGGGGTGTCAAGGGTTAAGTCTTTCTTTCCTTTATGGCATCCCAGTGTAAGCCCACAAAAGGCATAGTTGGTGATATGCACACTAGTAAACCTTCCTCAAGTGTGGTACTTGATTAGATCATTGGATATTTGCAACCAAACACTGTAATATTCTAAAGTCCCTGACAAACATTTTATTGAAAGACCAGACACTAACCTGGGGTTTCAGCATGTGAGCAATTCCAGCACCAGCACCTTCCAAGCTGACGCCACGACCAAAGAAGATGGTCAGGACAATGTAAGGGAATGTAGCAGTAAAGTACACAGCCTTAAAATCGATAAATAAACCAACAATATTAGAGTCCTTATCAGACCTTTTCCAACAATTTTTGGATTATGTTCATCCATTTAGCCTCATCAGTTAGTGAAAGAGACTTGGACAAAGTGGACTTATGTTAAATTAGGGATGGGGGGAGGGGGGAGTAAGACAGTCTAAACCAAACATCCTCAATTTTAATATTCCCAAAAGTTTGCACCTTTGGAGTTGGCACTGAAGATTATTGAGGTTATAGTGGATTTTGGGACTAAAATTGTCCCTCTCAATACAGTCTTATATAAGCATAGAGTAACCAGTTATGAGTTACCTTTCCTGCTGACTGAACACCTCTCATCATACACAGGAACACTACAGCCCAAGCCACTAACAGCACAAGGACAAGATGCCAAACAAGACCACCACTTTCCTCAATGGATGGAGTCACATCAAGGGCTTTTCTGTACCAGTAAAACTGTGTGCGACCAGCCTCTCTACACTCTTCTAGCAATGTGCCATTATCCAGTCTGGGGCACTTGGAATATGGTAGAGGGTCTTGAAATGAAGCAAACAGATAGTAGAAGCACCAAGAAATGACCATGTTGTAGTACATTCCCACAAGTAGACAGACAACAACACAGGCATAACCAACACCCCCAAGGTATGGGTGAATGGCATTCCATACTCCAACAGATCCTTGTCGCAGACTCTGGCCAATGGCAAGCTCAAGGAAGAACAGTGGGATACCAATGAGGAAAAGACTTAAGAAGTATGGAATCAAAAATGCACCTGTAAATGAAAAATAGTCTTGTTAAACTGATACATGTTTTGTATAGGAAGTGCTTCATAATTGTTTGTCGGTTAAGTTAGCTATGAGCTCACAGAGACAAACATCTTATAGATTAGAAAACAGTCTTAAATTGTATTCAGGAGCAGATTTCAGACTAAAGTGGCTGTAGGGCTGGTACTTCCCCTTCTTTGTTGTATTTTACAAATGTCTAAGCAACCAAACTACAAGTAAAAACTACTAGGAGAGGAAGGGGAAGTCTTTTTGTCTTGCTCTAATTTCTCTGTCTCCCTCTGAATATACTACTTTAGCTGCCCCCGTTCCTAACACTTTAAAGCCATCTAGTCTAATCTTACTTGGATGTTTTAAAAAGTCATGCAATGTCAAGATCATCTTCATTTTGATTTCATATGATACAGATCTACTGTTTTATTGAACTGTTGGATTAAAATTTCAGCTAATAATTTACAACAGTCAATTACTGAATCTTTAGAACCTCAAAATTGTATGGAATATGAAATATTGATGACTGTTATCACTCTGCTCATGTTCAAAGAACCTCTGGCAAATCTATCTTCCGAACTAATAAACTGAAGTAAATTCTGGAATGTCAATTATTGGTAAAAACATGTACATTTCAAGTAAAAGGACAAAGCAATGAATAAATATTCCTTTAAGAAACACTGTCAGAAGTAAGCCCACTTCCAGAGAATCTGTTTGCATTTATAGCCTTGACAAACGAAAAGGTGGAAAGTGTATGTCAAGCATATTGCACTGACTGATATTTTAGTGACTGTAAATATTTTGATGTAAAATCTTCTATGTTTAAACAAAGAGTTGTTTTGAATTTCTTGCACAACCACATACAACTGTCTCTAATCTGTTTTGCTACAATAAACAATGACACATCAAGTAAATAATTGTCTCATGAAGATGCAATTACAGAGCATCACTCCTACAAGATACAAAGAGCAGTTAATCTGTGCAAAACCATGTTTTAAACTATCCTCATGCTTCATCTAAATGCTGATTTTTGTGAACAGTGTTGATCTGTCCCCTGAAAAACGATGACTTACTTTAAACAATTATCTGAAACCGCGGCCCAAGTTTGATCTCTGGTGAATAACCGGCCCTCAAACAGCGCACTTTTTCATCCTTTAGACTGCCTAATCAACATTCAGTGTGAACAGACCCAATCCAAATTTAATTTGCGCTTATCTGTTGATAATATTCATGTTATCACTAAAGATTAACAAAAGAAAACAAAGCGACCTTGATTAAATTATTTTACAACAACTACAGCTACTTGACAAATAAATTTATGTTCAAAACCATTGTGAAATATTGTTGTGAAACGCATTGGGCAACACAAAGGCGGGTTGCGGCTTGTCACAAAAGAGCCTAAGCATGAACCAGTCACACACACGTCCGAGAGCGTGACAGTATCCGAATATAAATCATTCTACTATGAACGTTCCGATCGACAAAAGACCGATCCATTTGTCTCGCATTAAAGTCTTTTACAAAATCATTTGTCTGGCAATTCTTTGAGATGCTTCAGTACTGAAAGGTAAAAAACTGAACGCGGGAATTTTGGCGTGAATCAGCGCAAATACACACATAAAAATATCTGAGATAAGCGAAGCACGCAATTTTCTGAATGAAGCGACCTGTTTCTTCGTATTTTGCGGAGGAAATGTTCATCGTCGATAAAATCAGCCAGACGCACTTAAGCTAAACAAACAAGAGAATCCTTTGCATCTAAACAAGCGAATACGTGTCGCGTACAGGTCTATTTTAAAAAAAAGACCACAATACTTTAATCGGTTTCGCCTTCTGCATCCAGTAAGGTAGAACTAAACAAAGCCCTTCACAAGTTAAGCAGTAAAAAAGAAGGTAATACGATATCTCTAAGACGATTTTCAAATACCCATGATGTTAATTTCCCGTCAATGGTTAAGGTCTGACCCTAGATTGCTTTTGAATATTATTTTCATGCACAAATTTATTCAGACCGAAGACGGTAAATTAATCTTAATCCGAAAAATTTTGAAATAGGCGTTATTTAGTTATCAATAATACAAATAAGATTGCCAGTCTGCCAATTTAACCTGTGATTAATAATAATCGAGGGGTGGACCTCCTCCAGGGTTTAGTACGTAACCTTTCAACCGATTATATGTTAAGGTTTGCCCCGGACAAAAAGGCCTCAATCAGGTACAAATATCGGATAAAATACCTCCTCCGCTTTTTTGACAAAGATAAGGAAATCTCCATATGTTTCCAAGACCGACCGCGAAGCCAACAGTGGCCAAAATAAATTCTATCTTGTTCCCCCATCCTCCTCTGTCGTCCGCCACAGCCACCTCTGGCACAACATCGCCATTTTTGGCTGATTTTTGTTCCGGGATTTCTAAATTTTTCTCCAGAGCATCCGTGACAGTTACGTTTACGACGCCATCCTTTTGATCTGCTGAAGACATGGCTGGAAAGAAACCTCCTTTTCAGCGAACGGACGGATATCAAATGCGCACTTGCTTCAGCTCGAGGAGCATATGAAAACAAACACTGGTGAATGCAATGCACGTGGGAAGATCAAATTTCACTCATGACCTCTGGAGTCTTCACTTTACGTTCCCTTAGGCTACTTCTTTCTCGAAGAAAAGCTCTAAATCGCACGATTTAATAATGATCCGAATTCCTCTCACTGTAAAATAGTACTACGCTACTTGTGAAGGCCAAAGTTTGAGTGAACTAGAAGAAAACCATTCCGACTCCGGTAGATTATAATTGGCAGGTGCCAATCTTTTTGCCGCGTTTTCGGGCTAATTTATTTGATCTTCAAACTCTATTTACTCTCTACGTCCACAAAAGTCAGATGGTTAAACATTTCTGGACAAAAGAGGTGCAACTTCGCAGACTTTCTTTTAGTTTTAAAACACTTTGTTTACATGAGTTGTGTTGTAGACTTACGGGGACATCGGTTCAAGCCTGTTCGGAGGTATCCTGCAGAGCTTTGGATAATTTAGGAAACGCCCCATCAAATCGAATTTCAGCGCAAATACGATCGTGAAAATTCGTCTTCGCTTCGTAACGAGGACATCTACCTCGAATCATCTGCCTACTACCTTCAAGTTAGCTGCCCGAGAATAAGACAAAAACCGAGGTAAGTTTGAAGATAATCTTTCGGCCTACGTCCTGTAACTGCATTTTAGTTTTGAAGTAGACTTCGTACAGCTCTTGTTACAGTGATTTTTACTGCCCAATTACATTACAGCCCGGGAAACACAACTTCTGTTTTCAAGTTGACTTGTTAGTTTCATTGTATTTGGAAATGGAAGCAATTTCCGTTTGCCCCAATTTTCGTTTGTAGTTAATGAGTAGACCAGAGATGGCCGTTTGCATATCACATTGAAAATGTAAACCAGATGCAAACAAGACGGCACGAAGGTATGTGAAATTCAATTACCTCTATATCAATAACTTGATCCAGAACTTACCGAACTATTGTCCTAGAAATCAGGCAATTGTGGCGAAAAAAGACCTTGAAAATAAATCCTCCCAATTTTCAAGATTTTCCTGTGATTTGACTTTGAACTTGCGAATATCACGATTTAGGTATTACTAAATTAAGCTGGTAACACAATCATAACCGGTTTGCCCTTAGGCTTTACGTTAAGACAATGCTATTTCTGCTTGTTCTTGAGGGAAGGAGAGATAGTTTTAATACGCTTTTTACAAGAAGTGATAAAAATTTGTCGACAATTTTTTTTCCAGATATATTGAAGCGTAGCATATCATGACCATCATGACATTTCATGTCATTTTCTACAAAAGGAATGAAAAGAAACAGCCGCCGGGGTAAAATGTTGAAAAATAAAGTATGTTGCTAAAAAAAATTAAAAAAAAAAAAAAAAAAAAAAAAAAAAAAAAGGTTCTGGTCACATGACACATGCGCGAAAATAAAGGCGGGAAGAAAAACGTAAACAAATACACGTGATACAACATGAAGGAAGGCAGATTCCTACAAGCCATTGATTATGAAAAATAAATTGCCCTCTGTTCTTCGAAGTAATCGCCCTTTTCGTTCGATTTAACGATATAGAGTTAAAATTAATTTTGTGATTGATACGAATTTCTGGCGAGGTAACCACTTATATAGGAGAACAGAAGTTAGCTGGCAAACGAGATCGCAGTGGAAAGTTAAATCATTATGCTAATAGAATAGGAACGAAGGCAAAAAATATTGATTCGATTTGCTTGTACCAGTGATGGGCTTGAAATGGAGCTTCGATACAGAAAGAAAACTAATGAATTAAACGGCATTTTTTTTCTTCGTAAATCCACTTCACTTTAAAGTGTGTAAGGATATTTAACCTTTGCGACTGACCACGTTCGTGGTCATGCAAATCGATTTACGTAAATCGTCTGTGGCGTAGTAGTAATTCACGGTTTATTTTACATTTGTTCACATTTCCACAAAAGGTTCTCGAATAAACGTTTTTTTTTTATATAGCAGCAGAGATATTCAACAGATACATGCACTTTGTGGAATGGTGGCGCATTTCGGAAACGCAAATTTTTCACTTCGTCATTGTGGTCAAATGCGAATGAATGGCGGAAAAGCTTTGTTTACTTGTAAAGGAGAATACAACGAGGAAGAGGGGAATAAGAGCAGAGAAGAGACACTGCGAGGCTGACTTTGTCCTAGGAATGAAAGAAACCTTGAAAAGTCTTTAAAGTCCAGCAGGAATTTTAGAAAAATAGAGCGAAAACTTTAGTTTCGTGTTGGTCGTAAAATCAGTCAATTTATCACATGAAAGGTTCTATTGATGAATTGAAAATATCACATGTTTTAACTCGATGAAACACGTGGAAAAGTATTCTTTCCGCAGAAACAGAATTTTTATGTGAAATACCTAGATAATTTCATAGCTAGGGAAATTAAGATCTTTTTTTTTTCGACGAAAGCTCGTTTTTCCCGTTAATTCTTCGTCCGCTGAACTCCTGAGCGGGAAGGTTTTACACAGTTCCACACAAAACAAGTAGTAGAGAAAATGCTATATTACCTCCACCATTTTTCTGGCAAAGATAGGGAAAACGCCATACATTTCCAAGACCAACCGCAAATCCAATGGCAGCGAGAATGAACTCTATTTGATTGCCCCACTTGCCACGGTCGCTATCAGCTTCGTAAATGCGAACTGTTACTCCATTACTTTCTATGTCGGTGGTCGGATGCGGATTATTGATCTCCCCAATTTCCTCGTTCTCGACGTTGAAGGTGATTTTCTTGGTGTCCGAATACTCAAGATCTTCTTCTTTGGCCATTTCCAAACCTCTGAATAATGAACTCACTGTTTACGACCCTGCAACACAAAACACAACAATTGAACACCATCAATTCAGGTCACGCGGAAAGCAGCTGACCAGGCTTAGTTGATATCCGAATGGTCTTATTTTGGTGAACCTCCTACGCGCTGAATTTTATATCCAAATGGTCTTATTTTGGTGAACCTCCTACGCGCTGAATTTTACTCCCTGATACTTTCAGCTAACGTGTGAAAAATTGCTCACAAGAGCTTCGATTCTGTTTCTTGTATTATATTTATGCAGGAGCTCATACTTTCTCGTTTCTCGAATGTTTAAAAGACCCTTTATCAGCAAGTTTGCAATTAGTGACCACGATAAGTGTGAAATTTGTCAAGACGATTCGGAGAAAATGTTTAACATTCGGTGGTTACCGGTAATAGCTGTTATCACTGGAATATTTTCCTCAATCAATAGCCTGACTTTAAACACAGGCTAAATTGAAAATAATACTCTCAGCTTTTTAAGAAAAAAGTTAAAGAAACTCGAGTAAAATTGTCTCATTCGAAATCGGTCACAGCTGATCCGTATCGATATCAGAAAAAAAAATTCTGAGTGATCATGCGAAGCGAAAGGTTTCCCTCTTTTTTTTGATCGAAAAAGAACTTATGTGAGATCCTAACGCCTCCTCGAAAACCAAAGGCCTCTCTACGTGGTTACTGACCCAAAAAAAAAAATAATAATAAAATAAAAATCACGTAGAACCCCAGTTGACTACTTTCACAAACTCATCTCTTTGTGACGTCAGAGTTGGCGCCTACTTTCGTCAACAAAGCTGTCAAAACAAGAAAACAAGTGACTCTCTTGAGGTGAGCCAAGTGTGAACTCATGTAGGAAAATGATTTCATTGTTCAGGGGCTATAATGTTTGTCTCTGTCCTTCAAGGAGAAGGCAGTTTTTTCAAGGCTCTAAGGTCCCCTATCATCGTCGCTATACAGCTTTTCAATTCATGACTTGAACTTATATTCGATGATGCTCAGGTTTTACAAACTCCCCACACGGAATAAATTTCACTTCGGCAGGGAAACAAATACCATGTGACGCATCAAGAGGGCCTCGCTTTCAGGAAGCCGAGAAATTTCCCGCCAAGGTTTGATGATGTCCTAGGGCCTCGTGTACCTTGCGAAAATCACGCGAGGCGCGACAACTTCAAGGTCACGATCGCTTGAAAAGTTCGAAGTTTTTAAGTGGGAAAGAAATACGTTTTCTCTGACGTACAGAGCAAAATTCCCACAAATTTGGTCGCCAGCTGGCAAACTGACTACAAGAGACGTTATATTTCAGCTCAGTTTTGTTCAACCGAGTCTGAAACCTGTAAAGGCCGGAACTTTCTCCTTCTTTCAATTCAAGAATTTGATCGTGGCGCAATACAGTTGTAAGGGCAACAATACACACGTTTCAATTTCAATTGAATTCCCTGGTTATGGGGTAAAATGTATTCTGTTTGTAGGTGATGTACTCTTTAGTAGTACACAATTAAGAACCCTCATATATGATCACCAAATATTTAGTAATGCGGAAAAAAGCTGGTAATTTATTAATCTTCCATTTTCCCATGTGCTATGGGGATGTACCAGCAATTCATAACAATATTAACTTAAAATTGGCATTTGAAAATCAAGAGTATGATTTACTTATTCTTAATGATGTTTCAAGAGAATATTCGGTTTCAAAATACGGCCATTCAAAGGGAGTGTGTGACTTATTGTTTTGCTGCACTTGAAAATATACTGATGAATGGGCTGAACTGTGGAAGCCATGAATTATGGAAAATATTTTAGAATGATATCTATGATATAGTCCTTACCTGCTAGAGTTGATCGACAGCCGCGAAATACTTGGCACAGGGACGAAGAGCGATTTACTAACTTGGCAAAGATTTAGAGAGCTCTTTTTATTTGGAAATTTCAACCCGTGACGTACTGCCGGCCTATTCCCGGTATTGGCACGATGTGGCATATTTACAAATTGTAACGGATGTCAGCTTTTAGACTTGTCATGCCTCAAAGATATTTGAATGCTTTCCAAGACATACAGTGAATTTTTAGGACAATAGCAGCTAGCAATCGTTACTGACATTTACGTTGTTTTTTTAATTAATTCACACCGAGCGTCTGTATTTTGGTGGAAACTTTACGAGTACGGATTTCTATACTTTTCCCGCTAAGGTCCCTGTTAAGTATCAGTTGGGTCACTCCACAGGAAGCATAAACATTAAGATTTTCGTGCTTAACTGAAACAGGCTCAAGGCGGATTTCTAATTCAGAGCGTTTGATTATACAAGATCAAAAGTTGATATTTCGTCATTCGCCACCACATTGTTAAAAGGCTTGAGAACCGGCAAGTTGGCTTTTGTTTGTGAATCCACAAAAATTTGTTAGTGGCGATTCAAGACACGTTTTAATTCATCTTTTGCATGAGGGAGAAACAATTCCATAACAAGTAAAACACATACACCAAATTTGCCAAGTGATTGGATGATTAAGATATTGAATTGTCTCGTATTAGGAGCGACCTTTACGTTTTTCAATTTCCATTTACTTCTTATGGATATATATTTGTACGTCTATTGAAATAAAATTCAGCGCCAGTATTAGAAAGCTTTTGAAGGAAAACAAGAAAAAAACGTTTCCCACGGGTTTTGAAGCTTCGAGGCCTTCCATTGTTGTTTAAACGCACGTAACTCGGTTTTGCGTCTTTGTAAAACAGTTAAATATGTCAAGTAGATTCTTATCTTCTTGGCGCGTTTCCAGTGAAAGTGAACCGTGAAACCTACTTTTACGGGTCGCGGTGCAACAAGACAAGTCACGCTACCTTAACCGAAAGTCAAGGGATAGTTTCACTTGGTTTCACATGATGGTGTTTCCGAGTCACATTTGCGGTCGAGAGGTTATCAAGATATTTTTTATAACTCATGGATGATGCAGAACTGTAATTTCAGGTCTCTTCAATGACTTAACGATATTTTTCTGGTTTGTTGAAATCATTTGTTTTGTATTACAAATGTATCGCGTGCGCGGAGGGCAAGCTTGTTAACGAAGTTTATATAAAAGCATGCCTGCGGATAACGTGTTCTATTTTTGGTTGAACTTTCTTTACTCCGCAAACTCGAAATACTAACTCTCTTTTTAAGAAAATGGGGAATTCTACGTTCTGCAAGGGTACTTTGCGAGAAGAAGAGAGATGATTTTTCTGCATATGCCACTTCGTAACAAGGCAACACAGTGTCTTTAATATTCTTTTCCAATCTTTTACGCATAAATATTGGAAAATTAGATGACAAAAATTTTGACTACACCTCAGCAGGTTGTCTCAAAAGTGAAGCGCCATAATTCTTTGAAATTCTATGCTGGAATTGCTATTCATGCCGCGTAACCAGCTAAAGTAGATCACTGCCAATCACGCGGCACAACACACACACATCACGTGTGAATTCTAAATGGTATGTTTATATTACAGATATCTGTGGTTTTGTGTTATCTAAATCAAGCGATCTTAAATTGATAGACTGTTGAATCACCAACTTTGCGTGAATAAACAGTATTAAAATAACATCTCTTTATTTTGTTTTACACAATACGTTTTGTAAGCAGGTCCTCCAAAATCGCGTGCTAATCCGAAAACATAGCGTGATTTGAAATTTAACTTTCAACTTTCAACTTATCAGCGCCGAACACCTGTTACGATGAAATATAATTATATTGTCATTTAACTCGATGGTGGAACCTAAACAGTATCACGTGAACACGAGACGAACTGTTTCGAAACAAAATTGATTTTTCTTGGCAGTTTTTAACACCAAGGATACCTTTAACAGTGGTTTGAGAGCAAGCATAGGAAGGAACTATGCATTTGCAGTTTCTTGAAACGTACGGAAGTAGTGCGATGAATGGAATTGAAATGAGAACGTCGGTATTTCAAATCCTACCTTGCGATTCATACGAGTCTCATTTTCGGTAGTGCCGAAATCACGCGTTTCGTCAATTACCAACTGGTTTACCTCCCTACTAATGAGATTTATAGCTATTTGCTTTCAATTATTCTACATGATGAGATAAGAGTCCCCAAATATCATAGCGCTGCTTAAGACATCCTCACTTAAACCAATATTTATTTATTCTGGATTTCCGATTTAACCTCAGTGGAACACAAATATTGTCAGGACACTTTAAAAGTGACTTCTCCAAACAGGGCACTCCAATACACACCCACAGTTATTGCTGGCCTGGTTGCTAAGGATACGTATCGCTGACCTCGTTATCGATTTATTAAGCCAGATAAGACATTGTTCCTTATCAGTCATTTAGTCTCTTATTATTTTCGCAAAATTTCGATAAAACTTGTCGAAAACTCTATCGATATTTTTTTGTAATTTTTGGAATGACTTGTAATTTCCAAAAAATGCAAAGCTGGATGTTCCGTGGGAGTTCTGAATCGAGCGCCCGAAAAATGGTGGCTGCTAAAGGTCGAATAATTATCTCCTGCAGGAAAATGAAATTTTCCCCTTGAACGCATACACTGACTGGGTAAAAGTTGTCTCGATCTATTCACATGACAATGCGTTAAACTCTTACGCTAATTATATGTTCGTATTTCATTGTCAGATGATCAAATAATTACGGACATATTATTATCACTTTCGATGCATGGCGTCTAAGGAAACTTAAATCTAACTGATCGGGGAACGCTTATTTTGTACTTAAAGTAAGTGACCTGTAAAATAGCGACACGGTTCAATCCTTTTGTCCTCTAAAACGACGGTGTTTTGTTTATATTGCTCGTATATTTTGACCCACGTATTGTTTCGCTATAATAACGTATTTTTCGAATATATTAAAGAACTGTACAAATTCTTCGAAAGATGATCAGAAACCTTCCCTTGCGCAAAAAATATCAGTTTCATATGTTATCCAAAACGAGCCGTCAAAGCACAATTAGAATGATTGGATTAATCATAATTAAACTTAGTTCAAGTAAAGAGTACATATTTCAAGTGAGGTGGTATAACAATACTACAAACTGTACTGAGACCTGTACAAAAATTGTGCAATAAGTTTCACAAGGAGATTGCCTATAGCCTAAGTCAAAAAATGCTGATTAATTTCATTAGTCCTATAACGATATGATAGAATTATCTAAAAAAAAAGTTCTCCCGCCACGTGCAAGTGGACATTACAAAGGTCACGTGAAAATTTTTATTAGAAGATTTGTCTTCGAGGACGACATGTAGCTTCGAACTAACAAAACACTTCCTTTAGCTCATAAAACCATTGCCATTTTTGTGAACTTCCCATTTTCTCAGTAACAAAATTTTATTGTCTCAAGCAGTTTCCCAGTGTGACATCAAATTCTGACTGGTCGTTTCTTCTCATCCAGTGATTAATGTTTAACTTCGACCCAGCGCTTACGTTTGTGTTTACATGAGCTCACATGTTCGATTTACGGCAAGCGCTTAAAAACCATCGAAATAATCCCTCCGGCACAAAGATAAAAAACTAGTGAATGAATCGGAAGTCACTTAAAGACAGATAACAATCTATTTCGTAGAAAGAAGGGAGTCGTAATCTAGTAAAATAGTCGAATTCTTCGTGTTTACGGTGTCTGTTGCCTCGCTTCACCGTGTGTTTTGAATGACTTTGAAACTCTACGGTGGTCTCTCTGCGGTTTTCCTGACCACCTAATCGCAAATAGCTGTCTTAAAATATTTAAATATGAGATGTATCAACTGAAAAATCACCCAAAACATACCAATAACTGAGATCCGAAGGGCGTCAATGACTACCGTCTATATACCACGTGGAATACGCACAAATAAATCGAAAGTAAAAGTCGCTCCAGCTTGAAATCTTAATTTGCATAACTACCACACAAAAGAGCAAATCAAGCGGGAACTAAGTAGCCAATCAGCCCCGTCGTACTTAATTCATTCCTCTTTCTCCATCTATTGCGCAACGGTATTGGGTCTCTAGTCCGACAGTTCAGGTTTTACCTGTATCTTTCGCCTCGACAAAGCATGACGAACTTGTTTCTTCTTCACGTTGCTCTTTGCGTGATATTTCTCTGAAATATGGATTGTTTGAACGAAAAGAAAGTAAGATTTCCGTGAACATGTTGTTTAGCAAGTTTAGTTCACCAAGAAAAAATGAAACTTCAATATCGTTTTGAAGGCACGTGCTAATCTCGAGGGAAATATGTCTTTCAGAAAGACTTCTTTCACTCAATACTCAACGATTAAACATTGGTATTTTCAAGGTTGTTCAGTGAGAGATGAGCGTGTTTACAGTAATTGCCGCCGCTTTTTCATTCATGCATTACTAATTTGTCACATTGTTCTACTTTAGGGGCTTTATTTCCATTTAAAAGGACTCTAAAAGCTCATTTGATAATGTCTAATTCTCCATTTCGTCAACCGCTGTTCGCAGATCATTTCCAAAACCAAATTCCACGTGCTATTTAGTCTAAAAACGAAAAATATACAACTTCCGCTCTTTAAATTTGTCGAGCGACCAGTGTTCAAGGCTTAAATTCTGCTCAGTCGTAATGGGAGTGGAAGCAATCTGGTTGATAAAGCTGATTCTTTTCGGTAGAACCGCACTCGAATCGAAATGATTTCTATATGACGCAGCTGTGTTCCACTAAAAGTTGACTGTGGCATATGCAAATTAAAACATTCTTCATTTCCATCGTGGTTGCCACGTCTCCCGTCTTACTTTCCCGCCAAAACACGAGGGTGAGACACCTGCTGCTGGTTTATTGCGCAAGAAAGAGATTTAAGTAGGACACATTTATTAGGCTATAGTACGCAAAAATTGAACTACGATAACAAAATAAACTTATCGACCCACCCCTTCTTTTACCTAAAGTTATGTCAGTTTTTGTTGTATTCTGTTTCGAGGCACGTCATATGAAACCGAAATACCTGTTTGGCTCTGTTCCCGAGATGTAACCGCACTACTATTCCCCATGTTGATGTTTTGATGTCTTTGTTGATATAGGATGGCGATCTAGATCTCGTATAACGGCCTAAAGCTACCGTATTTGAAAACCCCACCGGGATCAAACTCGAAAGATTGTGCCTCGTAAGTTAAAGTTTGGCTTATATGAAGAGGTAGTCCATGAATTTCTCTGAAAAGAACTAAGTAACTGCCGCTCTCGATCAGTCTGACCCGTCAGATTTTGTTACTTAGTTCGAAACCAGTAAAGTGTAGAAAAATGTGATGTGTTCACAAGAGCTCTCTCACTTTCTGTCGCTTTAAATATCAAGTAAATAACACGTGGGCATCATATCCGTCAAACTTTCCTAGAATTTAATTTCTTGTTATATTTTCGACCAAGAGGTGATACCTGTATCTTTTAGTTTTACACATAAATATTTATATTTTACGCAACGTGGAGATCGTCTAGAGACGTTGTGCCTTAGGCTTTGTTAGGATGAATTGTTTGGTTTCACCAATCGTGCTCCCTTAGAAATGGATGAAAGGTGTGTAAGTCGGGTACGGTTGCAAGGAAGGTTTAACTGAATTTGGCAGAAGAGGAGACGGTTTCTTCTTAACTGTGGCTCTCCCGCCGTTCTATAGAAAAGCGCCCGGTATGGGTCATATATTTATTGTTTCAAATTCTGAGACACCTAGCTCGCCAAACAAAGTGTACATGGGTTATTTGGTTAGAAGGTCAGGCGGCTTGAGTGATAACGTATATGTTTGGCAAAGAAATGGATATTGTGACGACTGAGTGCATTTCATTCTTAATTTGTTGGCTCTCTTTTCTATATCGCTGTCGTAATCCGAAACGGCTGAGGCCTCCGAATAGGAGTGGTCTCTTAATTAAGCATAATTTGAAAGCGAAACCTCACAAGAATAGTGCATTTGGCGCGCATCCATCGAGTTTAATTTGCACCGCATGACACTCGCAGACCAATGATCTGACACGGGTCTATTCTATGTCTAAAGCTGGAGTCTCTATCTAAGATCTGAAGAAGCAAGTCATTCTGTGTTCTTCTCAGGCGGTTTCTTTGCAGACGTTTCAAGCAAGTCACGGACAATCTCTGTATCTCTCTTTCTCCTTGAGATCACACTTTGATATAATCTTAGAAAAAACACCGCGGGTATACAGAGACAAGAAGCGCAGATGAGAACCGCAATGATAAAGAGACACCAATAAGGATACTCTACACTCTTAACGTCGCCCTGAAATGAAAGAAAAATGATTTTTCATCGGTGGTTTATAAATTTTAATCCCTATGACAATACAGATAATCTCAGCAAACTATAATGCTTAATTATGCAGTCATGAAAGTCACGTTATTGTTATGATTCAGTTGACTAAAACCGATCAAATTAGAATCAAGGTCGACGAAGATGGCAGAAGCTGAGCGAGGATTTCATCTCATTTTACAGCCTAATGCCGCCTTACCTCAACCGGGTTCGCGTGTCGATTTGCTCCGACGAGAGATTATTATGGATTAGTGAGACGTCTGTGCCTCCTACCATACAAAGCTCTTTACTACTGATTTATTATTCCACACTCAACTATGTCTCTGTGTTTTTGAATCACTCAAATTGAGTAAACAAACTTTTATTTCATGTGACAGGCGAAGCTATTTCAACCAATTAAATGAAGACTTCGTTTCTAGTCCCCTGCTTGTTTATGACATGACTGGTTATTGTAATGCTCTGTCTAACACCCCCAACTTCCGTTTTGTATATAAATGCGACAAGGTGTTGTTCGTACCTCCTTGCTGTGCCACACCGAATATGTAATCGGTTTCAGTCCAAGGTTCAACACACTCCACACAAAGATGACAAATACTATTAAAGGAGACACAAATCTCCAAGTTATTTTCCAGTACAAGCCAGGTCGCATGCGCAGCATGTACTCGATGTCGTCGTAAAACCTGTGTATCAAAGTACGAAAGAAAGCGCTGTGTTACCGGTCATTCGTAATGTGCAGTGAAATAATGTTGGTCCAGGAGACAATTGTTCTATATAAATTGACACCACAGGTAAAGGTGTGTCTTAGAATAAAAAATGACCTTTAATCCTTCTAAATCTGCGCTAATCATGATCACTTGCGCTCAGATACAGACGATCTGCCGCGGATAATCTCGGCACGGGTGAGAAACAATTTCCTTCATGAACACCACTCATAGTTTCACTCTCAAATTTACTTCCTTTGAACTCTTTTTTAGCTTAACGTGTTTGGTTGGTTGTTTTTTTGATTGGGTTAACGGAGATGGCCACACCACCATGCGGACTGAAGGACTCACAGTCAAAAGAACCCTTTTTCCACTCCCACCCCGATCAAATAGTGAGCAGTTTCAAACTCTCGATGATGTACTCGGCCGATCGTTCATTAAAATTAAGGCACGATCATTCATCCATTACCTGTTGGCGCCGTAGATCCATGAAACACCAACAAGTTCAAAGAAGCAGATGAACAGAAGCGGAAGTGTTCCTGTAAAGCTGTCAAACATCTGCAGCCAGTACTCCCCAGAGGTCTGACAGAACAGCAGTCCAACGACCAGACACACAAAACACGTTAGACCTGAAGACGGAATTAGATATTTTGTCAGATATTTTATCATCTGGAGTGCGAATATTATTCCTGTTTTTCTTCCTTTATTTTCCCTTACATATCACTTACTTAACCATTCACCAAGAGATCATGGACAAAAGCAACATGGTTTATAAGAGCTTTTCTTTAGTTTTTGGATTTGAGTGTTGTTCCCTTGTCTTAACAGTCGGTGTATCATAGACCGGTAAGCATCAAATCAGTGTTCACGCTTTGCTGGCCGTGGGTGTCGTATATAGAGAATAATACATGGGCGCGAGTAGATATGGAATTTCTCTTCGAGTGTTTAACTCGATAGCTCACGAGTGAGATGTCGAGTTGAGCACGAGAAGAGAAATTCCATATCTACAAGCAATCATGTATTATTTTGTTTATCATATAAACACAATAGCACTTTACTGGAAAGAAAAGCCGACTTCATTAATGAATGAAAATAAATGAATCGACAATCCTCGAATAACAATCGTAAAGTGCGTTAGCGCTAACTCTTAAGATGGAAAAATGCGTTAAATCATGATTACAAAAACAACAATGATCGTAATTTTCAATTTACAAAATTCTCATTTATTGACTTTGCCCTTACCGACAGAAGAAGTCTTTCAGGTAAACGGCCAAAATCGGCCAGTGAAAAATCTTCCAGTCGTCGATTTCATTCTGAGCCGAGAGAAATGCTTACACCAAAGCCACTGAATACGTAACTTTTGGTTTTTCTTTTAGTATATTGGTTTCCTTCCTCTTCTAGAAAAGTTTGAACCTCACTGTCTGTCAGCAATACGGATTTTTTAGTGTTTTAGCCGTCATAATTTGAGGAAGCTTTGAATCGTAAGGGATTTGCCGTTCATTCATCAACCTAACCGAGTGGCGCCAAAGGTTATATCAACACACGTGAAAAAAATACGATATTTTTTCACGTGTGTTGTTACGGCTTTTCTCAGGGGCCGGAAATCCTTGTATAACACCGCAGTTTATGTGATAAAAAAAGATAATCTACAATAAAGAAATTCTGAAATTTTACGTAGCTAAAAAGTAAATAAAATTATTTTACCTGTCAGTAATTCCTTCCGCAGCGGAATCAACTTCTGGTCGTGCAGTGAATTAAGCACACCCTCCAGTATACCGAACATACTGCCGAAGCCGAGAGACAGCAACATGGAAAAGAACAGAACAGACCATAGTGGGGATAACGGAAGCTTCAGGATGGCTTCAGTGAAAGCTATGAACGTCAGGCCAGGACCTTGGAACGACTGATAAGGAAATTCATTAAAAAATGGTTTTTGCAGAGAATGATATTTCAGAAGTATCCTGATTAATTCATTCGTAGAAGCTTGAAGCAAGAGACTCTTGATCTCAAGTGTTGTCCTTTAACGTGATTCCTATTTATCTTAGAAGGTATCGGAAAAAATTTACTTGTCGAACTTGTACATATAATTTTATGGCTACTATTTAGCGTCTTTACCTCAGAAAGCCAATATGTTAGGTTATGGCATTTTTGCTGAATTGTTACTCCGTGCGGAAGGTTGGTGTTATTTGCACCACCGTATAGACTCAAACATTCGTCGTATGATCCATGTGCCTGCGGAATAAAGTCAAAAGACTTCTAGAGTAATAAAAAAAAAACATTTTAAAGATATTTTCCTCGCTTTACGACCGGCGTCCTCTTAAAGAAATGAGCAGTGTCCTAGAAACTAGCTTGCATAAGGCGTCTCTTTTTTCCCTTGACGAATAAAAAACGAGAGCATGGTGCAGTAAAGGGTTAACAAGATGCTAACAAATTGGCAGGTTTGCAGTTCTTTTTTTCTTTCTTTAATCATTAGGGGTTTCAATTAAGTCCGATGATAAAAACTTTCTGATAATGTCGCTCTCAAAAAAACGCGTTAAAAGCTGCACGACGAGTGTTTCTTTCGTATTATCGTTACGTTAAAAAAACTTAATTGAATTAAAATCTTGTAGTGATAACAACAACAATAGCAACAAGGTAGTATCTCAATCTTAACCTGGTAGTTGAGTTAACACCCATCTCTTATTAATCAGTACAACATCCCAACGCATCTCGGTCTTTTGCTCACTTGGGTGGTAGAAATCTACTCCCCCAGGCCAAACCTCACCTTGAAGCCGAGGACGGAGAAAACTACAACGGCCGCAAAGACTGACGTGAAACTATCAGTCAAAGATATAAAAATGGCGTCTCGCCGACAGTTGTTGTGTTTTGGGTTGTAACTCGCCATCGCGATGAGGGTCCCAAAACCGACACCCACAGAAAAAAACACTTGAGTTGCAGCCTCGAGCCATACTAAAGGGGACAGCAATCTAGAGAACTGAACATTAAGAAAAAGGGAAGTTAAAGGTCGGAAAAAATCATCTCATATTTTCTTCGAGAGTTCACACTATCCGCATTATTTTTTAAGTACATTTACCAATTACATATTTCTACTACTTTTGTGGTTTTTGTGGGCGCCTTACGGTTTTTACTCAAAACTGTCTTCCATCCTAAGCCTTTTGCAGCCTTACCGCTCATTGCTTTGGCGTGAACAAAATAACCAGCGACGTTGGCTACTCTAGATAGTTGATGCCTCATTATGCAGATAATAATCAGTTCTTTGTTAGGCTTGATTTCTCCCATTTACGCGAGCTCGGTATTCGATATCCTCGAGACTCGGGCTCATTTTTTGCACAGCATTTATAACTGGGTATCGGGCCGAGTTCTTTATAGTATAAATGGAGTTTACGCAGTCCATACTGATCGACCAGATCGGCGTAATTATTCACTGAGAGGATTTAAAAATCAATCGGAGTGGTTCTACTAGATAAAAGCTATTTCTTAATTGTATCCACTACATCGAATGTAATTGGACTACGTGGCCGATCAGTTTTAGCTCGTGAAAAATGCTCCAAGTGGAAGAGTCTGCCTGTCGTGTGTGTCCGTTGGCGATGGTTTCACTATGAAAATAAACGCTTTTCCGGTTAGTTACCTGAGGTTTGAACATGTGTATGATTCCATCTAATGATCCCTTCAGAGTAACAGCTCTTCCAAAGAAGATGGCCAGCACGATATATGGTAAGGTGGCAGTGACATACAACGCCTGTTAAAAAAAATGGGAAATTAGATAACTCTGAGACGTTTCCACCTTTGCTTCTCTTCTGAGAGAGCCAATTTAACTGGCAAGGCCTATAAATGTTTTACCTTTCCAGCAGACTGGACACCACGGCTAACAAACAAAAACAGAACAATCCATGCCAATAATAGCACAAGGCACAGATGCCACTGGAAATCACCCATATCCTCGATGGAGGTTGTCGCACCGAGGGCTTTAGTGTACCAGAAATATTGTGTTCGACCGGCCAGTTTGCACTCCTCATTTACTGTGCAGTTCACGCCGCTGGGGCAAGTAGAGTAGGGGAGGGGGGCTTGAAACGACACAAATAGATAATAAAAACACCAGGCAATGATCATGTTGTAGTACATGGAGATCAGAAGGCATACGACCACTGAAGCAAGCCCCACACCACCCAGGTAGGGGTGAATAGCTTTCCACACACCGATGGGACCCTGACGGAGGCTCTGGCCGATGGCAAGTTCCAAGAAGAAGAGAGGAATGCCGAGAAGGATCAGGCTGATAAAGTATGGAATAAGAAACGCACCTTTCATGGAAGGAATGAAAAATAACTATGATTAGGAAAGACATCAGTGCATATTTACACTACCCACTCCCCCAGTGCAGCAAAATTGTTACTCCGATAATTTTCTCGATCAGTTACGAGCTTTTCCGCCTCCCTTCGGCCGAAGTCCCTCAGGACTACCAATTACTTAGGACTTTTGTTTGATGCTTAATGGAAAAGTTGACCCGGAACAATAGACCATTTCTTGATACGATGAATGCTCGAACTGGAGATGTCTCTCTGCCCATATGTAGATATGTAGAAGTTTCGTTTTGGTTTTGAAAAATAGGTTTGCCTTAACAGGACGCTTGGTCAAGCCATATGCTGTCGAATAGTTTTTGTTTCTGGTTCAAAAGAAAGGAAAAAAGGAAAGAACTCCTTGTAACTCCAGTTTTCATACTGGGTGTCTTCTTAATGTGCGGCCCTGCACGTACTTTTATTTTAGAAGATTACCTTTATAACAAAAATCTTGGTACAAGGGCCGTATGCAATGGTGCGAGCAGAGCTGGTAGAAGTCGTACGACCTTGTGTAGGTCCTTGCAAGATTAAATGTGCAAGAGGACATGAATAAAGATCAAAAGTGCAATACATGTGATAAAACTGGCTGAGTTTAGGTGAGGCGGATGGGAAAATATTTGGTTCTCGGTCATGGTAATAACCTCGACACAAACATGCTCTAATCGAATGTTTTCCCAGCCGGCCTTCCCTTTCAGTTAATAAGTGCATAGTGTAGTGTCTTCGACTGCGATTGGAGAACAATCGATGGTAAGTAGTAAAGTCTTTATACAGGTCCAAGTGGCCCATGGGGCATGATCCGTGAACTGATACCAATATTGCGTTTATTGCACGCACGACCTTTTCCAACTTAAGTAAAAAAGAGAAACTTATCCGTGAAATGATTTCAACTCGTCAAAACATTTGCTGTTAGCCGGATTGAATAAAGATTATTATACGTTGATACAAAGATGCACAAGTTACAAGCGCATAACAATTATTTTGGATTGAAACTGTTCAGAAGGAAAAAGAAAGGCTTTCAGGAAAAAATGCGTAGGCCAAAAGCGGTAGCTTTCGAGTTTCGCTCGAAGCAATGTTAACTCGAGTGAACGCGGTCGCAGAACAGTCTAAGATTTTGACACTTTCAAAATGACACACCAAAAAATAAGGACAATTTTTATGATTAAATTTCATCACTTTTTACGCCTAACAGCTGATTGTTTTACCGTTTTACGGTTAACGGTCATAGCCCCATCTAGTAGCGTACATTTTTATACCTTGCAAGCACAGGAATTCTTTTATAACAGAATGTTAAGGCTATAGAGCAAAATATCAGTGAAGTAACATATTGACAAGAAGGCAAACTGTTTTCTTAGTATGGTGTTTGTTGTTTCAGATTTAACCTGTTGCTTAAATGTCCTGTCGACCTATTGTTATCAGGAGATACCTTTTCACCAGCGTGAAATTTGCATTCAACGATCCAGCCGTATAAAGGTTCATTGAATGGTCAACACAATTTCGCTAGAATAATCTGCGATATCGCTTGCTTTATTTTGATTACACTGCTTCAAAGGGAGTGCGAATTTTCATCGGTATCTCTTTGTTTTTCCAAGAGCAAGAGAGTAAATCGAATTAAAAAGATCAGACTCCTCGAGATGTGCATGTGATTAAATGTTGATAGGCGCGCGAGCTTTGTTATGTATTCTTGCGCTAAAATTACTCTATTTGTCTGCGGTTATTCGACCTCATTTCCGACCACAAGATATTTTCAGGGAAACAATATATCGGTTTGGATAACATTATCTTAGGAAACAGGGCTCGGAATAATTTATTCTTTACTAACAGTTCGCTAATTCCCAATCAATCCATTTTCAAGAGATGACCAACAGGAAAAAAGTCGAGCCATAGAGGGTTACGTACACCTCTAAACTTGAGAAAAAAAAACATTACGTGCTATCTAAGGCTATAACAGCTCTGAAAATGCGCTGATTCTATTTTAACGAGGCTGTCTTTTTTTAATGTGATTCCTTATCTCAACAGGGTGTCAGGTGCTCTCGAGTTTATTGTTCTTTCACATGTGCTCTCTTACAAGGAAATTATTTAATCCATCAGAAAAAGTGAAATACGGCCCAAGAACACAAAATAGAAATGATAAGGAAGTGAAACCAAATATTACAAAGTTTTGCGTGTTATTCCAAGCATAAATTATTGAGCTATCGATAGGGAACTATCAGAGAGTGACGATTTTCTCTCTTTCACCGCAATTTACATAGTAAATTAAGAGTTTCATGACCGCAGACGTGATACCATGGCTCAATTTTAAATCCATTAGATCTCTCCCTACCTCCTCCATTTTTCTGACACAAATACGGAAATCTCCATAAATTTCCAAATCCAACCGCGAACCCGATAGTAGCGAGAATGTATTCAGCTTTGTTGCTCCAAGTCCGCCGTTTTACTATATCTACCTCCTCGCTTATGGTGTCGGTCTCGAAATCAAGCTTGCCTTCCTCCGCTTCATCGTACCCATTCTCAGGGCTGGCTGTTAGATTCAACGTTATCAGACCGTCGGCTTTTCGATCTTGTCTTGGCATTGCGATCGCAGTGCTCTGAATACGCGCCAAGGCTCAAAGACACTATTCGTCTGCTCATAAAGTGAGGGACAATAACAAATCATGAATAAGGATAAATAAAAACCAGTTTTCTCAAAACACAATAAACGAGTTTGACCGGTTTGAATATTTTATTTCTTAGTGAACAGAGAAGCGCGCTAAACACGACTTTAGTATGATCTATGTAGAAAAAACCGTTTAGTATCTGCGATTGTGAAATACGAGTTGGTATTATTAATTTAAAACGTTATGAAGGAACATGTAAAAGTTCGTTCACGATCGTACAATAGATACATACTCATTTGTAAATATTTCATCAGCACGGATGTTTGTTGATGACTGACAGCTCGGCACATTTGACCCGTCTCAAGAGATCTTTCAGAATTTTAACGAAACGAGGAAGCTTAGGGATAGGGTAAGGGTTATTTTAATTTAATTTATATTTTTCAAGACTTGATATGAAATAACATGACAAAACCGGTGCAAACGAACTTACAGAATGTACCGTGATGAAGAGAGTTCAGATTTTTGTAGAAGCGTCAAGACAATATGTGTTTAACTTTCTAGACAAGTTTTCTTTCAAAAAGTTTTCAAAAGTGTCAGTTTATGTAAATATAAGGCGCCTCATTGAGTCACAGATATGATTCTCTTCGACTGAACTTTATGCATGTTTTTCTCGTAGGGCTTAGAGTTAGAGTTCACCAGTCAACAAGGTTTAGCACTTGGTTATAACAGAATTTAAACTACTCGTGAGCTTATTTTTTTTTACAATTATACAGACTAAATAGGATTTAATTGACCTAGCATGATAACTATAATACAAATGGTTTAAAAAAAAAAAACAAATACAAATGTTACTACCTGTACAGCCTCAGACAAATGGTGCTAAAAAATGCTTTCAGATGTCAAATTACAACTAACAGGCTTCTCGACTACCACTTTCTATCAAAAAAATAGTAAAATGGAAGCTGTCATTTGAAAAATGCGTTGTAACAGGGTAAGGAAGAAAAAAGTGCGTTTAAGACTCATTTCCATCCTTGTAGCCGACGTTGTATGTTCGTAGAAATGTTGTAGTGTAAACTGTACCATGATATAAATTTTTCCATCTAGTTAGACTTTTCCTTGGCTTCACTTTGCGACAATTTCGAGCCAGAAGTCTACGGAATCTCGTACACGCGGTTAGCGTCAAATTAACTTTGTAATGGTAGAGATAGGAATGAATTAATTTCTGGAGATTTCTCCATTATGAGCAACAGCATCTTGACAGTAAATACCCTTGTGATCTTTTCATGAATATATCTAAGAATATTCGCCAAGTTGATGTTCCTGAAGGTTATTTGTTATCCTGTATTGATATGAAAATCGCCTTCAAGTTTAAAAGTAGAGCATTATTGCTCCATTGGAAAATGGATTGATGACTGTTTGTTTTCGTTTACGAGGAAATGAAGATAGCGGCCATATTTTATTTTACACGCTAATCACTTGTGAAATTATCCGCAGTGTGGATGCGCACTGCAAAACTAAGTAAAAGCCTTGAATTCAAATCAATGAACGGTTCAGTTTCCACTGGTTCCGCAATCTTCCTATTACTTTACCAACATTTGCCATTGAAATGTGTTGTAAATGCTCGATCATCTCCAAGTATGTTAGTCAAACCATAACAAACAGTCAAGTGATCATGGCGTATATCCTCTCCTCTTCGCGATAAACCGTTGACATAAGTTTACAAGAAAGACCGCTGGTATACAAAGACAGGATGCGCAGATGAGGAAAGCAATAATAGGATAACACCAGGATGGGTATGGAACGCTCTCCACCTCGGCCTACAACATTAAACAGACAAATATACATTTTGACTAAAAAAAAAAAACAACAACAACAACAACAACTGTTAAAAATTTATCCAATAAATACAGCGAAGTTCCGACTCAAAGTAATTTGCCCTTTCCATTTTCAATAATTGACGGACCTGACAGATATGAGAGGCTCTTTCTTTTGTAGACGTTTGGAAAGGGACACTTAGCACAGCCAACTGAAACCTCCACACAGATAGTGCATTGAGTTCTTCAAATGCTGAAACTCTTTAAACTGTAGCATTTGTCTAAAACTAATCGCTGCAAACAGCAAACAAATGGCCGACCATTAACGTGATTTTAGCGGAAACTTCACAGCGCATCATTCCCAAGGAAAACTTTATTAAATATCCTTAGCACCCCACAAATTCAGCACAATTACCCCCATTTCTTCTACCCCTGACCCCTGACCCCTGACCCCTGATCCCTGATCCCTGATCCCTGATCCCTGATCCCTTACCCACCGGCAACAACGCACAATTAAAGAACAATGGTAAAATCATTCAGTCACCTTATTTGGTCTCCAGGCAGAGTACGCAGGTGGTTTCATTGCCATGTTAACAATACTGCTAACAAAGATCGCCAGGACTATCACAGGAGACACAAATCTCCACATTATCGTCCAGAACCATCCGGGTCTCTCGAGGAGCATGTAAGTTAAATCGTCAGAAAATCTGGAAGAATCAAGAAATGCTTCTAAGAAAAATCTTCATTACCAAAGACATCACGAACAGAGACCGGTGGTAGATTCTCTTAGCTCTATCCGTTTCTGAGAACAAGGCACCCATGTCAAAGAACTCTCAACCACACCTCAACATCAGTAAGCATATTCTCTCAACTATTCTCTGTACATTTTCTATGGTACCGATAAGGAGAACTTTGTTTAACAATCCAGAGGGTCTGTATTTGGCGATCATTTCATTTATTCTCGTGATCTTAAAATAAGCAGAGCGGTGATACTGTAAGGAGAAATGAAATGCTAGTCACTCATGGTAAACTTTCCAATAGGTGTCTCGTACTTCCTATCATAGGTCGCTTTGAGTTTCTTTACGTTACATCAAGATAACACACCAAAAGTTTTCTGAAAGTGACAAGATTTTCTCTTCAGTCGCATCATGTGTTACCTGATTAATGCGGTGATGTTACAACGTTAAATCACAAAAAAAATACACAAACAAACAAACAAACAAACAAAGCTTCCTTATATGAAGACACGCCCACTCGTGATGATCTCGAGCTTATGGTTTATATCTTATCAGTCGATCTAGCTCCAGTCCTCACCTCTTGGTTCCATACACCCATGCTACTCCGATAAGTTCGAAGAAGCAGATGAAGAGAAGTGGTAGTGTTCCTGTAAAGCTGTCAAATAGCTGCAACCAGTACTCCCCAGAGGTCTGGCAGAACAGCAGTCCAACGATGAGACAAAAGAGGCACGTAAGACCTGGGAAGGATTAAACAATATGCTAGCTTAGTATCTGACTTGTTAGCGAAGGAGAGAGTAGAACGGCTGGAGGGGGATCATGAAGTAAAGTCCCTTGTTACCCTTTCATCCTCGTCTTTCAATCAGCTGCCTTACTTTTGGGGATTCTTTGTTCGCACCACTACACTTACTACACAGATAACCAGGTACTTTTACGTCAAATCAAGACTGTTAAATCAAAGAAAATTAAAAATGTGACCGAAGCCGAGTGCATGACGCAGAAGTAAACAAAGTAATTTCCAATTGTGATTCGATATCTTGCAAGGAGGTTTCGTCGCAGCTAACGTGCGATTTTCCCACAGAACCCAGCGATGTCACATTTAAGAAACTAACTCGTGATATAAAATTTTTTACGCCCAAGAAATTTGCCTTCATAATAAAGGAAACTGCAAAATGCTATTGAGACAAGATAGAAAAAATAAAAAACAAATTGACGGCAAACCAAGAAGAACTAGAATTCATTCAACTCAACAGAAACTGACCTGTCATTATTTCCTTGCGCAAGGGCACTATCTTCTGTTTGTGTAACGGGTTAAGTACACCCTCCAGTATACCGAACATGCTACCAAGACCGAGAGACAGAAACATGGCGAAGAACAGAACAGACCATAGTGGTGAAGCCGGCATTAAAAGGATTGCTTCAGTAAAGGCAATGAAAGTGAGGCCAGGACCTTGAAATTTCTGAAGAAAAAAGATGCGATAGTCGTTTTGCTATTGATCATGATCATTTAACAGAATTTCTTTCGATTATATTAATATATTCAAGTGAAAAGAGAAAACATGGAGTTTTCTTGTATTATGGAAAAACCACAGGCGCGATTCTTTTGATACAATTCCAATTATTTTGACTTTCTGTCTCTTCAGTCATTCGTTCGTCAGTAGGTTTATTTGTCCGTTTGCCTGCCGGTCTGTCTGTTAGTTTATCCATCTTTATCCTTTTGCGGTTTCTGCAATTTACAGTGCGCAAATGTTTTAACCCGTCCACAGGTGCATGGTCTATATTTGTCTGTAAGATTGTCAGTCTGCGTGAGTAATACATGAATTTTGATGAACTATGTGCCATGATTTACCTTAGATAGCCAGTGCTCCAGATTATGACATTGCTTTTCAAGCGTCACTCCAGCGGGCAGTTTAGTATTGTTGACTTCACCATATAATGCTAAACACTGAGTGTAGGAATCATGTGCCTTTAAACGTAAGCAAGATGAAAGTCAAGTCATATTCGATGGGTAATTGGATTTTAGTTAAGCCTTAAAATAGGCTCTATCAATGTAATCACACATGATACCCTTTAAAATATCAGAAGGTATTCCAAGTAATCTTTGTTATTATGAGACAGAGAGGGCAAGATGACTTATCATAGGGCAATTGAGTGCACCTGAACTGAGATGTGATTCTCAAGATCACTGTTACTCAATAAGTTGTGGTAAAATTCTCATCTTTCCAATGGTCAATTAGTCAATTATTCTGAGTAGTAATCTATGAGGGAGTGATTTCTGCTGATACTCATTTCATAGTTGTTTGAGTGTATACAACATATTAAAGTCGCTCTCAAGAACTGACCAGAAAGAGATGTAATGTATTCAGCTCTTGAATGACGATGATGGTGGTGATATTATCATTCTGTTAATTAGCAAACTCACATCCCAAAGTTGTAATCTACTTGAATTGCTATACCTTGATTAAAATGATTGTGGCAAACTGTCGAGGTCCAATGGATTTAAAACAGCTGTTTATGATTTGCTCACGTGATTGTTTACTTTTTCACGTTTTTTTTAAATAAGATCTAACGCCATTATCAATGTCCTCTTAGCACGATGGTATTTCTCATTTTATAGAAGCAACATAAAAATGTCTTAATCATATCTTCGCTTAATCACCACAAACAAATTGAATCACAAAAGTTAACTTTCATGCATTACCATCTCTACCTCTTAATAAGTGCTGTTTTTTCGTCATTTATTCTGCACTTATATTGTACTTCCGTAACTACTCACCTTAAAACCAAGGACAGAGAACGCCACCAGAGCTGCAAAGATAGCCGTGAAACTGTCAGCTAACGATATAAAGATGGCGTCTCTTTTGCAGTTGTTATGCTTTGTGTTGTAACTTGCCATCGCAACGAAAGTACCAAAACCAACACCGATGGAAAAGAATACTTGAGTAACGGCTTCTAACCAAACCAGAGGACTGGTTAGCTTGGAAAACTGAAAGAAACGTTTATATTAGCGATTTTTTGCTCTAAACTTTGCCCACATTTTAACCCTTAATGAGGGTGAATGATATGAGGAGGTAAATCGAAGCTTTTTTAACTCTAATTTTCAAGCTCGTCATTTGCAATCCGTCTTGATATGAGACATTCTAAACCATATTTGTATCTTGTTGCTGTATACTCCAGCCCGTTTTTGTTTACACTATCAATTTAAGAAGAACCCTTTTTAACGCTTTAAGCTGATTCAAGATCTGACAAGCGGATTCATAGTCCTTCAAAACACTGGTTTGTTTTCGTCGTTTCTAGCCTGTTCGTCTAGCACTTTAATCATGATCTTTCCTTTTACCTAAGAAAAACATGAGCTCATAGTTATCTTTCCATTTAATTGCAACAATGATTTGACTTAAACATCAGTCAGGAAGAAACCTCTAAACACATAAGTCCAAGAAAGAATTCAGTAATATAATCTTCTGATTACCTGAGGCTTGAACATGTGTTTGATTCCGTCTACCGATCCCTCCAATGTGACAGCTCTTACAAGGAATATGGTCAGAACAATATATGGAAGTGTAGCAGTGACATAAACCGCCTATTAATAAATAAAAGCGTTTAATAAACAAAATAAATGCCTAAACTTTGGGAAGACCCTAAACTAATTACTAAAAAGTTGTTATGAGCGAATGAGGTGACTTTATTTGAGGAATTACAAGGCTCTACCTTTCCAGCTGACTGGACTCCTCGATTGATAATGATCAGCAGAACAATCCATGCTAAACTAAGCACAAGACACAGATGCCACTGGAAATCACCCATATCCTCAATGGAAGTTGTTGCCCCGAGTGTCTTAGTATACCAGTAGTACTGCGTCCGCCCAGCCAGTTTACACTCTTCGTTTACGGTGCAATTCGGGCCAGCGGGACAAAAAGAATAAGGCAGAGGGTCTTGAAACGACGCGAACAAATAATAAAAACACCACCCAATTATCACGTTATAATACATGGAGATCAGAACGCACACGACCGCTGAAGCAAGCCCCACACCACTCAAGTAGGGGTGAATAGTTTTCCACACACCGATGGGACCCTGGCGGAGGCTTTGGCCGATGGCGAGCTCCAGAAACAGAAGGGGTATGCCAAGCAGGATCACACTGATAAAATATGGAATGAGAAATGCACCTGAAGAAGAGGAAGAAACACATTTTTGTTTGATATGGTTTTCTTTCTCGTTCCGTTGTGATTGGAGGAACCAAACCTCCAGGTTTTGAGGTCTGGGTTCGAGACCAGGCCAGGTCAATGTCTTGTGTTCTTGGGCGAAACACTTTCTCTCATCGTGCTTCTCTACACCCAGGAGTATTAATGGGTACCGGTGAATTGTCTGGGAGGCCTCACAAAATGCTGGGGGGGGGGGGAGTAATACTCCTTGTCGCTTAATTCTACATGGAACCGGCAGGTTTGAGCTTTATATTAGTAGTTTAGTTAAGCGCTTTGAAACCAGCCTCGTATTCCCTGTGAGACTGAAATATCTAAATCTAGGTATAAATCTGGGTAGTGGGGGGGTGGGAGGATAGGGAAGCCCTTAAGGGAGAAAGAGAAACTGGTCGGCCACGAGGTTTCAAATACCTCTCATTTGAGTAACATTTGTGGAGTCTCTTTCATTATTCTGGAATAAAAACGTTGCATCCCTACCTGATTAAGAAAATCTGTATAAAAGCGATTAGAATGAAGAGTTTAGTTTCGCAAATGCATTTTTGTCCCAGAAAAGTTTAATAAAACGTCAGCTTACCAAGATTGCAGTGTGAGGAAAAAGTGTTTTAAAAAATATTGCAGCACTAAATCAGTCAACCATAAGGTGCGTGTGAAAGAAACCCAAGTCATGACCTAGACTCGTGCGTGGCGCCTTCACGGATAACTGCTTCAATTGTTGTTTTTGGTCGCATAAGTGAAACTAAGTGTGGTAATTGCCCTGTTTATTATTCATGTCGGAAACCGGTATAACTCCTTTTTTGTCTAACTTGCGTTATCCACTTGAAATTCACAGTGCAGGTGAAAAACAAATCTTAAACGCGGATGCAAAGAAAACATCAGGCTTATACTGCTCAAACTTTTCCCCTCTCCGCCGCCGGCGTGCATTTTCGCTGTTAGAGGTATCTATAGTCGTTAAAAATTGAAAAAAAAAAATAGCAATTCTTCGCATGGACGGAAGATCGATTTCAAAATGGTATTATGAGACGATAGATGGCAGATGCGATCTTTGATAATCCTCTAATTTCACCGTGTTATCAAATGCCATGGAACCCCGGGTCTTCTTACAGGGTGGCAAAACACTAATGCGAAACTGAGATTGCATTGTTTTACGGTAACAATCGAAAATGCACGCCATCAGGCTGTGTTAACAATGCTTGTTCCGTTTCCTCAATTGCAAATCCTACGAATTCGTTCCATTATAACATATCATCATAGTCTCACAGAGATCCTGGTGAGATTATTGGATCTACAGCATTAATTTTTTGCTTCTGGATCTGTTCCAGTTTTAAGTCTCATCTTTTGCTTTCTAAGCGATCTATGCAAATTAAATGCGGTATTTCCTAAAATACGTAAACATGCCGCTTTGCGAGCCATTAACTCGACGTGACACTCTTTTCGACCTGGCTACAGTATTACTGCCACTTTTAGTCGCCGAGATCACAAAATTTCAAACAATCTTTTGAATTTCTTGCAACCAATGACAATACTCTGCCACAACGAGAGCGACGTCAAGTTTTATTAACTGCATACATAAAATAATCTCTTTTTGATTTACTCCTAGATGCACTCAATGCATGACTTCGACAAACTTACCGCCTCCATTCTTTTGGCACAAGTAAGGGAATCTCCAAACATTTCCAAATCCAACCGAAAAACCTAACATTGCCAGCACAGACTGAGCCTTGTTTCCCCAGGTTTTGCACTCAGCGTCGTCATCATTGTTTGCATCACCTCCGGAAGAGTTGAATTTGTCTTTTGGCTCCTCGTCGTCGATGTCCAGCTCGGTTAACGGCAAAGCAACGTGATTTTCGTCGCGTTCTCCTTGAAACATTGTTTGAGCGGAAGAATGAACGAATTGGAGTGAGAACAGCGCTTGTCTTCAGTAGTACGAACAGGTTCGAAACTTGAAAAACCTCTTTGAAAACTGGTTTGTCAAGTTGTAACGGAACTTTGAATTGATTCCAATTCACGCATGAATAACCTACCCACGATGACTTAACAAATAGAGAAGCCTTAACTGTGCTCTGTTCTTTTATAAAGCACGTAGGAAGCGGCTAGAGCACGAAAGAAGTGTAGTGAGAAACACGAGACGTAAATCTTTAACCCGGAATGTATATTTTGTTTTTCCTTTGAGGATTTTCGTATCTGCTCACGTTTTAATAACGTAAATCATGGCGCCTGGTATGTTTACAAACGTTTGTTTGGTTCTTCTGTTGCTACTTACCGGCTCGCTTGTTTCGAAATTTCACTTTCAATGATCAGAAAAAAGCTAAAAAGAAGTCCCGAAAAGGTCGAACATGGTACAATTTGGCAGATGGCGTGACAGCTTTAGCTCAGCTCTATGCTCTATACTCTCATAGAGCACGCTCTTTCAGCCAATGGATGACAGCGCGCGTTATATCCAAACTTTATTATAAACGGCATTACGTCTTATGATGTCTAGAAAGTTCCAACCTTCCATTTAAATAAAATCGATTTGGTTTCTTTAGGTGTCAACGTATGCTAGTAGTTGCAATTACGTAAAAAGCCAACCTTGGTAAACAGTGCCACCGATAAAGTTTAAACGGAAGCGGAAGTAACTCTTAAGAATCACTGATTCCACTTCTTAAATGATTTTATGATTCATTTCGCTTTGTATTGCGACTCTGGAAAACTTGACAGCATCATTCCAAATCTCGGGGCACCAAATAAATTGATCTACTACCAGATATACATTTCCATTACTCTAGAAATTGAACCATAATATCAGTCGGTTTGGAGTAATTGAATTCTAAACAATGAGTCAAACCCTTATTTTCAAAGCACGCTTCCTTGAATCGAGAGGGTACTAAGAATTGAGAGCGCACCATGACCATGTGGGTCACAAGTAAGAGATCTTGAGTCAAATGAGTGACGCAATTTTTATGAAACCTATGCCTACATAAGGAAGAAATTAAACCGAGAGAGCTTGTAACTGTTGATACCGGTCTAATAGCTGCTCTGTTGATTCACTAACCACAGATCACTCAGGTCTATCTTTCTGTTAGTTAGCTTTTTACGCATTCCATTCTTTCTATAGATTATTTGATGCCATCTTTTTCAAATTTCTCCCTACCAAATATTAGTATTCTACAGCGCTTTCTTTTAGGAGATGAGTTGCATGAACGACTTTCGTTACCGCCTGCGTGTACTTTCGTTTTGCCCTTGCCACTTTAATAATGGAAAAGATGACTAACATGCAAGCTCAAGCCTTAGTTTACATAAGGAAGAAATTAAACCTAGAGAGAGCTTGTAACCTTGTGCGCAAGTCTAATGGCTGTTCAAAGTTTTAAAACCAGACATCGCGATCCGTCGTCCAGTGCTCTATATAAAATGCCACGGGCGGTACTTAAGATGTTAATATAGTGAGCGGGAAGAATACTTACAGCTGGGAGACTTTTTGGAACTCCAAGGTTACTTAACTTCGCGTTCTTATCTAAGCAACAAAAGATAGTAATATATATAGAGTTAATTTGATTTTATCAACTGATTGATAATGTAAAAAAAGACCATTACATGTATAGGCTACTTTTTGGCGACGTCTGCACAGAGACAGACCTTCTCGCGGATTTTGTTTGGTGAAGCGACTCGAGGTAGAATAACTCTTATATATTGTGACCGCGGTTTTTATTTTTTTTCAGTCATCCAGACGGGTTTTCGGATCTAAACCCTGAGGCATTAGCCATCATCCGCTTGGCGTCTCCTACCATAGAATAACACCACCTTTATGAATGATAATATGATATCGTTAGAGCATGAGAAGCATGACAAATTTTAAAATTCCGAGATTGCTCACCCTTTGGACATTTTGTGAAACTAGACGAAGTTTAAGTCGGAGTACCATGACGATCTAAATGTCTCCGTTGGCATGATTGCATGTTTCTTATAAAACGGTAGCTGGGTTTTTTTTTGTAATAACGCCAAAGGAATATCGAATGATAAGAATGAAATTAACGCGACCGTATAGCCTATATCACGTGAAATTGCTATCGTAAGCAACAGAATGGATGCAATGTCAAACAATGTTCCTCCAAACGAGAGTTGATCACACAGCCTTTAAACTTCATGAAAAGTGAGCATTATAATATTCAGCAAATTCCCATTTCCGAATTCAGTATTTTCCTTTATTCGTGACAAATATTGGACAACTTCCTATATTCGACGACCGTGCACAATCTAAAAGATATGTAACACACAAGTTTAGCATGTGGGTTGGCTGGCAAGTTGGCTAGAGCCTGTCTGTATGCTGTCTGACCGCGAATGCGAAACGGCTGGGACTTCAAAAGACATAAAGGTTTTGATTTTTCTTTCTTATAGGCTCTTGACTTATCTTTTTCTTTCTTTTTTTTTTTTTATTGGTATCGGTTTCTTTTCAAGTGCGGTGTAGCTTTCATATCCAAAGTCATTTTCTTTTATCTTCGAGACGTCAGTAACCAAGCGACCAAGCAACTAAGCAGTTAGTAATCAAACAATTTTAAGGCATCCCTTTCGCAAGATCCCAGCCGTCAATCGTAGAGGCGGCCGGCAGTTGCAAATTGCGGAATATAACCGTAAGTAGCCTTTTAAATATCTGAGACTTAATTAATAGACTTGTCTATTTTCTTTCAATCAGCAACATGACCGTGGTCATTGACCTTTAGTTCACTGAAATAACAACAAAATTTCATAAGAAGTATGGCGCACTTCCAACCAGCCACACGCCACACTTTAGAGCATTTTCAAAATTCCTTTAGAAGTGCGTTAGCTTTTAAGACTAAAAGAATTCTCTAATATCGCAATTATATACACAGTAGTAGAGCAATGAACAGAGCTATGATAACACCGTGCATTTCTTATATGGCTAAGAAAGACTGACTTGTATGCTCCAAGTAAATCCATTGTTCGTATAAAATTATACAGTGCATGGTAAAAAAAAATAGTAACCTTACCTTTACTCAGTCAATCAGCGTAAACATTACCTGTAACGTTCGTAAAATCCCATAAATAGTCATAAAAAATATTGACATGATATCTTGGCTAGCATCAGTTCAAACGACTCTCCCAGACTCTTGTAAGCTTATAGTGAGTTACTATACGTACGTTAATTGATCAGATAAGCAACTCGAATTACAATTGACATTAAAAATATTGAAAATGTCAAGCTAGATTGCCTAAGATGCACTAACGATGACCTAGAAAAGCTGATCTTAGATTATAAAGAAGAAAAATTAATAGTGCCTTAATAAACTTTGATCAGATAAAGAACTTGAAAATGGTCATTTGAAATATTGTTGGTCATTTTTTTACTTATCAGTTTGCTAGTGAGCGAAACTAATATACAGGAATACTTCTCTCTTTTATATTTTTTTTAACGTTTATAGGCCTCATGAACACGTTTAAAGTCCAGAGTTGAGGAAAAACTTTGCCAGATCATCTTTGCATTTTCCATTTTCAGAAAGTCTTTGCTGTACGTGTCAGGAAAATTTCCTAGACATGTATAAATCTAAGAATCTTGTCACCCAAAACTCACTCAACTTTGACAATTATGCTATATTTACCTCGCGTCTAACTTTTGTCGATCAAAGATAGAGATCAGTTAATTGCAGCAAGCATTGAGATGTATTGGCTCTCGGGAAACATTTGAGAGTATAAAGCAGTTCGTTAGAAGTGCTTTCACTCAATTTCAGTGAATGCGGTTAGCTGACAGAACAAGAGGAGAGAACACGAACAAGAGAGACCAGAAAACACTACATGAACTACAAAGTACTGCAGCAGGTAAGTGGAAAATCGAAATTTTAGTATCTTAGAGTATTGAAGTTATTCCAAAATATACGGCAATCGTAATTCATCCCTCGCTAAGATGTAATGAAACGGCTTAAAAGGGTTCGAGCGTCTGCTAAGTGCCTCTCAAAAGAACGATCGAGAGTGTCATATTGTTTTGATTATCATATAATTAGGATTCGTTCTAATTGGGACGAAGAAAATTTCATTAATTAAACTAAATCGCTAACTTAGCTTGCATTAGTAAGACAAGCACCTACTGAGTTAAGTGGGGGAAAAAACCAAACCAAACAATGGTAGTTTAAGTAGGAGGACAAACATTGACACGAATTGGGAATGATGAAATTGACAAATTTCATGCTAAATTACTTAAGATGCGCAGACGGTAACCAGAAAATGCTTAATTTGCTTTGTATAGAAAAAGAAATAGCTAAAAGCAGTGTCATTGAAGGATTATATAGCGTTTGGCAAGCTTGAACTTAATATTGATACAGCCTTGTACCCCTACAAAAATGCTACACGATGTTCATACTGATTTTAAGTAGTTGACAGCATGTCGTATCTTAAAGATAATTGACGAAAAAGCTAGGTGCTACAAATCCGCTCATCAAACTGTAACATTGAGTTGTGCATGCTCCTTTGAAGCTTTAAATGTAATAAAGGACCATTTGAATATTTTCTTTTGTCATTCTTAGTCATTTTAAACTTAATACTACGTCTGTCTTTAACCAGTCTGTCTGTCTTTCTAAATTACTGATACGATCGGAGAGTAAAATACTAAAATGGATGCGTCCATCCCGAAGACTCAAAGAGGCTGAGACAGAGCGAAGAAAATACGGTCTTTACTGACAGGCATTACCCGTTGGACTTAAAAGAGATACAAATAAGCTGAACAGATAAATCACTTGTCGATTTGCTGACGCCACAAGCAGCTGGTAATAAGCCTTCAAATTTTATGGAACGAAAACATAGAAATCTAACAAAAAAACAGATTTGTGATCAGAACACAGGAAATTACAAAGCCAAAAACGGGAACCGGAGATCAATGACTGGAGAATTAATCTTCTTCATGCAAATTTATTTTTCGTCCTTAATACAACAACATGTTCACTTAACCCAATTTTTCCTATCATAATCTGCCATTGCTGCC